CCGTCATCGTCGTCCTGTCCGTCATCGTCGTCCTGTCCGTCATCGTCGTCCTGTCCGTCATCGTCGTCCTGTCCGTCATCGTCGTCCTGTCCGTCGTCGTCGCTCCATCCTGCGGCGCGGCGCCGGTTGCGCGCAGGACGATGGGGCGGCCGGGGTATGCGTGCCGAAACCACATAAACCGCCAGAAGTTCTTGTGGGCGGCAGGGCCAATTCCCTCCCGCTCAACTTCTGGCAGGTTTTTAAATCGATCCGTGTACCTCAATTGCCAGCTGCCTCGCCTGTTTGATGCTGACAAGACGGTACTTCAGCTCTCGCGGAGCTTCCGTGTTGTCATCCCACCTGACACCATACGTGCCAGGTACACTATGCATGATGGGGATCCGCTCAAGGTGGCGGTCGGTCAGACGAAAAGCTTCGTTGGCGAGCTCAATGGTCGTGACTCTGAGCAATTCTTTCATGACGAGGCATTGGAAGCAGACCCTCTCACAGGTTGGAAGAAACAGAAAGTGTCCAAACTCGGTGCAGGCCATACATTTCTCTGTCCGAAGCGCTTGACTAATCGCGGTTGCTGGGTGGTACTGCAGCAATCGGGTCCTCCCCAACGCAGCCAAGGTCGCCGGTGCGTGCCTCATCACGTCTTGATATGTTGCGAGGTTCTCTACCACGACTTTCCCCTTGAGAGACACGCGGGAGAGGCGGGACAAGGATTGGAAATCGAGGAGGTTGAGAGTGAGCAACAGGATCTCTGCGGGGAATTTATCAAGCAGACCGAGCGACGACCGAGCAGATTCGCGACTTATTTTGGACGGCTTTGCTGGGGTAATAATGTTCGAGGTACTGATCCTTGACGGATCCAACCGTTTTCCTTCATCGTTGAATTTGAAACTTTGACACGAGAACGTCATTGGACGCTTTATTAAGTCGAAAGGACGGCATGGCTGGAAATGAATGCTGGTCGGGACTGCTAAGCTCGATTGAGGAGTGTTAAATGGCTGGGAACCTGTTCAGAATGAGTCTTGACCTGATGGCAACGCGACGTCCAGCGGCGATGCCAGCTAGCAAGGTTTGTGATCCGGATATGGTTCGTAACCTTGATGTTCGTCTGAATCCTCGTGTTAGCTCAGGAGTCAGGACGCGTTGTCGCGTCGGTAGCGTTATCGATAAGACAATCAAAGACCCACTCTGCCTGTCATCTCAATTAAGCTGCAGATTATCAATCCTGGCGCCGTCCGTCTTTGTAAGTCGCGACCACACTGTTTCAGAGCAATCCTTATGCGCTGCATCTAGGTACCCAGAGAACGAATCCAGATGGCGGATGACACAGTTGAAGCTCAGCCGGCAAGCGCGCCAACCTCGGATAGCGGTGCCGCTTCCTCGGAACCGCCCAAAAAATTCCCGAAAGGCGTTGTTCTCGGAAAGGACGGCAAACCGTAAGCCTCCATTCGGATCAAGCCGATGTCTATCTTACTTACCTCACCCATCCTCATGAAACAACAGCTGCCGATCATGTACCTCCTTCGCCGCATGGGCATCGCAGACCAAATCCTCCCTCAAAGGCTCTTCCTCCCCGACAACAGCAACCACCACCACCACCACCACCCTCCCAAAGGACTGTCCGCCGGACGTGGAACAGCTAGGCCGCAGCAGCTGGACGCTCCTACACTCAATCGCGGCAACCTACCCGCCGCAGCCGACACCGGCCGAGCAGGCCGACGTGGCGCGCTTCATGGGCCTGTTCGCGCGGCTGTACCCGTGCTGGGTGTGCGCCGAGGACTTTCAGCGGTACCTGGAGCGGCAGCCCGTGCGGACTGGCGGCAGGGACGAGCTGGGCACCTGGCTCTGCGAGGCGCACAACGAGGTCAATCGTAAACTGAACAAGCCCGTGTTTGACTGCTCCCGGTGGCAGGAGAGGTGGCGGACTGGGTGGAAGGATGGGAGCTGCGATTGAGTTCGAGGTTTGAGTCTTTTTGTGGTTGTGTGGATACCTAGCTTTCTTTACCTAAGGAGTGCGAAGGGGGATGTGAGGATGGTTGGCATGTTGTGTGATTATCATCTAGGCGGGATTGTACAAAATACCTAGAACAGAGCAGAACGAATTGTGCGTTGGATGGGTCGGCATTGGATGGGTGATCACGCATTAGATCGGAGTTTAGGGGTTTGGCGTGGTACTTCTCATCGCCAGTTTCGTTTCGTCTGTACTGGTTGGCGTGGCGGATCATCTCTTCTCAGTTTAGAAACCGAAATTCCCGATCAGCGCGGACATGGGAATAGATACAATGGGGATGTGCAAGGCCGAGAGGACAGGATAAGACCGGCGGTACATCCGGGCCCGGTATTGGAGCTCGGCCCGACTAAAACCGCAGCCCCGCAACGGGCCGAGGGCCGGACTTCTATGACATCACATCACCGTAGGTAGACACCCGTCCATCCGAGCCATCGAACCACCACGAATGCCCCCACGAATGTCTAGGTAACTGGCTGCGTTCGGCCAGAACCGAGACCTACAGGCGGCTACCGTAAGATGGTGTCATCAGTCGCATCTCCTGCGGGACCCTGGGCCATATTGGGCTTGAATGGCATACGATGACGGTACTTGTTGATAACGGCCTTAGTAATCGCCCCAGCTACTCCCATCGACGAAAGAACCCCTATGGAGCGAACTCTCATCTCGTTCCGGAGCTCGCTGTTCCATAAGCGTAGCACTTGACTCTCTCTCAATTCGATCCGCCGTCGCAACACCCTGAGTGACATCGAGGAGCCATCATTGCGGAATGGCCGTCGATATCAGGACACAGGGCCTTCAGAAGCCCGTTTCCGTAGCAGAGTATCTGTTTGCAAGACTATACGAGATTGGCATTCGCTCGGTTCACGGCGTCCCGGGCGACTTCAACCTGGTCGCGCTGGACTTCCTCCCAAAGGCCAAGCTGAAGTGGGTGGGCAGCGTCAACGAACTCAATGCAGGTGTGTGCAGGCTTGCCCATGGAAGTTATGTGTACGTGGTATTTGAAGAATCCTGGGCTCACTAGGACAACAGCCTATGCAGCTGATGGCTATGCGCGCACCAATGGCATTGGAGCCCTCATCACCACCTTTGGTGTCGGCGAGCTGTCGGCCATGAACGGCATCGCCGGCTCCTTCTCGGAGCATGTCCCCGTCGTGCACATTGTCGGCTGTCCGTCCACAGTCTCGCAGCGCAACGGCATGCTGCTGCATCACACGCTCGGCAACGGTGATTTCAGCGTCTTTGCGAACATGAGCTCCCAGGTCACATGCGAATTGGCCAAACTGAACAAGCCGGCCGAGATCGCTGACCAGATAGACAACGCGCTGCGCGAGTGCTGGATCCGCAGCCGGCCCGTGTACCTCATGCTGCCGACCGACATGGTGGAGAAGAAGATCGAGGGCGCCCGCCTGGACCAGCCTATTGACCTCAGCGAGCCGCCCAACGACCCAGAGCGTGAGGACTACGTGGTGGACGTCGTGCTGCGCTACCTCCACGCCGCCAAGAACCCCGTCATGCTGGTAGATGCGTGCGCCATCCGGCACAGGGTCCTCGGCGAGGTGCGCGATCTGATCGAGAAGACCAAGCTGCCCGTGTTCGTGACGCCCATGGGCAAGGGCGCCATCGACGAGAGCTCGCCCACGTACGGCGGCGTGTATGCGGGGACCGGATCGCAGCCCGGCGTCGCCGAGCGGGTCGAGTCATCCGACCTGGTGCTGTCCATCGGCGCGCTCAAGAGCGACTTCAACACGACGGGCTTCTCGTACCGCACCTCGCAGCTCAAGACGATCGACTTCCACTCGACCCACTGCGTCGTGCGCTACTCCGAGTACCCCGGCGTGACGATGCGCGGCGTGCTCCGCAAGGTGACCGAGCGTGTTGACGTGGGCAAGCTGGCTAAGCAGCACGAGGTGACCAAGGTCGTCAACGAGGTGGCCGAGAATCGTGACAGCTCAGACACCATCACGCAGGCATTCTTCTGGCCCCGCGTCGGCGAGTATCTGAAGGAGAACGACATTGTAGTCACCGAGACGGGCACCGCCAACTTTGGCATCTGGGAAACAAAGTACCCCCGGGGAGTAACTGGCGTCACCCAGATCCTCTGGGGCAGCATCGGCTGGTATGTAGTACAGATCAGTATCCGACTCCTCTCCATCACCTCAGGAGTTACCGCTCCCACTCCCTGCCACTTCTGAGAATCCGTGCAAAAGAAATTCATTCATGTGACTGACATTGTCGGCCAGGTCACTCCCCGCAGCGCAGGGAGCCGCGCTGGCTGCCAAGGACATGGGCGTGGACCGCCGGACGATCCTGTTTGTCGGCGATGGATCGTTCCAGCTTACCTGTCAAGAGGTGGCAGTTATGATCAGACATAATCTGAAAATCACCATGTACGGTCCATTTTACCCGCCGCTGCTGCCGGTATCCATCCTCCGCTGTACTGACAAATAGCGCAGCTTCCTCATCTACAACGAGGGTTTCACCATCGAGAGGTTCATCCACGGCATGGAGGCCGAGTACAATGATATTTCGCGATGGCAGTACACCGAGGTGCCGACCGTGTTCGGCGCGTCTGACAAGCAAGTCCGCAAGTTTATCGTCAAGACCAAGCATGAGCTCGAGAAGCTGTTGACAGACAAGGAGTTCAACGAGGCCGGGGGTCTGCAGTTTGTCGAGCTCTGGATGCCAAAAGAGGACGCGCCTAGGGCACTGAGGATAACGACCGAGGTTGCCGCGAGGAATAATGCGAAGGCCGAGTGAGGGTGAGGGTGAGGGCATTGAAGGATGGAGATTGTGAGGGCGACGGCGTTGATACCTTGATTTGGCCGATCTGTGCCGACTCTCTATTTCCTCGTTGTCGGCATCTTGATAGGAGCATTAGCCGTTTCACCCTAAGAGCTCTATCCAACCAAGGTACTGAGGCATAGGCAGATCCTGATGAACTATTCATCTGAACCTTCCACCTCAACTGAGCATGGATGAGGACGCCTAAATTGTCCCCCGGTTTCATTAAGTTGATAAACAGTACCGAATAACTACATAAGTACACCCAAATCTCATTGATCACGTGGCACAACTTGCTTAATGCAATACTGTGTAGTAAGATAAGGTCCGTAGGTACGAACTACATCAACAGTCGAGACAAGAAAACATGATCAAAGAGTTCACCTTCCCATCAATTCGATATCAACATCATACCAAAGATCCAAACAGAGCCGAAACGAGCTCTCTAACGAAAGTGGTCTGTTGATTGCTCCATTGGTCGATTTGGTAAGACAACTAGTTGCTTTCCTCCGCCCCTCGTACGTAGACATCAACTCGAGTCGCCAAGCTTTCTTTTATTTTTGTTTTCACTGCTAGACGGACAGATCTTGCCGATACTCATACGGAACCAATGACGGAAAATGCCAAAAGGAAAGCTGCACCGACCGACGGTCAGTCGGGGCAGCAGTCCAAGAAGAAGAAGGTGCGTGTGTGTGTGTGTGGCTTTATGCATAGCGGACAAGCCGTGATGCGTCAATCATTATCGGGGCGCTGTTAGGCTCTTTGCAAACATGGAGAATAGTGAATTGACTTCACCCTCGAAAAGACAGGGAATGCAGGGAAATGGAAGACTCCCCAGCACGAGGCAAAAGCTGCGCAGCACCAGGATGCCAGCATCCAGCCAGGCGACGCCGGCATCTGGGTCACTTGCGCCAGACACCAGGAGCTGAGGGCAGCGAGGGAGATTGAAGTACTGTTCGCCGAGGTATGTAGCCTCACCAACTCACCAGAACGAAAAGTCTGACCCGCTAACCCAGTTGATTGCCGCCAGTATGCCCAGAAAATGTACGGCATAAAAGGCGTGCATGATACCGAAGACACGGACGGGGATGACGCCGAGGACGATATTGAGGCCGCCATCCAAAAGGAGCTGGCAGCCCTGGACGCGAAGGGGACCGGCAGCGCCACGGCGGGGGGGCAAAATCTGACTCCAATCAAGATGAGCGTTGACTGCCTGCTGTTCGTCAAAACCAGACCCCCCATCGACCCGGTCGCCTTCGTGCGCCGCATCTGCGAGGACGCAGAGAGCCGCTCGGATCCCAGCCAGATGAGATGCCGCTACGTCAACCGGCTCACCCCGGTGACGGCCACCGCCAAGGCCACCGAACAAGGGCTCGTCGAGCTCGCTAAGGAGGTCCTTGGCCCTTTCTTTGACCTGAGCGGGAAGCGATCGGGCGCGGCGGCCGTCGCAAAGGACGTTGAGGCGGTAGCCGAAGGCTCAGAAGCTCGCAACGGCGAAGGTGAATCGGGGGGCAGTCCCCCTGAACCGAATACAGAGGCAGCCAGCGGCCATGAGCTCCCTGCTCCACCCCCAAAAAACCAGGGGTTCACGGTGAGTTTGCTGTCAGCGGAGACGTCAAGTTGCTTTCCCGTACCATATACTGAACTATGTGAGTAGTTTGCTATCCGGCCGACGATCCGCAACCACAGCAACTTGAAGAGGGACACTGTCATCAACTCGATCGCGGCCCTCATCAATGATGACCGCCACAAAGTCAACCTAACCACACCAGATAAGGTGATACTCATTGACATTTACCAGGTAAGGGAACCCAAGCGTTCGCATGCGCACCTACTAGTTTCTAACCAGGCTGCGACCAGGCCGTATGCGGAATGAGCGTCGTGGACGGCAACTGGGAGGAGCTCAAACGGTTCAACCTAACTGAATTGTACAGTCAAGCGAGGGCAGTCCCAGGCGCTGCGAGCTCTCGCGAATGAGTTCTCGTATTCACAATGAAAGCACAATTGTAGTACAGCGCCAATGCGTACTAGTAGTACTGGAGAGTCCCATACCTCCTGGTTTTACTCAATCCGCTTAGCATCTACCGGGGATTCAAAGTGATTTGTGCCGTTTGTGACGCTGAATTCGGCTTCCAGACTGCCTTTCAAACGCGGATTGGATGACCAGTGCCAGGTAAGCTGCTCAACTCTAAAGACTCCAATGAGCGGCCTGAATCACAAGAGACGCCATGGCATTAAGTCGGCCTCTAACCAGTCCACGGTTTGATGTGTCCTCAGCGGTAGTCATATCGGCGCAGTCGAGCTGGGAGTCGGGAACACCCCTTCGGTCGTAGATATGAATGTAGACAAGACGCATATCCATATTTGAGAAAGATGAATATCCGGTGCTATGAGTCTATGACTGGAAGGATCCAATCATGGCGGCTTGGGGGAGCTCGATGTCAAGGGTCACGACTATAGTGACTTGTGAGGGAACACTGAACGCGGTCTTCGCGGTCTTTACCAGCAGGGGATGGAAGTCCGAGTGCCCCACTAGTAGGCACTTTGAGCAGGATTCAAGGTATGTCCTGGACTTGGCCGCGAAATCTTTAAGAGTATAGCGTTAGGACAAGATATGGAATTTGAAATTCCACCAGTTGCTGGCCTAAGTGAATACGATATCTTGAATCTTTAGCCATCATTACGGAGTATCGATGCGGCATTTGATCTTAACGTACTTGTACCTATCAAAACCAGGGATCACTAGTTGGCGGTTAACATTGAAAATCCAGCAGTGGTCGACGCTAAGCCCTATTCCAGATAATTTTGACGAGTCCGTCATGATGCGGCCCGTAAGACGGGGGCGGGTGTAGCGCCAGTGGATACAGCGCGGCTAGCGTCATTCCCAAAGTCCCGGGAGCAAAGACTGCGCCTAACTTGTACAGTACCTTGCATATTGACTGGAGATTTCAAGCTGGTAACGTTACTCCCAGCTTCATCGAGTGAGAGGCGAGAGGAGGTGGTCAACTTTGAGGTGCTGGGCCGAAGTCACCGGATTGCATGTGATTATGCACTATATGTACGCTTTCTGCCAGTAGTGTACTGCGCCAGATGCATGTACCTCGTACTTGTGGTATGAAAGGAGTACCAAGACGGGATTGAAGTTGGACCTCCCGTCCTCGATGAAGCTCTTCAATACTGTCGAAGCCCAACTCGTTCACCGAAAGGAAGAGGACTGCATGAACTGTCATTTGAAATCCCAGGGAGACGGCCCGATATCTACCACTCTTTTCATCCTGATGGCTGAACTAGTGTCACTGCTTACGTTGTGAATGGATGATGTTAGAGGCAGTAGGTATTCCCAACTCCCATTTGATATGACGACGCAGTGCTTGGGTTCTTTGTTCCCCCGCTGACTACTTCGCTTAGCGTTGGCCAATCACCGGATTCTCTAAGCTCGCTTGTCAAACGCCATGCCTCATTCGACGCCTTCCAGACAATGATCGGACTTTAAACACCACACCGGATGCAAGTAATAAATTCAAGATCCCGAGCTTTCCTAAGCTGAGGCCTCACTCGGGGACGACGAGTCGACTCCCGAACTCCGTAGGATAACGTTAGAGGCAATTACCCTGACGGAGGTGCATAGCTTTCGCTTGGTCTTACCCTACAGAGCTTGACCGCCCCAGTGGTTATTTCACGAGCCGAACACCTTCCTGTTTAGCTTAGTTAACTCGCTCTCTTGGGGAAGCAGCGGGGGCACGGAGCTGTGTTGCACAACTTCCAACTGTTCAAACTTGGTACGGATGTGTCTTCGGTCAGGAGCTTAGCACGCGGCATCCGCATCATGGCTTCCTATCCAAGGTCTTTGGCATATCACATCCACATACCAAGGGATGTTAATCATCAGTCTCGTGCCCAAACCGCCAACGGTCAAGGCGCGCCTCACAGCCAACGTTATCTGTCCCGCTAGCACGATGCGGCACGCGGTTCGATATGGATGGAACCATGGCTGCGATCACAGCAGTACTGTCATGGTATCTCTTGGGGAGAATCCAGTGTGTATGTACTGTACTGTAATATCAGACATGTCGTACGGATACACTAGTGTAAGTCAAATCGGCAGCGATCAGAGACCTTGAATTCGGTCGTCCCCACTGTTTCACTAGCAGACGACCCCGGGACGCCACCACGACGCGCCTCAGTTCCAGCTCTCAGATGATGGCGGACGGGATCACGGGCGCCACATTCACACGGGGTCCCCCGGCCAAGCGCGCCTGCTACGCCGACGGCTGGTGCTTATGTTCGGTACTTGAGTACCGGCAGCTTCCCCAGCCAGGGATACTATTATGTCTTGACAAGCGAAGGGACTGCGTCTACAAAGCCCCTAACGTTAGTGTAGTCGATGTAAGGACCACGCTTGTCGAGAAAAATACCCAACCTGGGGCCCTTCTGCTCGCTATGCTCTGCACCCCATTCGTCCACCACATTCCTGCTCCACGAAACCTGCTCTTGGCAGAACCAGCACTTTGTCCAGGGGCACTCCTGACTTGCAGTTCACTCGGGAACGAGGGAGTTTTGGGGTTCATTTACCTACGTCCACACCATGGGCCCCAGTGGTGTTTGTTTATAGGATAAGTGGTTTGGGCAAGCCAGTTGCCCTTCATGTTCTCCTCCAGATGAAACCCCATGTCGCTAGATCCTCGTCTCCAGAAGCTTGAGTCGCCTGCGTACCTGGATGCCCTCCAAGCAGTATCGAGAGACCCATAAATGCTGATGTCTCTGTGACTTTGGACACTGGGAGCGCGCCAGGCACTGCAGTTCGTTCGAAAAAGTTCCCGGATCGCCTAATATTGCCCCCTGTGTCCATACCTGGCGGCGGACTAGTCCTAGACGCATCGAATACACGTCAGATGCGTATACTTTGTATAGGCAATGGAATCCACGCCCTGAGCTTCCTCAAGCTGACGGCTGGATGTTGCTCTTGCCCCTTGGTAACCCGGCCCTGTAGGTAAGGCGGTTACTCACTGACAGGCGAACAAACAGCATTGCCGTGCTTGCTACCTTATCGCTCGGGGCAACTTACCGCAGCTTATTTCCGCTTCTCGAGACGAATAGCAGAGTACCAGTAAGGTCATAATATATAATCGGCTCCTACCTTGAGTCCCTGGACAGAGACTGGACACACCTGCCAAAACAAGCCGAAGACTCGAGTTTGTCCGCGTCCCGGTCCCCCATAAGGAGCCTACCTTACCTAGCCAGTCGACCAATCCCGGAGGCAGCACCTACTCATACAACTCTCGCCGGCCATGTGCCAACCTCCCTCTGACCAGGCGGTCAGGGACATGCTCGGCCCAGTCCTCGCAGCAGACACAGCCATCAAGCAAGTTCGCCCTGTCCAGTCTCTGCGTCCGCAACGGATCTACAAAGTCGACCTTTCCGATGGCAGGACGCTTCACCTCGTGCTGCCCCCCGTGTCCATCTGGCGGCCGCTGCGTTTCGAGCAGGGGATGGTCTCGTCGGAAGCGGCCGCGGTGCGCTGGATCAGCGAGACCCTGACGAGAGACACTCCCGCCATGACCACTATTACTGCCACCGCTACCAGCAGGATCCGTCCAGCGAACAGTCGCCGCTCCCCATCTCCTCGATCCAGCGCACTTCCGGCACCAGCATGCGCAACGGCCGGATCCCGCGATTCGGACCCAGAAATAAAAGTCAATCTGTCACTGCCCACCCTTCTTTACCACGGCCAGGGTTCGAATAACCTCCTCGGGTCCTCTTACGCAGTCTACCTGCCCCCAACACCATCCCCGTCCCCATCTCAACCCAAAACAGAACTAAAAGAACCCACCCCCCTGGCCCTGCTCCCCGGCCCGCCCCTTTCCCCACAAGAGCGGCACGCCGTCGACAAGCAAACAGGCGCCTTGTTCCGGCGGCTGGCAAAGCTGACCTCTCCCTCAGGCCGCTTCGGCCCGCTCGCCGCCGTAGTTCCTCCTCCCACTCCTAATACAACTACTTCGGACCCAACCACTACTACTACCACGCTCACTACCGGCGGCGGCCCGGGGACCGGGATGGGAGTAATAGGAGGATTGAGCATGAGCATGAGCACCATGGCCGGCACGGGCGGGGCCGGGAGCTGGTCCGTGGCGTTCCACTCGCTGCTCGAGGGCATCCTGCGCGACGGTGAGGACATGGCCGTGGTGCTGGGCTACTCGGCCATACGCCGCCAGTTTCGGCGGCTAGGGTATTTGCTAGATGAGGTCAGCGTTGCGCGGCTGGTGGTTGTGGACGGCGCGGACGAGGGGAACGTGCTTGTTCGGGTCCTTAAGGACGGGGAGGAGGGGGAGGAGCCAGGAGTGGGCAGAAAAGGGGATGGGGGCGGGGCTCAGTGTCATGGCCTTCAGGTTGATGATGAAAGCGTCGAGGGCGAGGTCAAGGACAAACACGAGGATTATGAGGATGAGGATGGGCAAGAGGAAGGGAAAGGCAAATGGATGGCAAGCGCAGGGCCGGCTACGGGAGAGGGTGAGGCAAAAGGAGAGGGGAAGGAAGGGCAAACATCCACAAACGCAAAGGAACCGGAGAAGAGACACTCGACAAGAAGGCTAAGGGTAACCGGCCTTGCCGACTGGAGCAGTTGTGTCTTTGGCGACCCGCTGTTGGCCACCGTCTTCAGCGACCCGCAGCAGCAGCAGCCTCCGTCGGCCGGCTTCCTCGAGGGATTCAACAACGGTACCAAAAAGATTGTTCAACAAGGCTTGTACCTCGATCCGGCCGCCAGCACAGCAAAAGACCCCCAACTCCTTCCCCTGGACGGGGACATCATCGAAGACGTTGACACGGCCTGGATCAGACTGCTCCTTTACCAGGTCTATCACGCCGTGGTGCACATCGTGAGGGAGTTCTACCAGCCACGTCCCGACAGTAGGGACCGGGAGCTCGAGGCCAGGAGGAAGTTGAACGAGGTGCTGGCACGCCTCGCAGAGGTGCACGACGACGCCAAGAAGAAACATCCAAGGCCGAGTGGGGAGATGTCACCCGCAAAGAGGATCAAGGCGGATGCCGAGGAGGGCTGATTGAGTAATACCTTACCTGAGAAAACAAACAAAAGAGACACATTAGTTTCAAGAATGAATGCTAGAGGGTTGTGACATGTACAGCAGAGGCAGGCTCTGACAAGACAGAGCTAGGCTATGCATGGCATGTTTTATTCACTATTACCAGCTATTGAGGGTCCTCGTCCGTATCGGACTCATCCCTTGGCAGGCTCATGCCCATCAGACCCAGCAGGTTGCCCGCCGGACCAGCCATGCCCGCTTGGCTCTTGAAACTCTCGAGCAGGTTTTTAGCAAGGTTATAGTCAATATCCACTTCCTCATCGTCGCTCTGCTCGTCACCTTTCTCCTTCGACTCAACGCTCCCTAATGCCGAGGGCCCCCCCCCCTTTTCCTTTATTGAAGATGAAGGCTTGGCCTGCGGGTCAAGCTCCAGTGCACCATGCTCCCTGAGCTCAGATTCCATCTGCTCCATGAGCTCTCGGATTTCCTCCTCCTCACCTCTATCCTCTGTGTCATCAGACGCATGGCCAACCGCCGTTTCTCCCCCTTTGCCGGCGTCCTCAGATGGAAGCCCCATCATCTCCCGCATCATTCTAGCAAACTGCTCCTCGTCAAAGCTGACTTCCTTGTCCTCATCCTCATCTTCATCACTTTCGCCTTCCCAAACGTCCTCTCCGTCTTCATCATCATCCCGATCCATCTCATCAATCTCGGCCCCCTCAATACCAGCCTGCTCATCATTCAAGAACGCCTCGAACCTCGAAACAATCTTTTTCAGATCAGCCTGTGCATTGGCACTCCCAAAGCCTGCGCCCTCGCCGCCACCACCTCCAGCACCCCCCTCCAGCTCCTTCTCGAAATCGCGATAGTCAATATCCATCCAGGAATCGTCATCCTCCCGATCAACGCCCTCCCACCGCGCGATATCCTCGTCCCCAGGCAGCACCGCGTCTCCGCCATCCTCGGCGAGATCGTCCAGCAGCAACGCCACCTCGCGCACCACCCTGCTGGAGCTCTCGTGCGCCGTCCGGGCAAGAATCTCGAACCCGGCCGTAAGTTTCATGCCCATCTCCAAGCGGGCGAGTTTTCGCGCTGCCTCCGAGCCCGGCCTCGCTGCTGCTGCTGCTGCCTCCACCTCGGCCGAGCGCAAAAGGCTGCGCCAGGCTGGTGGCGGAGGAAAGTGTTGGGATTTGAGCTGCGCGTAGAGGACCTTGGTGAAGCGCACGCTGACGGTGACGAGGTCTACTGGGGGAAAGGTTAGGGCTGCCGCCGAGGGGGAGAGCAGGGGTTTGAGAGAGCGCGGGTCACGGAGATAAAAGGCTTCGGTGGCCGGGGCGATGGACTGAGGGCGGGCGTGGAGGATGTAGGCCAGTTTCCGGGGCAGGGTGACAAGGGAGCGATGGAAGGAGTTGGCAATTTGGCCAGGGTACTTCTCGAGTCGGTAGAATGCCTCGGCTTCAATGAAGGTTGAGTGGATGAGTGAGTTGGGACACGACTTGATCGTCTCAATGGCTTGCCGTAGTGAGAGCGGCTTGGAGGTCGGGGTCTCACCAGCCGTCCCGTTATCGGGGTCGTTCAGGGGGATGATGCGTAGTTTGCCGTCGTGGATCCATACCCGGTTACCGTCGTTTTCAGGACTCAGCCACTTGGGAGCGACCTTTGCGGCTTCGATGAGGAGGAATTCGCCATCGCTGTCCGAGACGCGGACCCATAGACTAGGGAAGGACCTGCTCAACTCGCGGAGCAGGTAGACGATGAGCCACTCATCCTCGATGTTGTCCCCGTAGTGTGTTATGCCGTAAAGATAGGGCAGACCTAGGCCTGTGCAATGTGTTAGCTTTCGTGGGCACCACCTGGCTGCTGGCGGATCAAGACACACCCTTCAAGATTCTCGTTTCCAGCTTGAACGGCTCGCGCTGCCAGATGTAGTCCTTTGCCAGCTGGTCCAACTTTTGGTCAGCTGCCCTACGGACGGCCTCCAGGCTTGGAACTTGACTGTCGGCTTGTTCTCGGATGATGAAGAGCATGTACTCGACGCAGTCTTCGGGAAGGCTCATCCGGAACCCTTCAAAGCCCTCGTCCCCGGGTCGCAGTTCCCCTGCAGTGTCCCCTTCAGTCGCCATATAGCCCTTCTTATTTTGGTAAGGTTCAAACACTATCAACAACTCCTTCACCGAACGGAGTGATACACACAGGCAATGACATCAGGTGGAAGGTTGCGACTGCCCGGCGAAATGACCTTGTCAACCCCCTTGTCTTGTGCTGGCAAAGTCAATCTGACTGAATTTACGTCTCTCTCACTTTATAGTTGCTGTTGGCAGAAGGCCTTCCGCCCAGAGTCTCAATAGGTGAAGTACCGAGAGTACCTACTGGAAGCAGGCTGTTACTGCATGTAGTGAGGTCCGTCACTGTGGGTTTCCGCTTTTGATCACTAACTTCAGCCAGGTCTTGCCGTGCGTGCCCACTGCCCACTGCCCAGAGCTGGTGTCACGTAATCGTGTATTGTACCGTACAGTACCTTACATATTACAGCGCAGTTCAGAAAGTGGGGCTTGGGCTCCACTCAAACTAGGACTAAGTGCTTGAGGCCTAGACGCGCTACGCGCTGGTCCTTGCCGTGGAAACGCGTCTTTGATGGCAGCCGACAGCTTTGTTTGATCTCGCAAATTTGAGAGCTTTCTGTGTTGACACTCATTTCGAGGTACTGCTGTCCTCGCTCATCCTTCGACGTCAAATATTGGAGGACCACAGTGTCCGGGCTCAGAAATGCCCTCGCGAACCATCAGTCACGCCGAGGCCGAGACCTCGCGAAAGCGAGTGCGACGGCCAACTGTCCACGATGACGACGACGACGACGACGACAGCGATGTCGAAGTCCAGCAATCAAAACCAAAATCACAAACAGATCCAGTAAGTGCCAGGCTTCGATGAAACATCTGCCCCCAATGCTCCATGCTGACATGGCAAACAGCGGAAACGGGTGCGACTTTCCGATATCAACGATGACCGCCCGTCTAAACGCGGGTCTTCACCTGCGTCATCCGATACAGATACAGCCGAATGCGACTCTGGCGAGCCTGCACTGCCGCCAACTCCACAAAAGTCTCAGTATGAACTAATGCGAGACGGCAATTTCGAACATCTCCGACACGAAGCCGTGGATGACCAGCGTGCAACGCAGCGGCTTCGCTTCCGGCCTACCCTCCTTGGGGACAATGCCATTGCGGATAACGGCATCATTGAGAGTGTTACGTGCATTAACTTCATGTGCCATCAGCGTCTCCACTGCGAGCTCGGTCCACTGCTCAACTTCATCGTTGGGGAGAATGGTAGCGGCAAGAGCGCTATCCTAACCGCAATCACCCTGTGCCTCGGCGGCAAGGCCAGTTCGACCAACCGCGGCGGCAGTCTGAAGAGCTTTGTCAAAGAAGGATGCGAACGTTCCATACTCGCCGTCAAACTTAAGAATCGCGGCCAGGACGCCTACAAGCCTGACATTTACGGCGAATCCATCATCGTGGAGCGCCATTTCTCCAAATCCGGCGTCAGCGGCTTTAAGGTCAAGTCTGCTCTAGGTCAGATTGTGTCAATTAAAAAGCAGGAGGTCGACGATATCGTCGAGTACTACGCACTGCAGGTCGACAATCCCTTGAACGTACTTTCCCAAGACAACGCCCGCCAATTCCTGAACGCGTCCACCAAAACCCAAAAGTACAAATTCTTCATTGAGGGCGTCCAGCTTCAGCAACTAGATAACGACTACAGGCTGATTTCGGAGAGCCTAGAGCAGATGGTGGCCAAAATCCCAGAGCAGGAGGAACGCGTCAAGCACGCCAAGGAGGTCCTTGAGAAAGCGAAGCGGATGAGAGAGGACCTGGAGGGCGACAGGCAAGCCCGACTTAAACTCCGCACGTTGCGCTTTCAGTTGGCCTGGGCGCAAGTCGTCGAGGCGGAACAAGAGCTCAAGGACAAGGAGAAGGCCGTGGCCGAAGTCGAAATGAGGGTCGCCCAAGCTCAGAAGGAAATGGATGAAAAGAACAAGGCCCTTGAGGTTGCCGATAAGATGGTTGAGAAAGCCCAGGAAGAGCGGCGTCGCGTCGGAGAAGAGGGTAACGAGATCCAACGGCGGGTGGAGGATGCCAGCGACAACTATTACAAGCTGAAAGCCGAGTTGCACCGCCTTCGCTCTGAGGAGCGCGATGCACGCGAAACCCTGAGGATCAAAACGGCGAACGTCAAGGCCACCGAGAAAAAAATTGCCGAAGAGGAGCAACGTCTGGAGGCGGACAACGGCGAGGAGACTACCCGCTTGTTGCGAGAGCGGGATGGAGCGCAAGCAGCTGTGGAGGCTATCGAACAGGAGCTCCAAGAGACTAAAGATCGAAAGCCAACGCTCATAAAAAACGAGGAAGAGACCAAGGCTAATCTGGAAAAAATTGCCGAAGCTATCCAGCCGAAGACATTGGAGATAAAACGCCTTGAGGAGAGAATCGGGACCATTACCGAAGCTCGTACCTCACTCTACGAGGGATACGAGGCAGGGATTCCTAGTCTCCTGAAGATGATCGAGAGCAATGAACAAAACTTCGAGCACAAGCCGATTGGGCCCATGGGGAGTCACATTCAGTTGCTCAAGCCCGAGTGGGGTCCGGTCTTGGAGAACACACTCGGCAGCATTCTGAACGCCTTTCTCGTCACAAACAGGCGGGACGAAAAGACATTGCGGGCTCTGATGGACCGAGTCAATATCAGGAACTGCACCATCCTTATATGCAACCGGCATTCTCTCAACCTGGATGGCAAAGAGCCTGACCCGGAATATGATACCATTCTTCGAGTGCTCAAGTTTGATAACACGATGGTGAGGGACCAACTCATCATCCACCAGGCGATTGAGCAAGTAATCCTAGTTCCTGAGCGACACCGGGCTCAACAGATCATGTTCGACGGCGCCCCGCCGCGGAACGTCAAGGCTTGTTTGACGTGGAACGAAGGCAAACGTGGCGAGGCTCTGCGCTTAGTCAACAACAACAATAACAACATCTCGTCTTCTCCGGTCCGGCCGAATCCGCATCAGAGACCTCGGATGAAGACGGACTCGCAGTCACAGCTTGCCTTCTTGCAGGAAACGCTGTCGCAGACACAGGCCGAGCGCCGGGCGCTTGAGGCTGAAAGAAGGCGCCTCCAACAACAGTACCAGCGTTGCCTGGCGGAGAAGTCTAGCCAGGAAGTTCACATTAAAAGACTGGAGGCGGACCGTAGGAAAGCAGAACTTGCTGTCGACCAGATTCAAGAGAAACTGGACGAGTTTGATGGGTCTGACAGCAAATTACAAGCCTTGAAAGAGGATCTGAGAGAACTCAAAGAGTCGGAACGCCACGTCGGGATCCAGTTCGGCATATTGCATAGTCAGACAGAAGCAAAGGCCGCAGAAATGGAGGAGGCGCGCATAAAGCACAAGGAAGCGAAAGCGGAGGCCAGGGACTATGAGGAGCGTTTGACGAAAGCCGAGAAAAAGCTCCAGAAGGCCGAGGGCGTACGTCGCGTACGCCTCATCGAGAAGAATGAAATCATCGCGACAGAGGCCGAGCTTGCCGTGGAGAAGAAGGCTAAGGAAGACAAGCGCAAGAGGCGACGGGAGGTTGTTGAGGAGATGACGAAGGGTGCCCAGAAGATAAGCCCGGAGCGTGTTTACATTCCGGAAAATGAGACATATGAGAGCATCGGCAAGCAGTATAACACCCTCCGCAACCGACTGAAACAGCTGGAGAGTAAGCGAGGCATGTCTGAAAACGAGGTGATGGCGTTCTTCGAACAAGCCAAAAAGACCTACGATACGGTCGTCGCGGACCTCGAGTCCAGCAAAAAGGTGAATGACCGTCTCAGGGAGACGCTCAGCCTCCGCCTAGACAAGTGGCGCAAGTTTCAACGATACATCTCGTCGCAATCCCGTGCCAACTTCATCTACCTTCTCAGCGAGCGTGGTTTCCGCGGCAAGCTGCTCCTCGACCACGAGCGCAAGGCTTTGGACCTGCAGGTCGAGCCGGACAAGACGGAGAAGAGAGCGGTGGGCCGCAGCACCAAGACGCTCTCTGGCGGCGAGAAGTCGTTTGCGTCCATCTGCCTGCTCCTGGCCATCTGGGAGGCCATGGGCTCGCCACTCCGTTGTCTGGATGAGTTCGATGTCTTTATGGACAATGTGAACCGGGCGATTAGCACGAATATGCTGGTGAGTTTTGCGTCTACGGGTGATTCAGGGAAGAAGTCTGGTCGTTGACTTGATATGGTTCTAGATCACGGCTGCGCGGCGCTCGGTGAATCGCCAGTACATCTTTATTACTCCCAATGCCATCGAGGGCCGGAACGCGCTTGACAAGGATGTCAAGGTTATCAGGTTTGTCGAGCCCTCTTCGGATTGGTTGTGATGACTTCTGACTGACGCCTTTTACCTAGGCTCACGGATCCTCGTCAGCGGACCCTGACTGATTATTGATCCCTCTGTTTACCCGCCCTTGTTCCAGCTGGATTCGATTCGCTCCGTGTTGATCTATATGTTTGGCTCTTGATGATTGCTTCTACTGAAAGCCACAAGGTTGGCTGCCACTCGGCGTCTCGGCGTCTCGGGAGTGATGGGTGGAAGGCGCATGTCCCAGGTGGGTATGGGAATGGAGGAATTCTTCAGGTTCAGATCGGGCAGCATCTAGATCCCATGTGTTGGTGCGGCGCAAGCTGGGTTCTAGCGGAAAGGTTGTGGCATCTCGCTCGGTCCCTCTTCGTTGTTATAGCATATCTGTATGTATGCAGCAAGGTTCCTCGCTTGCTTGTCCTAAGCTTCTCTTCAAGTATAATACAAGGTTCGCGTGCATTGTACAGTACGATATTACACATGTGTGAGCAGAAAGTTGCCCAACCACCTGATCCATTCATATCCGCACGCCCTTGCTTCGCAGCACGTTGACGGCGGCGCTGGCCGTGAAGCCAAGCCACTCCCCCGCGGAGCGGACCGCGCTGCCCACCTCGGCTGCTTCGTTCAGTCGCCGGCGCAAGAAGGCGCGTGTCTCGCGGAACCCGGGGGACTGGTCGGTGGTCATGAACAGCTCAGCAGCCGCATAGATGGCCGACAGGCTGGCGCGCTTGGTGTACCACGAGGGATCGACCGACACGTCGCCGGCCAGGTACAGGATCTCGTCGGCCAGAAGCGCGAGCTCCTTGAGCGAAGCCGGGACGTATGACGGCTGGGCCATTACCGCGAGGGCCTGGTAACCGTTTAGTTCTTGCTTTGTCCTCTCCCGTATATAAATCGTGAACGTACCTCCTGCAACCGCCCAACCACACCGGCTTCGTCGTTCCCTTGCAGCCGTGCCCAGGCGAGCATCTCAACCCGCTCCGAAACCGTCCTTATACCTCCTCCTATCCCTCCCAAACTTGGTGTTGCTGCCGTCGCATCTTTACTCCCTCCCGGACTCCCGTCAATCTCACTAGCAAAGAGAGCAGCAGCCTTGGCCGCCAGCGCGTTCCGTTGGGTGTACAGGTGCCACCAGATCAGCGCAAACACGCCGCCGTCGGAACCCCCCAGCAGCAAAGAAGGGCTGATGTCGAGCAGCCCGGCATCGCGCGCGCCCAGGGCGAGCGCCTCGCGTGAAAACCCTTGCGCGGCTACGTGTGTGTAGGCGGCGCCTAGCAGGGCTGATTCGGCTGGGGTGAAGGGCCCCGGTGGAGGGGGGTGGTCGTGGGAGTGGTATTGCCTTCTTACCACGTGGTGGTGCTGATGTGTATGTGGGAGGTGTCGGCGGGGGAAGCGGGTGGTGGTGGAGGTGGACGTGGTTATGGATCGGGCGATGGCGGTGGGCTTGTCCCGGTTGACAAAGGGAGAGGTTTCCCGAGAGGGAAAGGCGATCGTGGATCGGGAGGCGGAAAACACGGCACCGGGCCGGCGGAGGGGGAGGAGGAGGACGAGTCGGGATGTGGCGGTGGCTGTTGCGGTTGATGTTGCTGCCGACCCGGCAGAGAGCACCGACAAGGTGCCTGGGCACGGCATGTCGCTTTTGTCGTTTTGCTGCCGCTCCGCCAAGGCTAGGAGGAATTGAGCTGTTTAGGGATGTGGTGCAATTACTCCGTGGATATTTCCGTTCTGCAGCGAACCAGTCGTTGTGAGGCTGCGATGTTCTCAAGCAGCTTAACACGTGCGATGATCAGGTCGGGTGTATCCGTAGTCCGTTTTCGAATAGTGGACGGAGAAATCCATTGGCGTCGTTAGTGAAAAGGCCCTTGCATAACAAAGCCCCACCACAGCTCCACCACCTAAGATGCCTCCCAGACGAGCCCGAATAACCCCACAAACCGACAATTGCTCATCGAGATGGTCAATTGATATCGGGCCGTAATAATAAACGACGTCGCTCGGTCCGTTCGTGTACAATACATTACTCAACTGTCTACACGCAATGCAATGTGCGATTGTCCCCAAAAAGCCTCCTATGTTCTTTGGTTTCTACAACTCTACACTGGGTTGTCAATGGCGATTCTTCTCAGGCAAGGGTAACATGCAGGCCACATTAATGCAGCCAAGTTTGCAGAATGGAAGCTAATGCAAGGAGACAGCAGATCCAGATGTGATATCGGCGCTTGCTGGCCGCTCGACGTGATGAGGCCGGGTCCGGATTGTCGAGGCCTCCCAGGTTGTCCCAATGTGGGATTTTGCGAAGCATGTGTATGTATTCACGTACATACAGTAAAACTGACAGAATCTCCTACATACATACGGCCACTTCAGATCAAAGCCTGCTGAGGAACGACTCAAGATCTCACAATGCCGGCCTCGACAGCCAGTGCCGATCGGGGTACATACCGCTGGTCGCCGGATTCTCCGGATGACCTGCGAGATGCACGCCAACTGCAACTTAGCTAGGGCCCGCAACACCGGCCCAATCCCGCCAACGGTTGCATCACGCTCTTCTTCCCCGGCACCGGGCGGCTCACGCTTCCTCACAATACGTTAATGGCGTGCCGTGATCCGCAAATCCTGCCTCGCATCCTTCCCGGCACAGCCCACTTCACCAGACACCCATTATATACCTCTGCCGGGGTATATTCATGTCATATATTCATGTTACTGCCGGCATACTTCTTGTCATACCCACTTCTTAAGTGTGTCTTCCTCATCGGTGCCCTCTCCGCTCGGATTGAATCCCCGGGCCGCTCCAACCGTCGATTTCGGCTGCCGAGATGGGCGCGGTCAAGAGCGGTCCAGACCCGCTCGCCTGCCCAAGGCCTTCGGATTCATCAACCAACCAGTATCGCTGCGCCCTGCTTCTCTTCGTGGGTCCTCCGCATGCGCCGCCTTATAGCCGAGTCCATCCTGCATTGACCGGTCTCCAATTTATCTTTGGTTGGTTGAAAGTCAATACGGATATCGAGATTTCTCCAAACGGGCTTTGTGAGCCCCTTGTTGCCTGGGTCGAAGAGGGTTGCTCAATAACCCCTTGAGCACGGGATATGGGGCCAGTGAGCCCTCCTGAATGGCCAGCAACCCCGACGTACTTAGGGCAAGTGCAGCAAGAGCAAAATACTATGTTCCTGTACGAGGCATAAAAATTCTCTCATCGGCGGACATGGCTGGCTGGCTGAGCGAGGATGAGAGCGAGGGGATTGGCTGCTCTCCCTCGCTGTGCCCCTCTCCATATGTCGTGGCACCGTACCATGGGGTCTGGATGGTATGTACGCACCAGGGGCGCGTAGGGCAGGCCAATACCAACCACTGCCGCGTTCCCGGATCTAACTTAGCGGCGACATGGTTTGCCCTGCTATCATGGGAGGAATAGCCCCTCGTCTGATGGCGGGGGTATAGTTCAGAACACCTCTGTCCAAAGTCTGCGCAGACGAGGACTGCTGGCAGTGTTGGGAGCCTGCGAGTGCTACCCTCCGACTTGAGAATAAAGGCGGAGTGCAAACAGGGGAAGCTGCAGGATCATGCAGAACGCTGCCGTGGGTCTCACCTCTCTCTGCAGTCCGGGGACCTGATTCGTCTCAAGACGATGAGTAGGTAGCCAGCCTTGCGCAATCATGCCGGTCCCTTACTACGGTATTTTGCGGGTCGAAAGCTATCACAACCCAGGAGTGGCGGCGCTGGATCTAACCTCATGAGGACGGTTCATCAAATGCATGAGGATCGAAGTAGATACCAATACGCCTTTCACTGTGCCGATGCCGAGGTAATTGAGCATGTAACGCACCAAGAAGCCAGCGACACTGCACTTGACCGCCTGGCTGACGCGGAAAAAGCCAGGTCTATCCGTACCTGTTGGTTGTGTCGATAGAGGCATGTCAGATTACAGGCATGCTGCAAAGCTGATATGCGACGCCCTTTCCAATTCTGCAGCCACAAGCTTCTTTGGGTCAATAATCCTAGATTTGGACGACTACAGGAACAAATTGGAACCGCCATGCATATCCCTTACGCCTCCTGGGTGCGAATCCCGGGCTACAGACAAAGCTACGGAGTAGTCTTTGCCGGCCTAGGCAGTGGAATACCTGGACGGGGCAGGCTTACTACCAGGTTACCTCATCTACACGAGGTAGCAGGTCAGTTAAAGATGGAGATTCCGTCACGAATGAATTGTGATAAAGAATTTGGACTCTGGAGGTTGCTCTGGATCGTGATTTCCAGGCCGCGGTCTGGTGGGGCTTTCTGGTGGGGTCGTTTACCCCACCTCGAAGGAATGCTGTGCGTTATCCAGGTCTCGTCTCCACCCAGATTTAATTGCACTTCCAGGGTGCACAAGCCACATGCCACAAGGCCCACTGTTAGTGCAAACCCTTGAATCTCCAAGTGCAAGCTCGCAGCGCAACACCTGCGCAGCTTGAATGCGCAATTAAGCACGTAAAAATACTGCGTTGCATGCTCTTGTTGGAAGAATAGGAGCTTTTAAGGCTATGGTTGTGCACTTAGATTTGAATGAGTTTATAGGAAGTTACACTGTTTCTGCGACCGGGTGAATTTGGTGTAATTCGAGGTTCAGTTTGAAAGTAACAGCTGGCTCGAGCGTCGCGTGCGGCGCCCGAGGGCGGGAAAGCCCCACATGCCCAAAATGGGGGCTGATCAGCGCGACCTGGATAACGCGAGCCGAAGGAATCGCGGCCGACTCAAGTGGATGCTCACCGTTTTGCAAGGCTGGCGGCCGTCAAGGGTGACAAGGCTGCCGCTTGGCAAGAGCTGCCCGGATGGCCCGGTCCCTGGCCTGCACTTTCGGGGCCGATACTGCTCCGGTTTGAAAAGATGAGTGCTTGAGTCTCGGAATGTAAGGTAGAGTAGAAGAATCTGAGATATCCCGTACTATATGCGACACATAACTAATAAGTTAGTGCCTCACCTCTCTACTCCAAGGACATCTTCAACAATGTCCTGTATTAAGAAGCAGACAATATCAAAGTCCTTCGCGATCCAGCTCTCCTAGGCCAGAAAGCCAGAAAGGTTTGACCACATGACGATCGCGCAACTTTTGCCAGCCTGGTCACCCTGTTCCCTTGATTTGGTAGACTCACGATCTGTCTTCGAGATGAGCCACTCCCAGAAATACCCATTGGCCAATGGATGTCTTTCAGGTGCCTGCCATATGGGCTCCGGCTAGTGCCAGACCGCCAGAACGAAGGTACCTGGTAACTAACGGCGGAACACTGCATAGGCGATCTGTAATTGTGTATGCGTACTCCGTAGTAGTCAACTGCTTTGAAATTGCCTATCGTGTCGTCTGATATTTTCAGTTGGCTGTTGCAATTGCCATGTCCGTATCCCTGCCTGTCAGATTCACCATCAGCGAATTTCCGTTCCAAGCCTCCGTTTCCGCTCCCTTGCAAGCCTGACGGCAGGTGGCCCTTGCCCCAACTGGCTAGCGCAGTTCCTTCCACTTGCTCGTCGCACTAGCCAACGAAAAAGGTTTTGCCGACGAAAAGGCCAGCTCCCCCTTCAGCCTACCTGCCTGCAGCCCGCCCGCCCTGGCACGACTCTCATTCACCTCAACCGTCCACAAGCCGTCCATCCCGCAACACGATTTGTGTGGTCACTGGCCCCACAGTCAATTCTCAGTCTTACCGCGGTCGGGCTAGTAGTTTGTACCTTGCTGTCCATACGCGTTTCTCATCAGTCGAGCCCTAGACTCTCGAGTTCCAAGCTGCACGGTACTAACCCGAGCTTCTCATTTGGCGGTCAAACGTATTAACGCGGATATTTTTGCGCTGACACTCATTGCCTTTCAATTCCAGCTGTGCCTCGGGTCGATTTTTGCTGCACCCAGCAGCAGTTCCGGGTTCTGTTTGTCTCGGTTGTGCAGTGCGCCCTCGACTTCCGACTTTTTGGGCGGACGCACGTCTGCCCAACTTGGCTGAGGCTCACCGGTATCCCAGCTCTCAGGGTCCTTTCTCAACCGACTCCGGTGCTCACGTCGCGCAAAGTCGCGCGTCTGTACATACAGTACCTACCTTGGCCCTCACCTGCTGCGGTCCCCCCAAGAAGCCAGCAGTCAGCCAGCCAACCCGCCAACCAGCCAACCAGCCAGCCGGCGATATCCCCAAACCGGCGCTGCTGCAGATTTCAGACACACGCCTAACATCAGCAAAGCACCCAATCGTCATATCGCCGAGATTTTCCCTCCCATCAAGCGGCTAAGTTGGCAGAAAATTTTTCGATTCCTATAATCTGTCATGGGTAAGTGTCCTCGACCCTTATCTCATTCTCCCCTTCTGCCTCGTCCGATCGCCTTCGCGAGCCTCGCATCCCATCTTTTCCACACCAGAGACACCACCAACACGCCAGCCAATCTCGGGACACCTCAGCCGTTATCGTGGGCAGGTTTTTTCAAATTCGTCAGTGACGTGTTACCGCTCTCTTGTAACCCTCAAGGCCTGCCCATTTGGCGTTCTTGTCGATTCCACAAGCCCAGTCGGCGCCGCCGGCGGCTGCTTGTTCGTCAAGCCTCGCACGCGGTTCTTCCACTCACGGAGCTGCGCTACGCTGCAGTGCCTTGCGTCGTCTTGCCCTGCACTGCCTGGTCCCCCCTCCTACATACGACCTACATACATGCACCTTAAGTTGGACCAAAGAGACCCCTCCCTCTTTTCCCTTACACTCCTGCCGCATTGCATTTCCTATCCTTGATCCACACTCGGAATCACTCACTACTACCCCCGCCGCAACACCCTTAAGTGCTACACTCCCTCAAATTGCCACCTTCTTCACATCACTTTCCTCCTCATTCCTCCTCTCTACCTACCAACCTACTTTCCTCTCGCGGGTTTCTTTTTCGACTCTCTTTTTTCTTGTTTCTCGATTGGCTCTAACCACGATTTTCTTCCTGCAGCTGACTCGGGAGACACTTATCGCCCTGTTAAAGTGAGTACCATTTGCTTTCAGATCTTTTTGATATTTTCTCCGAGGCGTAAATTGATCTCGACCTTCCCCGCGCCCTCATCGATCTTGTCTTTGTTGCGGCGCCCTGCGCTTCTGTCCATGTGGGCCGTGCTCAATAGCTACGGGCCGCACCCGACTTGCAGCTCGCTGGGCCCGGTCGGTATCCACACACACACCACTCCAAGGTCGACGTGGATCGGAGGATAGATCATCCCAGGCCGCCAACGCTCAGTGGTATTTTGACGCCGACGCATACCATCGGGACAGCTCGCTTCTGCTAGGCCCGCCGATTGACCTTCTTCGCCTCGATTTCGTTTTCCTTGCCCACTCTTCGACCTGGTCACACACTAACGTTCCATAGCAACGTGAGAGGTCGCGTTCTCCTAGACGGGGACGTTCCCGGAGCCCAAACACACGCCGTTCATATTCGCCCCGCGATCGATCGCGGAGTCGCAATCGAAGAAGGAGTCGGTCTCCCATGACTGGACAGGGCACAGCTACTGGAGGACCAGGTTCAGGATACAGCGGAGCTCCCCACCGGTCGTACGAGGATCGTGCGGCACATCGAGAGCAAGTCATGAACAACATTCGTGAGACGTCGCAGCAGGACCGCCGGGTCTATGTCGGCAACCTGTCCTACGACGTGAAATGGCACCATCTTAAGGACTTTATGCGTCAGGGTGAGTATTTGTGTGATTGGTTGCTACGGAAAAGGTCATGGCTGACGCCGCTGATTTAGCTGGAGAGGTTCTCTACGCCGACGTGCTACTTCTTCCTAATGGAATGTCGAAGGTGGGCGCCTATAAGTGATTTTGGCTGGTTCTTTTGTGGTTCCTCTTCTCTCGGTTATTTGATGGATTGTTGGATTGACGGGTCGGGACGTTGTCCGTGGTGATTTTAGGGATGCGGGTAAGTCTATTCCACGATACGATTCGCAATCTGCCTGCATGTTGCTAATATCTTCCATTCAGAATTGTGGAGTATGCCACGAGGGAGCAGGCCCAGGCTGCCGTTGCGACGCTCAGCAATCAGAATCTCATGGGCAGACTGGTCTACGTCCGAGAGGCAAGTCTATGCAAGAACTGACAATTAGACAGGGTAACTAACATCAAGAAAGGACCGTGAGGCCGAGCCTCGGTTCGGCCCACCGGGCGGAGCCGGTCGCGGCGGCGGATTTGCGAGCGCCGGTATGGGCGGTTATGGGCCTGGCGGCGGCGGCTTCAATGCCGGCATGGCTGGCCCTCCTGGGGGTGGCGGTCGTCAAATCTACGTTTCTAACGTTGGTCGCTTCCTTCCTTGCTCCCCTTTCAAGCATGGTTTGGAATGCTGTATTGACCGTTCAACGTAGTTGCCTTACACCGTCGGCTGGCAAGACCTGAAGGACCTCTTCCGACAGGCCGGTAAGCGAAATGTGCTGCGCCTAGTGTAACGAAGCACTGACGATAATATCTGCAGCCCGCACAGGCGCTGTGATTCGCGCTGATGTCCACCTTGGCCCCGACGGCAGACCTAAGGGCTCCGGCGTTGTGGTTTTCGAAACTCCCGATGATGCTCGCAATGCCATCCAACAGTTCAACGGCTATGACTGGCAAGGCCGCACCCTCGAGGTCCGTGAGGATCGTTTCGCAGGCCCCGGCATGGGCGTTGGTGGGTACGGCCGCGGCGGTTTCGGAGGCGGACGCGGCGGTTTCGGAGGAGGATACGGCCGAGGAGGCTTTGGCGGCCGCGGTGGATTCGGCTACGGAGGCCGCGGTGGGTATGGCGGCGGTGGCGGCGGCGGCGGCTTCGATGCTGGTGCCTCCGTCCCCCCGAACCCTTTTACCGACCACGCCACTGCTGGCGTCGAGAAGTGCGAAACAATCTATGTTCGCAATGTAAGCTCTCTCACATGCTTTCAACCTGGAGGGCCGTCGAAGTTTTTCGTTGTCTGACTGTTTGGCAGCTTCCCTGGTCAACCAGCAACGATGACCTTGTTGAGTTGTTCTCGACTATCGGCAAGGTTGAGCAGGCCGAGATTCAGTACGAGCCCAGTGGCCGGTCGCGTGGCAGCGGCGTCGTCCGATTCGACAACGCAGACACCGCCGAAACGGCGATTGCGAAGTTCCAGGGCTACCAATACGGCGGTCGCCCTCTCGCCCTGAGTTACGTCAAGTACATCACTCCTGGCGGCGGTGACAGCATGGATACCGACCCACACGCCGGCCTCACCCAGGACCAGATCATGTGAAGCTCCTCGAATGGCCTGTTAAACCAGCAGGTTGACTTCAGTGCATGGCTCTGATTCCCTAACAGCTGATGGTTTGGCGATCTCCTTTTCCTGGCCGACTTTTCCTCTATTATCCGTCACTCTGCCACAGTCATGATTTCCTTCCTATTGCCCTCTTTCCTCTTCGGCGCAAAGACAGACGTGTGGGCAGTCACTCGATATGTCTGAGACTGCGACACTAAAACCACGCCAGTCGTGATATTGGTGCTCTTTTCTAGGAGGATAGTTTCGTTTCTAGGTCGGAGGAAGAGAGCAAGACGCCACAAGGCTTGCTCCTCTATTCCTCGGCACCCGGCAAACTCACGAACGGAAAATTTTCTAGCGCGATGTCTTTCTCTCTTTGGGACTCTCCGATCCCTCTGGCACGGTTGAAAATGGAAAATCGGACGGCTCTGACCCTAGAATGTATTGTCGAATAAGCATCTGATTCTCCCGTTGATGGCTGGCGGTGTTCGACGGATTGGCGTCGGGCAGTGGTAGGCGTGTCTGCTTGGTAAAGGTAAAAGTGGTACTGTTGTGTGAGAGCGGGCTGGCCAAGCGCGGTTGGCAAGAGCTTCAAGAGTCTGGTGAGTGAAGTTGCACGCGGCGAAGCGAAGTGTAGGGGTTGTCGGCCGCATCCTTTGCCGGCCGGGAAGTGCGCACGGTGTGTGCATACCTGCCGGCTCTAGGCCCGGGCTTGATCGGCACTGGCGTATCGGTGTCGACGTGCGTTCCTTGGACGGCGGCGGTTTGTGTTTTGCGCGCGGATAAGGTACTCGCCATACCCTTCTTCCACTTAAGGCCCGGATCCCCCTTCTTATTTTCCCCCGCTTCCTGGTCGCCTTTGGGCTCTTGGAGTTGGTTGAACAGGGTGCTGCCGGCCGGCGCCCCCGTCCCTTTTCTCCGCTGTTATCCCCAATGATTAAGTTGGTCTGAGCAGTGGCCCGGGGCCGTTGGGTTGGCTTCGCCGCGAGCTCTAAGATCAATGAGCATCTATCAGCCTGGTTGACTAACTGACTGACTGACTACGGCTGCCCGTCTTGCTGGCAGGGCGTGTGTGTGTGGGTTCCATGGTAATTTGGCCCGCTGGCGGAAATGCTGCTGTTGCTGCTTACCGCAGTCAGTCGGACGTTCAGCTAGGTGGTCTAATGTAGTATCTAATTGTCTAGTGTAATCATCGATCATCTTAGATACCTTGGCCTACAGGAGCTGGCATACTTCGTTTGAGGCTGCGCTGCGAGCAGCGGCAAGGCAGATAGACCACGTAGATAGAATTCAACAAGGTGATTGATTGATGTCAAGTGTTGCTTGTATTGTTGTGTCCTTTGACAAGATAACCTACCTTACCTTACCTAGTGTAAGGGATCTACTGGCTGAAGGGCTATTCCAGGTTGTTTGTGTTTCTGTTTCTGTTGCAGTGTCTGTGCCTGTTTCTGCCGGCGATGGGCGAGGGAAGATCAGTAAGCTGAGGTTTTGTTCCGGTGTCAGGGAAGCTCGTAGGGACGGCTGTACCACCTTCCATGTTGGCATAATGTACTGTACATACATCGTGTGTTGCTGCTGTTGCCCTCTCCACCCTGGGTATTGTACAATACCTACCTGTCAGTGCAGCAGTTGCTATTCCAGGTCTCATTTGGGTCTGGTCCCCAGGCAAGGAACAGGTTCTTAGGAAGAGAGCGGATGGGGCGGGAAGGAAGGTTTGAGTGTATGGAAATCAGTTGACGGTGCGATTGGGCTGTCTTAACCTCTCCAACTGTGTGGGTGAGACAAAGACAGAGTTCTGCTGTAAAGTGGTCTCGGCCGTGATGTTTCGGTCTTGCCGTTGTGTTTCGGTCTGGCCGAGGAGACTGTGATCCCTACCTCAGGGGCCTCCGGGAGATGCGCCATTGACAATTGGTCGCAGATGTTCTGTACCCTTAGATGGTATCCATCTTCTGCTGACTGGCCGGCTGCTGGAGAAAGTATGAAGCTGCCTTGTTGACCAAGGAAGGCATTGTCGATAATGTGTTGTCAACTTGCAACACTCCCTGCCGGGTAAGGTTGGGAACTTGTTCGATACCTCTACCATCAGCAGGTTCTGTTAAGAGTGGTAGTCGAGAGGATGAATTTAACATGAGAAATTTTGGCTGCACTAACAGAGCACCCAGTCTCCCAAGGTACTCGAACCATATGGATCTGGGCGGTGATTCCAAGACCTGGTACAGTAAGTGGGGGGTTCCTACCTGGACTGGCAACGGAGCGAAGACAGCCAGCCAGCGTAAGGAGCACAGGTATGGTCCGTTGCTATAAGTAATAGGGCGCTGATAAATACTGGTATATTCAATTCTCTTTGAGCAAGACGATGTTATTGAAGCCGGGCTGGGCCGGCATGCTGTGTTTGTCACCACACTCGGCGGGGGTGAACGAATGGGGACTGGTCTCTCTGGCTTATGGTCCATCGACATGAGGCATGAGGCGTCCGTTCTGGAGTCTGATGAATACGGCGGCTTGCAACGATAGATCCGGCCATGGCAGGCCACTGATACAAGGAGCTGGTTCTCGACACTGTATTGAGGACGCAGAGAAGATCAAGGCGTGCGTACCTCCGCCACTCGCACTCAGTACGGCGAAGGGTAATAAACAGGTAGAACTAGGCCTGATTTCGCTTGCTTTCAAGAGTCGGCATGGGCTGTGGACAACGTGAGTAGCAGCAGTCCTGGCGAATGGCAGGCCAAGAGATGTTCGAGTGCCTCCAGGAACAACGGCAATCATAGAAATCTCGTGATCTCATTCTCTTTCTTGGGTCCCCTAGGGCAAGGATATCCCTCCTGCCGTGCTCGCGCTGCAAACGGACATGACTGCCAGGCTGCATACAACCTCCCGGTGCTCCCGACAGAATTGACGGTCCTCACCCCGTGCCTTGATATAGACAAGGCAAGTTCCCCGACATCCCGAGCCCGGGGTAAAAGCTGCCCATATAGCCGCCTAGAACACTAGGCCTTTAACAACCAAAAGATACTTTCTTTCCCCAAACTCGCGCAGGGCACTAACCGATCGATCTGCCAAACCCTCAGCCATCAGAATCTCAAAGACGGCCCGCCAGGGTCCACCGGCATTCATTCCTCCACCACCAGCCTGGTTAACCCCGACATCAACCGGAAAAGCAAGCAAACCTCCACTCATTCAACCTTACTTAGCCCGGGGGCCAAGAGCCTTTTTCAAAGATGCAGCGCCATCCCGGTCATTTCGCCTCACTCCTAGCCCTAAGCCTGTGCAGCAGCACTAGCAGTGCCGCCGCCGCCCTTCCTCTTGCGGGCCTTGGCCTTGCGCTTGGTCCGGTCGCGGGGCTTGAGCGCCGACATGCCTGCCTTGCAGGCCTCGGCGTAGCGCGCGTAAAAGGCGTCGAGCTCGGCCGGCTGCACCACCGTCGACAGTTTCACCTTGGACGCGCGCCGCGGCTTGGACTTGCCGTTGGTCGCGCGGATGAGCAGCGGTAGCGGCTCGGGTGGGTGGAGGTCTGGGAAGGTGTTAATCGATAGTGATGCTGCTGATGATGATGGGGGTGCCGTTGATGATGATGATGATGATGATGATGGGCTGGTGGTGGAGGTTGGTTGTTGGGGGTAGGTTACTTTATGGTCGGTATGTTAGTTCACGTAGACAAATTAGGGGAAAGGGGCAGGGAGAGGGAATGGAGATTGACGAACGTCGTTTTTGGGTCAGGTAGACTGCTCCGTGGGCCTTGGTCTTGGTTGTTGTGAAGAGGTCGGTGAGTTTGGAAAAGAACTGGAGTTTGAATCAAGGAAGTTAGATGGCTTGCGAGGGATCGTGATCAAGGGAAAGGCTTACCTCATCATGTGTTAAGTGGCCCATCTTGGTGAGATGTTGATGTCTTGGGAGCAGATGGGGAGAGCTTTGAGTTGGGTGTCGTTTTGTGAGGCAGGACGTGGTCCCCGCTTGTCGTCGACTGACCAAATCTCAATAATTTGGGACCAGTTCACAAAATTTGAATCAAGACACCTTTTTCCGAGCAGAAATCGAATATGGAATTTCAACTTCTCCAAATCGATGGATATTCCCATGCTACTCTGCTGAGGTCCGCTTTTGATTCGACTTTCCTTGCTTGCTGTGGTTGCTTCCTGGTGATATCTTAATTGCCAGGGGTTGGTGCACTTGGTGGATCTTGGACATCTCTTGGCGTTCTGGACTTCAAGCCCCACCAATCGCTATCGATAAGAACAAAAAGTCCAGATCGAGATCGCGACAACTCCTGGAAAGAAGAGCAATGCGAAGAGCGGCACTACTTTTACGCTTCAAACGGCCTCCAGAGCTGGATCTGGGTGTTTTATAACTTCTTCAAAGCACACATCGATAATCGTTGCTCAGTTCGCGGGACCCCGGCCAGCAGAACATTGAAAAAGGTGCTCCCTCGCGGCAATCTAACAAAAAGCACTCGGCCTGGGGAGCCGTGCTTGCCCCTTCCTCTTACCAGAGCCTTACCAGAGCCTACCCCTAGCACGGCAGAATGCCACCACGAGGGACACTGAAGAAGCCAACCCTTCCGCCCCAGCTGTTGAAAGAGCTCGGCGCGTCAGGTGAGCGACGACAGGTAGCTAGTACGAATGCAAACTCTTGCTTACCCGGTACAGATTCGAAGTCGGGGCAAAGACGCGGACATGGCAGAGGGGAGGTGGCATCCCGGAAAGAGCGCCGTAAAGCCGAGAGGAAGCAGTCCAGAGCCAATCGTGCTACGGCTGTCCGAAGCCATCACACCGGGCGCGACGGTTCAAACCGCAACACCAATAACCCAAACACTGAGCCGACAGTCCCTAGCGGTAGCAAACCATCGGCAACAGTACAATCCAAGCCTCCACTGAAGCGGAAAAGGGACGAACCCGAGGAGGAAGACGTCGAGTCGGATGATTTTGACGACGAGATCGGCCAAGATGACGAAGATGCGCTCTCAGACGGGGTGCTTAATGAGTATTCTGAGGACAATGAGGATGGAGACAGCGGAGAAGACGATGACGACGACGACGACGACGACGACGTAATGGACGCACCTCCTAAGAGAAACGTGTCGAAAACGGTCAAGGACAAGCTTGCGCAAGATGATGCAGAAATCGCTGAACTAGAACGGAAACTCGGTCTGAGGAATCGGAAAAAGTTACCGCAGTCATTCAAAGAGGATGGGCTCGGTGACCTTCTAGACGGTCTTGACGGAGGCCTCGATGAGGAGAAACAAGAGAAGAGGAAGCGCAAGGCAGAAGCGGACGATTGGCTCGCTCAAAAGCGGAGAAAGGCCGAAGCTGCTCTAGCCGCACAAGCAAAACATGATCGAGATCATGACGAAAGTGGTGAAGATTTCGAAGGCTTTGACGACTCAGACGAAGATATGCATGGCATGGATGATGAGGGTACAGAGGACGGGGGATCCGAGAGCGATGGAACCGGCAATGACGGCTCGCAAGGGAGTCAGGAAGGATTCGAAGAATCAGATTCGGAAGAAGAAGACGCTGTCGCCAATATTCCGGAGAAGCGAATACGCGAGAACCCATACGTTGCCCCCTCGACAGGGCGGACTACGAAATACGTGCCTCCATCATTACGCAAGGAGTCCGGGTCCGACACTGAACTAGCGACCCGCATTCGCAGACAGACACAGGGTCTGGTGAACAGGATAACCGAATCCAACATGCTGAGCATCATTGGGGACATTGAGAAGCTGTACCGAGAGTATCCTCGGCAACATGTTACCTCTTCGCTGGTCGATTTGCTGCTGATCCAGGTCTGCGACCCAACGAGCCTGCCAGACACACTCCTCATTTTGACGGCCGGCTTTGCCACGGCTGCTTACAAAGTGCTCGGAACCGACTTTGGAGGTCAGCTCATCCAGGAAGTGGTGGAGCGGTTCCAGAATTACTACGAAGAAGCCAGGACTGCTGCTTTGGAGCGGCCAGATGTACCGAAGCAAACATCAAACCTCATCACATTCGTCTCAGAGCTCTACAATTTCCAGCTCATCGGGCCCAATCTGGTTTTTGATTACATCCGCATGCTGCTGGAGAGCCTTTCGGAACTCAATGCCGAGCTACTGCTTCGTATCGTGCGAATGTGCGGCCCTGCTCTCCGGCAAGACGATCCTATGGCGCTAAAGGACATTGTTTCATTGATTCCCCCGGCCGTTGCCAAAGCAGGCGAAAAGAACCTCACGGTCAGGACGAGATTCATGATCGACACGATCACCGATTTGAAAAACAACAAGATGAAGGCCGGCGCGGGCGCTTCGGCGGTCATCTCGGAGCACACCACTCGGATGAAGAAGCTCCTTGGCCAGCTCAAGTCAAGAAAGCTCAAGGCAACGGAGCCCATGCGAATGGGTCTAAAGGATATTCAAGATGCGGATAAGAAGGGTAAGTGGTGGCTAGTGGGTGCGAGCTGGGCAGGAAGGCCGTCCGATGAGAAGGCTGCAAAAAACGCAGCAGGTTCCGACAAACACGACAGTGATGACGAGAGCATTGTCTTGGATGATGTAGAGGATGGCCCGGACCTAGGTGAGCTGGCTAGGGAGCAGGGCATGAACACCGAGGTCCGGCGATCCATCTTCATTTCCATCATGTCAGCCATGGACTACCAGGACGCCTACTTCCGGATCCTCAAACTCCGGCTCAACAAGGAACGCCAACGGGAGATAGCGAACGTCGTGATCCGGTGTGTCGGTGCAGAGCAGCATTATAATCCCTACTATACGCTGATAGCCAGGAGGCTCTGCTCGGAGCAGCGCGAAGTCAGATGGGCGTTCCAGTCGAGCCTCTGGAAGCTATTCGGGCGGATGGGCGAGTCCGGTTTCGGCGACGAGGACGAGGAGGTGGACGAGGAGGAAGACGAGGCGGTGGCGATGAGACGCCTGGTCAACACGGCGAAAATGTTTGGGGCACTCGTCGCGGGCGGAAGCTTGGGGCTTGTCGTGCTCAAACGTCTGAACCTCCTGTATCTGCAGAAAAGGACACGGGATTTCGTCGAGATCATGCTCGTCACTACCCTACTGGAATGCCAAGGCGGCGAGAGACCGGACGAGGCCATCACAAAGGTGTTTTCGGCGGTCGACTCGGCCCCTGACTTGGCCAGGGGTCTGAAGTACTTTCTTAAGAAGGTTGTCCGCAAGACTGACCTGGCTGGCGGGAAAAAGAACACGAGGCTTGTCCGGGACGGATGCAAGCTGGCCGAGGCAGCGGTTGAGAGCGCATTGGCCAAGGCTGAGGAGCTAGTATGATGAGGTCGAAGGGCGAAAGGCGAAGAGCGAAGACATTTGGCGCGTCGAGGAGCATACCTAAGTGAGCTAGGTGCTCAGGCAAAGGGCGTTTACACCGAGGCGAAAATGATGTCACGGAAAGAGGACATTTTCAACTGCCTAGGTAGAGCATGTAACTACCTGACTTTACCATTTTATCTATAGAGATACCCAGGTATTGATGCCATTTGGATGCTGCTCTCCAAAAGTCAACTATGAGCATAATCACGTAAGCAGTCGCATCCTTCAGTTCGGAGATTCAGCAGCGGCTGCTCGAACGTTCCCTGGGACTACAGGGGCAAAGGAACGGCAGTGGCCATGTGGTGACCTACACGACGGAAGAGTGCGGCATTTGGCGGCATTGTGGGTTCCGATGACGGCCAGGTCCCGGACAGGGCCGGAGGCTGACGGGTTGACACCGGAAACTGGGAAAATTTATAGCGGTCTCGCGGCCAAGCCACTGCAAAGTGCAAACAGTGCAAAGCACCCCCTGACCAATCCCCGGCTTAAGCTTGGACGAATTGATTGGAGACGCTTTTTTTCCGTGACAACAGCGCCTCAAGCAATCCCCAACAAACTTTCAGCGACACATCCGCCACGAATTCTCGACGCAGCGTATCTTGCGCCGGACATTCTCTGGGCAGTTACTCTCTTGCCTTTCTTTTGCGCCGCCAATTTCGAGACCGTTCCAGCAGCCAAGATGCTGTCACAGAGATTAATAGGCCGGGCAGCGGTCAAGTCTGCGTTTAGGCCGTCAGGGTAAGGACCGTTCCAGCTCCATGCGCAGAAAATGACTCTGGTGGCTGACTTTGGGTCCCTGCATCAAGGCTACCCTCAATTGTCCCTGCATCCAGATGGAGGAGGACGTATGCGACAGAGGCTGGTTAGTAGTGGCGAAGGAGGTTTGGATTGGCTCTTACGGCTGACTTGCTGTGTGCAGAGGAGAGAGACCTCGTCATCATCGGCGGCGGTGTCGCCGGCTACGTCGCCGCCATCAAGGCTGGCCAGGAGGGCATGAAGGTAAGACAGGACGGGGGAACGCAAAATCTGCCAGATAGCAACAAGGAGCTAAACAGTCTTGGACAAACAGGTCACATGTATCGAGAAGCGCGGCGCACTCGGCGGAACCTGCCTCAACGTCGGCTGCATCCCGTCAAAATCGCTCCTCAACAACTCGCATCTCTACCACCAGATCCTGCACGACACAAAACACCGAGGCATCGAGGTCGGGGACGTCAAGCTCAACCTGAAGCAGCTGATGAAAGCGAAAGAGCAGTCGGTCTCGGGCCTGACCAAGGGCGTCGAGTTCCTGTTCAAGAAGAACGGCGTCGAGTACATCAAGGGCACGGGCTCGTTCCAGGACGAGCACACGATCAAGGTGCAGCTCAATGACGGTGGCGAAACCAGCGTCGTGGGCAAGAACATCCTCATCGCGACCGGCAGCGAGGTCACTCCCTTCCCGGGCCTCGAGATTGACGAGAAGAGGGTCATCAGCAGCACGGGCGCCATCGCTCTTGAAGAGGTGCCCAAGAAGATGATTGTCATTGGTGGCGGCATCATTGGTCTCGAGATGGCGTCGGTGTGGTCGCGGCTCGGAGCCGATGTCACCGTGGTTGAGTATCTGGACGTGATTGGTGGGCCTGGCATGGATACCGAGATTGCCAAGAACATCCAGAAGATCTTGAAGAAGCAGGGCATCAACTTCAAGACGAGCACCAAGGTCGTCAGCGGCGAGAAGACAGGTGACGAGGTCAAGGTCCAGATCGACTCTTCCAAGGGCGGCAAGCCCGAGACGGTGGGTTCTTTTTCTCATTATGTCCCAAGTTATAGAATATCTTGGGGCAGAAGCTGACCATGGCACAGCTCGAGGCGGACGTTGTCCTCGTTGCGATTGGCCGTCGCCCGTACACGGGCGGTCTCGGCCTTGAGAAGATCGGGCTCGAGCTCGACGAGCGCGGCCGCGTCATCATCGACTCGGAATACCGCACCAAGATTCCCCATATCCGGTGCGTCGGCGACGTCACTTTCGGCCCCATGCTGGCGCACAAGGCCGAGGAGGAGGCCGTGGCGGTGGTGGAGTACATCAAGAAGGGCTACGGGCACGTCAACTACGGGTGCATCCCCGCCGTCATGTACACGTTCCCCGAGGTTGCGTGGGTGGGGCAGTCGGAGCAGGACCTGAAGAAGGCGGGCATCAAGTACCGCGTTGGCACGTTCCCGTTCAGCGCGAACTCGCGCGCCAAGACCAACCTGGACACGGACGGCATGGTCAAGATGCTCGCGGACCCGGAGACGGACCGGCTGCTGGGCATCCACATCATCGGCCCCAACGCCGGCGAGATGATTGCCGAGGGCACGCTGGCGCTAGAGTACGGCGCCTCGAGCGAGGACATTGCGCGCACCTGCCACGCGCACCCGACGCTGGCCGAGGCCTTCAAGGAGGCGGCCATGGCGACGCATTCCAAGCCGATCCACTTTTAACGTGTGAGAGGGCGCAAGAATCTGGGCGTGGGCTTTCATGTGTACTCCTGTAACTGTAGTTTTGTTTTCCCTTTCGTAAGGCATTGCAGTATTGGTAAATGGACTCGGCCAGCCGGCAAGGCAGCTTCAAGCACTACATAATTCTGTTTTCATTGCAGGCGAGCGACGGAAGCAGCGCCGTCTTGGCTGCCGTTTGTTGCCGAGGAATAACTACGGTTTACACATAGAGCATGGATGGGTTTCACATGAGGCTACGGTATGGCATCTCGCAGCCAGATAGTTATAGATTTGAATTCATGGTACAGTAGTTATTGCATTGATCAGGTGAAGGGTGAAATACCTAAGGTAACGTATCGTAACAAACAAAGGCCCCCTATTCCCTACCAATTGTCAACTCCTTCAACAACACGTGGATAGACAGGACTCGGGAGAGTCTCATTGCCAAGCCCATGTAAGTTTGTAAGTTGAAGGTAGTGTCAAACCCTAACCCTTTCTGTACAATCATCACGTTAATTTCACCTGCCCCTTGCAGGTTCCGCTCCTTCTCCTTGGCGATCCATTTGATGATCGTACCACAATTCGAGCCAGGCACCGTGCAACCTACGGTCTGTCCAGAACTTCCACTCAGGTCTCTAGTTACCTTACCTTACCTGTGTTCATACATGCCACCAGGTGGGCATGTCGCGAATCTTTGACGACAGCAGGCACTCGCTGAATTGAACCGGAATAGCTGTTCACGGCAACTTTCACTAACTTACTTTACAACCGTTGTTTTGCGTTGTTTGAACCGACTCGGAGACTCTCTTGAGAGCATCAATCTGTTGTTTGTCCTTCTCGCCCCTACTACCGGTATTTGCTTCGCCAACCATACCTCACCTACCTCACTCATCCCCGGCACAACACGTCTGTGAGGGGAGCTGAACTGGCGGGCGGTGAAGGGAAAACGCAGTGAGCGCCATGGCTCAGGCAAAGAACCGGATCGGTGGCCGGACATACCCCGTCCTCTCGCGGCGCGAGATTGAGGCCCAGATCGCCGAGGGAAGGAAACTCATCATTGTCGACCAGCATGTGCTCAAGGTGGACGGCTGGCTCAAGTACCACCCGGGCGGTGACAAGGCCATTATGCATATGGTAGGGAGGGACGCGACGGATGAAGTGAATTGGTGAGATTCGCTTTATTTTTGGTTCTCTTTTTTCACATGATTTTTTTCCTGCCGAACTCACCGGGGGTGGTCTATCGCTAACTTGGGAGAACAGCCTTCACTCCCCAGAGGCCCGCCTCATGATGGACAAGTACCGCATCGGGAGGATCGAAGGACGCTGGAAGAACTTCCTCCCGCCTATCCAGGGCGGCAAGTTTCGGCCGCGGCTTAGTGATGGGGAACAGGAGGAGGAGGAGGAGGAGGAGGAGTATGACCGAGGGCTGTTTCCGCAGCTGGCTAGGTCAGAGGCCACGGCGTCGTCGAGTGCTTCCGCTTCACGCTCGCCCTCCCCAGTGTTTGACTCCCATAAGGCTGAGACTGGTTCTGGCCTCCGTAACCGCCTAGCCGCAGGCCAGGGTTCGCCATCTGCCACGTCCCTCTCGTCGGTCGACGATGCGGCGCCGGAAGGGCCGATTGACGGCATGGCCCACTTGGATGTGCTGACGCGGAAAGAGATCAAGCTCGACCTCGCCAAGTACCCGCCCCCAGATCCGGCCGTGCAAGATGCCATCGTGGAGAAGTACCGTCTTCTGCATGAGCGCATCAAGGCCGAGGGCCTTTACGACTGCAACTACTGGGCTTATGCCGTCGAATCAGCGCGCTATGTCACCTTTTTCGGCCTGATGGTTCTTTTCCTTCGGTGGAAATGGTACGCAGCCAGCGCCTTTTTCCTCGGCGTCTTCTGGCACCAGCTGGTGTTCACGGCCCACGACGCGGCGCACATGGGCATCACGCACAACTTCCAGATCGACTCGCTAATCGGCGTCTTCATTGCCGACTTTCTCGGTGGCCTGTCGATCGGCTGGTGGAAGCGCAACCACAACGTGCACCACATCGTGACCAACTCGCCCGAGCACGACCCCGACATTGAGCACATGCCCTTTTTCGCCATCTCGCACCGCTTCCTGGGCAGCCTGCGGTCGTCGTACTACGAGCGCGTCATGGAGTACGACGCGGCCGCAAAGTTCTTCATCTCGCTGCAGCACCACCTGTACTACATCGTCCTGCTCTTTGGACGCTTCAACCTGTACCGGCTGTCGTGGGTCTACCTGATCATGGGGCAGGGGCCTCGGAAGGGCGCGGCGGCGTGGCACCGGTGGGTCGAGATCGCCGGGCAGGTGTTTTTCTGGACCTGGTTCGGGTACGGGGTGTTGTACAAGAGCATCGACAGCAACTGGTCGCGCTTCGTCTATGTCATGGTCAGCCACATGGTGACGACGCCGCTGCACGTGCAGATCACTCTCTCGCACTTTGCCATGAGCACGGCCGACCTGGGTGTCGGCGAGTCGTTCCCGCAGCGCATGCTGCGCACCACCATGGACGTCGACTGCCCGCCCTGGCTCGACTTTGTGCACGGCGGGCTGCAGTTCCAAGCCATCCACCACCTGTTCCCCCGCATCCCCCGGCACAACCTGCGCAGGACGCAGCGGCTGGTGCAGGAGTTTTGCGACGAGGTGGGTATCCCCTACGCCCTGTACGGCTTTGTCGACGGCAACAAGCATGTTGTTGGCCGCCTCGCCGACGTCTCGAGGCAGGCGGCCATCTTGGCAAAGTGTCAGAGCGTGTTGGCTGGGGCTGGGACTGGGCATGGGCATCACCACTGAGCTTACACGTACTACACTAACGTTAGTGTACTACTGTAAAGTTTGTGGTGTTGGAAGAGGTACTGATCTTAGGTTGGAGGATTTGGTTAATCACAATGTGCTGTTTTTCTTTTTTTGGCCTGTGCTATTACACTGCGTCTCGTCTCGTGTGAAGGCATCTCCCCCCAGGCCCTTCGGGCTGTCTGCTCCGGATCGTGGCAGAGATCCTGTCACCGCCATTCTGTGCCTTGGTGGCGATGGTGTTCACCTACGATGTTTTATCGACGCGGACGCTGGATGCAACAGACAAAGTACCTAGGTAGGTTTAGCCTATGAGTGCACATTAGGCCCTCCTATGACATCCCAAGTCTATCCTCTCAGGCGGGAGCCAAGGCACTGGATCAGCCCCTCCTTTTCCATTGCATCCTTCGCATGCAATGCTACGCTAGCAGACGCAGTGCTACTGCCGCTCCATGCGTCCGCGTTCCTTTTAACCATGGACTCGGTTCCGATTCCTTGTTCCTCCCAATTACGGAGTAGTGGTCCTTAATTATTGTTTGATGCCCCAGACAGACCAGGGAGCGGCACAACAAAAAAAAAGAAAATCCAAGCTGATGCTCAAGGGAGCTGAACAACACAAGTAGCGTTGCCGAACCTGCTCATAGTTTATCTCGGCCCGTTCCTGGTGGTGTTGTGCACGGCAACTTGAACCGACTACAACAGCAACTGATGTTAACTAGGTAGTACTACTTATCTCATCCAAAGTGCCTAGGCTCGAGCATACACTGTGTAGATCGCTACTCACAATGCAATAGGTAGATCGGATAGATAACGCTGGACCATCTTTACACTCTACGCTACTTTCCATCTCTTCTTTCACAGCTCTGATCAAAGTCCCATCCCAGCCCGGCATTCAGTTCCCGGCCTGCTCCCCCACTCCCGGTCAGCTTCGGTTTGGGCGAAGTCGCTCGCTGACTTGCATCAGCTAAGTTCCCCCGGCCACTCTTTCCCCCCAATGAGATTCTGAAGCGCCATCATGCCCATGTCGACAACAACACCCATGTTCCTTGCTGGCTTAACTTAACTCAACTCTTGCCTCGAGGACTCAAGTTATTTGTAGGTACTTGTACCATAGACGTCACCGAGTGGGAACCCGGCCAAACATGGCTTCTCTCTGGTTTGCTTTGCTTTGTGGAGACCGCTATCTCAGATGTCGTGATCACGGGTCTTGCCGACAACACCAAAAGAAACGTGGGGAGAGCTGGACATCAGACTGCAGAGGCCCAACAAATTACCGGCGTACCGTCAGCTTTGGGAATTGCGGCGAGTGGCCATATGCGCTGTGTGTATCTTGGCTTGAGATTTTTCTGCTGGAAAAAGCAACTCTTGATCCAGATGTGCAGGGCACCGAAATACCGGCGAAGGCACCAGTACACATACATACACTAGCATAATAAATTGGACAGATATTTCATCCTGCTCCATCCTCGTCTTAGATATAAGACGACGGAGGCTGTTTATCCACTCTTCCCATGACCGACCGACCTTCAGGATTCAACACCTTCCATCCAAATTACTCTGAGCCAAGAACTACCGCTCATGTCAGGCGCCGCCGTGATCTAGCCTCGTACTCCGGCGTAGAAAGCAAGCCTACCTCGGTCCCCACCTTCAGCCTTACTCGGTACAATACCGTACAATAGATAATACCCTCAGCTACCTGACCTCAGTCAAGACGGAGCACAATAACCATGGGCAAGGGCAAGATGGACGAGGCGGCCGCCGAACGGATCCGCAAGGCTCGCGGCGAGAAGGTAAGTAGACGTTAGTTAGGTGTTGTATACCCTGCATAGTACACATCCTTGCCCGCCTACCTCGGGAACTCCCTGTCCCTCCCAGTTATCGTTTCCCTGCATCACCCGTATCGTTTAGGGCTCAAAGTAAGTTCGGTTACCAACGGTGTCAAACTAAATCAAACACACAACAGGACGGCTTTGCCCGCCGGGCTTCGATGGCCGCGCGGCAAAATAAGCAGGGCGGCGAATCACCCTCTGGAAAGAAAGGGGACAGTGGTGGTGGTTGGGGAAGCAAACAGCAAGGTGGGAATAAGGGGAGCAAGTAGGAGTTGTGCTGCCAGTGGCCGAGATGAGGAGCATTAGAGAGAAAAGGCGAATCACATCCGATGGAGATGGAGTTGGGGGGGCTGGCATGATGTTGGAGCGAACCGCTTCCCCCAGACGGATAGGACCGGAGACAGAACACCGACAGTAGGCTCGAAATGTATGGGCGGGTGGGCGGAACTGTGGGGGAAGGAGGCGCGCGTATAATCAGGACAGCTCTCCCCCTCCTCCCCTTGAACCCTGACGAGACGAGAATCCACCAGTGAGGAGGTGGGAGGAACAAGTAGCGGCATGCAATGGGAACCTACCTTAACGTCAAATCATGGCAAGCCCCAAGAGAGGGATACCGGCGAGAGAGAGGCGGGGGCCGATGTCACAGACACGTGGTTGTTGGGAGCACCACATGACGGGTGCGACAGGAGCGGTCCGTGGGGAGGGACGGGATGTCTTTGCTTTTGCATTTGCATGGCGGCGGCTATGTATTGTATTGTGCAAAGTAGTTGCCGGGTTCGGGATTGGTTCTGTAGCCGGCGCTGTGGGCGACACAATATGCCCAATATGCAGGGTCGCGGTCAGCACCCCCGAGGTTTTTTGTTGGTGGGGGAAGTACAACAAGGCTTCGAGTGTCTCTCGTGCGGTTGGTTGTCCCAGTTCCTGTACAACCGGTAGGGAAGTCTGTTTCCTCAAAGACAGGGGGGAATCAGAAGTCGTAGCTTACCTCTTGAGACTCCTGCCGAATAGACAGTCCGCTCGCCGTGACTTTTAGGGCTCTCTCAAGTGAGTTGAGGCTTATGGCGTGCTTGGCCTAACCGATCTGTCTCGGGTAGCTTCTCCTGGGCTGTTCACCGGTTGCAGGGTCAGTACAGTACTTCGTAAGTATTTGCTGATATGAACGTACGTACTGTAGCTCTTAAGTACCTATTGCACACACATAAACATGCAAGGACTGGGTACACAGGACCAATACTTATTTAAATTGGCAAGGGTGTGGCTTGAAGTCAGGCCATCTTGTTTCAACCGTGAGTCCAAATGCAGACGAGGGGACCAGTCAAGTCGAGCGGTCAGTCATCAGTAGGCTCTCCGGTCTTCAGTATCTTCAAGGTAGAGTACCACGGACAGGAAGACCGGATGGACCTCAGAACCTGATGGGGATTTAACCTCATCACTGGGCGGTGTCTCCGATGCGCCGAATGACGCCCACCCGCTCACCTGCAACGGAGCAGGCGCCGCAGCTGACAAGCCCCCAGCCGTCTGGTAAGGTATCTTGCTACAGGTATTATCAGCAGCAGCACATACCAAAGCCGAGGCACTCGCAAAGATTAGAGGGTGGCATTCACCTCGCACACAGTAATGCCTTGTCATGAGATATCATGAGGCAGTCTCAGCACCGTGACGGAACTGCTCAGAACTAGAAGCCTGGATCCTGAGATCGACAATTTGGAGATGCCAGGCACACCAAGTTCAGTAGTAGGTACCTATAATGATGTGATAACGCTGTAGTTAGATAACTTGTAACACGCTGCAGTGCGCCACGGCAAAGTCAGTTTGGCGTATTTGGCGTGTTTGGCGTCCGGTGCTGGGCTTGTCTACGGATCGAGGATAAGTGTTGGTGAGAGACGGTTGAATAGGCCCGGGCATGAGACGACGAGAAATAAGCCACGCTGTCTCGCCCAGGTCCTACTCCCTGAGTAGTATCTGGGTGAAAATTGCGAGATTGGCAGGTCATACTTCGTATAGCCCACCGTGGAGCGCGATGTTGGAACGACGAGAGGGAGGGTGCTCTTTCCCCTACCTCTCCGTACACTAGTTTCCAGGTAGGTTCCTTCTGCGCACCTCAACCTTACCTTGTTCCGTACAATACCCAAGGTATGTATCTGTAGCCTACCAGCTAGGCTGAGCACGTTTTCAGCGTTCTCACCCCCTAGACGATGTAGTCGGCTAACTTCTTGGCGAGAATGGAACTTTATGGTGTTGTACTGACCCCAATTCTCTTTGAACGAAGTAAAAGTAATGAAATGTAAACATCCAAGGTACCCAAGGTACGTTAAGCGTGTGCCGGATTCAACAAACGGATGATGGATGGTGCTCTTTCACTTCAGATGTCGATGGCATTGCCTCTTTTCCACACTAGCTTCAACTCAATGCTGCGAAGGCAGGCACGGCCAACGTTGGATGCAACTCAGGCGCGACGACGTTTGGAGATGCTGAGGGTAAGCCCCGAAGTGCCCAGCCATCATCGACGCCTTGCCCTTTCTTTTGTTTTGGCGCTTGCATGACAATTGATGAGAATTCACGGATAAGCTTCAAACATTGCAGTGGCATTTCAGGTTGCATGTCACAGATTCACGAAGCAATGAGTACAGTACGGACACTGTAGTGGTTACTGTGAAGTACATGCAGTGCCATGATCACTCACTGCAGTGCACCCACATGTTACGGTCTGAACTGTGGTCGGCAGCGACTGAAGGCATCATCAAATTAACAACTCCGACTCATCAATGTACATGGAATACCAACATCATCTTTGCTATGCGGTGATCCTGCATCGTCCGGCCACCATTACGGGTCCCACATATCGTCCCCGCTTTCGACTGATCTTTTGGATTGGAAGCTTACCCGCTGTAATAGGATTGTACTAATCTACTGTATTGCTTTACCTTACCGTCCCACAGTCTGCCACCTTCCTGCCCAACCGACAAGACACGGCGCAAGTCAGTCTGGTCTCCGGTCGCACATTCGACAGAGGCAATCAACTGGTGAGACAGGCCCGAGAAATACCGACCTTCCTCCGTCCGGCAACGCACTGCTAGTGGCACCGTCCCGTCGCCGGGAAATCACGACGTGCATCCCGTCCCTCTCCAAGTTCCATGAGGCTTGCACGTGCACAGTAACGCAGGGGAGTCGAGGCCCTGAAGGGGGAGGACTCCGCAACAGGGGAAAGGAGAAAATCTGAGAGCCATGGACGCCGCTATTCAGCGGGCTCTTAATGATAAGCTCTACGATAAACGAAAGGTTGGCGCATTAGAGTAGGTCATCATCTATCTATCTGCCTTTGCCCGTGTGTCTCACTGCCCGTTCGGGTTCCATACCCGTCGATTCTCGTCATAATATTAGCCGAATCTCTAACCGCCAGCTCTCTTCCCCCCTGACATAGACTCGAGCGGGTCATCCGCGAGCTCGTCGCCGCAAGCGACTACGCCAGAGTTGAGTCCATCCTCGACCAGCTCTGCAACGAGTTTGCCTATGCCGTCCACCAGCCCCATGCACGAAACGGAGGTCTGATAGGCCTTGCTGCCGCCGCCATTGCTCTTGGCTCGGTACGTCTTCCCCCCGTTCCTGCATACTATTGTACGAGCCAGAGTCGTTCACTCACACTCGCCCCCCTTTGTCTCTCCCCCGCCATGTTTAGGAGCTTGCCAGATATCTCGAAGTTATCGTACCACCCGTTCTAGCTTGCTTTACTGATCAGGATGCCCGCGTCCGGTACTATGCGTGCGAGGCTATGTATAACATTGCCAAGGTAGCCAAGGGGGAAATACTGATATACTTTAACCACATATTTGATGCCCTCTGCAAGGTATGTTTACTTGATAGCCTGCTGTTGCTGGTGGAATCTGACCTCAGCACCTGGATTCTCAGCTGGGCGCGGACTCAGAACTGTCGGTAAAAAACGGCGCCGAGCTGCTGGATCGCTTGATCAAGGATATCGTCTCGGAATCCGCCGCCACATATGTTTCTGTCTTGGAGCAGCCACCGCCATATAAGGAGGACGATAAGGGCGCCCCAGACGAGACTGTTGAGCTGCCCACAGCCTTCTCTCTGAAACGCTTCATACCGCTACTCAGGGACCGGATATATGCGCTTAACCCTTTCACCAGGACCTTCTTAGTTGGCTGGATCACTCTTCTTGATTCCATTCCCGATCTGGAACTGGTCACTTACTTGCCCGAGTTCCTCGGCGGCCTGTTGCGTTTTCTCAGTGACTCGAACAGGGACGTCCATACCGCCACTCAGGGCTGCTTGGACAAGTTCCTCAACGAGATCAAACGCATTGCCCGCATCAAGAAGGGCATTGCCGAGAGCAAAAAATCCAGGGGCGATGGCAAGCGCAAGCGGGTCGACTCGGTCGACAGCGGGAGCGCCCATCCCCAACTGGAGGAAGGGGACGAGATCGAGTCTGAGACGGCCGACGATGACGACACGGAGAGCGAGGATGATTGGATCCCCGGTCAAGATGTCCAAATCAACTACAAAGCCATCCTTGAGATACTGACTGCCACTCTCGACTCGCCGATGGGTAAGTTCGATTGCGTACAAGGTACCGTGTTAATACTGGCATGGTATGATGCTAATGCCTTTCACCAAAAGAAGACGGCCTGCTCGAGTCGCTGCGCTGGGTAGTCGAGTTCCTTGATATCTGCCCAGAAGAAGTGCTGCCCTTTACCCCAAAGATATTGGCCCATCTCCTGCCCGCCATGGCGAGTGGCGTGGAGTCAATCCGCCAGGCCGCTGCTCGAGTCAACACATCCTTGATGGACTACGTCGTCTCCCTCTCTGACGAGGCAGAGCTGGGAACACAGGCCCCGTCACGGACTCCTGGACCCGCCCCACCAGCCGGGGAGAGACCAGACGGCACCACAAGCGCCCGGGCTTCGCTCTCAAGCTCGAGGGAAATCGATTTGCGCAGTCCTACGCCGGCGCAGGCAAAGGCCACGGGTCAGACACTGACCCAGGACACCCAGCCTCAGGCAGACCTCGACTACGCTGCTGCCGTGAACTCACTGACACTGCTGTTTCTCAACGACCACGAGGCCACTCGCGTCGCCGCACTCACGTGGCTCATTATGCTGCACCGCAAGGCGCCGAGGAAGGTACTAGCATTCAATGACGGGACGTTTCCGGCTTTGCTAAAGACGCTGTCGGACCCTGCCGAGGCGGTCGTGACCAAGGACTTGCAACTCCTTTCCCAAATTTCCAGGAACAGCGAGGATGACTACTTTACAAACTTCATGGTCAACCTGCTCCAGCTTTTCTCCACGGACAGGAAATTGCTCGAGACGCGTGGGAACCTCATTATCCGCCAGCTCTGCACCAGCCTCAGCCCTGAGCGCATCTACCGCACCCTGGCCGACTGCATCGAGAAGGAGGAGGACGTTGAGTTTGCAAGCATCATGGTCCAGAACCTCAACAACAACTTGATCACGGCGCCAGAGCTCGCCGAGCTAAGGAAACGGCTGCGGAATCTTGAGACCAAGGTAACGTCTCCTCTGCCCTTGGATATTTGCGTGAACTGACAGTGTCAGGACGGGCAAACCTTTTTCGTTGCCTTGTTCCGCTCGTGGTGCTACAACGCCGTCGCCACCTTTTCCCTGTGTCTACTCGCCCAGGCGTACGAGCAAGCGTACAACCTCTTGCAGATATTGTTCGACTCCACTCTTCACTGCCCTCACCAGCTTCCAAGATTTGCTGACAACTTGCCAGTGCCGAGCTAGAAATGACGGTTAGCATGCTCATCCAGATAGACAAGCTCGTGCAGCTCCTCGAGTCGCCCGTTTTTACCTGTAGGTACTGAACGTTATCCTATTCAAAGCATGTGGCCGGCTGACTCACGACTACGCACACCGCCCGTCTAGACCTCCGCCTGCAGCTCCTCGAACCGGAGCGCTACCCACACCTGTACAAGTGCCTCTACGGGCTGTTGATGCTGCTCCCGCAGTCGTCGGCCTTTGCCGCCCTCAAGAACCGCCTTAACTCGGTCAGTTCGATCGGTTACCTGCACATTGCGCCTAGACCGTGAGTTTTACCCCTGTTTCTCCATCCTATTCATGGTTTTAACCTCGTCTGTCCTCTCCGACTCCTGAAATGCTTCTCAGCGACTGCAAACCAAAGTCGCACCACGACTTACTTGCTCATATGCTGACATAAGCAGCAACGCCACCACCCCCAGCGTTCCATCATTTGACCGCCCCAACCGCCTCAAGGGGAGCAGAGAGGAGGGAATCATCCGGTGGAATGAACTGCTCGAGAAGTTCCGCAGCGTGCAGGAACGTGCAAGGAGAGCCAGACGTGCGGGCGGGCCAGAGGGCGATGATGTCGGAATGGGCATGGGGATGGGCGAGTTGAGGATTGGCGGTGGTGGTCCCGGTGGTGGTCGTCTCGGTGGCGTCGGCGGCGGGGGTGACGACCCCAGGCAACCTCATCTTCTTCATGACCCGATGGGGAAGATGGGTGCTCCTGCCGGGGGAGCTGGCGGTATGGGCAGCGCTGCTGGCGGCGCCGGCGGAAGGAGTGGCGCTGCATACCCCGGCGTTGGAACGCCGGTTGGTGTCAGGGCACCGACGCCTACTTCGGCGGGTGCTGGTGCGAATAACAAGGCTGAGCCGCCCGCAAAGGTGAGATCCGGGTTGGGGAGGCAGTTTGGAAGGCTTGGAGGCGCTGTTTCAGGGCGGAGCAAGCGCAGCTAGTTTTACTTTTCTCTCTCCTGTTTCTGTTTGTCCTGTTTTTGTGCTGCGGTCATGGCATAGCTTTGGGCTCCGGGGGTGCTGTTTGATTTGGCTCTGCTTGTTATCCTCCAAATCATATGGATACGGCTGGGGTAGGGTTTCGCGTATTTTCTGACAGCGAATGTTTCCCCCTAATTGCATAGAGGCTTGCTCATGATTCTGGTCAACTTAAGGTCAAGGTCAAGCCGGTGATTTGTGGATGCCGCCGGCGCAGAGATGGCGCGCGCTACCCCTAGTCCCCGGGAAGTGAGACTAAACGGCTGGGCAAGTACATACGGCAATGGTGCATAGGAGGGCCAAAATCCAAACAAAGTGAAGCAAGGAAACGGGACGGTAACGGTGAACATGTGGATGCAGTTGTACTCGGTTCACTTACTGAATTGCCGTCTTGTACAGCAAATTATGACTGATATCTATTTCAGTGTACATGTATCAACGTAAACTGCAAAACTCATTGTTGCCACAACAACTACTCCTTGGGTGTACATACAAGTACTATCCAGTACAAGTCACAAGGTCCGTACAATCCCCGCGCGGCTATTTGTAACCACTCGTCTAGCGGACAGTAGATCAACACAACCCTCTTCCTCACCCACATCTCCGTCGGCACTCTTTACTTCCTCCCTACCCCGCAATCTACCCCAACCCGGATCGCCCCCCTCCCCCACCCTTTCTAGGCGAAGCCCGCTCGACCAAGCCCTCAAACACCTCGTCGCGGCGCATCTCCATGCGCCGCAACTCGGCTCGCAGGCTCTCGAGCTCGTGCCGCGCCCGCTCCGTGTCGGGCGGCAGGCCCTGGAACGCGCGCACCTGTGCCTCGAGGTCCTGCTTCTGTGCCTGCAGCGCCAGGTAGGACTCCTCTTCCTGTCGCACCTGCTCGATCGAGGGGGTATTACTGGTGGTGGTCGGGGAGGAAAGTGATTTAGCCCGATCCCGCAGCTCGGGTACACGTGAGGAGAGGGCCTTGATGCGGCGCTGGGTTTCGAGGTTTTGGAGGGCCAGGGTGGGAGGTGGATGGTAGCCTTGCCATTGCTGCCATGGACTTGATTTGTCGTCGTCGTCGTTGGCTTGCGGTTTGCGGGCGGCTTCGGGGGCGTTATTGTCATTGTCGTCAGGATGCTGGTGAGGTGAGGGTGAGGGTGGACGGAGAGAGGCGGAGAGGACGCGGGTGCTGGCCGCTTCGCGGTTCATGTAACCCGTGAGGACATCCAGGCGAGAGAGTGTCTGTTCCAGCGTCAGAGACTCGGCGGTCAGCCTGATCAGGGACTCGGCCAGGGATGGCGGGGTTGGATGGGCGATTCCGCTCTGGACCGCCAGCGCGGCCATGCTGTCCAGCGCGATCTGTCCGTCGCGGGTGAGGGACCTTTCGAGAGAGGCGAGAATTGCTTCGCGGGCGTCGCCGAGTGGGTTGTTGTTGTTGTTGTTATTGTCTGGCTCGGACTGTGAGTGTGACTGGGCCTGGTGGGCTCGGAGTTGGTCTAGCGCCTCGGCCTCGAGCCGCGCGATCATGGCTCGCTCCTCGTCGGCTGCCTCGTTGGCGACGGCGAGAGCCAGTAATACCCGTAGAGTGTCGGCATTGCGCTCAAAAGATGGCGGGCCGCGGGGGAACTTGCGGTGCAGCCAGGCGTCGATGTAAGACCAGTCTTTGGCAGCTGAGGCGGCGGCGCGTGCGACTGAGGGCGAAAATATTGCGGCGTTTGGGGGAAGATGAGCCATTTTCACTCGCTGGATTCTAACTCGTAGGCCATGTATGATGATAAAACTGTTGTTGACGGCTGCGGCTTGATGCTACAGAAACGTCTTAGAGTAGCTGCCGGTGTGAAACTGTGAAGCCAGCCAGTTCCACTTCGCACCGCAGATAATGGTTGTTTTAGGGCTGGGTATTATGTGAGAGGTCAAATTTATGGCATATAAGATGAAACTCACACTTATAAAGTGAGGAACACCACATACTGTATTCACCAAAAGTTGAAGTTCTCATTTAGTTACTCGGCGAGGCCTGTAGTTAGGGTGTGTAAGTTGACCCCTGCTCCTTCTTGAATCTGGCTTGCCGTTTGTCTGATGCCGGGAGTTGAGTGGGGCTACCATCGTAAGTAGGGAAGTGAACCAGGGTTAGAAGTGAACCAGCCCCATACGTCGCTAGCTAATGCCAAGCCGTGGGAGAATCAGGATCAGCTCCCATTGGCCGTGGTTCACTTCTAACCCTGGTTCACTTCCCTACTTGCGATGGTATGGGTCACTTCAGCCTGACGACCCCACCAAGAGCCGTGGGCTTTGTTGATTGGCCAATCTGCTCAAAGTAAACAAACCCTTGCGAGGGCCATTCATGCCTCGTCACGTCAAATGCTTGGACGCGACTTCTCCGCCCATAACTACCATTATTCTCAGTCGCCGCCGCCCACGAACGAAAGAGACATTCTCGGCCCCAGACCTCAAAATTACTGCCCATGACGAGACATACATCGATAGCAAACGCGATTTAACACCACATTTATCCGCGGCGCCATGGTACAACCGGGCATCGGCGGTCTCGACACGCCGCGAACCAACGTGGGGGACGCGACTTACCTTAGCCGCAGGCCCGACTTCGACATATCACAAGAGTTATCCTTTCAGTCACCCTCAAAGGACGGGAATCTGTTGCACCAGCTCCGCAACGGCAACCGCCCCAGCCTCAAGACCCCGCGCGGGAGTCGCGCCCCGTTTGCCGATCGGCAGAATCTCCCCGCTGGCCTCGGCGGGCCCGAATTCACGCCGCTGCTCAAGTCGGCAACTAGGAACAGCGCCAGACGGCATGCCGCTGGCAAGGAGAACGGCCGAGCGACGCCCGCCTTCCTCGACAGAATCGACGAAGACATGACGCCCATGCCCGCTGGCGAGACGAGCATGTACGGCGCCTCTCGCAACACGTCATCCTTTATGACCAACACCCCGCTCCCGGTCATGGACAGCAGTAGTACAGCGTCCACCCCCGTGGTCATGCGGCGCCGCGACAATGCAAAAGGGCCCCTCGAGGACGGAAACCAGTTGTCCCTGCGAGAGCAGGAACATGTCATTGACAAGATAGAAAAGGAGAACTTTGGCCTCAAGCTCAAAATCCACTTTCTGGAAGAAGCGCTCCGCAAAGCCGGCCCTGGATTCAGTGAAGCTGCTCTCAAGGAGAATACCGAGTTGAAGGTAGACAAGGTAACAATGCAACGGGAGCTGCAGCGGTATAAAAAGCACCTCAACTCGGCAGAAAAGGACCTCGAGAGCTACAGGCAGCAGATACTCGAGATGCAGGAAAAGGCCAAGCGGAAGTATGCCGACGAGAACCAGCGTGCCGAGATGGACCGGCTGCGGCAGGCACTCGAGGACAAGGACGCCGAAATTGACCATCTTCAAAGGCAGCTCGAGGGCGAGCAGGGTGAGCGTGACAAGATCGAAAAGTTGCAGGATGAGATTGGCGACTTGGAGGCCGACCTTCGGAGGAAGGACGACATCATCACACAGCACGAGGATGAGATTGAAGAGCTAAGGGATAAGGTAGTCGAAGGCGAGGAGCAGCTGAAAAAGACGCAACGACGCATGGTGGAGCTGGAAGAAAAGGCACAGGACGGGGACCGTCTCCAAGAAGCCAAGGACACCATTGAGGACCTCGAGGCCAGTGTGCGGCGGCTGGAGCAGCAGATTGACGACATGAAAGACAAGCTTGACGACGCAATCTCGCAGAGAAACCGCGCCGAGGCGGACCTGGAGGAGTTGCAGGAGGAAATGGCCAACAAGTCTGTCGTCACCAAGGGCCTCTCGCGGCAGATTGAGGAGAAGATGGCCCGACTGCAGGCCGAAGCCGACAAGGCACGCCAAGAATGCAAGGCACTAGAAGACGAGCGTTCGGCGCAGCAGAAGGAGATGGATGGCATGAGGGCCAAGCTGAGTGAGGCTCGCGAGGAGCGCGACTCTGCCGAGCGCCTTCGTCTCTCCCTCGAAGCTCAGCTGGAGACGGTACATACGTCTCGGCGGAAGGAGATGGATGAGCTGAGGCACCAGCTCAAGGAGGCCCGAGAGGAGCGCGACTCGGCCGAGCACATACGTCTGACGCTGGAGTCCAAACTGCAGCAAGCACAGGCTGATCTAAACAGGAGAGCTGACGAGAAGGAGATTCTCCAAACCCGCCACGATGCATTGACAAACGAGTCAGTGTCACTTCAAAGAGATGTCTCCAACCTTCGGAAAACCGTCGCAGAGCTTGAGGATAGTCTGGAGCGGGAGCGGCAACACGGGCTTGATATCGAGCGTGACATCCGGAATCAGTTCAGGGAAGAAATCGAGCGGCTAAACGACGAGATCTCGGACCTCCAAGCCGAGTGCCGTGAGAAGGATAACCTCTACGACAATGATAGCGAGAAATGGGAGAATGAACGTCACAACCTAGAGTCTGAGCGAGACCGCGCCGAGGAACGGGCTGCTGGCCTCCAGCGCACTATTGACAGGCTGCGAGATGCCGAGGGTGCCTTGTCGGACAAGGAATCCAAGCTGCAAGAGGCCCTCCAGAGTGAAACAGAACGCCACAAAAAGGAGGAGAAAGTCTTGAGCACGCAGATCGAACAGCTCCAACACGATCTAAGCTCCAGGCAGGCCATGTTGGAGGACCTCCGCAATGAGCTGTCAGCCGTCAGGGACGCGCTTCGCCAGTCTCAGCTGGACTGCCAGTCACAACAGGAAAAGGTCGAGGCACTCGAGGACGAGGTCGAAATCTTGCAAGCCACAGTCGACGAGGAGTCGGAGAAGGCACGTTTCGAGCTCGAGCAGGCGCAACAAGAGTGTGACCGGTTGAAGCAGCAACTGCTTTCTCTTCAGGCAACCGCGGACTCGGCGAAGGCTTCTCCAAGCGCCAAGCAGACAAGCGAGACCGTCTCTCGCCTAAGGTCCCAGCTTACTGATGCCACTGACGAGGTGTCGAAGCTTACCGAGGAGCGCCGGACACTGCAGGACCGGTCGGCAAGCTTGGATGCGGAGCTTCGCTCCGTCCGGGCTTCACTCGAGAAAACGAAGGCGGAGCGCGATGAGCTTGAGGCAGAAATCGACCGCCTCAAGGAACACGGCGAGGACACTTTCAAGCTTGACCAGGAGAGGCTCGACTTACGCGTCTCCAAGACAAAGCTAGATTCCGAGCTGCGTCGGCTGAAGGAAGAAAACAGGGTCCTGGATGGACGTCGGCGGGAGGTTGAAGAGTCTCTGGAAAAGGAAATCGAGAGGGCAGCCGCTGAGGAAGATCGGCTCCGGGATGAGATCCGCGACCTGCAAACACAGTTACGACAATCATCGAATAGTCAAGAGCTCGCGGCGCTCCGCCGAACCATCCGCGAGCTCGAACGGCGTGTTGAGGACTATGAGACGCGGCTGGCTGCCTCCCAATTACCCGCTCAGGGAGGCGACGGAAATAGCGAGCTCTCGTTTCTCCATCGTGAGCTTTCTGCTGCCAGAAAGAAGGAAATCGAGCAGCTAAAGCACGATGCTACTCAAAAAGAGACCATAAGGTCGCTCAAGCGGCAAATCGCCGACCTGGAGCGCAAGGTGCACGAAGCAGCCCTGGATCGTCTGGCGACATCCCCGGGATCGTCAAATGGGGGCTCAGCGCAGAAGGCCGAAGTCTCGGAGCTACGCCAGCAACTGTCCACGGCCAACCAGTCAATGCATGAGCTGAAGAAGGCGCTCCGCGAAGCCGAACGGAAAGCCTCCGCCTCCGCGCGCGAGCTTCAGGCTCGTCTCGAGGAGCTTGATGACGAGAAGTTGGTTCTCGAGCAGGCTCTGGAAGACGCGCGCAGCGCTGCGGAAGAGTCCGCTGCGGCACACGAGGAGGCACTGAAAAAATACAAGAGCAAGCTAGAGAAGTACAAGCGAGAGCGAGACGGTCTGGCTGCCCGCCTACGGGAACAGAATCACAACAATAGCAACCACAGCGGGCTCAGCGAGCTATCCCTCGAGGAACGGCGCGACCTGCACAACATGCTGCGCGAGTCACAGGTCACAGCGGACAAGCTCGACCGCGAACTGCGCGAGCACCGCGAGGCGCTGGAGGAGCTCATGGGTGTTGAGTCGTCCCTCCGCAAGAAGCTGGACCGAGCCCGCAGCGAGAGAGCCGCATATCGGGCTAGCGCCCAGAAGCTGCAGAAAGACTTGAAGAAGCTCAAGGTGGAGAAGGACAAGGCCGAGGCTGAGGCAGTCGCTGCTGCCGCCGCGGCTAATGAGGAGCGCGCCTTGGTCCTTTCATCGCAGAGCGCGGCCAAGCCGGGTCTCAGGAATGGAGTAGACACGGACGCTATCATCCGGGCCGCCGAGGCCGCCGAGCGGAGGCACGAGAAGGAGATCCGCGGAATGGTGATGCAGATGGAGTGGCTTAAGGCATGTTGGGAGCGCGAAGCAAGGCTGCGTGGCGACGCCGCCTTTGCCAAGCACTACCTCATGCTGCAGGTACAGATCCGCGACGCCTGGTACGTTCCCGTTCCCCCCCCCTTTTTTTTTTACCTTTTTTTGAGCTAACCTCGTCCCCCCAACAAAACAGCAACAAAGCCGACCTGGCCATCATCAACCGCATCCGCGCAGAACTCAACCCCTCCGCGCGCTCCTCCGCCGCCGCTGCAGCGCTGGGCCAGCTCAGCCCCGTCCGCGAGCACACGCAAACAACCAGACGACGACAAGTTCTTCCGGCAACCGCCAATTATAACCCTGGTGCCACCAATGCCGGTGCAATGAAGCGGGTCCTCAGTGCGGTGCGATTTGTCGTCCGCATGCAGATTGGGGCGCGCAACTGGGCCCGCCACGAGCAGGTCCGCCGGCGGCTGGCCGACTGCTTTGAGGACATGGAGAGGGAGGAGCGCATCAGGAAGATGAGGGATCTCTGGCGCGCAAAGGTGGCTACTGGTACTACTAGTAAGGGTGTTTCTTCTGGTGCGGGTACTTCTGCCGCGGCGGCGGTGTGAAACTATTGTAGAGAGGGAGTTTGGGGTTCGGGATATTGGGTTTGTTTCCGCTGAAGTGGACTGGGCTGGACCGGGCAGACTAAACTGGGCTGGGCTGAGTTAGACTGAGTGGTTACTGTTCATCTCGGTTGGGTATACCTTGTCTTGCCTTGGGTTGCCTTGCTGTCATGATAGGGATGTATTCTTTTGTTTTTCACTTCCTGCTCATGGCTGGCGCGGCTCATCCGTTGGTTGGTATTGTACTGTACATTTTTGGGCGACTTGATGACAGGAAGTTGGCGGTCGGTCTGCATCAGGTTTGAACACAGGTAGTATCTTTTATCACACAGGGGTAGGGTATGGTCTTGACGTTCTGTACGGTCAAGCTGCTCATTGGAGCTGGCTAGTTCTGTAGTCATGGCTTTTATACGGTCCTTAGGACATGATCCTCAGATTGTAGGCCGTCTGGGAAATTGTGAGGGTGAGAAATGAAAGGGCTGTTATCTTCTAGTGGGCTTGATGGTCCTTCTAAGCAAGGTAGTGATTATGGTACTGCTCGCGCTCCCGAGTGTCTGCGGTTGTCTGAAGAGGATTGAAGGAAAGGTGGGATTGGGTTGTCCAGTCTTTGGGTGTAGCGTCCTCTTCGACTCCCTCTTGAAGCGGGACTGTAGTATGTAGGATAAGTCGGGCTTTGTAGTGTCTAGGTACTCTAACAGGAATGCTGAGATAAGTACGAAGCAAAGAATACAGCTCGACGGGAAGGGGAAAAGCTCAGTTGACTGTAACTTTGCAGCTACAGAGGGCATCTGGCGGAAGCGGTTGGGGAAGGAGAAGGTCAGACTGAACTGGGTATATAGGTCAAGTCCACCTTCCTACTTTCACCCCCCACCGGGTAGAGTGAGATAGGTGCCTTAGTTAGGTGGTACACAGCAGACAGCAAGCACAACATACCAGAGGCCCTCAGTTCGATTCCTCTCAATCCGCTCCCCTTAGTTCTGACCACGGCCATCTCTTGATCGACCTTTACAGCCATACTCCTAAGTGCATCCGTCCTCCGAGGGAGGACACCTCGTGCTATCTCGCTCTACGCGAGAGTGACGAGGGCTGGGACAGCCAGCACCAGGAGTCGCAGAACTCCATCACCTCAAGATTGCGAACCCCCGCCCGACTCATCACTGTCAATTCCCAAGAAGGCGTTACACCATCCAGGAGGCTACAAGAGTAGCAGAGTCAGTCGACGGACAGTTTGGGGGGTGTCGAGGATCTGGAGGCAGCAATAGCTGCGGGAGATGCATTCTTCAGGGATCTCAAGGAGCTGCCCCAGACCCAAGCCTACCCTGTGACAGCATTTCGACAGCAAAGGCGGCGAGGAGAATTTCAACAGCCTCCTTGCGTGTATCAAAGGTTGGTATGACATCACCAGCTCGTCTTAGAAAGCGATAAAGTGGGCTCGACGTAGGTATTCCCCTTGCTGTGAAACCTGCTGTCTATATCTGACTCGACTAGACTGGTTTGTCTCCCTCGCAAGCGCTTTGAAAATGTAGGCCAACTTTAAACGGAAGCACGGAGATCGCGTCCCCAAGGCTCATGACTTCGACAACGAAGTCATTTCACATTTGTACCGGACTATGACAACACACAAGGACTGGGAGGGAACCAACGACAAGTGTGCTCGAGTTCTTCGCCATGAACGGGGCAGGATTTCGAATAACTGCTATTCGAGGCATCTGGTACGGCCAAACGCGGAGGTGACATACACAAACCGAATGAGAGAGGTCGTGGAAGAGCCCAAGCCGAGAAGCCGGAAGCGGAGGAGCCGGAAGCGAAAGAGGAGGACGAGAACGAGAGCGAAGAGTCGGACGACTCAAGCGACGAGATTGTGGTAACGCCCACACGCCGCCCACGTGAAGCCACCAAGACAACCAGCAAGCACACGAGGTGAGAGTGCTGCTAGCTTGAACATGAACAAAACTCAGACAAGGGAGGTGGCAAGTGATGATCCATGTGGGTAGCTAGAAGGGAAAGTTAGTTGCCCGGCCCCTATCACGCTAGCTAAGCTAGGCAAATACAGGCAAAGCGAGGTGGCCAGAATGATATCCCTAAGTTCCTTGTCCGAATCTTCCTGGGAGTCAAGGTACGGCCAAGCGCGTCAGGGGTTCATGAAGGAGCCAAGGTACAGCCTAACGTGTCAGGAGTTAGTTTCAGTAAGAGCCAAATTCCAAGACAAGTCCGATCAAGATGGTAGACGATGCACAAAATACCGCGCTTTTTTGGCGACAACTACCTCCACTTCTCGACCGTCGAAAGGTGCGCTGGGTGCACTCCAACGGCGGTGTCCGATACCACATGTTTGGCAACCCGAAGGTCGGTCGTGGTGGCATAGACTATTCCACTGTATTCAGTCTCCCAGACACCATCAACTAACGGTCTCAAGTGTCCTGGACTGTCATGGGTCGGCTCCAGTGGCTTTCCCGCTCCCAACAACCCCATAAACTGCTCCATGCCGATCTGCTGTCTCTCTTGTCCGGTTCCCCTCGACTTCCTTTTCTTCCATCATGTGTTGTTCCCCAGCGGTTCGCAGTACGACTTGCTAGCCCCTGAGCCGGTGTGTCGAAAATCGAGAAGGTAAGGTACGTTAGCAAGAGCTGCAAGCTTAGGTAGGCTACAATCTCCCCACACCTCACTGGGTAAACGACCAAGATGGGTACTAAGGGCTCGAGGAACTCTTCCAGTCAGCGACAATGGAGTTTATCATCATCATCATCATGCTCATCATCTACCTAAGAACTGAGCCTTACCAACCAGCGAACAAAGCAGTTGCAGTATCCATGCAACAATGTATACCATACCTCCAGCTCATCCATCCATTCATCCATCCGACTACCTGTCAGTTACCATAAATCAGTACACTTCCAAGAAGAACTATCCCACTCTGCAAGGCCCAAGACACCGAGCCCAGATACCGTGTCCATCAACAAGACAGCTAAGCTAGGCAGGATAGCTAACCATATCCATCCACCCATCCATCGACCAAGCCAACTTTTCCTACCATCGTACATGGAAACGACCGGCTACTAGTATTATCAATATACTATATACTAGCACCAAGAGGATGAGCAAAAAAAACATAGAAACTACCCAGTTACCAATTCACTTCCCTCATTCATACCGATCGATCGATCCATCCATCGAGTCCAGCCAACATAAGTGATTAGCAATGCTTGCCTCCCGGTCCCAAGCTAACCACTCCCCTGCCAGATACCCAATCCAACTAGTAAACTACCCTACCCTACCCAAACCTACCCAACCAACACTATCAGCCGCTCCCACTAACCAACCTCACCGACAGACAACCTCCCCACAGACAACAGCGGCTGCAGCGACGACGAGCGAGAGAACGAGGGCGTAGCGACGGCATCGGTAAGCAGGGCGGCGCAGCGGTAAACGGTAACGGTCAGGCGGTACGAGGACGGTGACGGCGACGATATGGTACGGTACGGTATCGGAACAGGGCGGAAGCCATGGGACCTTAGGTAGGTACGCACGTGTATGTGTGCTGTTTGTGTGTGTGTGTGGCCAAATATGTACATCATTTCACATGACGAACAACAAATTGGTATCTATAACTCCGTGCGCGCCCAACCACCCAACCGGCAAAAGGCAAAAAGTCAGCACTCATTCATTCCTTTTGAAGAATATTAAAACGATTTAAAAATCTCTTGTGTGGCTTGAGAAATCTTTCGTGTTCAGTCCGGACACGCTTTAAACGTAGTCACGAGACAACGGGAGGACTTGGTGAAGGCGGCCAGGTGTCTCTCACCGAGGGGGTGACTACACGAGAGCTGCGGCTTCTGGGTGTAACGCGTCTGCAGCTCGTCCCGGATGCTGTTGAGCAGCTGCACATAGCTCTGCTGCGGGTTCTTCTTGAGGGCTGTGATGAAGGCCCACGACATGGCGCCCGTGGCCTGCGATGCGATGGTTGCGTCGGCCCTAGAGAGAGTGGAACGAAAAGTATTAGCCGGCGGTTTGGTCACCATGGGTGATGCCAGAAGAAAAAGAAATATCAAATCAATATGCGTCGAGGACCGGCTGGCTCGGTATACCATCGGCAAACCGGACCGCGTGCTTTGCTACAAACGCCAAGCAGCCTCGGCAGCCCAGTCGAGGATCGTCCCTCAACGAGCGATCCTGCAGATCAACGGCCCGCCAACCGAGTAAATGCACTTGGCGCCGTCCATAACGCTTGGTGGGAAAAGGGGTAAAATGCGGTGATAAAGACATCACCGGCATGCAATCAGAAAGGGGTATACGAACGAAGTCTGGTCGTCTTTGCTCCCAGAGAACATAATCACGTCGGCAGGTGACGTCTTCATAGCCAGAGAGCGGGCGTAAGCCTCTTCGCCGCCGCTAGCCTTCTTGAAGAAGCCAACGATGTTGCTAGCGACACCGCCAAGGTCGCCGCGGCTGTATGCGGATACGGCGCCGAGCAGGCCCTGGCCAGCTTCTTTGGCGAGGTTCGGCTCCTTGAGGATGCCCTGAGTGGAGTAGATGTATGGAAGATCAAGCGCAGTGCCTGAATGGCACGAGTCGAAAATGGCCGTCAGGCGTACGCCTGCTTGCAGCGGTCGCACCATGATCCTATGCATCTCGTCGTCGGTAATGTGGCCATTTTGCCGAAAATCAACTGGATAGATGACCTCGTCGTATCCATCGTCCTCGTCCCCGTCAAGATCCTTGGTCTGTCCACCATGCCCTGTGACCCATGTCAGATGCCGGCTCCCGAGGACCCGGGCGGAAACGGCACAGAACTCACCGGAGTAGTGGAAGAAGAGCGAGTCGTTGGGGCGAGCGTCCTTGACCAGCCAGTGCATAGCTCTCAGAATATTCTGCTTGGTCGGTTGGCTCATGGGATTCTGCTGGTCGTCGGTAAGGATAACCATATCCTCGCGCTTATAGCCAAAATTCTCAACCAGGTAGGCCGACATATTCCTGACATCGTTAATACACCCGCGGAGCTGGCCGCGCTGGTTGAAATAGTTGATGCCGATTAGCAGGGCTTTCCGACGCCCGGTGCACTGCGAATACTGGAAGGCAAACCCGTGGGAGCCGTATCCGTAGTGTTGAGTTGCTTGGGGCGGTGGCGGCGGTGCACTGTGATTACCGTGGACATATGAGTTGGAGTTCACCGTGGGCATGGCTGCTCATGTTAGCCCCCCAACTCCTCTTTCATGGCAGGGGCATGCTCACGAGGTCTTCCGTAATTGTTTGGAGGCGGGGGTGGAGGTTGATGATAGGTCTGCGGCGGGGGCTAGATGGCGTGTTGATTTAGTCCCTAGCACACGGAGATGCATGCCAACTGAGGACGGACCTGTTGGTAGCCATACGGCTGGGGTGGCGGCTGCTGATAGCCATAGCCAGGCCCTTGGGGAGGAGGAGGCGGCGGCGGCGGAGGCTGTTGGTAGCCGTAGCCTTGGGGACTGAGCTACGTTAGCTTCGAGTTCCAGAACTATCAACAATTCAAAGCATACGGATAGTAGCTAGCATATTGTTGCTGGGGCGGGGGAGCGTATCCGCCGGGGTGGTAGCCTGCGCCTGGATATCCGGACATGATCCGCAACTGTAGTCGACGGCGGTGCTGAAAGGGAGGTATAAGGTTGGGGCCCAAGGGTAGGCAAGTTCGGCGAGTGGCCAGAGATGGCCTCGCGAAGACACGGCGTCGAACGCGTGAGGTAGGGTGCCAGGAAACCCCGAACGCGGATTGCCCGAGAAGTTCCGGAGTTTTAATACTTCGGTTTCTCGGAAACGGATTTCGGTCCCAGAGAAGCCTCGAGGCGGTGGAGAAAAGCGGGGAGTGAAGGACGTGGGTGTGCTGACTGAGAAAAGCTTTGTGGTAGTCGATCCACCGGAGCAACCAGCATCAACACAACTTCACCGATTCTCAGTGCAAAAGCATGCAGCACTGCAGGAGTGATGTGTAGGATAGGGCGATTACATAGACGAGGAGAAGACGTGGCACAGAACCCCGGCCCAAGCCCGGGCAGAGCGAGCGGTCAAGGTAAGATAGGCTTATACCGGTACTTTGTATACGCGCATCGATCGAAGTTAAGAAAATCCAGGGGTTGAAGCTCAGCTGCAGGGGTCCCTGTCTGTTCTCTGTCAATGAGGAAGCAAAATCGATCAACGTTATTTCCGCGTTGCGAGGAGGGACGGGCGGACAGATCGTTGAACTCGCACACTTTGTTGGGCTACGTAGGGCGCTGAGAGCTCGGCATCGGATGGACACCCAAAAGCTAGTTATCAGTCTCCGCAACATTCGCAATAAGGCTGCTGGACCAATCCCGCCATGGTTCAATCCACGGCCGCCGGCTTCGGGCTAAGTGGGGTCAGCGGGCGTCAGCTGCTGGGATTGGCCACCTCGGCGCGGGATCGTGATGATCGCCAAGCATGTGGGTTGTGGATCGCGCGGGTGCAAGAGCCATTCTCAACGACCAGCTCGGTTCAGCACATCATCTTCTCTGACACACCTTGCCCCATGCGGCGCTTGTCCGTCGAGGCGACCTTTCAGCCGCCCAGGCCATCAGCTCGCTAACGTTGGCTGATATAACAGCTGATATAATCGCCTCTTGATTTTGTTGCCCTAATGCGTCTGCTGTAACGTTGTGTCCCAGCTCTGAGGACTGGAGCTCAACTAGGAAGTAATATCCTTGGAGAGAATCTCGCGCTCGCCATTCCTCGACATTTTAGACCCGAGGAGACCGTGCTTTCTCTTGGCCCTTGGGTGTTCCTCATGGCACGTGTGACAGGACAGGTGCCAAATGTCCTATAGGTGATGGACGATTTGCATGATTGCATTGGCCGAGCCAATGGCTTTCAAATGCCCATCATCCTGGATTAGGTCTGCTGCTCTTTCCTCATCTTTCAGTTTCATCACTGTTCAGTCAGGCAGTGACCTTCCTCAGTCGCACGCAGTTGTCAAACTCGTCGTGGTCTAGCGGCGGATGTTAGCAGCGCTATCCATTGGTCCTCAATCGGGATTTTCGTAGTGGGGCTGCTGAAGGCCATTGTTGGCCACTCAGAGCTTCTAGAAAAGCCAGGGCTTGAGAAGTGGGTACATCCTCCACGTGTTCGGCGACCTAGGGTTGTTGCTCTGCAAATTCTTCCCTTGTCTACGGAGTAGACTCTGCCGTACCTAATAACCCAAGGAAGGGATGTTACTATCCAGAATGGGCTGGTACGCAGCACCAAACCCAATAGATGCCATGTTGAAGCAGCATCACCGTCATGCGACGCGAGATGTCAACGTTGGTCTTCCCTTTGTCTGTTTCTCAAGCCGGGACTACCGGTGTGTTGTCTTTGATCAAAACCTTAGCCCGGACCCCTGTCCCATCTCTCAAGTTCCTTGCAACATCCAAGATGGTCAAAGTTATCATGTTCACTAGAATGGAGGGCAGATCATCAGCTCTGCAAGTGCAAGAGCCCCCGTAGTACTGAACACGTACAGTACTGTACATATATACCTTACCTTAGTTCCCGGTGGCGATGTGACAGTGGCTGATAGAGTACCAGTTTCTTGGGACACGAACCTGAATCCAAACGGCTGAGGCTGGCAATCTCCGTATCGGCAGAGAAAAGGGACCAGCCCACCACGAATCGGTGGCAAAAAATGATCTGGATGCCTCCTTTAGCTCACCGCTTGAACCCGGAACCTGCAGGTCATTCACGGGAGATGTGCCAAGGGCCGCCTCAAAATTCAAATTCGGCATATCCGGATCTAGGTAAGACGAGTCCGTCCCTTAGACAAGCTCATTCTCAAAAGTGAAGTCAGAAAGGTCCAATCTCGCGGTTTACGGCTAATACAAGCCTGGTGTCGATGTCTGTTGACCTAAGGCGCTATATGTACGCGAAATGGTTCAAGTCAAAATCGTGCTGGTCTTCGCTGAAAACTCATGTCTCTATGCACGTACCGGCAGATATATTTATCGTTCCCAACTGACACGAGATGCTCTAAGCCGCCTTTTCTGCCGCTGGTTTCATGACCTCATCTTCTCGTTTCTATCCCAACAAGCATCCAACAATCATGTGTCTCATATCCCAGTCATTTTCACATCTCCCTGCCCTTGTTTTCCAGCCTGCTCATTCTTGCCTTGATTCTCTCTCATGAGCCAAGCCATCATGCACCAGACAAGCTGCATCGCCTTGACGCGATCCTCAATCTTGAAGAAGTCGAACCATGGGCTTCTCCAGACCTCCAGCTTCCCCCAGCACCTCCCGTTTCCGGCGTCCTCCGTACCCTCAGGCTGCCCTTCCAGGACAGCGAGCAACCGATCCGGTACGCGAACCCTTACCACGCTGACATGGTGCAGCACCGAGCTCACGACATAGATATCATCATAATCTGCACCCCTGGCGCGCCCAATGGCCTCGTACCTGGCCTTTTTATCCCAAGTAGATGCCGGCGGCCGAATTGCACGGTAATTGTCGTACATAGGGTGATTGCCCGATTTTTTGAGGCGCTTAGCACCCTTTGAGTCCCTGCTGCTGCTGGGAAGAGAGAGCGCGCCAGGGCGGGAAAAGGGTCGTCGAGGCAGCGAGACAGCCTCTGCCCTTGTCGACGAGGGAGATGACGAAGGGTTCTCAGGGGGCGGGGCGTCCTTGTCACCAACCGTCTCGTCGGCACCTGACTGCATCTCCACTTCGCGGCCGATGGGCCCTCCGGGCCCGCCGCCCCAGCGTGGCTTCGTCGCCCACCAAGCGTTTTCGCCGATGCGCTTCTCGGTGCGGCCCTCGCGGGCGCGGTGCTGCGCCGTGATGAGCGCAGCGACCAGTTCGCGACCCAGGTCCAGAACCGATTCTCGGTCGGCAGCTGTCGGCCCTTGGCCGCTGCCGGCTGCAGGGAAGGTTGTGGTGTGCCTTGCGCTGACGGCGGCGAGCGGGCCTTCGACGATGCCAGCCCGGGCAGCTTCTCGGGTGGCAGGGCTCCGGAAAATGAAGGTGCACCCCGAGGAGAAGTAGGAGCTGCGCGGGGAGCTAAAGGCGTTGGATGTGATTTGTAGCCGTGGTTCGACTCGAGGTACTGACACGTTGCATGTGAAGTCGTACGCTACCAGCTTTATGAAGGCTGTGATGATATTTTGGCGATATTCAGGTGGCATCTGGGCGCCGGACCCGGTGCGGTAGAATTGCACCTCGCCGGTGGCATTCTCCGAAGCCTTGTCACTTTCGGGAGCAGCAGGGGCGGTTTGCCCGTTGCTCTCCCCTGCCTTCACAGCATCGTCTTCCAGTTTCGGTGGCTTTGATGTGTCTTCCCAAAAGGAAGTGAACAGCTCCAGGTGTCGGTAGAACTCATATGCATTCCCCAGGCGGGCTTGGGGTTGGCCCATTGGAGCCGGTAGCCTGCGGACTGTCCGGTAGGCGGCCTCGTTTGGGATGGAGAGCTCCCGTCTGCGCTCCAGATACGTCTGGCAGCCAGGTGAGAGGTTGCCCGTGTTGAGGCGTTTCCGAGTGCTCTCATTGGTGGCATGCACCTCCTCCGAGGAGAGGGCTTCCCAGACCTTAAAGTCCGGAATAAAAGAAGGGTCCGGAATCAAGGCGGACGGGGGAGCGTCCGGGATCACGTGTGCTCCAAGGGCCTCTAGGTGAGAAATCGAAACCTCGGTCGGCCGGACAATGCCCTGCAACAAGGCAGTAAGCGGTTTTGGCGTCCGGGCATCAGAGGGATCACGGTCGCGGAGCTGCGGGTAGCACCGAGGCAAATTGATTGGTGTGGGCGGGGGCACATCCTTGGGAGGCGCGTTCTGTGCTGCCGCAATGACTAGACGACCGGATTAGATCAGGTTAGACAGGGGATTGACCGGTGCCGGGGACGATCACACGAAACAACGACGGCCAAGAAGCAAGTTGCATTTGCATGATGGTGCTTATGGCAACAGCACATCCGGCAAGACCTTTCCACTTCCTCATGGTTCTTTGAGCTGGGAGAGCTCAAAGAGGGAGCAGCAGCACACACCAGAATGCAGCAAGGGAACCTGGACGTGTGAGTGCGAGCAAGAATGACCGACTTACCCATATGACCAATGTTACCAATGTTTCCGAACATGTTGGCTTGGCCGGCTAGGGCAAGTGCGGTCGATGATCAGTAACCTAAGGTAGGTGCCGCATAGGTCTCGCGGCGCAAGCCTCTTCCCCAGACGTCGGGAATCCGTAGCGGCCGTGCTCGACCTGGGAAGTGACGTGGGGACAGGTGAGGCAGATGTTTGGCAAGGTCCGGGACTCCGATAGGTAGGCGAGGTAAGTCACGCCTAGCTCCAGCTTTACGATCTGAGCACCAAAACTAACGAAGGAAAGAGCCAAATGCAGCCTCCTCTACGAAGGTACAATACAGTGTGGTCAGTGCTCTTGGGCACGTCAATGTTCCGAGTCGTTTCCACTGCGCTCTCCCCAACACTGATAGGTGATATAAAGAGTGCGCTGCGAGGAGAAACAGCAAGCGAAGTTGAGAACAGAAGAGGTGATCGCTGGCGAGGGGTTGCTTGAGAGCGGGGAGAATCAACATTCCGTTGGCAATGCATGAGATGCCACTTAGAGTAGCGAGAGGTGGACCGTGCACCCCTGGGCAGTAGCACAGTACATACACCCTGTCACCCACTGCAAGAACGCCAGATGAGAGCCCCACTTGACTGAATGTTCTTTCTTCACTTACAGCCAGGCCAACATGCTACTTGGCAGCAGCAGATATGAGCGATCAAGATAGGTCGATGGCTCTCTACGTTTAGTTCTGTCGATGAGAAGTTGGCAAGTTCAGATTCTCATCACAACGAGACTGAAACTCCTTATAGAGGGATGGTGCTAAACATTAGTACCTTCTCTACTCCGTACTGCTCGATTCGGTACTGCTCTACGACTACCCACCAGAGATTCGCGGAGTGCAACACGTATCGGCTCTGGCGATTTGTGGGTACCAGCGTTTCGAGTGTTTCCTTATCTGCTCATCGCTCGTTTCAGGGGATCGCGGCAAAATAAATCCAAGAGATTGAGAATTTGGTCTCTAAGCGACACTACGGGGAGTCCATTCTACCAGCAGATGCCGCAGCAACATTGTCTTCGAAAAACAAATCATATTCATCTGGATTGCCAGAAATTATGACCAGTCGTCCCCCAAGGCGTGTTAACGTGCTCCGAGGGCTTGGTTCGAGATCTCGCTACACTACATAAAGGGAAGGTTACCCCTCAAGGAACGGGTGCTCGGATCTTCCCCCACAATCGTCGTGCCTCAAAAGCGTCAGAGACCAGGGATCAGCCAAGCGAAGAGCCTCAGGGGTGGAATCGGCCGCCCGTCTTCGACTTTCCAACTCGGATGACGTGGTTTCCCAGCCAATCACAGCTTTCGTTGTGCCCTATTCCGGTCCATCAAACGGCAGTTCGTCCGTGCGACAAGTCAGAAGTCGTTCGAGCCGCTGACGATGTCTTCAACTCTCTTCGTGCCTCACCGTCCCGCCAAGACATGACATCGCTGTCCCGGCGGGCGTGGCCCTCCTCATCCCCAGATCTTCCATCTTGCACCGTCTCCGCCTTCCCATGGATTCTTCCCGGTTCACCTGCCTCGCCATGAGTTTCTGGTGTTGTGTTTAGCCGCGACTGTCTCGCTGTCTTGCTTGCTTGTCTCCTTTGACAGGAGCCTTCCCTTTCTTTCTTCGCTTAGAGAGTAGAGATCTTGATGATTCTCGCAACAACTTAGACGGCCCTAGCGGCCAGACATTATTCGCTTCTTTTCAATGCCCTTCTTGTTTATATTCTTCTTCTAAGAGATTCCGCCATATTTGTTTGTTTGGAGCGACTGGCCTCGCCATTAGGGAGATTGTCTACCAGGGGGAACTTTGACCATGGCCTCGAATGGCTTACCAGCGGGCGCATTCCTGACCACGATCGAGGGGCGGCGGTGTACGGCTGTTCCCCGAGTACAATCCGCGACGGCAATCGACGCAAACGGTTCCTCACAGTCTGCTGCGACAAACAGTCCCGTCCAGACAACGCCGAGTTCAACATTGGCAGCGATTCCGGTGGCAGGTGGAAACGCAGATGCCAACCCCGTAGAATCAGATTCTACGCCTCCAGCGAGTACGACGAGCTCTTCCCCGGTCTTGCTCACTTCAAGCATCCCCTCAAGCTCTGGCATAAGCTTGGGGCAAGCCACACAGGAGCGTCAGTCAGGGCCTTCGGCACTCTTACCGACGCCTCCCGCTGCGGTTCTCCCGCCAGCTGGAGGCGCTACTCTCCAGTCCTTCACTATCCTTACAGACGCTACGTCTTCACGAGAGGCAGAGCAAACGTCTGTGGTGCAGAGCAGTAAAGCTGATAGCAGCGTAATAGCGCCGGCGGTAGATACCTCAATCGCGCCCACTCCACCTCCACTGGTCCAAGGTCCAGCGGCAACCCCCCTTAGCACGACCATCGAATCGCCGCAGTCATCAGGAGACAGCGGGGCGTTCGCAGCTCCAGATGCCTCCTCAACGAACCCCGCTCTGACCGCGCTGCCCAGCGTAAATAGCAATGCAGTTCAGTCGACAGTGGCCGTGGCTGGCGGCGTCATTGGTGGCGTTGTTGCCATCAGCATTCTCGCGTTTTTCATCTGGTGGTGGAGACGAAAGCTACATCGGAAGAGGAGAAGCACGCTTCTGACACCGCTCGACGCCGTTCCGTCCTTTGACCGGAACGAGAAAGGGGGCTACATCATCACCCGCGGTAGCATAGGACCGACACCGGTGGCTGAGAAGGTCAAGAACGTGCTGGGGCAGAATTTCAGGAGGTTCCAAGGTCACCTCCGTAACAAGACGGGCGGCAGTGCACCTTCTGTGAATCTTGACCGGGGTACTTCGCAGTTCATGGACCCGAAGGGCACACGCGGTCCAGCAAATTCGGGCATCGTTGGGAGTCGGGTGACAACGAAGGATCGTTTCACGGACTGGTGGTCACGGCTCACGGCGGATATGACCTTCAACTGGCGTCTGCGCGCCAAGCCTGTTGCGACGGGCAATATGACGGCGGGTATCACTCAGGAGAAGAGCCCAGCCGTTGGTGCCCAACCCGATTTCTTGACCCTGCTCAACATGGACGACCGCGAGCTGGACCGAGAAGCCCAGAGGCGACGCGCGAGTATTTCACGCAAGAACGGCAGCGACGGCTTCCTAGGCGGGCTGAACCTCAACTTTGGCAGCAGCCCAGGGGATAACCCCTTCAGCGACACAAATGCCATCGCTCACACCTCAGCCAAGCCCGCGCCGCTCGCAATCGGTGGTGGTCAGCCCCTCAATCCCTTCAGCGACGCAAATGCCATCCGCGATGCCACGATGCCTCCTCCAAAGCCGAGCACCTACGTGGCTGACATTCGCCGCTCTCGCGGCCACTCGGTCAGCACCAGCCGGCAACCGAGTACACTGTATTACTACACCAACCGTGACAGCATCTACTCGGCAGTTGGCGGCGGCCGCGGCAGCGTGGGTGCAGGCGACGACGACAGCAACAACTTCCGCAACAAGTTCCGCTCCGACCCGTTTGACCTTGAGCGCACCATCAGTAATAACAAGAACGGCGGCAGCGTGATAAGTAGCACTGCCGGCGTCGCCGGCAGCGAGGCCAGTGAGGCCGTGCCCGTCCGTACCCCCCCTGGAGCACACCGTGCAAGGGCCGACAGCTTCACCTCCAAGTACTCGAGCGGCATCAGCCTGGGCGATGGCTGGAGCGACCCGGGCCCGGACGTCGGCCCGGCTGCTAGGTCGGACAGGGACAGGGCCTCGCCTACCCAGGAGTGGAGGGAGAGGTTGGAGAGGGAGCAGCGGATGGTAGTTGGGAATAATGAGACTTCTTCTTGGGATGCAAATATGCAGGGGCGGAGGCAAAGTGCCGGTAGCCAGAGGAGCGTCGGGGTGGGGAAGGCTATGTGATGCGATACGAAAACCTTGCGATGGAATTAAGCCGATGGTCGATGCCTTACGATATTGTTCTGGTTATGTGTGTCTCCTATTGGAGTGAATGGGTATATGTATGTATGTTCCTGCCAGCTGGTTTGAATCAACTGGGATACGGACTCTGTGGTTCGTTATCTGTATGCGCATACTGCATTATGTACAAAGAATCTTCTGCGTGCTCCTTCCTCTTCGTTCTACACTTACCCGCCTGATTAGTATTCAGTGAACAAGCGTTGCCTGAGCAGAATACGGTGTCAACCGCCTTATTGCTATTCTGGTGCTGAGACGATTACTTTGTACCTTTCCCTCAGATCATGGATCGCAGTAATGTCCAGAGAGGAGTAACTAATGAGGAAGCGGATATACCACCATCACCAAATTTCCTTCGGCTCGCCTATACGCTGTCTTCAGGGGCTGCCCGTTACCTAGCAACCTGCGCCTGCACGACTCAGGGGGAGAGCCAACATGGCTTCAGCACGGTGCATAATTCGCAATAAAACATGGGTGGACAATGAACCAATCATCGGATCAATTCGTACCTGAATATTGACTGACCTATTCCGGAACCGAACGACAGTTCTGGAATTCAGCTCGAGTATGCACTTTGATCTGTATGTACCTGAACTGATCTTGGGCACAGTACGGAGTACGTTCATGCACATATTCCGTCCCACCAACCCCTCTTCCAGAAGGTGTAGCGGGGAAGTAGGCTATCTGATTGGCCAGTTCCGGCGCGACACGACACGCGAAAAGTCGCGGGAGTCGCGTCGTCTTCCAACAACCGCGTTAATTGGCGGATTTGTACATCCAGACCAGAGCTGCCGCCAAAGAATACCTGACCAAGGCAGGCCAATTGATTTCCAGTCGTGCAATCCCATCTCCCTCGAGAAACCCATCTCCCGCCCCCCGATCCCACGTCCATCATACAAACAAGCACACACACGCTAGACCCGGATATCCTCCAACCGGGCTTGCTCAGCTCAGCCCTCCTCCAGAGCCAAGGTTCCATCCCCTGCATACTTCATATCTACACATCATTCCACCCGAATTAGGAAATAGCGTCGTCAAACAAAGGGAAGTTTCGCGATTGCTAGTAGTATCGGTACGCAGTTGATGATGTCATTTGTTGAGTTGCTGGGTCTCAATGTCGGTTCACTGGGGATGAGGTGATAGAATGACGACCTGAACTCCGAAAGGGGCCTGGGATGATCGTTGGGACACGAATAAGCGAGGTGGGAAGAAGGTTTCCGAGAAGAAAGCTGAAGGTGGCAACGCTCAGCAGAATATGAAGGGGTAGTAATCTTCCAATGTTGATAGACAGGGGAACATAGACCTAAAGGAATAGAGCCTAGATCAGATGAAGGGACAAAGGGGGTATCAGAAATCCAACGACCCGGCGCGGTGTCAAGAAGGGGAGTCGTCAAATGTAAGGCGTCTCTTTGCAACGCTGCGTGGTGTCTTGCCTCCTGTGAGGGCCACGGGTGTCTTCCAAGGCTTTTGCGCTGGACTAGGTGTCATGTGAAGGAATTCGGCAAAATCGAAGCCGAGGCCAGGAGTCGCCGGGTATGGGTTCCCACCGCCGGGAGTAGTCATCATGGATGATGGTAGCGCAAGCTTGTTCTTTGGTGGCGGGGTGGACGGAGGGTCCATCCTGTTCCTGGGCGGGTTCGCGGGCGACGGGGATGCCGCCAGATACAGAAGCAGATCTGCTCCCTCCTCGCCAGACCTGGACTCACTGACCGACCCTTTGTCCCTGGCCTTCTTAGCCAGGTTGCGGCTCCGCATTGGCGGAGTGCGGGGCGGCGATACGCGGATGCGGGTTGTGTGGAATGAGTGAGTAGGGAGATCATCTTCATCGTCCGAGTTGGCTGCGTAGTTTGTCGACGCCAGCACGTCGCTGGCCTGCCGTGACCCCAGGTAAAAGGACAAGTCTGGACCGGTCGAAGTGGTGAAGTGTTGTTGTCGTCTCGGCTTTATCGGCGATGACTGGGTGAATTGGTGATGGGTGGTGAAGGATCTGTGCGCCGTGGGAGACTGTCGTGGCCGCTTACTGGGGCTCGAGAAGATGTTGTCGAACGAGGCGAGATAGGTACGTTTCCGGTGGCCGGTACTGCCATTGCTGGATCCAATTGCATCCGAGAAGAGAGGGGCTTTGAGGGGCGAGCTCATGAGGGTCCTTGTAGGATAGGGAAGCTCAGATGCGCTCGAGGAAGAGTCGGATAGAATGTCTCCTTCGTGTACTCGCTTGCGCCGGATTTCATCCTCGAACTTGGGCTCGATCGTGTCCAGGGTCTCGTTTACTAAATTATGTTTCGTCTTGAACTGTGCTAGTGCGAGACGGTTCTGCAGTCTCCTGGCCATCTGATGCAAGCATCTCAAGTTAGCGTGCCATCAGCCCTCGCAAGGGAGGAGTTGAGACGGAACGGCCATGACGGTACCTTGCTGATTTCGGCCCTCTTGAGAACCCTATCCGCCACAGCCTCTGGCTGCTTTTTGAACGGCGACGACATCATGTTTGTAGAAACATCGATTTGCATGCATGCAGGGGAGTCGAGTCGATTCTGGTGGTTGTGGAAGAGGATTTCGGGACAGGAAATTTGAGGCCGGGGTTGATTGGATGGGTCCCGGATACTGGGCGCCTAAGCGCTGCCGTGAAAGGGAGAGGTGTGTGCGAGATGGAATCGAAACGGATTATAGCCAGCACTTCAGAAACCCCCTGCCGCGGGAATACTCTATTCGACACACAGCCGTTGGCATACAGAACAAATGCAAAGGTGGCTGGATAGGTGGTGAGATTTGGAGGACAATGGAAGTTCGAATAGGTCTGAGTAAATTCACATCCATTCCTGTGGAAACGGAAGATTAGCTGAGCACAGTGGCCCACCCACTGCATTGAACTTGCGGCACAGGGCAGCTTGGAGGGCGAATGGCAGCAGCTCGACAGGCCTGCCCAGGGATGCTTTGGGCCATCAGTTTTACCCAGGTATAGGCCATCTCCATCGTGCCCTGCCAGGCAGTTGCTTCCCCACCAACAGGCAGACAAACACACAGCAGGAGCACCTACAGTAACATTATGTAGGTAAAGCTTGGTTAACCCTATCAAGTCAGCTGCTGCCAGTAATTTAAGCAACGGACAATCTCAAATTCAGCTCATAATCAGGGATATAACTTCACCTCATGAAACCGGGATTTTGAACGCGAACCTTGGTCTTGTTGGTCAGTCCTTGTTCCTGATGAGCAACGACATCATCGGGGCCGTTGCGTTATAAAACGTGGGTCGGCATCTCCACATGAATCCAGACCTATCCCAACTCGGCAGGCTAGAGTCGATCCGACTTTTTCAACTTTTGGACTTGTTTCCCAGGCGACAACGGCCAAACATGTCAAACAGTCCAAAAGAAGGCCATCCACGTTCCACGGAGCACATCTGGGGAGACGAAGAGTTTAATACCTGCCCGACGCACAGCTACACCAACGTTACGGAGCACATAAGGTGTCCTAAAGCCTACCCGAGACAAATTTGGTAAAGTGTCGGATGATCTTACATCTGTCTGCGGTGGGATGTTCAGAGAGCTGCCGCCCTCACGTACCGCCGCTTTCAAGGAACCTAGACCTGACGGGAAGAACTGGATCCCCTGAGCGTCAGGATCCTGCATCTCATGCTTTTCCGTGTACATGCAATACAAGTAAACCAGCGGTCTCACTCGGCCTAGGTACTGTACCTAGCCCGGCCCTTAAGTGACAACGATCGAGCTTCGATGCTTAACGTTATCCCTTGACTTTGACTTAGCTCTGGGGCCTGAAGCTGATTCGAATGGCTCAAGCTCGGCGAGCTCCAAGCAAGCTCCAGAGCCCAAGCAAAGCTCCAGGAGGAACTGGCTAACGGCGATGCTTAGAGAAGGCGTGGGATTGAGAGGAATCCCAAAGTTCGTATTGAAGGATTCTTCGCTTCCTCCTTTGGACGGAAGGTGGATGGATGCAGGCAGGCCTTGCTCTTTGATCTTCAAATCTCTCCTTCTCTTTTTTCCTTTTTTTTCTTTCACACGAAAACACGGTTTGCGGCGCGGGAGGCCCTAAAACGGACAAATCTGCCATCTTTGGATTTCTGGTTTCTTCCTGTTTCACTCCGGACCTCTTCCAGGTTCCACCGCTGCTAACGTTATCTCCCTGGTCTACACACCGCATCCATACAGGGAAGGGCGGCCGACGCAATCGCTTGGAAGTTGGAATCGTGGGTCCTTTGCAGTCCGCACCTTCTCGCTGATTCACGGACAAGTTCTCCGGTCCTCTTTTCGCTCAGCCACCGGATATCTGGTTGCATTATCATCTGGCTTTGTTGGGAGATCTGGCGAAGATCTGGCGCCGGGATGGGAGATAGGCGAATCTAGAGCTGCCTTGGTCCGAGACACACAGCAGAGACAAGTCCCGGCACAGGACGGTGCCTCGCGTCTGGCTATCGAACAGAGAAAAAATCAACCACTCAATCAACGGCTCCACGGCAGCCACGATGTAACCACGGCCAATTGGAGTCGCACATACGTCATCATCAACCGCCCCGACCGTAGTGCAACTGCCGCGTTGCTCAACGGGCGTTGGCGGACCACAACATGAACGGTGAGGATAAGGGCAATTAAGACCGTTATCCGCTCGAGAGCTACGGCGTGGCACTGCCGCCTCTCTTCCGCTGCCACCAGCCTCTTGGGAAAAGCCCACGTCTCTCTTTTATGCCCGAGCCTTGTTGCCGGCGACATCTCGGGGCACTCACTCACCCAAAGCTCTTTCCAAAGTGGACTCGGTCCCCTTCTCCTGCCTTGTGTATACTGTAATATCGTTCTGCGTTTAAATCCGAATCCGAGAGCACCAGCTCAAAGAGATCGCGCCAACCATGGCGCCTTCATTATTCAATCTTAAGGAGTTGCGCCGGCGATCAACGAAGGCGAGCGTCAAGACCAAACGGTCGACAGATACTTCAAGCGAGGCTAGCAATACCACAACTCCAACCAGCGGCTCCTTGACTCCCCCATCGATAAACCAACAATCAGATCCAGCCTTGGATTTGCAACTAAAATCCCAACCGCAACCCGCTCCAGCTGCTGCTGCTCCTCCAACGCGGCCGCAGCCTCATCCCTATCCAAATGGAGCCAGCAATCGATATAGCGTTTCCGGCATGGCTGGATTGGGATCCCCCGTGCCAGCCGGGAAAGGGCCGGCTCTGCCCGTCTCTCAATACTCACCTCGCATAACCAATGTGCCGGATAGCTCATGGGTGAGTGGGTTGCGGGCCCAAGGCAGGCCTTGGTTCATGTGCTAACACCTCGCAGGTCTACCAAAAGGTTCTCCTCGTTTATGGCACAATCGGTGACTTTTCTCATCGCGCTCTTGATGGCACTCTTACTGTGAGCCGGCTTGACGACAGCTTTCCCCCGACATCTTGGCCAGTGTGCAGCTCTCGCTTCAAGGCTCTGGTGTATCTAATGCCTGGTGCCAACCGCCTGCGGTTTGACTTCTCAAGCCCGAAGCTTGCCAACAGCGGCTCTTCCAACCCTATCCACGCCTCTTATCTAACAGTTCACATGATCCCGCCCATCGGCACCCCCCCGCTGCAGCTGGCGATTCTGCTCGCCAAGGACTCGCCGGGAACCTTCGACGCGGTTCCTGCTCGGATCGAGAGGGAGGGTAATGGCCTGGATATCGCAGTCCGTAAGTTCCGCATGGCTGCGTATCTGTGGCAGGCCTTCACTGCGGAGCAAATGTGGCGCAACAAGCTCGGGCGCCGCGTCTTTAGGTTCGAGGAGGAATGGACCACGGGCACGGCGAACCAGAGAGACAGGGAACACGGCACCCTCCGCTCGGAAGCACGCGTGCACGTAATCCGCATCGACAAAACGGTGGCCGAGCTCAGGGACTTGAACATGGCGCAGCAGAATAAGAATGCAACGGACGGTGGGGCGCTCCACGGCATTGCCGCAGATGCCGTTCGCAACTACTTCAAGCCGCTTCCGGGACAGAAACTGTACGTGTCGGCCCTGCTTCTCGACTCGCACTGGGACACCAACTCCAAGACAATCCTCGGCCATGCCGCCTTAGGCGGACGGGCCGGGGATTTGCACCTTGGAATCTTCGGGTCTCACTGTCTCCAGAGCTACCCGGCGAGCTTCGAAGAGATAGTCCCGGCCTTCACCGACTGCACACCGACCGACACCAACTACGTAGCCAACGACTGCAACGACGCCGGGAGCTCATGGGAGGCGGCCAACATTGGCATCGGCGCTCACCTGCACGAAACAGGACATCTCTTTGGCTTGCCCCACCAAGAGAGCGGTGTCATGGCACGAGACTATGTCACGCTAAACCGAACGTTTCTCATCCGCGAAGCCTATTCAACTCGGACGCGGTCCAAAGGAGGCTTGGTTTCGCAAGACGACGAGTGCACTTGGCATCGCCTCGACTGCCTGCGTTTCCGCAGCCACCCTTGCTTCCGCCTGCCCAACGATCCCGTGCTGAACCCCGACGACAGCGTCCAGGCGTGGCCGATGGAGGGTGGGAATCTGACCTTGACGGCTGCTACGGGCGTGGCGTATGTTGAGATCTTCGGCGAGGACGACGACCTGTGTCACGCCTGGAGCGAGTACAACCCGGCCGAAAACGGTGGAGTCCAGCGCCTCGTCGCACTGAGCGAGCAGGATTTGAGGAGCCGCCTGCCCGAGGGCAAACGCAAGGGCAAGCTGAGAATATCGGTCAAGTCCCATGGGGGCGGCACTCTCGACATCGACGACTTTGCCAAGCTCTGCTCCAAGGAAACAGCCTGCCTGAAGCTCCCCAGCGCGGTGCCCGGGCTGCCCAAGACGGCGTTCCGCGGGAAGAAGCTCGGCCTGTCCCAGATGCAGGGCAGCGCACCCCAGGAGCTGGTGTTCACCAGCGCACTCCGCCATGACCGCGTCCTATCACGCATCATCTTCTACCACGGTGCCGCTGTGGACGGCATGGAGTTTGTCTATGACGACGACTCGAGGCAGTTGTTTGGCAAACGTGGCGGGAAAGAAGGAGGGGATGTCTTTGATATGGGTGTGTAACTCGTGTTTTTGCCCAATCGACATGCACAGCCCGCCTGACTAACCTCCCTTGGGATAACTAACAGATATCCGCCGCGGCGAGTACATAACCGGCTTCTTTGTCCGGTCGGGCTTCTGGATTGACGCCATCCAGGTCTTGACCAGCCTGGGCAGGAGATCCCCGCTGTTTGGGAATGCCCATGGCGGCGATGCGTATGTTCTTCTCAGTTTCACCGTTTTACACCGTTTCCACGCGCACATTCTCCCGCTTCCCCCGTTTTTTGCCCCTTCCCACTTTCGAATACGACAAGACCTGTGTTTGTTTGCTGACTTGTGTCTCGCTGTGTAGCCATACCCTTATACCTCCCAGGGGATACAACATTTGTGGTGTCACAGGCAGCTGCGGGCCCTGGCTGGACGGCTTTTCGGTCATCATCACCAAGTGAGAGAGAGCCCTCAGTGGGGGCCGTTCAACAAACGAAACACAGTGTCGCACACACACTTGTGTACATACCCGTTGTTGTGGGTACCTATGGATTGGTGTTGAGAGACGTGGTGCACCTTGGACACAGCCGCTAGCGAAATGCGCAAATGCTTGGAACCTAATGAGCGTTTTCCTTATATTTGAAGGTATTACATATTGGTCTAGATACGGCACCGTACCATTGGTTCTGGTACTGCAGGAGGGTAGAGCTTCTGGTATTCGGCCGGGACACAGGATATCGCAGTCAAGAGAACGTCTGGGTCTCTTAATGGGTTGGCGGTTCACAAGTAATGTGGTGCGGACATAATAGATAGAAAAGCTGCTACGTGCTCAGGGGCGGGCTGGGATAAGTACAACTACCTACAATCATAACTACTTAATGATGGGAAGCGAATAAATAATTGCCATTTTTCCTAAGCTACCGAGGCTACTTAACTGGATTCACCTGAGATCGACCTGGGCATGTATATACATACAGTACTAGAACAGACACAGGGATTGGGAACGTTCTGGTCTCGTTCGATAGGGTTTGCTAGGGGATATATGTACAATACATAGCGTTGGATAGCAATCGAGGTCCTAGCTACCCTACGTTACTGTTTGCCTAGGGCTGTCTGTCTCTCCTGTATTGTATTGTACTGACCGGACGATGTCTCCCAAACCGGGCGAGACGGAGCAATATTCCAGGGACATGAGGAAAAAAGGTAATACCAAGCCTAGTCTCTCGGGATTCTTTGTCTACCCGTATCAGCCATATAGCAGAGGCACCGTAATGCCATACACACAAGCACCGACATCTACCCAGCTGTCTGCTCCTGGTCCCAGAGGGACGGTAGGCACCTCAGCACCGGAATCATCCAGAAATACTGATAGAGAAGCGCCGAATTCAGTCGCTATCCTCATCCTCATCCTCATCCTCCTCGTCCTCCTCCTCATCAGCATTCTCCAGCCACTCCACCAGCACGCGGCACTTTTCCTTGACCTTGGCCATCTCCTCGCTCTCCGAGGCCCGCTTATCCCCCCACCAAGCCAGGATACCATCCTCCTCCAACACGTCAAGACTATACAGCTGCTGCAGCATAGCGGCGAGGAGGGTGCCTGCGCGGGCGAGTTCGAGGTGCTGCTGGTGCTCGCGCTCGCCGAGCAGCGCGCGCTGCAGGGCCAGCGCAAACTCGGCCTGCTGGGTGACCTCGTCGCCGCCGACGCCGACCTCCTTGATGAAGCGCACGGCGTTGCGCTTGGCCGTGAGGGCCTTTTCGGCGGCCTTGGTGGGCTCCAGCCCGCCATGCTGCGGGTCGAGCAGCTCGGCGGCGCGCCTGCAAAAGGCGACGGTGATGGCGCGGCGCATGGCGCTGTCCGAGGCGTTGTTGGCCAGCCGGAGGCCCATGAACTCGAGCTTGGCCGAGTCAAAGTCCTCACTGTCGTCCGCGCGGAGGGCGTCGACGAGGCCGTGGACGGCGTCGTTGTGAAAGCCGCCCCTGCTGGACGCGTCCGAGGTGAAGGACGAGACCCGACTGCGGGTCTGGCCAGCTTCGCCGGCGTGGAGAGAACTGGCTGTAGACATGTTGTCTTCGGAGTCGTAGGCTCCTGAAGCGAGGGTTGATATAGATGATGTAGAGAGGTTGAGGGCCTCGAGCGAATAGATCAGTGAGCTTTGTAGGATCGAAGGGTCTCTCTGACCTTCCTCCTCGTCGTCCGAGTCTTCATCAAAGGTGGGTAATTGGTACGACGCGCCCTTGCCAGTTGGTCCGACGAGCGACGGGTCTGTCTTGGCTGTCTTTCCTTCGTCCGCTAACAAGGAGATCCGCGGGATTGGCCTAGGCGGTAGTTGGATGTGATTATCGATCTGTACGTTGTACGAAATTAGAGAGCCCTCCGGGATCCGACAGCCAGCGCCGACCACGGCCGAACACGCTATTACTGAGTGGACTACGGAAGTACCGTCCCCTATTACCGCATCATCCCAGATGTAGCTGTCCTCAATCCTCACGTTCTTCCCAATCTTGCACCGCCTCCCAATGACACTTCGGGAAATTGAACTCCCAGCCTGGATTTCTGTCCCTTTCCCAACGGCAGATTGTGCGACTTTGCTTCCCCTTTCGACTGAGACATGGTCCTCCATGTATGAACCGCCTTTTACTCGTCTGTAGGTTTGGCCGTGCAGCAAGTTGCTGTCTGGTACAAACGGGAGTGTCCACCGCTCGAGTACATCTCTGCTGATGCAATCGTACATCTGGAGGTTGCTGGCACGAGCCGCATAGCCGTCATCTAAAATTTCGGCATAAATCATTTTCCCATTCAACTCCCAGTCCTTCAGGACGCCATGAAGGAAGTTTTTCCGCGGCAACTCGTAGTCGAAGCTTTCGGACCACAGCGCCAGTACCTCAGGGGTACAGATGTCGATGCCGCAGTCGACAAGATCGCTCCGGATCTCGAACTCGCCGTGAGAAAGAAGTGATGGATCCAGGGTCAGGTAGTGGTCACTCTGCAGGGGATGTGTCTCTTCGTATTGCAGACACCGGCCCGTCGTTGAATCAACGACGAAAACGGGAGTAATCCCCCTCGCCTTTGCCGCCCGATGGGGCTGCTCCCCGACAGATCGCAGGACCATGGTCATGCAGTTATCCGAGCTTTGTTCTCTTCTTGCGCGGTGCTTCGCAAGCACGGCGTCCAATTGGATGTTGGAAACCAAATCGCCGTGGACGAGGATGAAGTCACCGGCAATCAGGCCTCGTTTATCCAAATCGCGCAAGAAGTCGCCAACCGAGTTGGCATTGGAGACACGGATGAAGTCGAGCGTAGCGAAGGGAGATATTGTGCTGCCGGGACTCCAACGCGGGGAAGCCTGAATGTAGTTCTCGACATCCTCGGAGTGTGCGCCGCAGTATATGAAGACTTCCTGGACGCCATTTGAAGCCAGGAACTCAAGCGTGTACTCAATGATGGGGACGTTGACGAGGGGCAGGAGGCACTGTCAAGAACATTGTAGTTAGCAAAGGGCAGTACAATGTATCAATATCAGTTACTGGACGGCCTACTCTAGGCTTCTCTAATGTAAATGGCTTGAACCTGTCTTGGAAGGAGTCGGCTAGGATGACAGCTTGGAGAACGTCTTCTCTCTTGTCGCCAGCGCCGGGCTTGGCCGACTTTTTCCCCTTGGCGGCGGCCGCCCCGCCCCTGCCACCTTGCTTGGACATGTATTGATTAGGTATCTTGAGACTTGAGGTTCCTAAATGGTGAATTGTGATTTTTGGTCCCGTCAAATGGATCGTGCGATATGAGATGTGCGATGCAGGATTGTATGTGAAACTACCGTCCTCTTGTGTTTTGGCGGAAACGACAAAGCTTGGAATGTGAGTCAAAGGTTGACGGCTTGTCCCACGATTCAGGTTCGCTGCAAGGTAGTGTGGGGCGCGGGGTTTGTGGCTGCAAGGCTGATGCGCGAGGCTCGATACTTTCCAGCACGGCCTGAGTACTTTGGGAGGCCAGAAGCCCTGTTAGTGCAGCCAAAATTTTTACACGTAAAAATCATCCTCTCGACACCCTTCTAACAGAAGCTGCGGGCGAACATGTTCCTTTTCCACGTCTTGTCCAATCCACCGTTGCAAGAAAATACCACTGCAGCACCGTAGTTACTTCAACGTCGTTTTTCATTGCTGATGGCAAACCACCACCCTACCGGAGCAAACGGACCAGCCAATAGTGAAACTACGAATTGAGACCCTACAACCGGAAGGCCTGAAGATCGGCTCACATTGATAGCAATGCCGTGCAACTTACCGTTCCCGTCCGGACAGGGCCCAATCTGTGCAGATGGGCCAGAACATCACGTCCCTGAGCCAGAACCGCAGCGCATTGTGCACCACCCCCACTTTCTGCTTCCGTTTCGATCCGTCCTAACTTCGAAGATGTTTGATCAGAAGCCTCCAGCTTGCGTCATTCTTTCTAGGTGCTACGAACAGGGAGCACAGATCAAGTGACTACACTATGGTGTTCTCCTGTGTTTATTTGGCAATTGCTGCTGTATAATTCTTTTCCGTTTTGAAAGCGCCAATACCCAGTCATCCCCTCATGTTGGACTACTCAGCTTGTACAATACAGCATGTACATGCAGGAATAGATACGTACGGATACACACTCCGTTATACAGCGACATGCTCCGTAGTTGGGATGAACCAAAATGGAACCGGAGTCTCTGCCGCCAAAACTTAGGACGAAAAGCGTTTGATGCGTCAGCTAAGAGCTTCAGGAAGGAGTAACGGTTTGTATAGTGGGGGGGGCCGGCATTCTTGATAGTGTAATGTACGGAGTAGGTGTGCATGCGATAGATACTATGCATATAACGATAAAACATGCCTCGCCGACGGAGCAACAGAAGCAACCCGACAAAACTCCGTCCTGCCCTCTTACCTCGGGACGAATGGCGCAAAGGACGGCAAACAAAAAAAGGGTCACACCGGTCTTGGTGTGTCGACGGGCGCCCGGACCCTGCCTAGCGTTTCTCGGGTGTGGGAAAAAAATGGGGAGCGCTAGGCTAGCCTCGCCCAGGCCAGCCCAGACGGCAAGCCAGGCCAGCCCAGAACTTCACCGGCCCCAGGGAACAGCTGCAGGATCCGGACCAGGCTTACGCAACACGGCAGGACGGCGACACAGCATTTCGTGCAGCTCCTGACCATAGGGAGAGGGAAACGGCAAGGCACAGGGGCCATGCGAGGGAAATCCGAGCCGAATGGCGCGATCCGAAGGGGGTTTCCCCTGGTTTTGTAACATTATCCCCTGTATCGCTACTTCGTATTACACGACATTTGGGTACAAATGGCAGCTACAAGATCGATCACCAGATACACTGCGATTAGGACGAACGTGTGTGGTCTACTTAAACATCATCACCACCTCAGCCACCACCATCACCGACAAGGCAAACCGCACTAATGTATGCATAGTACACTAGCATCGGCCCGGCACTTCTACCCCAACCCAACGTGAGTCAAACTCAGACATGCCCCCTTTGCGAGGCACAAATGCACCCCGACCAGTTTGGGCCATGTGAACGAGTGACACGCTTCGGTGCAGTGCATGTATCCGAAGGCAGTCCGCCAAGCCCAAGGCAACCGAAAACCTAATCACGATGGAAACAACCGAGCGACCTGGGGACGCGGGAGCAGGAGTGCGGCTGGGGCTGGTCCGTCTGCATCCAAAACACCACATTTATATAAATGCCCAACCCACTTTCACCTGCTGCACCACACGGGTTGCCCTGTCCCTGTTCCCCCTTACCGCTCCCCTTCCCCTCCTTTACTCTGGTACACTGATGGAGCTTGTCTGCTTGCCTGCAGGATATATATACTTTAACGCACAAACACACACACGCATACATGCATACATACTCGCTTGCGTGCTCGCATGCTCGCCATGCATATCTGCGGTGCGGTGCGGGTATGGAAGCGTGCTAGTCTATAGCTAGGTGTGCGCGTGGACACCGTACATACAAGACAGGGCGGTACAGACAGGACCACTTGGGAAGCACTTGTTCACTTGTCCCCTGCCTTATTATCAGTCCTGTTTCTATCTTCTAATCTTCGCGGGTTCTAAATTTGTATAGGACCCCGATATTCCCCTTCGTTTCCCTCTCATAATGTTTCACCTTGAGCGTCCTCGGCTGCTCATACAACCCCTCCGTCCTTCCTAATCTCTCTCCTCCACCTCCTATCTTCCTCCTCCACCCCATCCCGACACTTCCGGCTGTCTTCCTACTAGTGTACGGAGTATAACGCAGACCATCACAGGGCGATGCCTACGGGTAGGGACAAGGACTCGCCGAGCCGGCCGCCAGGTTGACCGGCATCTCAATTCATGAAGGCCGCTTTCTTCCCCCCCTTCCTCTCCCTAATCTTACCTCTCCTTCTCACCTACCTAGATGCTTCCCTCCGACAGCCACACCACGACGCGACACATTCGCTCGAAGACCGACGGACGGCGTTCTTAACGATATTCATCACATTGGACTGACCCCTGAATCACCGGGCCGTCACATTCAACAGGAACATCTTTCCTGATCTTGACGACACAGCCACCGTTAGCTCGCGACATCTTGACTTCGTCATAGGCATACAGACTCTCACCGATGGATACGAATACCGACACATTTCTATCCGTTTTGGAGAAAAGGCGGGTTGGTACCTGTCTGGTCTGTCTTGAAGACTACTTTACCTATCCCATGCTTATCCAATACCAATATGCGCCCCTCTTTCCCCTCCGGAAGGCCCCCTTTCGGTTTATTTATTCGTGTATCTTATTCAACCGACCCCAGCCCCGGAACGAGACAAACAAACAGAAAAGCGCCGATGAGAATGCCAACCAGTACCACCCTACGTTTGCTTTTGCACAGGAAACCTGACCTGACCAGAGCCGAACTGATCACCAAGCATCGAGCGTCGAGCGTCGAGCGTCGAGAATCGAGAATCGAGGATCGACCGAGCGAGCGAACGAAACGCGCAGGAAAGCAAACAAGCCTGTGATGGTTTTCGTTGATCACATTACCAACATCAACCTCGAATGCTACGATACAACCTCGAGTCTCTCCCTTTCTCCCCCTCGGTTTCTCCTCTCGCCGCATGCTCATTGTGCATACGCCCCCTGACCGGGCCCGGGGCCGTACAAGCGCTGTCGTTTCTCGGGGCGATCATCTCCGCCTAGGGCGCCCATCCCTTCAGGCAAGCGCGCCAGTGCTGGATTGGCAGCCTGGGCCTGGGCCTGTGCTTGCGCCTGGGCCTGGGCCTGGGCCTGCGCTGCCGCCATATAATTCGCATACTGCTGCTGCTGCTGTTGTTGTTGTGATGTTGGTGGTGGTGGTGGTGGCGGCGGCGGACGCTGTGTGCCACCGGGGGTCAATACCACACCACCCGGCCCGCTCCCGACGGCGCTCATGTACCCGCCACCCTCTAGGGTTGGCGACGTGCCGGGGATCTGGCCGGGGGAATGCCACGACGAGGCCGTCGAGGGCGACTGTATCGGGGTGGGCTCGAACTTGACCTGGGGCGGCGCGCCGCCCGCCATGATGGAGCCCGCCATGTTGCCCATGGCTATACCCGGCGGCGGGGCGGCGGCGTACCCCTGACTTGAGGCTGGGGGACCGGGCCCGCCCGCCGCCACGTTCTGTCCAAGATCGTCGACTATCAACCCCGCCGTCGATTGCGGATCTTTGAGCATCCGCGTCAGGTGCTTCCTCAGAATACGCAACATGCCGTCTTTGGTGAAGGGCTTGGCCAAGACATCGTTCATTCCTGAGAACTGGTTAGATGGGGGGGAGGAGTGCGAGATTTTCTTGGAGCGAGCCAAGCGGACTTACCGAATTGGAAGTAGGTCTGGATATCCTCCTGCCGGATATTGGACGTCATGGCAACAATGGGAATCTGCGGAGTGACTACCCGGATCATGGCCGTTGCCGACACGCCGTCCAAATTGGGCATGATGATATCCATGAAGATGAGGTCGTACCGATCACAATCAGTGTTAATTTTGTCGACAGCTTCGAGACCGTCACGCTATCGAAAGACTGTCAGCGATGACATTGGACCCCAGCCGTCACCTTCACTTACAGCAGTCTCGACACTGCAGTCCATGCTGGTCAGGAATTTGATACCAATCCTTGCGCACGTCCGGTCGTCCTCAACGAGCAGAATGAGAGGCTTTTTGCCTCGCCACAGAGATTCGACGTGTTCTTTGGGCGGGGGCGTGATCTGGGACGGGGCTTCGGCCACGGCGCTAGGGTTACTGAGCGGTCTACTGTAGGGGATGTTGTGAATATGGTCAGCATGGAAAGGGTCTATACCCGTGGTCTGGCCCACGGGATACACCATATGCCGAGGGTCATTTAGAGGGTCATGCACCAGCGGCATCGGCGTGGCGTTCGCTTGTGTGAACATCACCGACGAGCCAGCCGAGTCGGCCGGAGACCCGTTCTGGTTGTATGCCATGGACAGCCTCTCGAGTTCCCTATCAGCCTGCGAGTCCGGAGAAACACCGTTGAGAATTTCCCGAGCGCGCCGCAGCTCGGGCGCCGGCTCGTCGGCGCCATCCGGCAGGAAACCGAGCGTCCTGGCATGAAAGTTTGTGCCCGAATGGTTCGAATGGCTGGACTGAGCCGAGTGACGGCTGTTTCGTCGCCTGTCCTCCATATTGCTCAGATGTGTGATGAGCTCGTTGGTCGCCTGGCTTTGTGCCCTAACCATCTTTTGCAGACCCAGGACCTCGGCAACCAGAAGCCTGTTTGTCTTTTCGAGTTCATAATACTGTTCTTGCAGGGCTTGGATTTGATGTTGGGACGCCGACAGGGATTCGCTCAGGACCATGATCTGCTGCGACGCTGGGAATGCGTCTTCGGCCGGCGGAGGCTTGCGAGGCGCCGGTGCCTTTCTCCGAATATTGTCCAGGTTATCTTTCCGGTCCGCCCTGAATTCAGGGTGCCGGAATTCCCAGGCCTGCCATCCCACGGTTTGGTCAACACAAAGGCCCCTACTGACCCTATGATAGACGAGCTCACTTACGTCGCGCCCATATGGTGACTCGCCACTCTCCTCGTTGTGCCTGACCTTGTGGAAATCATACTTGTTTAATTGGCGGACGAAACTCGCAAAGTTGCTGTGCTTGAAGTGTTTCGGAAGGATAGTCTTAGTGAATTTCTCGTTCTGCACCGGCAAGAGTGTCAGTGAGGGACAAGAAGCGCATCGACAGAAGGTGGCGATTCCCTCTGCGAGGGCCGCAAGCATACCTCCAACACAACAAAGCTATCGCCGTCGGCGCTCCATCGTACTACTGAATTGTACGAGGGGTCCTCAAGCATCCTGCGATCGCCATTGGTAAGTAAGACATGCAGACGACGTCACGGCTAAGTCGGCGCGGTGCGGTGGACGAGGGGCAGGAAGGGTGGGAAGAAGAGTGGAGGGTCGTACTTGTAGAGCTTGCGCACCTTCAGCAAATAGTTGTTAGCAGCGACATCCTCAAGGCTAGCTGAAGTGACGGTCTGTCGACGAGACGGGAATAGGGGTGGTTGGGCAGTGGTGGTGATGCTCACAAAGTCGCTGGAGTTGTTCCCAGCCTGTGCAGAGGCCGAGTCGCTTTCAGGCGGCATGGCTGCGGCTGTCGAGGGTTGGGTGAAGCCGAAAACAGTTTACAGAGGAAGTCGAGGCAATGCAACCGCGGGCTTCCGAGGCACCGATAACGATGCAGCCGATAAGCTCCTTAATTGCACCCTGTGGCCAAACTCCCACATCAGATGGCAAAAGTTTCCCAGCAGTTGCACACTTTTGAAGATCGGCCCCCTTTAGGTTCTCATCCCCACATCGGAGAGAGCAATGCGATGCGATGCTTTCTGGCCTGCTGTTCCTGGTCGAGCTGGTGCCGTTCCCACTTTTTTGTTGGAGGTCACGTCTCACGGGCCGAGCGTTGTCGAATCAAGGGCCCGGCTCGCGACGTAATGCATTCGGGGGCGGAGGGTTGGAAAGTGAAGGGCCGTGCGACGAACCGTTTTTCCCTGAGGGCACACGTCTACCTAGGCTGGATCATTGGCACTTGAAGAGATGGAGAAAAGGGATGGGAAGCAACGCCAGAGGGCAACCAAGGTAAGGACGTGACGGAGAGAAAGACGTTGGCAGGATCCCTTCAAGGCTAAGCGCGACGCGGCGATTGTGAAATGGATCTCGAGGGGCCTGGGAAATGCTTGCCAAGGACCCTAACGGAGTAGGTAGCCGGCGTCGGTTTTTTCTTTGGAGGGGACGCCCTGCGACGAATCGAAACGTCATTTACCTTTCAGCAACTCAAGGCGGCACGAGACGGAATTCGAACACTTTCAGCTGAAGGAGAATCAGGGGTTTGCAAGGACAAGAATGGGAAAAGGTAAAAAAAACTCGGATCTTGCCATTGAAGGTTGAGAGCAAGCCACGCCACTTTCGTCGATTTAGCACAGCGGGTTGAAGGTGACTGGGGTTCCCAGGAGCGGGGGTGAGCGGAGGAACCAGCTTGGCGGGCAATATGGGATTGTCGATGATCAGCGACGAGACATTGCACTTCTTTCAACTAGCCTCTCTAGCGTTATTAACGTGAGCTCTTTGACACAGTACGGAATAGAGATTGAATTCTATTGTAATGTACGAAACGATTTTTGTAAGAGCGTTGAGCTAGGTGTTTGTATGTCTACATGGAACAGTCATACCTGCGGCCACAGGAATGTGCCGGATGGATGTTGAGGTCCACGGTCTTTCAGCGTCTTTTTGGAGACTGATGAAAACTCGATGTTGTCGAGAGGGAGAGCATGGTGGTGCTGTGGTCTTGCTTCTTATACAGTACACGACCAGGGGTACGCCCCTGAGCTCGACACCTTCTGGAGCCGGCTGTCAAAGGGACTTTGCGCCGATATCAGTCTGTAAGTTAAATATGCGCAGTTGTTGACTGGATTCATTCAATCCCATCCTCACTTGCAGCTTTGTCATGGGCAAAAACTGCAGGTATCCAAAAGGGGAAAATTGCTCTTTTGGGCCATACAAGTGATGGTAGGACAATGAATTCAACGTTATGCTGTACTTCCATACATACTGAAGGAGCGTTAGCTAAACAGAACAGTTAGTTGAATGATTCTAGGTTTAGATCGACCGTTCAACATGCCGTGCGCCATCATCACTCCCACTTGCGGTTGTCTTTGACGGTGAACCAAAACCAGCAAGCCATCAACCAAGAACCCCCATCGAACCCGTGCCGATACCCGGTTGGAACAAGCCCCTTCCTTCCGCCTGGGACAAGCCGCAGCCAGCCAGAAAACGAGAAAAAACATTTTAAACGGCGCCTCACTTCCAATCGGGAAATGATCGACGCTGGCTAACGCAGCCTTCAGACTCGTAGAACAACGAATGTTTCTTGGCTGCGTCGTACAGCGTGCTTGCTGTCTGCTAGAGCGAACCTCATCAACATGAATTGCAACCTGGAAAATGTAAGGTAGGTTTCCTTTTCTTAACGTTGCGTATGCGGGTGTGTGTAGTGTACCTACCATAGCGGGAAAATCTGGCTGGAAGCTATCATAGCCAGGCCCTGCTATTATAGCCAGGCCAACTAGGATAGCACTGTCAACTAGCATAGCACCGTTTCCCGCATCTAATTGGTCAGAAACTCAGGATCCCCGACTTCCAGGCTCTTACAGGGACTCCTTAGCGAATTGCGCCCACTGCACTGACTCCAGGCCACAACGTTGATTGAAGCCAGGGAGCTTACAACGCCTCGACTACTCCCAATGCCTTGCAACGCCCCGACTGCTCCCCAGGCCTTGCAACGCCCCGACTACTCCCAGGGCCTTGCAAGGAATAGAAGACCAACTGCTCCCACCTAGCAAGGCCCTGCAATTCCCCGACTACTCTGTACGTAAGGCCCTGGCAGTACTACTCTCAGTGCTCTATGTACAAGGCCCTAGCAGTACTGCTCTGCACGCAACCATACGGGGAATGGGGGGTCCTACAACAGAGCTTTGGTAAGTCTGTTACGGTCGGAACAGAATAAGTTGTGGAGCACTATGCTAGCATTACCCTACGCAGGCCACAGTGGCCTGCAGGGCAGTCTTAGCTCGTTGTAACAGCATGTTCGAAGAACACTCTGTTGTATACTGTTCCCAATACATTATGTTGGAGCAATAATATACTGTTCTAACAGTAATAGACTATTGGAAGCTCTATTGCATTCGCTATATAGAACAAAAGTCAGGTCCCCGACAGGTCTTTTCTTTCGACCTATATCGGCTTGCTCTCTATACCTACCTCTGGAAGATTGAATCTACCCAGGCGGCGACGGAGAAAAAATAAGACATCTTCGCGGGAGTCGAACTTACAGTCTATAGATTACAAGTCTACAATGGAACAATTATACTACGAGCACACGTGACTGGAGTTTAAGAATACTAGACTATATAGTGCCTGGCGTAAGGAAGAGAAGGAGCACTTGAGTCTAGAGGAGCAGCAGGATACAATACTGTTGGAAGGATATAATAGAGTTAAAGCAGAATACCCTGTTACCAACGAAACAGATGATTTCTTATAACAGGCTATTGTAAGTAGGAATGAGCTGCTTCTTAGGAAACAGAATATCCTCTAGACAGCCTATTCCTCTTTGTGACGAATCTCGGTCCCCTACCACTGAAAGGGACTCCTCAGACTGAAGGTTGACTTTGAACGGGGTGAGGTTCGGTAGAGCCAAAGGGTCTACAACAAGTGCACAAGCAAGTGTTCACACAGTAGTAAAGACAACTGCTTGCATTGCTTACTGGAGAACCTCTGGCAGGTCCTCCAAGGGAATAGCTAGCTATCTAATATACTAATGATTGTCTTTGAGGATCACTCCTTGCTCCTAGTGATCTTTGTACTGGCTCACCTGGCTCACTTCGTGATCCCAGTGATCCTTTATGTTGCTCGCTCTCTCTTCTTAGTGATCCATTCTGATTGGTCAGTTGAGCGATTGGCTGCCGCAGCTCCCCGCGCTGCGGTTGTGACCATGCCTGGCCACCAGTAAGGTCTGTTCGTGACACTCTTATACAATACTATTGGTCTAAATAGATATAAGGCATCCTGTTGCAACTACCAACATGGTGTTGCAGGAATCTTGGCTCTGTTACGACACTAACAGTATTACTGCAAGCTGTTATAGGACCCCCCTCTCCCCGTATGAAAGCCCTTGACTAGCCTCCACTACATTGTGTGTAAGGCCCTGGTAGTGCTACTCTCTGTATAAGGCCCTAGCAGTACTGCTCTTTATATAAGGTTCTAACTATCGGACTAGCCTACTCTACTCCGAAGACCCTATAGGGCTAGGGACTTAACTATACTATTCCCAAGGCCTTGCATATAGAGCAGTCAAGGCCCTGAGAGGTCTTAGAAGTAAAGCAGGCCAGTCCGATAGTCGTGGCCTCATATACAGAGCAGTATTGCCAGGGCCTTACATAGAGAGCAGCACTACCAGGGCCTTACACACAACGCAGGCCAGTCAGGGGCTTGCGCGCAGAGCAGTATTGCCATAGCCTTGCATATAGAGCAGTCCTACCAGGGTCTTGCACACAACGCAGGCCAGTCAGGGCCTTGCGCGCAGAGCAGTATTGCTAGGGCCTTACATACAGAGCAGTCAGGGCATTGCAAGGCCTTAGGAGCAGTCAGGGCGTTGCAGAGCCTTGGGAGCAGTCGCGGCGTAGCAGGGCCTTAGAAGTAGTTGGGTCATTCAAGGTCTTGGGGCCTAACCTTATAAACCGTGGCTTCCTTACCTGCTCCGTACCTATGTACCTCCCCTATATAACCTTATTCTTCCTTCCCCCATTCAATTCTTATCATTGTAGTAAAGTAGTAAGTATCTCCCACGTAGAGTAACAGTCTTCGTAAGGCCTAGGATTCAGTCTCAGATATAGTAGTATTCTTGTTTTCTTCTAGAGTAAGTCGTAGAGTCCAGTTCTTAGAAGAAGAGCTTGTTCAGTTACAATACAAAGTACCTGAGCAAGCGCCTCCACTTTTGATTGGTTCCATGGATAGGTGCTATCCTAGTTGAGCAGTGCTATCCTAGTTGACAGTGCTATCCTAGTTGGCCTGGCTATCCTAGTTGTAGAGACAGTCAAAGGTTTTTTTCTATGATACCGCCCCCCATGCTATGATAGCTCTCCTCTACAGATTCCCGCTGTGGTAGTCATTGCCACTGACCAGCCTGAAAGCTGCCATTTTCCGACCGATATCACAACTTAAGGACAACGTGATACACATTCTGAAAATGCACAACCTCGACGCGGGCCGGGCGATCTCCCGGCTATCATCAATTCATCATCAGTCAGCCATCTGTTTCTCAAAAGGAGCATGGCTGTGGGCAACACCGACAGCTTCGGTGTAAGTGGGGGTTAGTGCACTAAGAAAGGTGCCTTAGGTAAGTGCTAGCATACCTTAGTGTAGAGCAGTCAGTTACAGGACCGCAGCGGCTCGCTAGCTAGACAATTTTGCATAGTGCTTGTTTGCAGCTTCGGGGGTTTGGGGGGATGCAGCGAGGGCCTCAATCCATTTTACCTCTGCAGTGGGTTTAGACTCTAGAGAGGCTTACATACGATGAAGCATGCTCTTCTTCAATGCCCATGTATGTACTGTATGTACATACATAAAGAGAATTACTCCGCGGGCACTAGTACTTTTCTATTTGGGCACTAGTCCTCCCAACACGGCACAGGGTTAGGGTTATCGCTGGCACATCCACATCTCTCTCCTTCTGACTGCGCACCCATCTTACTGCTCAACGCGAAGAGTGGCTCAAATCGCTCAAATCGCTCGAATACACCTCTTACTGCAAGGCGCTCAATTGAGCTGAATCTAGCCATTTGGCACCATCTTCGCGAGATTGTATGCGAGTTTCTTGCCTGACTAAGCTGTCTGACTAATCTGTGCCCTGTCCTGCGCCCTGTCCTGCGCCCTGCCCTCCTTCGCTGGCGACGATGTTGTTCGCGATGTGGTTGTCGGCGTTGTTGGCTTGGGAAGCTGCCCTGCTATTCCCGCTATATCGCTGTCGCTGTCGCTGTTGCTGTATCGCTGTTGCTGTCGCTGTTGCTGTATCGCTGTCGCTGTCGGTTGCGCGCCCTTGGGGGAGGAAACTTGAAGTTAGAGAGGTCGATTGGCACCATGAGCAATTCAACGCGCGGGAAATTATCGTCTTCTGTTGGAGGAGATCTCGATAACGCTCTCTAGTTCGGCTATGGTAAAGCGCGATTGACTTTGACGTGGGAAAACGATTGATTGATTGATGTGGTTGAAGTTGAAGATGGAAGGTTTGGTGTGGTGGAAGAGATTCGAAGTCTTTAGGGTCGAAGAATGGGGGGGGACTAGTGCCCACGGAGTAATTCTCTACATAAATCTCACAGCACGATTCAACTGCCTCCATATTTTACCCCCCTCCCCCGGCACACAGAGGAAAAAACAAAAACGCCATGCTATGTCTGGTTGACCCCATCCTGTATAGGTACATACCAAAATAAACTGTCCCAATCTTTCGTCTTGATCAAGTGATGGCCCTTCTCTTCATGCTCCTCATCCCAAGCCTTACCACTCTCGTCTACCAAACCGTGCGACGGGATGGGGTCAAAGGCCTTAATACTTCAACACCTTCTGCGCCTTGTCCTTCTTGCTGACCTCGGCAGCCGCCTGCGTCGAGAAGGCACAGTACCTGTCCTTGATAGCGACCACCTCGTACGTGCCCTCCTGACTGGCCCGGATAATCTTGGTGTGCTCCTCGCTTATGTCGTGTCTCGTCTCAAGCACCTGGCTCTTCTGCCCCTTTCTCGCATTGGTGCTCCTCGTGTACGTAAATTCAAACGGCGGCGTGCCAAAAAACTCAAAGAGGATCTCAACCTCGCCGCCCTCGTGTATGTCGACGCGGACATTCTTGCCCTTGCTGATCCGGACGGCTGGCATGGGGTGAATCGTCTTGGCAATGTGCACCGGCGCACGGCACTCGCTCGCCTTGTCAGAGATGCTCGTCATGACAAACTCGCCCGGCGACTCGGCCACGCGCCGAAAGTTTGTCGTCGGCGACTTGGCCTTGCGCTCGACCCCGCCAAACGTATACCACACCTCGAACGGCGGCGTGCCTGAGAGCGTGTACGAGATGCGCTCGCCCACGCAGTAGTCCGTCCGCGTCTCCAGCGGATAGATGGTGGGCGCCTCGAAGAGCTGGACCTGCACCGACGGTCCGCCGACCTCGGCTGTTGAGTGGCAACCGCTGCCGTCCTTGACATCGCGGATGCGTATCTGCTGGGTTCCCAACCGGAGCTGATGACGCGGAATGTGGAGCTCGTACGAGTTGGAATTGATAGTGGGAGTCCTGTAAATCTCGGGAAGCGCCGCACTCTGGTGTTTGATCTCGATTTCCAATGAAAATGGTGGCACACCTGTCAGCAGGACTGGGATGCCGTCCTCGCCGTCCTGCTCGGATTTGCAGTACTTGAACGTCTGCCCCGGCTTAGCAAACGATGCCGCCGGCTTTCTGTTCACCTTTTGCTGCACCTGCAGGGGCTTAAACTTCTTGTCGCTGCTGTACAAACTGTCCTCTAACGCGGTGAACTTGTACGTGTACAGGCCGGCCTTGGCCGTATCCGCCCGGATCGACTCCTTTCCGAGCGCAGCGTCCAACCGCTTCTTGCTGACTGACCCTGACCCTTGCGGTGGGTGGTGGCGAATTGTGTATTCCAGGGTATATGGGGGTGTTCCTGCGCAATGTCAGCAGCGCTCATCAGTCGCATCGGACCATCTTACCTTTCAAGGCGACTTCGAATCCCGATACGTCGCCTTCACACACCTCCTCCACCATGTATCCGGTGTCTGTCTGGGTAACGCCATGCGAGAGCGGCACCGACAGTTCGGGACGTGGGAACCAGTCCACCTCAAAAGTGGATGCCTTGGGATCAGGGACACCATGACACTGATTGTCCCAGACATCGGTGAGCTGGTAAGTGCCACGCTCCCTGACGCTAAGATAACCATTGTCGTTTTTGACAAATGACTCCCTGATCTGCGGCTTCTCCGCAGGATCGTGGTTGAGATTGGCCCACGAGACCTTCCATGGCCCCTCCCCAGTAAGGCGGAGTGGAAGCTTCACTATGGACCCTTCCACAGCCATAACCTTTCGCTTGTGCTCAATCTGGCCGAACGCAGCACGGGGGCTCTGGCGCCTAACCTGGATCTTCAACTCGTCCTGCAAGAAGTTACGGCATCCTCTCTTATCCTGAATGCTGGTCAGGCTCAACGTGTACTCTCCACCTTGCGTTAGTTGTGCCGTCTTGATCTGGTACGAGTCACCCTCAATGTTTGTGGCTTTGTGTTGCTTTCTTTTGCCATCGTGGATGAGCTCCCATTCAAGGGTGAAAGGAGGATCACCAAGCAGTAAAATGTCGGCTGAGACGACGTCACCAAGGCAGGCGCCCTTCTTGCCTGTGCTATACTGAATAAGAGCTGATGCTGCCGGCTTCACGTCCTGCTCCAGTACGTATTCCGGTCCGGAGAGCTTCTGCGCCGGATAGATCGCGTCGCCGATGCGGGTGAAGATGTATTTGTGATGCCCGGCAACACGGGGCACCAGGTCCATCTGGAATCGAAGGCCAGAAACGTGGACTTTCTCGGACCGCTGTACGCCGTTTGAGATAACATCATACTGGACGTTGAACGGCGGAGTCCCAATAAGGTCCATATCCACCCGCAGGCCGATAGAGTTGCCGGCACAGGTATCGGGAATCGGCTCGGAACGAACAGTAAGTGTGGGCTCAAGGGGGTTGAGCAGCAAGCAAGAAGAGGGCTCCTGCACCTCGCCTTCGCATGAGCTTGCAGTTACCGACTTCAAGGTGTAAAGACCGGGAGCAGAGATCTTGGGCCTGTCACGATCATTCTTGGCGTTGTAAAACCCAATAGACACCACATCGCCGTGGTCGCCACTTTCGGTAAGAGTGTCGATGGGCGAGAACTGCCAGCTCAATGTGTGTGCCGTGACCTCCTGTTTCTTGCCCTCGATCTTGAAACGGACGGGCAGTTCCTTGGACTTGCCCTTGGCAACCTTGAGGGGTCTTCCAAGATCGCAACCTTCCAGCCGCACCCGGGGTCTCTCTTTGACCACGAAACTCTGCACCAGATGCTTAGGCTTTGGCTTTCCTTCGGGGTCGTCGGCCGGGGACGCATATTTGACGATGTTTCCAAACCCGTCCTGGACTTCGTCCACAGAATATTGCCAGTCGCCACTGACGTGCATTGACTCGTTGAGACTAACTGGAACCTGCTGAGGCCGCGCCCACGAGATATCGTTGTCGTCCAATGCGATGACGCTAGTCGAACGAAGTGCTCCGAGTGGGGAGGAGAAGCCCTCTGGCTGCAGGCTCTGGAAGTGGAAGCTGTGGTCCTTGCCATTTATGGTACGGCTGTATTTGATTTTCAGCGGAGGAGTCCCTTCAACCTGCAGGGACAGGTCTGAGAGGTCTCCAAGGCACCGTCCCTGTCCTCCGACAGGAGGCCCCACCCATGCCTTTGGGCAAGGCACAACGAATGTCTGAGACGTCTTACGTTGCACTTCCAGCTTATACTCATCCAGCACTCTTCCAAGTTGATAAGCACCTGGTTTCTTAACCGGGTAGTCGAACTGAACCATGGCTTGCACGTCGTCGTGGCTCTCCCGCTTCGCCTTCCTCTCGATGTCCCGAATTTGGGTCCTGGTAAGCTTGACTGATTCTTGCTGGCCGGTTTCAAGGTCGACCCGGATAAGTTCAACCTCGACGGGAATCGTTGCGTTGAAGAATATCGGTAAAGACACAACCTGTCTGTCGCCTCCCAAGCAAAAGGGGTGAAGTTCTGGATTGAGCACGGCCGAGCTGAGCAAAAGGTCAGTTCCTGCTACCTATGCGATGGGGATACCGTCCAACCTACCCTTCTGGAAGGATATTGATAATTTGGCGACCCATGATCAGGGAAGAGTTGTGTATAATGCTCGAGAGTTTCACGTTGTGCTCCGAGATGGCGAGCTCCCGGTCGTAAAAGACTTTGACGAATCCTAACATCCATGCTTGCCAGGGGAGCTACATAGGAAGTCAGCATTCTTGGGCTTGAACAGCAGCAGGGAGGCATGAGTCTGTACCCCAAGATTGAACATGAGCATCCAGTCAAAGATAGCATGGACGAAGAAGGCCACAATCACGAACGACTGCGACAGCTCAAGCCATGGTATCCTCAGCTCGGGCAACCCGAATAGGAATGCGCAGTCTATTGCGATCCACTTCAAAAAGAGCCAAAAGGACTCTGTGTTCTCCTCAACAACCTGGGCCCAGTCGTATAGCTTCCACGCAAACAGGGCAACATAAACTCCGAGCGCATAGAGACGCTGTGTCGGGGCATCGAGAACGTTCAAGGGAATGACTGGGGCGGTATTGTTTGCGGTCGCGGCGCCTGCGGTGGGAGCGACTGGTAGGGGACTGGACGCCGTTCTTGGGGAAGGCCCTGGAGCGCCAGAAGCAGGCGCCCTAGAGCGTTGAGCTACGGGCGTCTGCGGAAAGGCGCCTATAGTAGATGCGTCGCCCATGGCATGCCGAAATACCGAGTCCCCAGAAAGAGAGCAGGCCGAGGGGGAGGGGGGGAAAGTGGTGTATCGCAGGTGCTGCACGGCAATTAATCGCAATTCTCCGTTCACAGGTTGCGGCGACGAACTTCCAGGTCAGGATATCGGTACCCAAGGTTGAGATCGCGTGAGGGCCGAACCTAAGGGTCGGACAACGGCAACAGGTTCATGGACTGCCACTGGCAGCTGCCTTGGTTTAAGTGTCGTCTTGTCAGTGCTGCAGTGCGCTGCTGTCGTTGTGATGCAGCGTCGACTCCACGCATATCTGCTAGAGCGCAGACTGCAAAAATTCCTGGCGCACGCTTTGTTAGCGGTGCTGCACGTCAATACAAGACGCGGTCCCAGATTTCTGTTGCCGCGCTGGGAACAGCTGCGTGTGTTTTGCGGCCAGCCAGAAGCCTGGCGGACTCAGCAGCTGCAACCACTTGGCGGAACTTTGCTGGATGATTGGCTTGTTTCCTTGAAGACCCCACTGAATAAGGTGTCCCCGCTCTGCAGAGCTTCCCGTCGGTGTCAACAGACGACATTCCAACGAGCTCCGTAACGTTGGTTACATATTGGATGCACTAACAGTACTGTAAAATAACGTTACAGAATTTACTTAGTTGTCGTCAATTTGAGAAGCTTGAAGCTCTCTCTTCGCAAACTCTCAAGAGTGTCTGACAAGAATGACTATTCAAACCGACTGCATTTAACGGCCTACCTTTGAATCGTTTTCGCATCTAGTGTTGATGTGAGAGTGGAAGACGATTGCGGTGGTTAAGGCAAGACGCGGCAAGAGCTATTGGACCAACCCGCTGAGCAACACTCTTGAGCACCGGTTCGGGCAGGTTTCAACACCCTGTGAGGCTCTCACGGCAAAGATACGATATCCTGCCACCTGCCACCGACATCTTGACGTTTGCACTTTCCGAAAATTATTGCCATTTGTATCATTGTCAAGCTTAATGCAGTACCCGGTTCCCACACTTGGTCGAATCATTCTAACTAACTTCTTTGTGTCGTTGGCTCGAGCAGTTGTAAGTGTCCGTTTTAAGTCTTCACCCGCCGAGCTGTTTGCATAACTTACCTGTGGCAATGACCTTGGGACAGTTGATCTGCCGGCCCTAGCCTTTGGCCAACTACCCACGGTTTGAAGGACGTCTTGGTGTGGCTTCAACCCTCAGTTGGTAAATCGTTACAGTCCTCGACGGACCTTGACCGAAGGGATGCATGGCAGTGTGCCCGGCGACAAAGCCCTGAGACTGCGGAGCTGCATGTTCGTCCGTTCCGGCCGTCAACCCGCTCAGTCAACCTCTACTCTTCTCGCAGACTCTGTTTGATTGCCCAATTGGCTCAACTCTGCCGCTTCTTTTACCCAATCAACACGTTCCAGAGCACCGTGGCCGCTCTGGTCACCTACTTCAGCACAACCGGTTCATCTCGCCGTGCCTCGGAATGGCTAGTGGGCAGGCAGCAGGTGGGCTCCTGAAGCCGGCGGACCAGGAGAATGATGATGATCTTCCTCTTCTCCCCGTCCGTCGATCGAGCCGCGTGCGCAAACAGCCAGTCGCCTTCGCCGACGATGTCCAGCAGCCGTCAATATCGCCTACCTCTGCCACGGTCCGTCGGAATCCAAAGCGAAAAGCAGCCCCGGAAGTCTTTGACATACCCGACAACCTGTTGGAGGCGTCGCTTGGGCCCTGGAAGGAAGATGAGCAATCCGAGTGGCCCAGCTGGACCGAACTGGAATCAGATCCGGTTAGCTTACTCGCTCACCCGGCTTCCACTCGTTTCCTACTCACGACCTGTTAGGCCTTCTTCACAGCTATAATGGCCCAGATCGGCGTCAAGGGAGCAAAGATAGAGGAGGTGCTGTCCGTCGAGGGTGATTTTCTGGCCAGTCTTCCGTATGTCAATCCGCTTCCATCACCGCGATTTGGAGCACCGCCCTAACACAAAAGCAGTCAACCGGTCTATGGCTTAGTATTCCTCTATGAGTATGTAGAGGAGCCCAGTGACGTATCTACCGAGACGAGTGAAGACCTGTGGTTTGCGAATCAGGCAAGTTTGCTTCCGTCTCGAGAGCGCAAGTCACTCATAATGCCCAGACAACAAACAATGCGTGCGCTACCATTGCCTTGATGAACATCGTCATGAACGCCGAAGGCTTGGCGCTCGGCCAGAAGTTGCGCAAGTTTAAACAAGATTCCATGGGGTTATCGCCACCGTTGCGAGGCAACTTGATTACGAACAGCGCCTGGATACGGACGGCTCATAACTCCTTTGCTCGGTGGGTTGCTCGCGTACTCATCTCGCTGGGCCCAGTCAATTCCACCGGCTAACGTCCTACAGGCGGCTGGACCTCTTGAATGCAGCCCTCAGTCTGCAGAATGCCGTGGACAAGAGGAAGCGGCTTAAAGCCCGGACGTCCCAGAGCAAGAAGACGAAGCTGAAAGGGGGCAAATCAACTGCGGACTCTGCCTACCACTTCGTCGCTTTCGTCCCCGTCGGACGAAAAGTATGGCAGCTAGATGGCCTCAGGGCGGCGCCACAGTACATCGGTAACGAATCGTTCAGGACATCTGTATAGTCTCAGTGCCTCTAACGAGACGCCAGGTGAATTCGCCGAGGGAGAGCACTGGACATCTGTCATGTGTCCCGTACTAGAGGAGCGAATGAAGCGTTGCGGGAATGAACAATTATCATTCAGTCTATTAGCTCTCTGCGGTGACGACCTTTCCGGGCTCAGGCGGCAGCTCGCCGCCAACGTCCGTAGCCTTGAGGAGCTCCAGGCGAAATTGCACAAGCTCCCGAGCCAGCCAGCGGCGGATGACACTGCCGACATGGACATCATCTGCAGCTCAGCGGACAATGACCTCTCCGCATACCAGATTGACGCCGAAGACATACAAAGCTTATCTGATGCTGGCGGCAAGACATTGGATACAGAGCTGAGTTGCTCCGATCCGTCTGACAAGACGGTGGAAGCATGGAGGGAATTCCGGAAGAGACTGGTCGACGAGCAGAAAGTCATCCGCTCCGAGTACGAGACGAGGCTGAAATTTAGCGGCCAAGAGCCATCCAAAGTCCTTGGCCGGACAAAGGACCACACGGCTGCTATCCACGAGTGGGTGAAAAAGCTGGCTGATCATGGGGTGTTGAAGGAGCTGCATGAGGAGACGACATACTCGTAGGACAAGGTGCACCGCTTGTTGCCAGGCTGGCTCGCCCGTGGTTTGCGATCCCGTTTGCCCAGCTTCCCGGCAATTTGGCGACGCTGGTGGGGATCTTGGCGACGCATTGTGAGAGCTATGCTGAGGGCCGTGTTGCCCGGTCTTGATGACGAGATTACTGGGCATAAGCTAACTGAACCAAGGGTCTAAGAAGTACATACAAGAGGGATCAGAGCTGCGGCATAAAAGTGTCCCTGTGACCGGTGCCCGGAGAGGGAGCTGCTGGAGGACATGACGCATATTATACCCTGTGTTGCTAAGCCACAAATAATGGTTCTGTGGGATTGATTGCTCGTCACTGGCTATCTACTACCTACTACTAGTAGTTCCCGGGCTCCCTGTACCCTACAATTTGATTCACAGTGCTCAAGCATCCGGCTTATAGTAAGTCCTCTGGCACTGGACAATTCTTATTAGTAGTCTACTTGGAAGCTTGTTCCTAATGACGTAACCAGGAGATCTGGGGTTACCACAAGCTCCAGGCCAACGCACAGCTGCGGCAAGGGCGGTCTGGCCCAGGAGCTTCCGGGGAGATGACGGCATTAGGGCCCCCGCAACGCTAAACAGAACCCTTCAGGCAGCACCAGCGGGGCTCGTACTACTCCACTTCCTGCGCCTCCCCCAGGCTGAAAACCAACCAAAACCCAGAGCCAACTGAACTGCTGTCAACGAATCGGTCCCGACGTCAACATCTGTCTGCATACATCAGAGATCAGGTTCCGCTTGGCCCATAACTTTCTTGCTCGCTCTTCAAAACCAGCGTTCGGGCGCTTAGGTCTCTGCTTTTTCTCCCAATCTTCCCTTCGGTTCACCATTGACCGCACCGCATTCTAGGAGGGCAGACAGCACAGGCACGGGCTTGGAACCTGAATAACAAGCAGAACAGACGCCAACAGCAACATGTCTAAACGAAATAGCGCCGCGGCTGCGAATGGCGCCGCCTCGAAGGAAGGCTCCGAGGTCAATCCGCCTGGTATGTCTACCACCCACGACCTACACGATCTGGGGGAGAGAATAAGCGGAGACGGGGCTACTGGGGACTGAAAGTGCGACTCGAACCGCTCCGCTGACACTCTATATAGAAGTAGACAAGCAAAGACTCCTGTTGGCCTCCGACGCCGGGCACTTCTCCCTCATCCGAGCGCTGCATCTAGCGGATCTGATTACCGAGCTGAACGGTGCGCTTCCCCCCACCTTGCTTGTGTGTTGCGTCAAACGACAAGCGAAAATCAATATAGTATCTTGCCTAACCAAAACGCCCTACATCACAGGCCTCTGCGGCGTACTCTCCCTCTTCTCCTCACTGCGCTACTGCCTCGGCGATCCCTCACAACACGGCAACCTCTGGGCGGCGCTGCTCTTCCTGCCGTTCGGGCTGTTTTTTGACGCTCTCGACGGCAAGGTGGCGCGCTGGCGGAAAAAGAGCAGCATGATGGGACAGGAACTGGATTCTCTCGCCGACTTGGTAAAGATCTCCTCCTTCCCCCTTCTTCCCCCTTTCCGCTCACCCATTTAACTAAACAAATTCATTATTGCCAACCAGATCTCGTTCGGCGTCTCCCCAGCCGCAATCGCCTTTTCCCTCGGCATGCGGACGACGCTGGACCAAGTGGGGCTCGCCTTCTTCGTGCTGTGCGGCCTGACACGGCTGGCGCGCTTCAACGTGACGGCCTCGTCCATCCCCAAGGACGCCACGGGCAAGGCGCGCTACTTTGAGGGCACCCCGATCCCCACGACACTGGCTCTCGACGCCCTCATGGCCTTTTGGCTCTCGCGAGGCACGGTCCTCGACGCCCTCCCCGGCGGCGTCTGGTTCGCCGGCTGGGGCCCGCTGTTCGAAATCCACCCCGTCGTGCTCCTTTTTGTTGTTCACGGCTGCTTGATGACTAGTCGAACTATCCACATTCCTAAGCCGTAGGATCGGGGTGGTTGGCGCTGAGTGTTGCTGTACTGTCTTCTGTTTGTTTATTGTTTTACCGGTTGATTTGGGTGGACGAGGCTGTATGGACGGAAAATGTCATGGATCATCTGGGGTTAGTCGAGATTTTGCTCTTACCTAGGCGGCTGAGAATCAAGGGACTAAAGAGAGGGAGAGGAGATTATGTATAGATGCGACTGAGAAGCCCCCGAGGCCAATACTGCCGTCATGAGGAAGGGATCTGTACTAGGTATCTATCTCACCGGCCACGAGGGATCGATGATCTCGGTAGAACCGCAGAATAGGAGGGAGCAGAACCTCTACTCTCTACTTTGAAACGTCATAACTTCGACTCAATAGTCAGCCTTCATGCCCCGGTTGTTGTATCCGAGCAGCATAGGTACAGTACTGTGCCTGAATTCGACTGACCTCGCTGCAGAATACACCAATGTGGCAGCCCATGAATATAAAGACACTTCCCTCTCCACTCAAGCACATACGACCATACCTACTGGAAAGCTCGGGATCCCGTCCGCTCTCCCCTAGATAAACCAGTAAGGGCCAGATTAGTAGTTGGGTCGGTGACGACCAGCGAATCCCTGGTGTTGTATGTTTTTTTTCCCCTTTTCCCCCTTTTTAAAAGGCTTTGGTCTCAAAACCCCCTGTTGTTCCATCCAATCCAATCCTGCCAGAGCACAATCGAGCGTCGTGTTGTATACAACATGACATTATATGATGTGAACTTGGAGATGGAGGAGTATCTCGGACTGCGTCGCCTGTGTTACATAATATTATAGTGCTCCACCACGGAGCTATCTGCTTGCCAACTCTCGTACCCCTTTTTACATGGACCGGACAGATAGTTCGTGACCATCCGGCAGATGATCTGGACAGGGAGGTGCCTGATGGGAAACTGTTGGGTATTGTTCTCCGACTTACAGGAACCCATTCTCCTGGATTTAGTTCCCATCGTTATCTCTGCTATTATCGCCGGTGGTATTGCATTGATGCCGCGTATACTGACGATTCTGATATATGTAGCTTTACAGACAATGTCCATTGAGAACCTTTCATCATATCCATAAATATATATACAGTGCTCCATGGCCAAACCTTTGTCTTAGGCGACTCTGCCCGACAAACAGACAATAGATTCGACTCTGCGGCGTTCTACGTCATAGCAGGCATTCGGTGCAACTCAGCAACGGGACAGAACCATCGTAGCACAACACGCACGCCCCATACAGAAGAGTCCTCTATAACCTTCACCCATCTAAGCGTTCTCCGCCTTGGCCTCCTTCTGGTGCGGCGGGAACGGGTTATACATCCCGCGATCGGCCTTGAGCTTGCGCAACTTCTCCACTGCCTCGTCCAGGTCATACGGCACATCTCTTGCCTGGGTGGAGGTGTCGTCGCGGTACCGAATGTTGACCTTGCGGTTCCGCATCTCGTCGTCGCCGACAACGAAGCAGAAGTTGTCTGCCAGGGGTTAGTGCTCGGCGTAAAATGAGGGAAGGCAAAAATGCAGAAGTCACTCACATTGGGCCAGCTGGCCGTTTCGGATCTTCTTTTGGAGCGTGTTGCCGCTACTATCGACATCTGTTTGCAAGGAAAATGTTAGAACGGCCAGGAAAGCCGAATCTGGGAAAACGGCAAACGTACCAACATGGATACGCTCTTTTTTCAGCACCTGAGCAACCTCCTTGGCGTAGCCCAGGAAGGCCATGCCCACTGGAATGACGATAACCTGGCGCGGCGACAACCAGAAGGGCCATTTGCCAGCAAAGTGCTCGGCAAGAATGGCTGCGAAGCGCTCGATACTGCCCGCCATCGCGCGGTGGATCATGACGGGCCGAGCACAGCCAGGTGTCAGGGGCTTCTTGACTAGCAGCGGCTTCTTCTTCTCCTTGCCATCCTTCTTCTCGTCGGCGGCAGCCTCTGGTGCCGGTATCGGAGCCGGAGCCAGAGACGGATCGGCAGCATCCGCCTTGGCCTGGTCCTTATGGGCTCCCTCAGCAGTCTGATACTCCAAAGAAAAGTTTATCGGCTGTTGGAAGTCAAGCTGAATGGTGGCACATTGCCAGGCTCGCTGTAGGGCTTAGTCAGCGGATGAACAAAAGGGGATGATTAGGCCATGTCGCATACGTTAAGGCAGTCCTATAAACGTCGAAGTTAGCACTCGTGTTTAGAGAGCGGCCCAGAAGCTCTGAAACCACAGGAGCGTTATACGATATGGATGGTACATACCAGAATGGCGATATCGATCTTTGGGCCATAAAAAGCGCCATCACCAGGGTTAAGTTCCCATTTAACCCCACCCGCGGCGGCAAAGTCGTCGAGAGCTTCCTTGAGGCGGGCCTCTGCACGATCCCATGTCTCGATCTCACCCATGTACTTGTCCGGCCGGGTGGAAAGCTTCAGTTTGAAGGTGAGACCAAGCGTGCCATAGAAGGAGCTCAGGAAATCGAAGAGATCGGCGACTTCCTCCTTGATTTGATCCTCGCGACAGACTGTCCCCAGTCAATTTGACTGAACACCAGACACAGGCCAGATGACTTACAGATATGTGCGTCGTCCTGCTGGAACCGCCTCACTCTCGTCAAGCCGCTCAACGCGCCACTGGCCTCATTCCTGTGAAGGACACCAAAATCGGCAAAGCGCAAGGGCAATTCCTTATGACTTCGTTCCTACGGTAGCTTTGTAAGTATCATGAATTCGTATGCACTAGGCTTAGCGACTTACGCGGTGGCGGAACATCATGGCGTGAGCTGTAACGCTGTTAGAAACCTCCGGGGAGAAGATACCAGCTTGAACGAACCTGGGCAGTTCATGGGCTTGAGGCCGAACTGTTCCTTGTCCACGTCGAGGAGGAACATGTCTTCTTTGTAATGAGCTAAGTGGCCTGATTGCTCCCAGAGCGCGACGTTGAACATATTGGGGGTCATGACCTCGTCGTAGCCCCGCTTCCAGTACTCCTCACGGAGGTAGTCCATGATGGCGTTGTGGATACGCATGCCATGAGGAAGCCACATGGCGGAACCGGGCGAACACTCCTCAAAGTACCAAAGCTCCTGCTGCTTGCCAATCAGACGGTGATCGCGCTTGGCCGCCTCCTCCAAGAACTTCTTGTGGGCAGCCATTTGCTTCTTATCTGGGAAGGACACTCCGTAAATTCGCTGAAGAGAGTCGTTGTTGGCGTCGCCGAGGAAGCTGAGCCACTGTCAGCGGCAACTCAAAGGATACGGTTGGAGAGAAGCCATATCATGGCCAAGAATTGGAGTGGTACATACTATGAGGAGGAATTCTTCATGATGGCAAAGGCCTCAATCCTGCCAGTATCGGGAACGTCTATTCGGGGTCAGCTCGGTTCGTGTAGACAACATTGAGGTACGAGATCAGGAGAGCTCACGAGGTCCACGGCACAGGTCACTATTGGCCCTGGAGTCAGCACTTGTCCATCCGAGACTCCCAGACTGCGGTGAGGTGAGAATGAACTTACATTAAGGGGCCGTTTCGGTAGACGGTGGTTCTTGTTCCGTCCGGAATCTTGTCCTTGATGATGTGCTGCTTGTACTTGTTGTAGGCGAACATTTTGAGAAGGTCCTCTTTACTCATTTCCAAGCGCTGGAATGGCTGCTTTTCTTTTACGATCTTACCGACGATGGCCTCGAGGGGAGCATAATCAGTGGCATGGACAGCACCTCCGTCAGGCAGAGCCATTTCGTAATAGAAACCGTTGTCCACAGCTTTAAGGGGCTTCGTCAGGATGCTGTCTACGGCAATCGAGGGAAGGCACACCTACGGGGACCGATGCATAGCTGCGAAACCGAATCAGCAAGGGGAATGCCATAGCTAGCGTCGGGTGAGCGGAAAAGAGAGGGGGCATACAGAACAACCAAATCTCCGCTCACAGGCTTCGCCTAGAATATGGGCGCTAGAATGCCCTGAGAACTTCCATGTCAGTCGTTGAGCGCTGACAGGGCTGCAGTGCGGGAGCCGTACAGAAGACAAATCTGCCCTGATCGTCGTTGAAGTCGAGCAATTCCAACTTGCAACTCTTCTCGAGGGGCCGCTCGAGATCCCACAACTGGTCCCCATCGATTCTTGCGACAACGGTGCGCTTGTACAGACTGTTGGATATGCCTTTCGCAATCTCGGCCGGGGTCGTTTCGTAGGCCTTGCCGGGCTTGACGGTGCCATCGGGCATGGTGATCTGGATCTCATGTCGCGGTTTCCTAGCCAACTCCTCCTGCTGTTCCTTGTAGAGACGGTCGAACAGCTCGATCCGTTGCTGCATGAACGCAGGAGGGGGTTGCAGTTCAATCGGCCCGGCGTCGGCGGCGGCCACAGGGGTCTTTTTTTCCTTCATGGTGTTGGCGATGGTGTTGAGAGACTCGATGTATGTTTTGCGGCAAGTCCTGACTTCCGTGAGTCAAATGGAGGGGTTGAGGTTGTGGGAAAATATGTGGGCACCTTGATTTTGAATTGCCCCGCGATCGATAAGGTGTCTCCAAGTTACCGGTAACTCCCGCGTGCTCATTACCGCGGGCTGCTATTGGCACTAGCTACATCTAAGGGTACGAAACGTACTCAACTTCGGATGATCAAGATGCTATAAACCCCAGGTTCCCCGCCATGAACTCACTCTGTTGAATTTGGTGGCTTTACTCTCTGTTCCTATCCACTTCAGAGCGTTCTTCAAGTCGCACATAGTGTACGGAAGGAAAGCCGCAATGTAATTGATGCAGACCGAACCCTTGAAGCTCGAGCCACCCACGCGGTACGGAGTATCGCGCTGATAACCAGGAGCAGCTTGTGCCATCTGACATTGGGCTGACATTCCATTGCCCCTCTTGCAGAAAACCTCGAGCTCGACATCAGTCTGGCCACCCTGTGTTACTGTAGTGTGTCGACCATTTACAAATTCGAGTTCCGCTAGTACAAGTGCATACAGACGTCGCGATCTTAACATAACCTTAAATACCGACGCGAGCCCGTTGATTACTTACTGCATCAGCGGGGAAGCTACCCCCCTGCGCTGATGCGCACATGCAATGCCTTCGCTCGAGGATTTCCCTGATGAGATCATCCGGCACATTCTGCTCTACTTGCCGCCCGAAGACAACCACGAGCGCTTCCAACTAGTCTCCCGCCGTTTGCACCACCTCGCCAACGAATCTCTCCTCTGGCGATGGCATTGCACAACATCGTTCAACTACTGGCATCCGCGCCACAAGCTCCGAGAGAAACTCGCAGCGCGCGCCTCATCCGTGAACTGGAAGGCTCTCTGGCTCCAGAGGAGACGAAGCAATCTCGAGGTTGCTAGGCTGCTGGACGAGATTCTCTCGTCAAAGGTTGGCCAGCTGAGCAGGCTGCAACAAATCTGCGAGCTGGGATACGATGCAAAGGACTATCTCCTGGACCAATGCCATGTTGATGAATCTGCAGACGACGTTTTGGCTAGAAGGTAGGCAGGAAAATGCTCTGTTCCTCAGGCTTGTCGGGTACTTGTCTCAACAGAAGGGGCCTTTGGACTGAGGCGGTGGTTTACACATCTGTCCTCCGTTCCACCGTTGTCCGGTAACTAAACGCCGTCTCAGGTATCACGCATATTCGGCCCTGGACAGCATTCATAGGGGTGTTGCGGTAGAGGTATGGTCCCGATACCAAGGCCAAGCCTTGAGTGCGAAGGACCTCGATACTGCGCTCGGTGCCTTTGACATGTTTGTGCTGCATGACCAGAACCAAGACTTGGAATATGTATGATTCTCCGTTCCATTTCAATGTTCCTGGTTATCATAGGGCACTACCCGACTAATGTTCCCCTAGATTTCGAGGACCTTGGATGAACTCGCTGAACGATTCAAAGATGAACACCCAGCCTTTGATGGAATGTCCACCAGGCAAAAGGCCCTGTCGCTGGTACGCTGGTTGCGAGCAAACAATTTCACTGGCATGGATCATCCTGAAATCAACTACCGCAACCTGAGGAACTGCTTCATCGGCCACGCCCTCTCCGATGACCAACACCAGTCTCTTCCCATCATCTCCAGCGCCATCTTCACCTGTGTGGCGGAACGGCTGGGCATGACAGCTTTTTGTCTGGCTTTTCCGAGCCATGTCCACGCAGCGGTATATGCACCACCCGGGGAAGATTTAGACGGGGCGCAAGTCGAGACCACGGATGGTGAGCAAATAAGAATGTGCCTTGATCCGTATGGATCCGACGAAGAGGTAACTCTAAGCGATTTGCGCATACGACTGGTTGAATTCGGCTGGACCCAAGGAACAGAGGCCTTTCTCAGCCCCTCCCCCGTGCCAATAATCGTCCAGCGGACGGCGCAGAATATTAAGGCAACACACGACACGATCCGCAACCTGACGGACAATGAGATCCTAGAAGCCGAGATGAAGCGCCTACGGAGCGGTCACCCGGACCTAAACATGGAGGCCGCCCTCTACGCCTCTATGTGGGCCGAACTTCTCATGAAGCAGGCGTCCAGCTTCCACTGGGACTCGAATCTCGCCTCCTTCCTCCAGAAATTTGCCCTCTCCTGGAGCGAAGACATGTGGATAGTCAGAAAGTACCTCCTCCCCCTGTACGAGAAGTTCATGGCCTCGCAAGCCAACCTGCGCCCGCGTCGCGGCTGGCACAATGTGCATGAGATCCTCGCTATGCTTGATAACCTCGACAGCCGGCAGCCCACCGTCAGCCGTCGGTACACCGAAGACATCTTTGAGCAGGTGCGCTACAAGATCGGCCAGGTCTTTCGCCACCGCCGCTACCAGTACATCGGCGTCATCAACGGCTGGGCTGCCCTGGGCACCGGCGGCTTGCCCATGCCCCATTACCTCGACGCGGCCGAGGCCGAGGAGGAAGGCGACGGCTTTGATACGATCGAGTCTGTACATGCCAGCCGCCAGGGCGCGCAAAGGACGTTCTACACTTGTCTGTAAGTCTTGGATCTTTCGCCCATCCCTTTCACTTTTGTACAGAGAGCTCACCGAAGGCGCAGAAGGTCAAATGTCGACCGCCTGCGTGTGGCCCAAGAAAACATCGTCATTATCACCGACCCCAGCCTCATCCCCGAGGACCTCTTCTTCGTGGCGGGCAAGTTCTTCAAGCGTTTTGACAGGGAGACATGCACCTTTGTCTCGAATATCAAGGAGTACTATCCCGATGATTGATTACACTCGTTACAAAGCAAATGTCCTAAGTGCGCGGTTTGAATTCGGTAGCATGGCGGGTAGATCCATGAGGGGATTCGAGAGCCGGTGCAGGCCATGGATTGCATTTAAAAAAGGTGCCATAGACCACGGCAGTCTGTTTGGATCATCTCAACGCCTCGGCCTCGAGCCGGCCTATCAATTGTAATATGTACATGATTCCAATGAGGACCTTTACGTTCGTGAAGGAATCTTATAGCAGTGGCACGACCAATATCATAGATGGCATTATCAGAGCCTTCTCTATACCCAACCCTTTCACCCCTCTCCATGGTATCCAAGGCCCCTTCCCCTTGCCTTTTGAGAATAGATAGAAGTGTATCATCCTACCCCTTTCCCCCAAACCCTCGATCATCCCAGCATCGTCTCATTATATCTTCATTCATCCCAACACAAAAACCAAAATGAAACAGGAACAGGGGGTATCTTAAACAGGACAGAATCGAAAACAGCAAGCCAACCCCATCCCAATCCAGCCCCACAACCTGGGATATACACCCTCGCCGTCATTACTGGCCCAACCAATCCCAAGAGGTACATTGAAGTACTTTTTCCGAAGGTTTTTCCATTCAGTTGCAGCAGCAAGCCGTCGGGAGTTTGAGATGTCAGTGCGAGCGGGCCCTTGCCTCGCGGCGAGTAGCCCAGCCCTTGAGGGCAACCAGCAAGATGACCCACGCCATGAGCAAGCCGACAAGGCCCATTGTGACGGTGTACATGAACATGGCGTCGAGCTCGTAGTGAATCATGCCATCCACCGTATCACTCGCCTATCCATCACACAGTGTTAGTTTCGGCGAGAAAATGACGAGCCGTCTTTATATAGAGAGAGGTAGACTTACGCTAGCCATGAAGATGATGCCGCCCGAGATGAGCCCAAACGCTGCCAGCAGCTCGGTGGGCGGTCGCGAGGGATAGACCGACTTGGGCGGGCGCAGCCAGGTGAGCAGGTAGGTCATGCCGCGGGCAAAGGAGGCGCCGGTGAGCAGGTTACCCCACTGCTTGTGTACCATGCTCGAGATCATGCTTTGCTGTGTGTGGGAGCTCATCATGATGCCAAGGAGGAGAATCACCAGGGCCGGGATAGGGTTTATGGAGAACGAGTACGTCTCGGGCTCATGAAGCTCGTCCCGGGCCTCCTCGTCCTTGTATGCGCCGTGCTCCGACGTCGACAGGGCGGCGTCAGTCACGGTGTAGTTGAGCAAATCGCGGATCCTGGTCGATTCGACAAGCATGCCGCACAGGCCGCCGCCTATGAAGAGAACCGTGATCGAGATATGCTCTAGGTCCTGGGAGCTCCATTCGCCGCCCCAGCCACCAAGATGCTCCAGGAAGATATTGGTGGATCCGTAAAAGAAAATCAGGAAACTCTCCACAAACTCGGCTGAAGGGGCACGCTTCTGGCCGAGTTTCCTGGGCCGGATATTCCACGCCTGGCAGATGAGTCAGTTTCGGGCTTCAAAGGTGAAAAAATAGGGGGACACCAACCCATCCGAGCTCGCCGAAACTGCCTGCCCACCGTCCCAGAGTGAAGATGCCCAGCCAGAAGAAAACACCGCCCTTGATCCAGTGTGCCAAGCCACTAAAGATTCCCTGGCCCTCCTGTGGATGCTCGTTAGTGCCGGTCCAGTTGGAAATCACGGCGTATGGCAGGCACTCACAAAGAAACGCCCGTAGGCGATGATGCCTGTACACAGAGCAATGAAACCGAGGATCAGGATTGTCCGGTCGACAAACTCGTAGGCAAAAAGCAAAACCTTCCAGAAACGATCCGAGATCTTGTCGGTGATCTTTGCCACAATCGAGTGGGCCTTGGTCGTGTTAGAGAACATGGGCAGGTGAGCGTCCGAGTCGTCGTCGGCGCCGGTAACGTCGACGTTGTACTCCTTGTGGCGCGTCAGCGGGGAGTCACCGCCCGATGACAGGGAGGGGCTGCGGAGCGACTCGGTCCTCGGCTCGGTACCCTGGCCGCTGTCGATGGAAAACCGGCCGTAGGGTTCTGGAAAGCGAGACTCGTGCTCGGCCATGGCCTCGGTCGACACCGGAATGAAGCCTTGGCGCTCCTCAGCGCGGCTACTCGACCTTTGACGCTTGAACATGCCCGCGACGCGCGCCAAGAGCCCAATCACTACTTGGGCGCTCACCACACAAGTCACAATCCACCCGAGCTTATGGTGCGCATTGTTCGGGTAGAGGTCAGGTGTGCTGGCGTTGTATATCACGCCCAGCAACATGCCACCCGCATTCACCGCAAGAAAGCCGAACTGAACTAGCAGCGTGTATCGGGAGCGGGCAAGTGACAGCATCACGGCTGAGCATTGTCAGCTATGCGAACTTTCCAACGGGAAAAAAGGGACACGCCAAGGTGACCTTACCGGAAGGTAAAACAAACACCCAGGCAAGGACCATCAGGCCGATATGGCCGTAAATGGCCGCCTTGTGGTTGGGCAGGGCAAAGTACGTGGGCGGATACTGATCCTCTGGAACAGGCTTATCGGCTTCGGTCATGCTCATGCCGTCCATCCCGGCCCCATGGCCATGCTCGTCGCCATGTGCAAGGACGGCCGGAACAAAGCCCAGGGCGGCAGCGCCCGCAATGACTGGCAGAAGCGAAGCTGCAAGCGCCTTCATGGAGAAACTCTCTGTTCGACAAATCACGCCGTTGTCCCCTAGTTTTGCAACTTATGGATGCGTGGTCGCGCAGTTGACTGGGGGCCGTCTAGAATTGAGCGCTTCAAACCCCGCAGTGAATGTGTGTCTTGTGTTAGGACGATCGGCCAGAGAGCAGGTCTGTCCGCGGCCGGTTTGTGTCTAAGACCCAGACTAAGGTGTCATCTGATATCCTGGAGTGCTGGGATGGGATAAGCAAGCGTTCTGTCCGGTTCCCACAAACCAAAACAAAGAGGAAAGAAATGAGATGACGAGGACCGTTCCGGAAGCAGGAAGCGGCAATCTGAGCCAGAGACGGACAGCTTTATAAAAGGCAGCCATGATCGCGAGGCCGAGCTCCGTGAGCTCTTTCCTTCTCTCGGGCTCGGAAAACTTCTTGATTGGTAATTACCCGGCCAAGAATCCAGGGTTCGGGCAGACGAGTCAGACCACCACTGGTCGGCCACCATCTCACCGTCCCCGCCCTGGCGATGCCTTCGCTCTGCAGTTTTGTTCGAAACTCCGGGACATCCGAAGCTCTGGGCGGCGGGCGGCGGGTGCCAGTTGCGGCCGGACAAGGTAACTGGGCAACAGTGTTAGCCATACTGTATGGGGTTCGTTAGAATCGTTCGAGCTTTGATCCCAAAACGACCACACGCTGTCCGACTTTAGTTTTTGCATTCGCATTTCACTCACACGAGGCAGACATCTCATCCGGCCAGCAGAGCTGCATACTTGTATGTACTTGGCCCAAAATATTTCATCACTGGAACAACTTCCCGTTCGTTGGTCTTGATGCGTCACTCCCGATGAGGCATCGCGCAGATTCGCTGGGGCCCACTCTTGGGCTCACCCTCACAAATCCCGTGTGCCAGGGCCGGGTTGGCGGGAGGTCGTGTCAGCAGTAAGGTATCATCTGACAATCATGACTTTTTACGCATATAACATCATGAACGGTATCCGTACCATCGTTATGTTTCTGTATGGATGCTTCCCAAATACGGAGGTAAGACCCAGATTGGTCTTGCAACTGGCTTTCCAAAATCATCACTTTCTAGAACTTTGGCTTCTTGCTAGACAATCTGGTGTAGGAAGATCATCACGACGCGCCGGACGCAGGGACTCCGGGAATATACGGAGGGTTGTCTGCTGAAGCCAATCCCAATGGAGGGTATGGAAGATCGAAGAACTCCAAAGACCCTGGGTGGTGGGCACAGTGTATATTAATTGCACCGGCACTCCGCAAACACCGCGCGTGACGGAACCCGCGCGTTAAAGCTCGATGCCGTCTTGCAAGGGTCCACACTACCGAGCCTCCCGCGCAGGATCTGCATGAGTCCGCCGTTGCTTAGTAAACCTGAAGATAGCCTCTCCCGCGACGCCCTTCGAAAATCACGGTACATAGGGGTCCGGTTCGACGGTTACCATGTCATCAGGCCTTTTTCAAATTGCCAGCTGTCGACTGCAGAACAATACCATGGTCAAATCCTTCAGTGGATTGGAAGTTGCCGAGTCCTTCGAAGAGCTTCTGAATATAACCGGTACGCTGCTACGCCTCTTCCGGTCTCAGGTTTGAGGTGAATCACATCAGAGTTCATTTTGAACGAGGCCCGTGCCGCAGAGGGAGAAAACAATTGCACCATCCCGCTCCCACCCCTGGTGACTCCACCTATGACGATGTTTTTTCTTCCTGATCCCTGCATCCTGTGCGACCCATCTTGCTCTGCAGACTGCAGTGTGAACGCAAGTTCGTTGGCAGTAGTGAAATACCTACAAGCTCATTCGAGAACCAGTACCTGATGTCCTTCCGCTTAGTGTACGCTACATCTATGTAGTGTACATACAGTACTGTCTACACAAAGCGAACACAACTGCGAGTCACCGCTCCCATAGGTCTACGTGTAATAATGTACCTTATGCACTTTACTCCTTTACTGTGTACACTAACATCTCGGGCGACCATGTTCAGGTATGTACCTTACACAAGGCGGCCGGGCTCTCGGTGAGGTTGGAGCATCCAACAGCAGCTCAGCATACCGTACCGTGGATGGTTCTGGTTCATCAGTTCTTCAGCCGCCAAATACATAGGTGCCCGGTATTACTGATTTACAGAAACCACCTCCTTTTACCTTGTATGTACAAGTACCTATTTTACTTTTTAGGGTGTACTTTGCGTTGATATACCTCCTACAATCCTACTTCTCATCACTGTTCAAATTTTTCAGGTTACATAGTCCCACCCTTTATGCCGTGTTCTCGCAACATACGGCCAGAAGTTGAATGAACCACTCATCCTTCAGAACCTAAACCAGCAGCAGTGCTGTGAGTCTCTCAGGCTCTATGTCTAGCAACGACCGTTACGCATCAGGTATCTCGAAAACTTAGACCTCCCATTCGAAGTCGCAAAGATACATCATTCCATCATTATCTACAAGTCGTACCATTGTAAGTAGGGTTATGGAACACCGTCAGAATTGAAACACCCCCAGCCAAACGACCCACAGAGTTTCCTGAGCAACCAATCGATGCCTGGTAAAGTGGGCCCCGTTCCATGTCTGACGGTGTTCCACAACCCTACTTACAATGGTATATACTCCAAACTGCACCAACGCTGCAGGAACCCTATCCTACCTACAGGTAATGTACAGGACCATCTACCTAACTTAGCGCCAAGAACCCTCTCCATTCCAACCAAATGAGACCCAACTCCTTCCCGCGCCTTTCAAAATTCAAAACCAATTTCAGGAATTCATGCAGGTGCTACCAGACACATGTGCGCTCAGCCTTGCATCTCCCACACCCCGTTCCGAGCAGGACCCTCCGGCCCCCCGCCCGGGCCGGCGGAGTACAGCATGTGGGCGGTGGGCTGGTCATCAAGCTGGTACATAACTTTGTCCTTGTCCACCGACGGCGACGCGGCAGCCGCCGCTATCGCCGCCGCCGCCGCCTCGGCCGTGTACCTCTTGTTGAGCTGGCGCCGGTAGAGCAGGAACGCGGCCAGCGCGAGAAGCGCCGTCGCCGCCACACACCCCACCACTATCCCCACTAGCACGCCGGTTTCGAGGCCGCTACCGCTGCTGCTGCTGCTGGTGTTGTCGCTGTTGTTGCCACTGCCGAGTGATCCCAGGTCGGCTGGGTGGGAGGAGGAGGAGGATGATGATGAGAAAGAGGAGGATGAGAACTGATCGACCGCGTTGACTGACTGCACTTGCGTTGTTTTTGTGTCGCTGGTCGTCGTGTCGGAGATAGTCATAGTGGTACTGGGTAAATCCGGGGCCGTCTGAGATTCGGATGGTTAGTGTCACTGGCGAGAGAACTCAAGGACGGGATTGATGGGACATTGGCTAAGCTGACTCACAGAAATCAGCTTGATACCCCACGCCTCGACACCTTCTTTCGTGTTGGGCTGCGTGAGTGTGATTGGCTTCTCGGTGGGCGGACTGATTGCGAGATTGGTCTCGGTGCCTGTCCACGCTCCCCCCAAGGTTGCGGTCGCATGGCAGCCGTACTGGTGATCTCTGCACATGAACGAAAAAACATTGTTGGTGACGCTGCCAACTCTGTGAGAATTCTTCCATGTCCTCCTGTCCGAACCACAGGCCTAAGTTCCATAAAGAAGACGAACCTCGGACAGCAGGTCACTGTGCTAGCTGGCTTCCCTTTGTAATCAGGCCCGGCGGTTGCGCAAGCCCGTGTGTAACCGGCCGGACAGCCGCCATCTGTCACATAGGGGACCATAGGCGTTGAGGAGGGCGGGAAGCAATCTCCCGTGGGCCAGATTCCAGTCAAGACGGGCGTAGGCGTCCCATACAAATTGCTGAAAATGCCCCTACTCAGAAACACGCGATAGTAATTCGTCGTGGCGAAACATGATGTTGGGGCGGTCCATGTCGACGGGAACGTGGGTAGTTTGTCGATATCATACGACGTGGTTGTTCCACAGCACGCCATGTTTTCTCTAAGGTTGCCCTCGAACGGAAGGATAGGGGTCTGGCTGAAATCCAAATGCAAGGAACGGTGAGAGTGAGAAGTCAAAGGTTCAGGCACGTATTACCAACGAATGTATGAATGAAGAATGAATGAATGAATGAACGAACGAATGAATGTAGACACTGGTCGAAACCCCAGGCCCGTCTCTGTCAAACGACCTGATCGATTCCTCCCTGCCAATGCCACGGTGACCTTCCGTCACTCTATAGGTACGCGCGACGTGATGACAAGAGGTGCGAGAGAACCGCATCTGACGGGGAAACGAGAAGATTCAGGTCCCACGCGTGAAGGAAGGGGGGCGGGAGATTGTTCCATGCTGCCCTATAATCCTATATCATGGGGTTGCGGCACAGCGTCAGACTGCGAATGATATTGCACATGGAAGCGCCACGAGGTATGTACTAGATACCTACCTACCTACTTGAATTGTTGGCTGAAGCGATGCGGTGGGGGCGGAATTGTTGGTTATACACAAGCATTCATCCGCCCTATAGTAGATATCTCCAAGTTGTATCCGTATTGTATTAGCGCTTTGACTTTCGAGCCAATCCCGTCACCACGAAACAGTGTCCAGCTGGCTTGCCGTCGACCATTTAACTACCTATGTGTACCTGAGTTAACTGAGTCCTTTCCCAAGGGTGCCCACTGGCAATGTCGGGTTGGGATGAAGTCGAACCTTCCGCTCTACTTTCAGTAGAGCTGGCGTCTATTCCGTTACCGACGGACACGTTGATGCTGAAACCTGTCGATGGGTGGGAGCCCGCCGAACTGCCCCCAAGCAAGGGGACGTAGTTGTGGGCATTGAAGATCGACAGGCGTGACGTTGACGGCGTGCGGTGCCAGGGCAGACATATTCCGATCACTTGTCCAGCTCGGCCGGTAGACCATCGCCGCGGCGCCGGCTATCCCGTCCTCAAAAACCCGATCAATCGCATTCTCCAGTCGTTAGACGCCATCTCCGCCGAGCATGCCTTGAAGGTCCCGTTCGAGAAAATGAAAAGGAGCAGCCTCGAGGAATTGGACTCGACGGGGAGCCGCTGCAGGCTCTAGCCCTCTTGGATTGAAGGTGCTCTCGAACAGCTGCAGGAGTATGATTATTTGTTCTCGGTATATAAACCGTAGCCAGAAAGGAGATGGTTGAAATGGTAGAGAATCATATACCCAAGAATGGAATTTATGTACCGTATTGTACACAGCTGGAGGCCCTCCAGCTTCTCAGGGTGCAGTCATACCAGGCTTGTCGGTATTAGACAATGTATTATAGCAATAGGCCAGAAGTTGTAACTCCGGTAGTGGTTGTAACGTTGGCTCGAGGTTGGCTATCCGTACAACACAGCCTGCTATATCCAATGTCATCTCAGATATCTAGGAGGATCTCAGGATACCCGCCAGCAAGTCGTGTAACAAATGAGGCGGCAGTTGGGGCGCGAGCAGCGGCCGACCGCGACGCGCCAAACTGGTTACAGTAGGTCGGTGGTTCTTGCCAAGTGGTTTAGCTTGCACGCCGCGCGCGGGTACCGTCACTACCTGATCGTCGAAATCTCTCATTTCTTGGCACTGGGGAAGTGAAATGATAGGGCTGGCTCGACGGTCGTCGTCCGCAACGGTTGGACAAACCGTCGGCCGCCTCAACGGGCCTGCGCCACCTACTCCTGTACCTAAGGTACTGTACCTTACCCCGGGCTTCACATGTAAGTACAGGGTACTTCCAGTCTACAACCCCTATTGCAAATCTCAGGGGGTTGGCGACAAATGCGGAAGAGGGGAAAAAAAGCGTGTACCTTGATGTTTGACGTTGGACACGCTATTGTAGCGTCGGTGACGTTGGAAGATAACTGTTAAACTGTTAAAGTGGTCGGCTGCTGTCAAATGTCTGGAACTGCCCAGACGACAATGCAAGTCATGGCCATCCCTCGAGATGGACTACCCAAATCGTAACCGGCCATATTGATCGTGCCAGGTGAGGATGGCAACATCATTCCTCATAAAGCGGATCGGCTTGAAGGCACCAGTCGCCACCTCTCACCATCGTCCGACACAGTAACCTTCCCCTCTTTCTCCAGTTTCCGGAGAATCTGCACAACGCCGCCAGCCGCTGCGGGGTGAAGACTTTCAGGAACATCCGAATAGATTGACCTGACCAGCTGCATCACCGTCCATGCATTTCCCGCGCCATCTCCCTGCACCGTCGCCGACGCCCCAGGATCATCATTCCTCGACCGCAGCCGTTGCACAACCTGCTCCTCCCTCTGCTGCCGATGCCTGATATACTCAGCGACCTTTGCCGGCCCGTCCTGCACGACCGGTCCGTGGCCGGGGTACGCCCTGCCGCCGAAGAGGCGGCCCATCTTCTCCAGACTGGCCGTGTAGGCCGCCAGATCCTCAAACACGGCCGTCCCATGGCCCAGGACGTTGTCGCCCGTGAACATGGCGTCCTCCTCCTCAAAGAGCAGCACCACGTGGTCGGTTGTGTGGCCCGGCGTGTGCACCGCCGTCAGGGAGGCGCCCTCGACCAGGAACCGTTGGCCGTCGCGTATCTCCAACTGGCCCGCGTCCGGCTGGTGCTTGTGCACAAGGATGGGGGTGGTGCCGAGGCCACATGCCGCGGCGAGCTGTGGGATGCCGCCCGTATGGTCGTGGTGCCAATGTGTGATGATGGCGGCTGAGATGGAAGCCTTTTCCTGCTCGAGAACCCGTTTCAGCGCCGCGATCCACGAGGGCTTGCCCTCGCCCGTATCGATGAGAAGCCGCTGTGGGCCGGTGCCGACCAGGTAGGTGTTGGTGCCCTGAAGGGTAAATTTCCCGGGGTTGCCGCCGAGGATGCGGATGCACGCCGGGCTGAGGCGCTCAACCTCGGGGAGGTGGGTTAGCTGGGTTGCCATCTTCAGCCGTGGGCCGCGCGACAGGCGCATCACTCGGCATGCGCCGGCTGTGTTGGTGTCAAAGTCCTAGACCCGTGGCTGGCTGCAGAAGACAATGTACGGCCCGGGGTCGGGTTGCCTTTCGGAGAGCTGCGGGGTATTGTCGGTCCGGCACTAGCATTCACCACTGCCGTGATGGGCGGACCGGCATGTGGTTACCTAACGTGTCGCCGTTTGTCGGTGGTTCGGCTTTCGGTCCTTGTGCTGCCATCCAGTTCGTACCTACTTTGCAGCACGTTGGAGATATGGAACCTTGTTACCAGGAGGCAGGAGCAGTCTTGCGCTCCCAGGCGCCGACTGCTGATTGGAGGAAGAGATGCAGCCTCGGTTCAGCTTCTGGAACTTCCTTGGCGGGAGGGGGGTGTCCAGGAACATTTACTAGCAATACTGTTAGTGTTGTAACAGAGCTAAGATTCCTAGAACATGCTGTTGTCACCTACAACAGCTTACCTCAATACTGTTTCTTCCAACAGTATCGTACAGCTGGAAAAGGCTGTCTAGAAGACATCATGTTTTCTTAGGAACAGCCTGTATTTGGATATATACTGTCTAGTCAGGAGCACTCATTCCTTTCTTGACAGTGTTGTATCCTACCTTCTCCTCAAGACTCATTGCTCCTTCCCTTCCCTACGCCAGGTACTACATAGTCCAGTCTTTCGCATCAGCAGTCACGCGTGCTCGTAGTGTAATTGACTGTAGATGTACTGTAAATTGTAGTCTTGTAGTCTGTAGGTCTTAAGTTCAAATCCATGTCGTGATCTTATTTTTCTTCATCTTCAATCTAGGCCTTCGTAGTTCATACCATAGTTCAGCCCGGCCCTACAGGTTCAGAGAATGACCCTGTAGAGGCCCTTGCTTTTGCTCCCCCAACACTCTTGGATCACTATGTTCAACGAATATAATGATTGCCTATTATAGTCTGTTACCCCTTAATCATTCCTAGGCAACCATGTTTAGCGAACATAATAATGCCTATACCAGTCTGTTACTCCTAGGAACACAGCTAGGAACAGTCTGTTACAATGGAACAGTCTTATGTGACGTTGCAAGGCTGTTAGGTCGGCCACTGTTATCTTCGTCAAGGGACTGATTCCACGATTTCCGGGCCAAAATGCTGTTTTGGCCTTAACAGGCTTGCCACACCTATGTTGTACGACCCCCTTCTCCCGGCATGGTTACATACTCAGCTGTTCGCGAGGTTGGGACAGACTGTGAAAACGATTGTAAACAGAAAAAATGAAGAAAATGCTATACATCCGATATGACCTACGGAGTACGTGTATGGGCAACTCAGGGAATAGGTAGTGGGGCGCTCCCGCAGCGTGTCGAGGCTGATGCCCTGTCAACACTCCATGAGTCCATGTTCCGGTATCGCCAGGGCATGTTAGCGCCCCGAGCTGAGCCGTTCCCGCCTATCGATAAGCCCTGCAGGAAGGATCCGATAAGCAATTTCCAGCCAGCCGCAACGGTTGGACACCTTTTGATGATCAATAGAGAGACATCGGATTAACGGGAACAGTTCAAGCAACTCATCAGATATCAACAAGCTTTCAAAGCCGCTCAAACAGGTACTGGTCAATTGCTGGCTCACCCATGCAACCCTGGAAACGCCGAGACTAACAACACTGTCTGTATAGTAACGTCAGGTACTAGTAATCACTGCTTGCCTGAAGCTGGAAAGCATTGCGCCCCTTGCCCTCACCTCAGCGCCACCACCGCAGCGGAACCCCGGGACAGCCTCGCTTGACGACCGGTCCACGGCGCCAATCCTGCGAAATTGTAAACGACTATTCACTTTGGCGCTTGTATCAGCGGACCGAGAAAAGAATCCCTATAAACCCAACCTTCCCCGAGCGATTGGCAGCGATTCGGATCCGAGCCTGCGTCCTACCCATCGCCCCATTCTCAAACTTATTTATACCAGACCAGACTTGGGCCCGGTACTGTCTCCGAGCCCCGGCACAGCGCTCTGCACCATGGCTGCGAGGCCCGCCACGCCGGCATCGCCCAAGAACTACAAGGTCAAAGCGCCCCAGCCAGGGCAGCCTGTGTATGGGTGTGGTAAGCTGTGCCCAGTCCAAGCGTTGCCGGCCGTCTCTAAGGCGTAGACTGCAGAACACCTCCAGCGTCTCTTCAGTCAAGACCAGCAGACGACGAATACCTCGATACAACATTACAAGGCCATTCTGCGCGCCATCTTCGACACAAACCCCATCATTCCGCAGACCGCCAAGTGCGTCGACGGCCCGGTCGTCACGTCGCTCACTCCGACATACTTGTGCTTACAATGCCCCTCGACCTTGATCGAAGAGGACCTTATAAAACATGGGAGCAAAAAATCTCACCGATTCTGTATGTTGGCGTCACACTGGGGTGGTGTCCAGGGGTTGCTCGCGCCTAATGCCTAACTAACTTGGCGCAGATGTTGACTCAAGAAGCGCTGCTCTGTACTGTCAAATGTGTGACGACATGGTCTGGGATCCGACGTTTGAGGAGCTGAGGTTAAGGAAAATGGGTACGGGCTCCTTTTTCACAGGTTCGTTTGCCCCTGAGCGTATTGCACATACTAGCGCAGCAGTTGGCTAATGGACCTTTTCAGCGCGGAAGCGAAAACACGAAGAACTATTCTCAGATCCGATCAGGGACAATCCCACATACATCTCGTCCAACACGACCACTGCATCCTGCAAGGCCAATGGCCTGCGGGGCATCTACAACGCCGGCGCCACCTGCTATCAGAACGTAGTGCTCCAGAGCTTCCTTCACAACCCCATCCTCCGCAACTTCTACCTCAGCGATGGCCACCAGAGCAACAATTGCGACACGCCGCACTGCCTAAGTTGTGCCATGGACGACATGTTTCAGGATTTTTACGCGCTCGAGAATACTAACGGGTACACGGCGGCCAACATCCTGTCTGGGTTCTGGATCAGCGAGAAGAAGGCGTTTGAGAACCTCGTGACGACCAAGGAGCAGGACGCCCACGAGTTCTTTCAGTTCCTGGCCGAGGAGCTGCACGAGCGCAACGGCGACGGCAAGAAGCCCGAGATTGGCAGCGAGCACAGCTGTAACTGCATCATCCACCAGACCTTCTACGGCAAGCTGCAGAGCACCACCACGTGCCAGAACTGTGGCGGCGTGACCAACCAGGTGCAGAGCTTTTTGGATCTGAGCTTGCCGCTCGAAAACCTGACGCAGAAGAAGGGCAAGCGGGGCGGGCCCAAGGGAGCGACCTTGACCCTTCAGGAGTGTCTCGACGAGGAGTACATCAAGTCGGACAAGTGTGAGTACCGCTGTCATAGCTGCAACTCGATGCAGCAGGCGCGCCGTCAGACCTCGATCAAGCGGTTGCCAAATGTCATGTCGATTCAACTCAAGGTACGCTATAGGAACCAGACAACCCTCATACGCACCCCGGCAAACCCAGTTCTAGCTTGAAATCAACTTCTTTTAATGGAACAGCGTCACTGACCAAAATATAGAGATTCGAGTACAAGCAAGGGCGCAACGAGCGTGCGGCAAAGATCGACACGCCCGTACAGTTTCCCTTGCAGATTAACATGCTCCCCTACACGAGCCGCGCCAGGGGCCAGGACGTGAGAGAGAACTACGAGCTGGCCCGCACCTGCGTCTACGACCTGCTCAGCGTCGTGGTGCACGTGGGCGAAATCGATACCGGCCATTACGTTTCGTATTGCCGGGTTGGTGACCAGGTGAGTTTCCTTCTTATCTGTCTTCTTATCTATCTTCCTGGTAAGCGGCGCTGACATGACCGGCGGGCATCAAAGTGGTTCGCGTTCAATGATCACAGGGTAGAACTGGCGCAAATGTCGGACGTGCTGAATGCTAGGGCGTACCTGCTGTTTTACATCGTCAGGTCTTTGTCGTAGAACGTCTAGACCGGGCTCTGAGCAGTAGTCGAAAATTCTTTTGCAGAGATGCCCTAGGATATTGGGACATATTCTCGCCCCTGTAAGCCTGCCTTGGCCGGGAAGATCTTGCTGTGGGAACATGACAGAAGAAAGTTCCCTACATTCCATCTAGACTTAGTGGACTAGAAACGCCGGTGCTGTCTGCAGGAGATGGCCCCTGTGTTGGCTGATTGTCCACTGACGGGGTGAAAGAAGTGAATGGCGTTGTAACTATGAATGGATGGGTTGACGGGCTGTCTTTTGGCGAGTACGCAGGCGTGGCATGGATGGGCATAGGGGATTGGGGGGCATGGGCATGGCAACGACACTGTGGCATTTTACACTCCTCTGCCCCAAACTGAACTACCTGGCGCTAGTATGCAAGGTAGAGAAGTGTACCGGCGTCAATACAAGTCATGGAACATATCCTATCCCCTTTGCTTGACAACCCTGGTCTTGTTTTTTGGTTCATCTACTCCAGCTCCTTACCCACGCATTCATCTCAATAACCCTTCACTTTTTGCTCACCCGCTATGCCTACTTGCCCTGCCCCTCCCCCTCCCCCTCCTCCTTTCCCTCGTCCTCCCTCTGCCGCCACTTCCAGCTCGACGACGATGACTCAAAATTGGCGTAGCAGTAAAACTCGTTGCTCAACCCCCTCGCGTGGACAGGCTCGTAGTCGGTTGTGCGCAGGCCATAGGAGCGGTACAGGCGCGTCACGAGGGACTCCATGCGCTCGCCCGTGCACACGATCAGTCTGGTCTGCTGCTGCTGCTGATGGGGTTTGGACAGCCACCGGACCGTGAGAGCAGCTTGAGTTTACGGTCAAAGCATGGTCAGTTGTGTCTCAAACGCTGGTTGGGTGGTTGAACGGAAGTGTGGTTGGAAAAGGGGGATACCTTTAGTCTGGCAGTCCTCGCTAAGAAAGGGGGGGTCACAGATGATGCGGTCGCAGGAGGCTTTTAGGTGGGCTATATATGCACGGCAGTCAAGGAGTGCGTGTCAGTGTTCAGGTAAGGCTTGATACAGTAGTTAAAAGAGGAAGGGGAGAAGGACTGACAAGGCAGCTTCAACGGCTGAGCAAAGTCGTAAAAGACAAGCTCGGGGAACACGGCAAACCGGTTGTCGTGCTCGAGGAGGACGAGTTTGGGTTTGGGCTGGCCGGGCGAGGAGGTGTTCTAGAAAGCAGAGCGGAAGCTCAATGTCAGCGATGTCTCTTGGATTCAGTCAGGGGTGTCACCCGCAAGGAGGGCCAGATGGATGGGTATTCAATCATACCAGAATATTCTTCAGTGCGACAAACACGCTCGGCGCCGAGACGACGGCAATCGTCATGTCCGAGGTGGCTCCATCAAGGAGCTCTCTTGCCAACAGCGAGGCCGTTTCGTCCGAGTACTGAGTACAGAACAAACCAGGTACTTGATCAGCAATACCGAACCACATGTATGTACCGTACTTGAACCCCCTTTCAATGAAAGGAAATACCCCGCGAACAAACAGAACGGCGTACCCAGAACTGGCTCTCATTCCAATCCTCGGTAAAAGCCTCTATCGACAGCTGGCCGGCGTTGGTTGCGGCGGCAGCGTGCTGCTCCTCGGCCTGGGCCTTGAGCTTGGCAAACTGCTCGGCGCGGGCATCGCGTTCGGCATAAAACTGTTTGAGCGCATCGAGCGTCGAAGAGGAAAGTGTCCTGAGCCCCAGATTGTCAACGCCATAGTTTGCGCAAAGCCGATGAAATAGACGTTTCATATGATACTTACAGCTCTTCATCATCACTGTCATGGCCCGTCATCTTTTACCGGATTTTGCCCTGAGCGAGAGGTGAGCGAGCGTCCAAAATCGTTGCTAATATCCATGTGAGTGAGGGGCCGAAATTTTGAGAGCGGGCACTCAATTCCCTCTTATTCGCAGATTACATTTTGGGCCTCACGTCACAAAGCAGTGTCGAAACAGCCCCTCCTCAACCCACCAGTTCATAGCGGAGCCTCACGGCGAGACGACCGTCTTGACTCTAAACTTATCATTTTGGACCGAGGCGACTCAAAGGAAATAATGTCTCTAGTTACATTGGTGAGTATATACACTCTTCCACGGTGACCAGCCTCGACCACGAGCACGCCAACAACACCAATTCTACAATTCGTCTGTAACGTGAATGTATTTCCTCTCTTCCCTTTTCTCCTTCTCCGTCGCAGGTGGCAGATCGTAGAATGTTGACGAACGGAATCCTTGCTGTTCGGGGTCAGCCCAATCCCCGGTCGAGGGGTAGAAGTGGTACATACCAGGTAGTGATAAGTCCACTTGCTAATATCGGTGGGCTCAATGTCAAGGTCCTTGAAGGTCTTTGCGGTTTCGTCAATGACCTGGTCGTGGAACTCGCGCTCGACCTCGTCGGCGGACATAATGTCCCACCACAAGACGCGGTTTAATAGGCCGGCTACGGGCTTGAGGATGCTCTTTGGCACGTTGATGTGCCTGCGCTTCTTGAAGATTTCCCGGTCCACCATCTCGGCAATCTCGGCTGTCGAGTAGTTCTTGGGCCCGTAGAGTTCAAACGTCTGCGAAGCCGTGCTGTCGTCGAAGAGCATCTTTTCTAGCGCCTCGCCGACATCGATGACCTGCGACCACATCAGGATGCGGCTACTTTGCAATGCTTGATGTGACTGCACCTACATGCACCGGCCAGTATCGCTCCTGCATGTTGTTGGAAGTGAAGAGATTCACGACGCTGGCAAGCTTGAGCAATAACTTGTCCTCGAAGCCAAACATCGGAGCAGGTCTGACGATGGTCGTCTCGGGGAAAATTTCCCGAACCACGCGCTCCGCGACGCCCTGTAGCACTAGTTAGGGGTCGCCTCCTGCTCAGAAGCTAGGGGCGGGTAGGCACCTTGGTAGCGAAGAACTCGGAAGTGGACGAGGGGTCCGCATTGTATGATGAGACGTGGATGAAGCGGTCAACATCATACTTGGCAACGGCCTCGGCAATCCGCTGGGCACCTTCAACATGTACGTCTTCGAGAGAGAAGTTCCTTCGTCTGTCAGTCCCGCCGGATTGGCTCAATTGGCGGACCATCTAAACTCACTTCGTAGGATAGTTTCGGCCGACCAAGTTGTACACGACGTCCGAATGCCTGACGCTCTCTTCGATTGACTGGGTATTCCGCAGGTCGTATTCCTAGCCACTGTTCAGCCATCGACCTCGCCGGGATGCATCGGGTCCCTCACAATGAACACGACGCGGCCTAGGTCACCGGTGAGCTTGAGATGGCGCTTGGCCATCTCCTCTCGGAACGGGACGACGACGGTGCATCCCTGCCTTGCTGCACACAGTTGCCTGGTCAGCGGACCGTCGAAATTGCCTCGGGGAGCCGGATGTCCCAACCTAGTCTGTTGACGATGTAGCGACCCAACTGGCCTGTCGCGCCGAAGACGGTAGCAGTGTGCTCGCCGAGGGAGGAGCTGCAGGCAAAGATGGTGAGCAAGAGAGAGCAGACAACTCGGGAGAAAGACAACGGACCGGCCACCCTGAATGCGGATAATCGGTTTGCCGGTGCGCGTAATGTGCACGTCGGAAATGGCCCGGCGCTGCAGTGCGCTCCGAGCAATCTTGGGCGCCGTCGACCGCACCGCAGTCGGCAGGGAGGCCATTGTGGCTGGTCGTGGGATGGGGACCGCAATAAGCGCTGCGTCTGCAATTCAATTGACGTTGGCGATGGACGCTTGCGCTGCGAGCTTCGGTCTAGCAACCGCCAATTCAATCAATTGCCTGCCCGCCGGCTCAAGCTCCCGTGCCCCACAATAACTCCTGGCGTTGATTGACCAACCGTTTAGGGCTTTAGGCCAATCATGTGTGGGAATTCCAGACGGTACAGCACTGTACGGACCCGCCGTGCACTGTGCCGTTAGTTGAGTCCCAGGCTGCCCTGCCGCGTCAAGTGGGAAGGCTCAAGCTATGGATCTGGATTAAGGCTGGCATCCCGCCTTGCTTAGCCTTCAACTTCTCAACTGGAGCCTCGAACCACACGCCATAATTTCAACACTTGATATTCGACGAGAGCTCTACAGATATCCCGCCCGAGGTACATACGGTCACAGCTGCAGCCGGAAAGACTCGCACTTGGGCATCCTCGTCCCGCTTTCACCGACAGCGCTCACGGGCCCGGTCAAAGCAGTCGAAAGATGAACGTCGACACCATCTCAGATTTCCTCGCCGAGCAGCGGGACAATGCGCCCGAGGAGCTGCAGCCGTTGGTGCTCGAGTTCGAAACACTATGGGAGCGCAAGCTGTGGCACCAGCTCACAAACCAGCTCATCGAGTTCTTCAACCACCCCGGTAGCGCCCCGCAGCGCCTCCAGCTCTACAAGGTCTTCATCCTCAAGTTCGCCGACAAGATCAACCAGCTGAAGCTTGTCGACCTCGCCCTGAAGGCGGCAACACAATGTAGAGGTACGGAACGATGCCCTGCGTACATTGTGCCAGCTTCACTCCCGGCAGCAACCCCCCCCCCTAACTGAGATACGTGCCAAACAGACAACCAAGAGCGCCTGCACTTCATGGAGGCGGTCGTCAAGAAGGTGGACCACGAAGACTCGCAGGATGCGCTGGTATTCGCCACCATCGCCGTGGCGCGCGTGAAGCTGGACCTCAACGACCTGGACGGCGCAAGGAAAGACCTGGACCGGGCCGAGCGGGTCCTCGACAGCTTCGACTCGGTCGAGACCATCGTGCACGCCGCCTTCTACGGCGCCAACGCCGACTACTACCAGGCCAAGGCTGACTTTGGCTCGTACTACCGCAACGCGCTGCTGTACCTGGCCTGCATCGACATCAAGCAGCTCAGCCCCGCCGAGCGGCGCAACCGGGCCTACGACCTGGCCGTGGCCGCGCTGGTGAGCACGAGCATCTACAACTTTGGCGAGCTGCTCTTGCACCCGATCCTGGACGCACTCGCCGACAAGGACAACGAAAAGGACGACAACAAGTGGCTGCGCGAGCTGCTCTTCGCCTTCAACCGCGGCGACCTGCAGGCCTACGACGTGCTGGCCGACCGCATCGCATCGCACCCCCTGCTTTCCCAGCACGCCCGCCAGCTGCGCGAAAAGATATACCTGGCGGCGCTGACCGAGGCCGTGTTCCGCCGCCCGCCCCACGACCGCGCCATGACATTCGCCACAATCGCCGCCGAGACAAAGGTGCGGCCCGACGAGATCGAGCACCTCATCATGAAGGCCCTCAGCCTGGGCCTGCTGCGCGGCACCATCGACCAGGTCGACGAGGTGGCTCACATCAACTGGGTGCAGCCCAAGGTGCTCGACATGAAGCAGATCGAGAACATGCGCCAGCGGCTGCAGGAGTGGGACTCGAGCGTCAATCAGCTGGGCAACTGGATCGAGAAGGCGGGGCAGGATGTGTGGGCCGTGTGAGAGGATGGTGCTGGTAGAGGGAAAAGTCATTTGTACGATACCTATGCATAATAGACACGACAGATGCTGTCATGGCCAGAGCTAACCTGGGTGTCTAATCATTCAACGATGAAGACTGCATTCGCAGCCCATCTCAAGTCCTTCCTAAGGACCAATATATCTACTTGAATCAACTTCCCAAATGTGACCGATACGCCTTCCCTTCTATTCCCGCTTCCAACAATCAATCAGAAACACACATACACACCTACTCACCCTTCACCTTGCCATCATCCCCTGCCCATGCCCCATTTGACCGCCGTGCAGAAGCAGAAGCAGGAGCGGGACGCGCCAGAACAATTAACTGGCCCGCCAACCAAGCCGGCCACCAGACACACCACACAACCACGGGCGAGTAGGTGCCCGTGACGTGCCAGGCGACGGCGGCATCACGGAGAACGCTCCGAACGTCGAGACGCCAGTAGAGCGCGCCGGCGAGGAGCACGGCCGTGGGGCTGACGGCGTTGAGCAGGACCGCGCAGGCGATGCGCTTCAATCCAGAGGTGGGCGAGGGTGAGAATGGCCGGACAAAGGACAGCGGCGCGGCCAGCAGGCCGATGATGAGCGCAAGAGAAAAGTTGAGCGTCGCCAGGGATGAGAGGAACATGCCCAGCAGCAGGAGGGAGAAGCATTGAACGAGGTCGTACTGTGCGAGTGTGAAGGTGGTCTTTGTGGCCAACAGGTGCGAGAGGACTGGCGGCAGGAGGGTGTTGAGCAGGGCGAAGGTTATGAAGAGCGGGGTTAAGGCCTGGGCGGGATATACATCATTCAGGGGTCAGTGACAGCTCACTTAGAGATTGTTTTAAAATTGTTATGTAGAATCAGAGTGGGGGGTATAGAGGGCTTACGCTTTCCGGGACATGGTTGAAGAGGTATAGCGGAATGACGGAGAGGACCTGGCAGAGGGTGACCACTCCCAGCGGAAGGGACAGGTCACGCTCGGCGGCATGGTTGGCGGGGGTTACGGTTTTGCTGTCTGCCGTTGCTTGGCCGCCGCCTTCCGAGTGTCCGCTCTTGACCCACAAGGCGATAGCCATGATAGTAAAGTTAGCGGCCACCAGCATGGCACTGGGCAGGTAGGTGCCGATGCTGACGAAGCGCTCACGATGCATGAGCAGGTAAAAGAAGAAGCTCTGGTGGAGGTGCTCCAGCAGGTTGTTGAGGCTGCGGAAGGAACCCTCAACGACGCGGCCCAGGGCCATCTCGTCCTGCCAGCCCTCGCCGAACGGCCGGAGCGTCACGGCGTCGACGTGGTACGGGATGAAGCTGCTGTGCGGGCCGCTGGCCAGGCCGAGCCCCTGCTTCAGCATGCCGCGTAGCATGGTGCGCAGGCGGTCCTTGTAGTCATCGCTGTGGCGCCACATCTCCTGCAGCGCCACGTCAATGCCCATCTGGCCGCGCGCAATGCTGACGACCGAGTTGATGAGGTCCAGGTTCGGCAGCTGGCCGTTGACGCCGTCGTAGACGATGTGCAGGCTCTCGAAGCGCCCTTCCTGAGCGTAGTCGATGGCAATGGCGCCCTGCAGTAAGCCTGACTTGAGGGGCAGGCTGGCGACGCGGGACGGGTCGTGTGCGTCGTGGTAGGCATCGACCCAGGCTTGGGGGCCGGCAATGCTGTCAGGGGTAAGCAGCAGGATGATATCCTTGGACCACAGCGACCAGCGCTTAAAGTACCGCGCCAGCGTCAGCGCCAGTGGTATGCCATTGCGGTTGAGCTCATGCTTGACGTTCTCCCATGCAGCAACCAGCACAATGGCCTCGGTAGCGTCGCCTCGCGGTGCCTGCAGGATGGCGTACAGGTTCTCGCCAGCATAGGTCCGTCCTGCAGCGTGGTAGGTGAAGTTTTGCCGGGCTGTCTTGAGACCGAGACCCTTGACGATGGGTTCCAAGCTGTTGTTGATCCTAAAAGTCGGTTAATCGAGAGCCCAAGCGTTCATCCGCAGCTATCATGTGCGTGAACTGCGTACTCGACATTGCTCTTGCCCGCCAACGCATTCACCTCGTGCTTGTAGGCCCGAAACACATTCTGGTCGCTGCCGCCGAAGTAGGTGTGTACCTGCCCAGGAAGAAGCGCGTTTTCCGATATGTAGGTTCTCCGCGAGTACTGGTCGAGTGGGAGCAGAAAGAGCCAGACGGCGCCGACGACGACGAAGAGCAGCGAAAGGTACGGCGGGAGCTTCAGGATGCGCGGATCGCGTCGCAACTGCAATGCACTGGCTGTGAATTGGTCAGTCATTTTCCCTTGGTAACTCGGTGAACAGCTTCTCACCTAGTAATCTTGGCATCTTGACCGGCTGCAGTGCCGAGGTGCTCCTCGCAGAAGCTTTCTCGCGATGGTTGCGCCTGGTGTTCTGGAACTGGGTACGGATACAGGGGCAGCCTAGGGGTGCTCGGTGTTAATGAAGCACAGTCTAAGTTGAGTTACCGTTTGAAGGGCGTCGCGAAAGTTATGCAGGAAACGGGGCATGGTCCACGCGGTAAGTAGGTATTTCGAATAGAGTACGAAATATTTCGACTCTGTACTGTAAGCATCGAGTTGGAGAAGGCAATGGTTGATGACAGCGTCAGTCGTCGAATTTCATCAAGTTAAAAGTGCGTACAGTCTATAAGTAAACAAAAAGTTGCCGCCATCGTCACCAACCCGTAGATTGCCTCCAAGTCGCGGCAGTTCATACCTGACGTGATCAAGGTGTTTATACAAGCATAAGCGATGCGCCGTACAAAAAGAAGACCATGTCAACATCAGGGCCCTAATCGCTGTGTACTGCCAACCAAGCCCAACGCAACACTCGTCGGAGGCGGAGATCCCGACGAAGGCAGCACGCCGAACCGGCCGTACGTCTTCTGGTCCACGCTGACGTAGTGTGGCAGCCGCCCAAGGAGGTTCAGCTTTCCCTCGACCCAACGCAGCACCCTTTCCGGCGGCGCCAGGAATTTCAGATATCCTAAGCCACCTGCGCGCCCATTGATTAGAAAATGGCAGAGACAGAAAGCTAAGGGAAGGGACACCCACAAATATACCCAACCAGCAACCCGGCGAGATGCCCGAGGAAACTCGAGCTCGGCACGAGAGCCGCTACGCAGAGCAGCAGCGCGATGGGCGTCGTCCACGTGGGAATATGGTGTGTGCCCACGACCAGATACGGGTTGGCCTTGTACGTGCGGATGGCCTCCATGCCGAGCAGGACGAACACCCACATACTGGTAGAATCGCGCTGTCAGCTCACTCCCTCAACTCTGGGGCAACACAAGATAGTAAGCTAGCTCACCTAGCGCCCATAACAGCCGTATCGGCCCTCAGAATCCACTTTTCCACCGCCACGTACATGAACGCCGGCAGTGTGGTCAACGCTATTGTCCAGAGACCAACGTCAGCATCCCCTTCTGTTCCCACCCGCTCACCCAAAAGGGTCAAGGCGAACTAAAGACTTACGGCCAAAGAAGAGCGCCAGCGACGTGAGCGTGCCATACTCGCTCTCAAAGCGCTCCAGCAGCGGCGTCAGCGCCAGCGCGTTCATGAGCGCGTGGAACACGTTCAGGTGTATAAACGGGAAGGTATTGAGCCGGTACACTGCATCACCCCCGTCAGCCACAACAAAACCGCAACAGATACCTTCCCCCTAAACTGGCACCACCCCAGCAAATAGACTTAGGATAAGAGGGGGTACCCACGCGTCGCAAAACCAAGCTTGTCCGGCACCAGCGCGCCCCAAGCGCGAACGTCCCACCAGACCTGCACACCGAGGATCCAGAACAGGCCGATGGCGGCCAGGACGGCGCGCGTGAACAGCGGCAGCCGGAAGAGGTATGCCCTTGCCCGGAGGGTGCTGAACCCGGCCACGTTGGGTGTCGGCATCGTTGCTGTTCTCTTCCAACCAGATTTGGTATGCCCCCGTTCTCACCCCGTCGGACGGCCTGTTTCCGGTTCTTCTTCCCTCTTGTCCCGTTCCGTCCCGTCCCAGCGCAGGGAGGGGAAACTTTTCGCGACTCAAACTCGGATGGGTAGGTATATTTAAGGCATATAATACACGTGTAGGGGGGAGGTTTGCAATGGGCCTGGCAATCGGGTGCTAGGGTAGCCGGCCTGTCGGCAGGTATACGGTAGGTATCCTAGGATTATTGTTGCACCTGCGAGAATGTTGTAGCCTTCATCGCGCGTAGTGTTTCCGATCGTCGTCCGTTGGTAAGTCGTCAATTAAACATAAAAGTACCGTCCAAGTCCAAGTGGCTCGAACAAAAGACTTCTTTGCAAATGGAAAGCTAAGCCAGACTGTCATCGCCGGAGTTGCATGGAACTTTTATTCAGCCTGTCCTTATGTAGACCCCGGATCGCACGGCACCTAATCGCGAAAATTAACCTTATCAGGCAAGACAACGTTATAGCGTATTTAGTGTTCGGTAATCGGCATTCACTGCATGATCCCCTTTGATGCATAACGGTGACAGCTACTCCGTAGTCCGTACTACATAACAACAAGGGCCATTTCCACCCAAAGTTCCAAACCATCATCATCAAATCCTCGGCACGAGAAACAATACCTTTGTACAGCCGAGCTTTATGAAGACGAATCCATTCAAATGCAAGGGCCATGACTTATACATACAAAAAGAGAAACAGTGCTGCGGATTACGCCAATTCCGGAAACAAAATCCCTGCAACCGCGCCAGCCCACACCACCCTCTCCATGTTCACTCTCATCTTCCTTCGTTGCATGTTATAGCGTATAGATCACAATCTACATGATGCTTGTTTTAGTTCTTGGCCTGCTTGGCCATCGTGTTCAGCGCGCTGCCGTTCTTGAACCACTCAAGCTGCGCCTCGTTGAACGTGTGGAGCAGCTTCACCTCGTACGGCTTGCCGTCCTTGGGGTGCACCCGCATCGTAATCGGCTTGCCAACGGCGAGCTCGGTGCACATGATGTCGACCCTGTCGTCGGGCTGAATCTTGTCGTAGTCGGCCGGGTCCGAGAAGGTCAGCGGGAGCATGCCCTGCTTCTTCAGGTTGGTCTCGTGGATACGGGCGAACGACCGGGTGATGATGGCGAGACCGCCAAGGTGGCGCGGCTCGAGGGCGGCGTGCTCACGCGACGAGCCCTCGCCGTAGTTCCAGTCACCCACAACAACCCACTTGATCCCCTTGGCCTTGTAGTCACGGGCAACGGCCGGGACAGCATCGAATTGGCCAGTCGTCTGGTTCTTGACCGAGTTGGCCTCGCCATTGGCAGCATTGATGGCGCCAATAAGCATGTTGTTGGAGATGTTGTCGAGGTGGCCACGGTACTTGAGCCATGGGCCAGCCATTGAGATGTGGTCAGTGGTAGTCTTGCCCTGGGCCTTAATCAGGATGGGCAAGCCAAGGGCATCCTTGCCGTCCCAGGGGTTGAACGGAGAAAGGATCTGGAGACGATCCGAGGTGGGAGAGACTTGGACGTTGACGGAAGCGCGGTCCTGCGGCGGAGCCTGGTACGTGTCCTGGCCCGGATCGTAGCCCCTGGAGGGCAGAGCTTCACCCGACGGAGGAGCAAGCAGGAACTCGTTTCCGTCCTTATCCTTGAGCTTATCGGTCAGAGGGTTGAAGTGGAGAGTACCGGCAATGCTCATGGCAACGACGAGGTCGGGCGAGGTGACGAAAGCATGAGTGGCGGGGTTGCCATCGTTACGGCCGGTGAAGTTTCGGTTGTAAGACGAGATGATCGTGTTGGCTTCACCCTTCTTGACGTCCTTGCGATCCCACTGGCCGATGCAAGGGCCGCAGGCGTTCGCCAGAACAACACCACCGAACTCTTCAAAGGTCTGCAGCTGGCCGTCACGTGCGATGGTGGCGCGGATCTGCTCGGAACCAGGGGTCACAACGAAGGTGGACTTGGCCTTGATGCCGTGGTTGATAGCATCGCGCGCGATCGCGGCGGCACGCGTCATGTCCTCATACGAGGAGTTAGTGCACGACCCGATTAAGCCGACTTTGATCTCCTCAGGCCAGCCGTTGGCCTTGGCAGCCTCGGCGAACTTGGAGATGGGAGTCGCCAGATCGGGGGTGAAAGGGCCGTTGATGTGGGGCTCGAGCTCAGAGAGGTTGATCTCGATCAGCTGGTCGTACTCGGCGCCCTCATCCTCGCGCAGCTCCTTCGCGTAGGAGCGGGCAAAGTCGCCAATCTCCTTACGCTTGGTAGCGGCAAGGTACTCGTACATCCGGTCGTTGAAAGGGAAGAGAGAGGTGGTGGCACCAATTTCAGCACCCTGAGAACAGTTAGTCTATGTTCTGAGCCGGGAGGCGAGGGAAGAAGACGCAAAATGGAGATGACAGACCATGTTGCAGATGGTTCCCATGCCAGTCGAGCTGATAGTCTCAGCTCCGGGGCCTAGAAGCAGTTAGAGAAGGCAACAGCGTGACAACGGACAAACAAAAGAGAGGCAAAACGGGAGGGGAAGGGGCGCTGGAGGTGCAATGCCCGTGTGTCCAAGTGTGAGCTGCTGGATTCTCTGTCAAATAGTCTCGGTCAATGTCCCAAACAAGAAAGGGCGTGTTGTATCCTGCCGCCTAGCCAGATTAATCCTTGCAGACTTCACAGGAGCGCTTCTTTACACCTGCAGCTGCAGCGGCGCGAGCAACATGTCTGGTCCCAGCGAGATGCTGCCCGAGGCTTTCGCCCTCATGAATATGTGGCCGCAGACGGAGCATCATGCCGCTAGTCTCGACGACCTTCGCTCGGCTCGACTGCCGACGGTTTTGAGGGCCTCGGGATTGGTGACGAACGAGCTCTTTCTCCCTTGGTTGACGTACGCCTCCAACCCTCCCCATCTGAATCGGTATTTCTCACTCTACACCTCACGGCGTCGTGGTGGTAGATCTTTTTGGTCTTAAGAGCATCGTGACCGCGAGGCCATCCTATGACAGCGAGTCACGGCTACCGGTTCATCCATCTTTTCTTCGGATAGTCGAGCTCTGCTATCCCCGCTAGCCGTATGGACCGATGTGAAGGTTGATTCGACTACCCCGCTCCTGGGGTCTGTCTAGGCGTACTCGCGCAATTCGCATTGTCCGCCTACCCTGTTTTTCTAGGTGTGCTCACCTGGGTACTCTGGGTCTGCTTACCTTCACACTTGGACACTTTCGGCAAGCGCGCAGCGAAGAAAAAGGGGGCAGTGGCTGAAGACAATGAAGAGGTTTTACGTACCATGATACTCAACGATGGCGCCGGTACCGCCCTTGACTGTCAGGATGCCGGCGACCTTCAGGATGACATCCTTGGGAGCAGTCCAGCCAGAGAGCTTGCCAGTCAGTCTAACACCGATAATTTTGGGGGCTTTGAGCTCCCAGGGGAGGTTGGCCATAACATCGACAGCGTCGGCACCACCGACACCGATGGCGCACATGCCAAGACCACCAGCATTGGGAGTGTGCGAGTCGGTACCGATGAGGAGACCACCAGGGAAAGCGTAGTTCTCGAGCAGGATCTGGTGAATGATACCAGAGCCGGGCTTCCAAAAACCAATGTTGTACTTTGCGCAGGCGCTAGACAGGAAATCGTAGACCTCCTTGTTGATGCTGACAGCACGCTCGAGATCTTTAACACCGCCAACCTGAGCCTCAATCAAGTGGTCGCAGTGGACGGTGGTCGGGTTGGCGACCGAAGGCATGCCGGCCGACATGAACTGCAGGATAGCCATCTGGGCGGTAGCATCCTGGCAGGCGACACGGTCCGGCCGGAGTCTGAGGTAGGAGACACCGCGCTCAATCTCTTGACCATGCGGATCGTCCAAGTGGGAGTAGAGGATCTTTTCGGCGTAGGTAAGAGGGCGGTTGAGTCTTGACCTCACAATGGCGAGGTTCTCCGACATCTTCTTGTAATTGATGAAGTTGCCCTCCTCCCAATTGTTTTGCCGAACCTGCATTTCACGATGTCGTCAGTAATCCGGACTAACGGCGCGCCGGCAGCTGAACACCGCTGGTAGCCCATTAAGCTCTTACCTTCTTGTCCAGCGGTGAATCGGACACGGTCGCCATGCGCCGCAAACCCAGGCTCGCGCTGCCCAAGGCGCGGCTCCGGGCAACGCCCAGGAGCTGACGAGATGCCAACATGGTGGTGACGTTCAGCTCGATGAGCGAAGCAAGTGGAAAATCAATTGGAGTGGAGAGTGTAACGCCAGCTGGCCGCTCGGCAACAACAACAACTCAAAGAAAACGAGGATCGAATTTCTCCCCTCGGACAGCGGTTGCAAAAGGAGGGAGAAAAAAAACTGGGTGGAGAGTTTTTGTATGGCAGAAAACTGGAGGAGGGATTTTAGATGGTCGTGGCAACGGGACCTGTTGCTACGAACATCCCTCCAGCGTCATAGCCGAGAAAGTACCTCGCCCAAATGGAGACTGAGATTGGGCCAATCAGAGCCGTTGCGATTATGCCTGCCCGCATGTGTGGGGGAGCTGTGGATCGAAGAACATGACATCCTTGTGTACATCGAATCAGGCTAGTCTTCAAACGCAAGCATCTGATTTCTCCGTCACAACCCACCTGTGCAACGCTTCCTGTCTCCTCACCAGCCTCCTCTTATACACACATCGGCGTCGTGCAATTCGTGCCTATGTGGCAGTTTAGTGTACGATGCAGGTAATGGTGCCGGGGCACTTGAATCAAGGCCAGATTGAGATCTAGCAGTTTGGACCTCAGTGTGTTGCAAAGCTGTATCTCAGGTTGTGCTGCACTGAAGGTGCTACCATTGACCGAACCAGGTCACCAGTCGAATAGCCGAGGCGCGAGTGTTACACCTGTTCGGCTGTTCCCGATTTACGCTCCAGTTCCGTCCCAAAGAAAAGCCTTTCGAACCGCTTAATGCAGGCTGAAATGAGCATTGCACACCTTATGTTGGAAGGGTTCAGGAGTCAGACAGCTCCTACTTCCATGTCACTGGATGATAGACCCTTACCTAGGTAAGCTGTTTGGCCTTGGAGTTGAGTCGTTGACAGCACGTGCTGTGTTACTCCATGCGCCTCCTGAGCCGCCAACAAGATTGAAGATAGGTACGCCCAGGAGAACATCGACATTTCGTGTAGTCGACTTCTCGAGCTACAGAACATTCAAGAAAACATGGTGTACTGCATACGTCAAGGTCCCGACAGATGTGGGCAAGATGTGCATCTGTACGCAGTCGAGCCTGTGCCACCACCCGCCGGGGGTTGCATGTGCTCACCCTACAGACCGCGGGCTGGTTTCCCGGCGGCTCTGGTCCAATCCTGCAAGGCTCACAAACTTCAAGGTGACGCATCAACTGTCGATCTTGAGCGTCTTTGCTGCCATTCGTGTCCAAGCTATCGTCGACCCGATTTCAACAATCAATTTAAGCCCAGTGACCGATTCTTGATTACCCGCACTGGACCCTTCAACTAGTATCGGTTGTTGTCGGGCTATTCCGTACATTTGATGGACGCTAGGAAGTGCGGGTACCCCACTGTACGAAGTGACTTGTGTGAATATCAATTCCCCTTGTCGCCGGGGAGAAGGAAATTTCTGCTGGCCTGGAGACGCTTTTTGTGGGGCCATCGGTAGCTGGCCGGTTCGGTGTCTTGTCGCTCGGCGGGAACATGGAGATCCGAGGGCGATAGGCGGTAGCTCCGGCTCGCATTTTCTCGTAGAAACGGCGGTGATCCTCTGCGAAGTGTGGACCACTTGAATGGAAACATTTATTCAAAAGACTCGGATCTTCAACCCCTTGGTTCCGACTGATGCATCGTCACAAGGGCCTGGTTCACAAGAATCAAGATCCGGCACCTAAAAGATCTCGTTACGCCATATCAGACCAGAACGCGCTATGTAAGCCCCCACTTACATCCGCTCAAGCGAAGGTATCACCAGACGGTATCATCTTCAGCGGTGTCCAGACGTGTAAACAGCATCGGAAACTGGCTCCAATGCTAAAGGTTGATTTGTGACGAGGGCAAGTTCCAGCACATGAAGAGAATTTCAGGTTGACAGCACAGATGGCCAACAGTTTACCTAGGTAAATACGTGATTGCTACATCAAGCCTGTCCAAGCTATGAATTTCATGGCCTGGATTACCAGATTCTTCAAGTTTTCATAGTGTCTGCTACGGTGTATACCTGAGACGGTGCCGACAAGCCTCATCTTACAATATCATGTTAGTAAGAAGAGGATTTTCCCCGCATAACACGATATAGATACCGCAAAGTCGTTCCTTGCTGAGCCACTTCGAAGAACGCTATAATTCCACAGATTGACCACAGTAATAAGCCACAAGGATTCATATACAGCTTGGATCTTGATCAACTGGTTTGCTGTACTTGTCACAGCTGTTGCGTTCAAGGTGAGATGAGAATAGTGAATACAGAGACATACCGTTAAATGAATGTTCAACAATGGTGGCGTTCGTACGATAGAAAGATATATCGCCTTGGCGCCCAGCTACAATTGTTACTGCCGAGATTTTCCCACACACTCGACCTCAGCTCTCAAATCTCTCTGAAGTCTGAATGCCACCATAACCAGCCACACTGAAGTCTAACTCATACAATTCCACTTCAAAATCACAGCTCAAGCATAAACGGGACACTTGGCGTCACAGCACTTCCTGTCATCATGGGTATCTTCGCAAAGCGCACCAAGGCAAAAACAAGACGGCGGGTGCGGTGAGTTTGGCCGCACAGACCACATCAAATTCCATTGACTGATGCCCTCGACAGCGACCTCGACCAGATCCAAGCCGATCTCTTGTCCCCGAGGCACCTAAAGCAGTACAAGGAGACGAAAGCGGCTGAGGACCTGCCTGGCCTTGGGCGCCACTACTGTATCGAATGTGCTAAGTGGTTCGAGACAGAGACAAGTCTCGTGCTACACAGAAAGGGCAAGCCTCACAAGAGAAGGTGAGTGCCAGAACAGCTAATCTTGGTGTGTCCTGCTCACGAAGAACAGACTCAAGCAGCTGCGCGAGGGGCCCTACACACACGAGGAGGCTGCCGCTGCCATCGGCTTCAGGACCGACAATGGGCCTGAGAAGCCGAAGACCAATGACGTTGAGATGGCATGAGCGGTTTGAATCTCGATTATTCTCGTAATGGCAGATGGCGGCCTTTTTTCGTTCAATAGCATGGTAAAGGCGTTGGTTCTCAAAGGAATGTGCATACATAGATGGCCGGCGTCGGACTGAGGGAAATGTAAAGGGAGATTTACCTGCGCTATGCTCGCCACAGCTGAAATAAACACAGTTGGCATGTTATTGCAAACTTTGGATGAACATCATTGGGCTGGGCAGCGAAACATGGAAAAAAAAAATGATTAATGGAAGATTCGAACCCAAAAAGAGAGGCAGGCGTTCGAGCCCGGGCAGCAGTCTGGGACAGTACCATTCGTCGACCAGTGGCTATCTAGGAATTTTCTCAACGCCTACACTGGAACCGCTACGCCAAATTGCCATTGGAATGGCTCAATGACGTACCGGCTCCTGTTGACGACCTGAAGCCAAAAACTTCCCTATACACCCCCCTCCCCACCTACCACATGGTCACCCGGGCAGCCCTTCGTTGTCTGTCCGGGCCGGCCTGTCCATAGCCGCCAGCCCACGCTTGTTCTTTTACCTTGACAAACCCGCGGCAACAATCTGGAAGCAAAAACAGCTTGTAGTACTCCGTACCGTCTAGACAGTATCGGCGCGCCTCGATGCCACGCATGCCGTTCGATAGTTGCATACGACGCTTTAGATGCATCACTTAGAATCGTTATACACTAGATGAAGCTGAGACGAGGTTCCAGATCTTTGCCCCACCTGCTCCACAACACCCTTGCCATCGCAAGCCCAGACGTGAAATTGTTAGCGCGAAACCGTTTGCGATCCATCCATCCCACCTTCAGCCAGTGATGCGATCTCCATGGTTCTTGCAACCTGGTTTTCGCGAATCTCGAGCCTTACAAGACGGGTAGTCATGGGCTCAACGGCGTATTCGGCGTACAACAATGGCTCGGCCAACACCAACAGCACACATACAGTGACTGCCCTGAGCCGTTGGTCCATCCTCAACAAGCAGCTGCCAGGTCTGGACCATCCAACCTCCAACATTCCCTCCGGCTTGCCCCATCTGAGACGAGATTGACCTTGACTGACCATTCACCGCCAACAGCCGTTGATAAAATCAAGTCGCTCCATGTCTACGACTTTGACAATACTCGTAAGGACGCCCATCCTTCGCGCTGCGCTTGGCCGCAAGCCGCTAACATGTTTCTCATGACCGCGCAGTCTTCAAGACCCCGTTACCGAACCCCAAGATATGGAATGGCCCTACAATAGGCACGCTGTCAAACCCAGATGCCTTTCTCAATGGCGGGTGGTGGCACGATTCGCGCATTCTCGCCGCAACGGGCGAAGGCCTGGAAAAGGAAGAGCAGCGTGCATGGGACGGATGGTGGAACGAGAAGATTGTCGAGCTCATCAAGCTGAGCACAGAACAAAAAGACGCGCTCTGTGTCTTGCTCACAGGCCGCTCCGAGTCCGGCTTTGGTGATCTGATCAAGCGCATGGTCACGAGCAAGGGACTCGAATTTGACATGATCTCGCTCAAGCCCGCCGTCGGGCCCAACAACCAGCGCTTTGCAAGCACCATGATATTCAAGCAAATGTTCTTGGAGGCTCTGATGGAGACTTACAGGCACGCCAACGAGATCATCATATATGAGGATCGGATAAAGCACGTCAAGGGGTTTAACGACTTCTTGGTGGAATATAACCAGAGGAAGAATGCGATTGACGGCTCCGCCACAAGGGGGCCCATCAATGCGAGGGTGATCGAGGTGGCCGACATGGCCACATACCTGGACCCCATCGTTGAGGTCGCTGAAGTGCAGCAGATCATCAACGAGCACAACGCCGCCCTGTCCAAGCGGGGGCGCGGCATCCGGGGTTCGCGGCTTGCCATCAAGAAGAGCGTGTTCTACACCGGCTACATGATCAATAGTGCTGACACACAGAGGCTTCTTGCCCTTGCACAAGTTCCTCTGAACCTTCCCGACGCTGAGCTCAAGCTGCACGGCAACAACATCATGATATGCCCGCGGCCGTGCCCGCACAGCCTGCTGGAAAAGGTGGGCGGCATCGGGAGCAAGCTGACATGGGAGGTGACGGGCACGGCGTGCTTTGAGAACACGGTGTGGGCGGCGCGTGTGCGGCCCGTGCCCGCGACGGCTAGGTACCACGCGAGCGGGCCCGTCCCGCTGGTCGTGCTGGCACTGCGCAAGGGCGCCCGCCACGTCGACGCCGGCAAGATCCAGAACTGGCAGCCCGTGCCGCCCGACAAGGCTTTTACGTTTGAGACGACGGTTGGCGAAAAGATTCTCCTCCGCGTCGACGGCCACGACCACTACGCCGACAGTCAGAACGTACTCCCCGCCAAAACCGCCGCCAACAGCAACAAGCGCAAGCACACGGGCGCCGCTGACGATTTCCGCTCCCGCCAGAGTCACGGCTCCTCTGTCGGGTCCGCACCGCAGCAGAGGCAGTTCCACCACCAGGCCAACAATGGAGGTGGTGGTGGCCGGGGCGGTTCGTCCGGGAGGGGTGGGTCTTTCCGCGGAGGCGGCGGCGGGGCAAACCGCGGGTTCCGAGGCGGCCAGCGCGGGGGAGGCGCGCAAAAGGGCCGTGGCGGGCGCGGTGGTGGCGGCGGTGGCGGCGGTGGTGGCGGCGGCCCCGCGTTTTACAAGTCGCTTGATGATTTGGGCGCTAGGGATACTCAGGGTGGATTTGCCCAGATGTATGAGGACGAACCCCAGACGGGAGGGTTCCAGAACCAGCAGCAGCAGCAGATTCCCACGGGGCCTTCCAACCCAAGGAATCCGGGCTATTATGCTGGGCAGCAACCGTCGCAGTTCCAGGGCGGTGGCTATCAACAGCAGCAGCAGTTGAATAACTACTACTAACTAAGCCGGGCGAGGGAGTGCAGGTCGGATTTTGTCGGGTGTGTGTTGAAAGACTACTGCTTAGTCCCAAAGTATGGACCTATCTCGGGTATGAGGGGCTTTCCTTTTGCAGGGCGAACATGGAGTATAGGGCATCTTCATTTTCCTCCCAGGATTGTCATACATGAGGGACTGCACACTCTTCTTACTTTCGCAAAGCATGGTCATGGAAGAGGGGATACCTTGGAGTTTTGGTCGGAAGGTAAAAAAGAGGAAATAGCAATGGTACGCATGCTGGCTTAGGATGTTGGGGGATTCTGTTAGGAAATGGGAGTTTGTCAGGTGTATGCTGCGGCAGATATTGTTGTTGAGATAATCCGGTCGACAGAGTAATGAGATGCTTTGATTAACACTATATCGGCCTCGTCAGACTGCGCTGCTCTGTTGCTGGTATCAAGTACGTGCCCAGTAAGTCTCTCAGTGCGGGTGGTTTGTGGCTCCGTAGATGAGCCGGTGGGATATGCAGTATCTATGTGCATTTAGGGTAGAAGAATGGTGATGGTTTCGAGGCAATAGAGTCCTGTCAAGCTCAACATTCTGTATGCGAACGGCAGTGATGTCCAGCGACGAACATCAACAACTACTTAGGCTGAAAGGGGTGGGTTGTCAGTTCTGTGTCTAATCTCAAGGGCCAGGCACAGCAAGTGTGGGGAGGATCACTGTTTCTACGGGCAGGCTCAATCTGGGGTCTGTCTCTGTCACTGCAATACGGATGGCAAACAATAAAATACAAAAACAGAGAAAAGGAGGGCTGACTCAAAAGAGTCAAGGAGAAAAAAATATCCGACAGCTATGTACAAGATTTGAATTTTTTGGGCCAACAGTTGGCATTGCACAAGGATATGCAAGTCTGTCATACCCTTAGGGTTGTTTGTCTGTCTTGAGTCTGATTTCAGGGGTCGGGTCTGCAAAGGAGGGGTACCTCAACACTTTCTGTGCGGCAAGCTTATTCACGTACTCTCAAAGGCTATCTCTCTGAGACAGGAGGAGGAAATGAGCAAAATTAAAGAGAGAGAAAAACGAAATGGAGGCGAAATCCAAAAGAAAAGTCGAAAAAAATATCCGACAGCTACAAGATTCGAACTTGTGAGGGCGAACCCAACAGATAGCATTGAACATGAGTAAATTCAAGTCTGTCGCCTTAACCACTCGGCCAAGCTGTCTGATTTCTTGTTATTTGAGCTTGGAATTGCAAATAATGTAGGCAAGGAAACACCTCAGAGTATTTCTCCCCTAGCCCCTGAGTGAAGTTCCCCTGAGTACCTGCTCACAGCTGAAGCATAGCCATGATTAACCACTCGGCCAAGCTGTCTGATTTTGTGTCATTTGAGCTCAGAATTGCAAATAATGTAGCCAAGAGACCATCCCAGGTCTTACCCCTTACCCCTGGGCCAACCTCCCCTGAATATTTGTCTTCTTACAACCGAAGCATTCCCCTGATTAACCACTCGGCCAAGCTGTCTGATTTCATGCTGATTTGGGCGGAAAATGGTGTAATGTTGCTGAGGGAGCATCCCAGGTGTTACCCCTTACCCCTGAGCTAACCTCGCCTGGGTTCTGGAGTACTCGATTCTGCACACTACTGGAATACATGTGATGTACTGGAAGGGAGAGTTTGGCTTGTAGAAGGTATGTGCGAAAGAGTACGGTCAGACAGTTGAAGACTTCAACAATCGACTTGAACTTCAGGTTGAACTGAGCTTGAACGCAACAGACTACTGCCCTGTGTGTGGACCTCTGAATGCACTGTGTATGTGGGGCCGGGGTGGCTGCAGTGGCACGAGACAATTTCGAGGAGCAGATGTTCAACGCTTCCAAAAGCCGGCAACTACATTTAAATCCAGTACATACATGATTGGAAGCCCATGAAATTCTCTACGCAACCTGCCAGCTGTTTCGTGACTATCCGCATTCAGTGTTGCTTTCCATGAATTCCCGCTGTGGTTGAGCAGCGCACTCTGAATGCCTAGCTGATTTGTCTTCCGGACAACGCCAGATCTATGAAACAGCTCAAGCTCGCTGCTCAGGGCTTTCCTCAGTTCATAACTCCCACGTTGGAACGGCGAGTGGCCAAGGTGCCGATGTTCATATGTGAGGTTAGACTCAGGACTTGCTCTCAGGCCGATCCGCCGCCGTCACAATCCTCCTCTGCTCCTCGGGCGAGAAGAGTGCCGTGCCCTGCTGTAGCGCGCTCACCAGGATCTGGACCGCGTCGTTTTTAAAGTCGTCGGCAGCGCGCACCTTGTCAAGATCCTCGGCGAACTCTTTTGTGGCACGCTGAAGGTAGTAGGATGTGAACTCGGCGGCAATCTCCTTGTCCGACTTTACAGGTGCCGCCATCTTGACAAATCGCGGGGCAGGAATCGAAAATGGCTTCTCTCGGCTTGTCGATGCAAGAAAGATTCGAGGGTTTGGAGCGGTGTGGAATCTTGGGATATTGAACTTTGTTGCCATACAATCCTGTCTCGACTCTCAATCGAGTTCCGTTTTTATTTTGGTACTGCTGCTGACTAAGCAAGAGCTTTTACGCAGGAACTTCGTCTCAGAGAGAAACCCCCAACTAGATCACGTCTCGTACGAACCCGACGAGATGCTTCCTACCTGCCCGTCGCACAAGCCAGAGACCAGCGATCACACCTGGAAGTGTTTGTTGTGACTGACGCTGTGACCTAAGAAAGTGGCCAAGATAAGGTAGGCGAGGATAAACGACCTGCCTATGTACCAGATACTGCTGGCTGGGACAAGTTCAAGTTTGACCCGTGTCTATGGACACGGAAGGATCGATCGAAGTCAAAGATTGTCCGTGCCTGTCCCACCGATGGGCCTGTGGCTGCGAGCATGGTTGTCGGCCCTTTCCTTCTAAGAAGGTGCGTCAGCTCTACCTGCCTTTATGGCGAGATTTCATCAGATGAAGACCGTGATATCCTGCTCGCTCTGCGTCGCAGTTTCAAACGCTTCCCACTTCATGCTCCCTCGGTCCCCGCCTACAGGGTCCTCAGACGCCCTAATGACTTGGTCCTCCGGTCTTCAATGCTCCAACCGTCACTTTCTTTTTCATCCCCTTTAGGTGCATCGTATCTTACCTCCATCGAAACATGACCTTCCCATTCTATAAATCCTCACACAGGCAGGTCATCGCTCCCTTCATAGTCCGCCGCTCGGAGTGCCGCCACATCAGCCACGTCAACAGCTTGGCGTCCTGAAGAGATGGCATCTCTTGTCGCTCGAGAGACGAGTCAAACGCCAAGAGCAAACGGTTGATCCGCTATGAAATTGGGAGCGTACGGAACGTGTCAGGGTGGACGGCCTTGAGAATGCCCTCGTCGCCCATTAAGCGTGCGTCATGTCGGCGCACACCCCGCCCGAACTCGGCGCGGGCATCGCGCCAAGGACCTGCCCAGACGCGGGCATACATGCGCAGCGCCCGGGAACCAAAGGCAACGGGAAGACGCTCCCATATCCAGGAGCAGTTGAGCTTGCAAAGGTGGGAGAGGCGGGCGACAAGTTCGAGGGGCACGCTCGGGAAGACGGGCTGCATGTCGACCGACTGCTATCCCGTCCTCCATGCCGCAGTCCAGCTCAGGGAAGACACGCAGTTTGGTAACGCGGTCGCGGAGGTAAGTTGTCTGGGGTCCTGGACGGTGAGGCGGCAGGTGTGAAGGTGCGGTGCATGCAATCTTCTGACATGTCCAAGGGCTGCTTGAGGATACGGATGGTTAGCCAAAGGCCTTCGTTGGGCGGATCAGGGCAGCTCATCAGCAGACTGGCGTCCGAAATGACCCCAAAGTCGTGCAGCGCGTTAAAACCGGCGTGCACTTGGGCTGAAAAGTGGGCGTTGACGGCCTCGAACTGGTCCGGCGGCACCCTGCACTCGAGGGGTGCGCCAGGCAGGTCAACCGCGTCATTTCCGCGCCGAGATTACACTCTCGCAGGCCGACATAACAGAGCGGCCGGCTCGCGTTGTAGGCGTGGAATGTCTCGAGAACAGTATTGAGGATGGCATCATGGGAAGGCCGCGTGGCTGAGATGTGCTGAGAGGTCATGGTGAAGATGCTTGCATGGCGGCTTTGCAGCGTCTCAGGGGATAAGACGGGCAGATGCAGATCCGACGCGCGCAACTAAGGGACTGGTTGGGCAATGCCAATGTCCATGGTGCAGGCCACACCCGAGAAGTACGACGAGCCATCGTGCCAAGATACATTCTCGGCATTTGCCCAGTTCAAGTCAGGGTAGGAATCGCCTTCAGCGAGTCTCGGAGGAGACTATCGCGTGGCTGATGGAAGTGAGTGCACCAAACCAGAGCAGCCTTTGTGACTCTGGTCTTGAAGCGAAATCTGGCTGCGCGGGATGTCTAGCCAGAGGACGCCTTGACAGTTAAGGTAGACACCGAGTTGCAGCCGATCGGGCGGATCCCGGATCGTATTCAGGCGGACAATGCGATTGGCCAGCCCCGGATCGGCAAGTCACGACTTACATGTTGAGGCTCAGACTAGTAAGTCTCCCTAGGCTCGACGGCCTACATCGATCGCGAGATACGAAAGAAAGATAGGACGGGAAGACAAGTATATATTCCCAATCCGTCATGTCTGCATTGAAGATGGTTGGGAGTTGGAGGATTCAGACCATGACCGGGATCGACCACTGCGACCAAAACCTTCAGTAACCTCACTCAGATCGGCAGTTTGGTGTTCAAACCATCGCAAGTAGTCCGAGACTCTAGACGCTCCGCTGCCATGGAGACTGGGGAATATGGTACGGTTCGCCTCCAACCACCAAACGAACATACAATAGGCTGACATTGTTGGCAGTCCCGGGCAGCGTCTACTTCTACGCCCCAAACAAGGGCGCGCCAGTGTTCTTCGCCGTTGGCTTCTGCCTCTCCGGACTCTTCCACATATACCAATGCATGTACGTTGTCAGGCAACTCCACTATTCCCCCAAAATTTACTGACATGAATGATGGCATCAGCCATTACCAAAGTTGGAGACTGACAGGCCTCTACGTCTTCTGTTCCATCCTATTCACGGCCGGCTTCATCGTCCGCGAGATAGGCGCCTTTGACTACGGGAACCTGGTCAAGTACATCGTCAGCATATGCCTCATCTACGCCGCTCCGTACGTCCCCAAACCCCCTCAGCCAGTCTAGCACCATTCCGGCTCCTTACAATCATGCTAATCAATTCTTCTGCCAGTCCCATCCTCGAACTAGCAAACTACAACATCCTCGGCCGCATCCTATACTACGTCCCATACCACTCGCCCATCCACCCGGGGCGGGTCATCACCACGTTCGCCTTCATCTCCTTCATCGTCGAAGCTCTGAACGGCACGGGCGTGTCGTACAGCGTGAACCAGTCGCTGTCGTCGTCGCAGCAGGAGATCGGTCGCTCGCTGCTCAAGGCGGCGCTGGTGATCCAGCTGGGGGTGCTTTTCCTGTTCCTGTTGCTCGCGGGGACTTTTCACGTGCGGTGCCGGCGGGCGGGCCTGTGCGGCGGCAAGAACCCGGATAACCCGAACGGCAAGAAGCTTGCGAGCGCGCTGTACACGCTGTACGCGTCGACCACGCTGCTAGGCGTGCGCACTATCTTCCGCGTCGTCGAGTACTTTGCCATAGCCCAGCACAACTTTTGGGAGCCGGGACTGGATCCTAGCAGCTTGAGTGTCGTCATCCGGTACGAGTGGTACTTTTATGTCTTTGAGGCATCGCTCATGCTCGTCAACCATGTCATGATCAACCTCCGCCACCCCAGGCGGTACCTACCTAAGAGCGCAAAGACGTATCTCAGCGTCCTGGACGGCAAGACCGACGTCACGGGCCCGGGCTACGAGGACGGTCGGCCGTTTTGGCAGACGCTGGTGGATCCTTTTAATCTGGCTGGTTTGGTGACCGGCGGAAAGAGCGAAAGGCAGAAGAGGTTCTGGGAGGAGGAAGGTGGGCGTGGTGGGGATCATGATGCCGCGGTGAAGGGCAGTCAGAACTTGAAGATGGGGGACGACACGGTTTAGGGAGGATCCGGGTTGGTTCATGGACCAACGAACCATAACTCCGTTTTGATGAGTAAGGTGTCCAAGGTACTAGTGACTGGCGTCAGAGCACACAGCGGCGAACACGTGGTTCACTGCCTACATATGTTAGTCTTCACAGATCTATAGCAGAGAATGTACTGAAGATGAACTTGAATTTGAAAGGTCTGTCGTGTCCCTGGCTCCAAGCCAGCAATAAGGCTAGGCTTTATCGTTCATGGACGTAGTCTGAGTTTCTACCAGTAAAAGAAGTCACTGATCGAGTTCAGAATCTATTCCTTAGCCTCCTTGACTCTGAGATTCTAAGACGTGGCACGATTACTCTATAGAGGGATCTTCAGAGCTGTGCTTCAAGTTTTGATTCCCAGCTCCAATATTCTGACGTTTCGATGCATTAAGCAGCTTCTAGCTGGCCCACGGCCCGATAGTAAGCCTGAGGATCTCGATATCGTTCGGCTAAGTGGCAAATGTTGAGCCTTATAAACATTTCTTGTTCTTCCGCAGAGCTATCAAACACCGCTTCCTCAGAGTCGAGCACCATGATCCTCCCATCCACGAGCTGAAAGTTTCCTAAGTGGGCATCTCCATGTTGCACGCCGAATACATGAAGCGCTTGGTGACATGGCTGCAGTAGATCTGAAAGCTCCTGCAATGTGAGGGTAAATCCCTCTGGCGACACTAGGGAGACGCCCTTTAGGCGTTCAAGCAAAAGGGCCCTGGATCCTTGGTAGTGCAATTGGCCGTAACACCTTGGTATAACTACCCCCTGAAGCGGCTGCAGGCGATTGTACGCTTTCACTTCTGTGTCGAACCCCTCGTCCAGAGACTCCTGGTCACGGCCTTCCTCAGGTTCGTCGTCTTTTTTCTGTATCTTTAGGACGGCTTGATCGGGAAGGAACCATTCGACAAACACGGTTTTCAACCAGAGTTGGACATTGGCGGGAAGGAATGCCACGCAACGAGCAACCAGCAACGCTGTTGTCGATGAGAGAATACGCAAGTGTAGGACGTGAGGGTGATTGTGGGTCAGGTTGGTCGCGAGGGCTGAGATGTAGCGGGTTCTGAACCAAAAGTTCTACGGTCTAGTTAGCTAGATTTTTGAAAAGACTGTGATTCTGCCAACGGAGCACGTGCAATGGGTGTTGCTGGTGACTTATGTTGAAATTCGCGAAGTCGAGCAGCTGAGAGACGGTATTTCTCAGGTTCCCCAGGAATTCTGTACTTGGGCAACTCTATTTTCTGGTGGCCTATAGGACGAGGCGGTTGGTGTGCGTCAGTATCCATCCGGAGATGGGATTGTAATCCCAAATGTCGGCCGATATCTGGTGTAGAGTAGAGCTCCTTGGGGTTGAGATTGTGCTTGATTCTAACTGAACTCGCAACGTTCAAGCCGGTCATCAAGATCTTTTCTTTTCTTTAGGAATCAGGTTACGAGGATAGCTTTCCTTCCCCTTTCCTCTATTAGTTCGAAAGCAATGAAGTACTTTGAGACTTGTTGTGTTGATAATACTCTAGATCTCTTCCAAGACGTGATAGAATATTGCTAGAGTTTCGTTACGATACCGATAAGGGGCTCCTCAGTACCTGGCTAGGTTAAAGTCCGTAGTGTGTACTTCGTACCTGCCAGGAAAAATCATGTGATACCTTAGCAAGTCACGAGTCTTCCTCACAACCATCGAGATTCGAGAGCCTGCTTTAGGAAAGCTTATTAGGTACGCTCCTTATTGCTGCTTCAGCCTGGGAATATCGCTCGGGTTTGCCGCGAAACAGAAGGAGTGTTTGTGCGTTCGGACTGGGGAGGTGCACCTGTCAAATCGTGGTGTTACATGGGGTTAAGGTACTTTCCCTTTTGTAAGGCAAAGGCTCTCCCCACTTGACAGGTCTCGGCGGGTTCTTCTCGCCCCGATCCTCCTGTCAGCTTTGCACTGGACCCGACAGTTCGGAAATAACATGTTGATGCGAGTCTTGGCCTCTCTTATACCAATAGACCTCGGTATGTTCCAACAAATCTGACCAACAGGACCTTCTTATGAAGTGTCAAATTGTTTCGTTTCCAACTCATGTTTCTCGATTGATGAATGATGACTTGGAGCCTAGTGGGCTCGATCCTGCTGTGCAAAGATAGCCTTTATTCCTTTGCTTACAGTACTCGGTACCTCTTTTTGACTTGTCTTGACTGATTCAAGTTGAGTAGCGGCCGTCAGTTGAGGCTCATTTCGCAAAGCACAGCCTCGAGGATCACTCCTCCAGTGCCATATTCATCTTCGTGGCACATGGCAGCGCCCAAGAACTAGAAAGACTGGATGGACAAAGACAAGACAACAAAGAGTCACCGAAAGAAGGGCTTATTCTTTCTCTTTTCTGGAAATTCTGCTGAGAAGGGAGAGCCAAACATCTGAACTTCATGTTGCACGGTGCACGCTTCGAGAGCGTTGTGCGACAAAGGCTTGCAGCCGACCCTTGTCACGCTGGGGACTGGAACTTGTGGCTGTTTGCTCCGTTCGACTCCGTTTGAACGTCCACCGTGGCCCGCTGCAACTTCGGCCAGGCTGCCGTTTTCGAAGTGGCGCACCAACCGAATATTAACCCCTGTCCCTGCTCGCGGCGGTGCATCGACTTGGCTGACCTTCGTACAATACTTCCTTTTCCGGTCGTTACAACACCCCACTCCATATTCGCTGGGCCTCTTTAACACTGGGTCCTCCCATTATCCTCAGCTGGATACTCCTTGGACCTAACGGCTCTGCTCAGCTGATATCAACACGCCATTCCCTTTTTTCCTTTGGACGGGGCTCCCGCCCGACATCTCTGTGGCCCCTTTTAGTACCACTGTTAACAAGGGAGTCGCCCACAGTTGTCCTTCAGGCTGTCGCTCAGGCTTCATCTGCCCTGACGATGCAAACACCGTGGAGGCCAAGGACGGAGCCCGTCATGAATGGGAAGTCACAGGAGGAGCGATGGGGTCCCGAGTTTTACGTGCACCTGGAGTTTCGAGTCGGATGGACCAGAAAGCCACAACCTCCAAAAACTCACCAGGTCACTTATAGGTCTCGTTACGCACGCGAGAGATCCCCTCAGTTCCCGCGCCAAGTTCCGGCTCCAAACACCAACTATCTCGCGGCCATCCACAACTTTGAGCAGACCCAGTCGAGGATGCGCCAGATGCGGCAGAGATTTATGAGTGCTCAGCAAAATAGACCCAACCATCAGATGCAAGAGTACTACCAGGATCAACCACAGCACCAGCAACCCCACGGCTATCTCCAGGTACCCGCCATCCAGGAGCCGGAGCGTCCGACCAGGGCTGATGCGCGGCCGTCGCACGAGCGGGGGAGGTCAGCGCCACCGCCGATCGGGGAGAATCCCTGGGATGTCAACGTCCCGCAGGGGCTTGTGAGGAACTCGGGCATGTCAGTGGGCACTTCCTGGGTGGAGGGCATGGGGAAGCCTCTACCGCCAGCGCCGTCAGAGTTTCGTCTAGGAGAGGGAGGGGAGCCATGGTCAGCCTGGGACCTGCCGCTGGGACTCGATCCGGACCGGTATCCGAATGATGATAATGAGGAGCCGTCCTCAACACCAGAACCACCTAAGCGCGACAGGTCGGTGTTCGCGACAAACCCTGCCATGGTATCCACCTTCTCGCCCGGGCCGAGCACGACACCACCACCACCACCGCCACCACAACCCGCCTCGCGGATCCGTGATGTGGAAACGGGGAGAGCGCGGGAGCTGGGGCAACTCTCGGCGGCCATGATGACGGTGGACAACGGCTTTGAGAACCAGTGGTGGTACCGTGGGCCGAGAGAATCCGTCCACACCGACGAACCGCGGACCCCCGAGAGCCCCGCCGCCCACAGCTTGCCGGAAGTGCCTACCTTTGAGCCTCTGAGCGCCGAGGCGACTGAGTGGGTGCCCACGGGCGTTGTCTCGCCCTTGACCGAGGTGCCGTTTACGCCGGCGCCGACCCAGGCCCTCCAGCGGAGCATGTCGACGCGGTCAGAAGAACTCTGGTTCACCGAGAAAAGCACCCCAATGTGATAATGTCCGCATGGTTATGGCAACGACTTCACGGAGAACATGGGCATATGTGGTCGACAGGGCGTTCAGGGGCGAATCATGCGGCTGGGTAGACAGCCTTGGAGGGACGCACATAATGACATCTAGTGAGCCTTGGGCTCGGCATCTACAGGCAACTGATTGTATGACTATGGAAGAACGTCACTGGCATCTGCAGCGGGTTTTTGGATTTTGGGGGTTTTGGGTCTCTGACTTGTACACGTACAGGCGTTTTGGGATACCGGTTGGGTTGTTTTTTTACGGCGGATATTCCCCAAAAGGCTTCATCATGTGCTTGCTTTCGTTTCTACGCTCTTGCACCGACTTTACATGATGCTTGGAGGACCTCCTAACAACAGCTAATCTAATTTTCGAGACTATCAGAATCCTTTTTGGGGTTCAGTTCTCGTCATCTTTTTGCGTTCAGTTCTCGCCAATCCACGTTGCGTTCTGTTGGTGTTTTCATCTCTCCTGTGCCGCTGCCATGGAATACAACAAACCTACCTACAGTACCAATTGTATCCCCTGGTCCGGCTCTCGTAAAGCAAGCCAACCGCGACGGAACGCGAAAGGAGCAAGGGCAGGCCTGCTTTTGGATCTGGCCCCCGTCAAGCGATGCGGCGAAGCATGTCTTGCTGAGCTGGTAATTTACTAGCAAGTTTGCAGTGACGGTGCAATCCAGATACATGACCTTGACATGTCCTGAAATAAGAAGTTGGGGGTGATTTGGAATGCGATGTGAGCGCTAGGAATAGGGATGGAACTGTTTGCTCGGCCCGTCTCTCGCCTCGGCTCTCTCTCAAGGGCACCGATGGTAAGGGTAAGGGGGAGGCTTGACATGGGACCACACGGGATGGGGATGACTGCCGGTCTGTCTTGCAAGACTCGCAGTACGATACTACATACGGATACATCCATCCAAAAGAAGAGAGGTGAAATGATGGTTAAGGGAGCCGTCCTTGGCCCCTTGGGTTGCACTGCGCCGGGCGGCGAGACGCTGCTCGCTTACTATTCTCCCTACCGACCTACTGGACAGCGGTTGTTGCTTTCCAACGAACTCTACAAGCGCTTTCTGCTGCTGCTGCTGCTGCTGCTACATATGTGTCCAGATACCGAGGCGGAGAATCCATTCGGTTGGCTTCTCACCGTTTGGCCGCCATTATAGAGGGGGTAGAGAGGACTCGGAGAAAGACTCCGTCGTCGAGTTTTCTTTTTCAGGCTTTGTGGGCCATAGCAAGAGGGCTCCTGACCACCACAGACTGTATCCCATCATCGCACAGCATGGAGCATCAGGGGCTTACTGCGGGAATGGAATTCTAGATCATCCGATGCAGAATTATGTACAGCAGCCCGCCGTTCTCGACTCGTCTCTTGCGGTACTTGTGCTTCAGGGGACCGTGACTGGATGAGTTTATGGCCGCTAACTTGGCCGGACCGGTCCGTTCGACGGAGGGTTGAGTGCCGAGAGCTGCAGTGTGGTAGTGGCCAGGCATATACATATGTAGAATACGTGGTATTGGTGAGAGGGGGGGGAATGAGAGGGTGAAGGGACCCGTAGGCTGCCATATTTACTGCAGAATTACTGGCTACAAGTCATGTTCGATCCCACTTCTGCAGCTCTCTGCTCACCGGGACGAGATGAGTACCCAGAGTTCCAGCAGCAGCATGTAGTAGCAACCCAGTGATGGGCTGAAGCGGTGCCTCGCTGGGCGAGGAGTGGCAGTAACCACCCCAGGCTGCCGTATTATTTGCAGATGCTGTTTGGACCTATCCTGCCCAATCCGCTGTGCTCCATCAGCCAGAGTCGACGACGTGTAGAGAAGGTCGGCATAGTCCAAAATTCCAGGGTCAATCCGCCGCCGGGGAAGCCGCCGGCAATGTGCTCCTAGGCTACCATGATGCACCCATCACGGTGAGGAAATTGGCTGCTTAGCTGAGGTACTGTACGGAGTAGCTGTGGCGCTTTACCAAGCAACCTGAACGGGACCGCCGGGGGAGCGCGGCCCTTCTCCGGCATCCCGCGGCTCTTTTCGGTCTTCAGGACGGGCAAGACCAGAACGGGTGCCCCTGGGAAAACCATGTCATGGTATAGTACTATCGGTATTGGGTAAACATGATACAGAATGGGACTCGGGAGTATATGGGAGGAATTTATCTCGGATTGTCCAAACGTAGCTTCGTACCTGGTCTCCATGATGACGGCCTACATGAGGCAGCAACTGAGTTACCAGCCGAACCAGCCCCGACTGCTAGGGCGACCATCGACGATGTGAAACCATAAGACGGGCCTAGTAAATCTGGCCCAGGATCATCTGGAGATCTCTGCTTCTGGACGAAGCAGTTGGCCAGACCTCATCTGGTTACGCCTCTCACAGCTGGGTAGCAGTCCTCTTCTGAGTAATCCACCTGGACCTGGGGAGGAGAAGCGTTTTTCAGATGAGATACCGGTGGTCCGGTACAATGGATGCCTAAGGAAATGCTACACACCAGCCAGGGGCTGTAACGGTAGCTAACGTTAGACGGCGGTTACTCAGTTGGCTTCTACTAACTCCTGCTCGGCAGTAGGGCAGTAGGTCAGGTACGGCAGCGGGAGCAGCGTTACTACAGAGGATTGCGGTGATCGTGATCGGGCTGGACAGAGACGAACTCCTTTCTGGTAACTGCGGAGTAACGTAGTGTAGACCAGATGCAGGGGGTGACAGCGGCTGCTGTCAAGTCAGGGGAACGGTGCTTATTAGAGCTCCCTCGAGTCAGGGGATGGCGTTATTGCCCTTGGGCCTTCCTTCATTCACTGCGTAAGCAGACGTACTGTGCAGTATAATGCACCCGTTAGTTGCGTGATACGTTGGGCATGTGTAAGCAAACATCTAGACATGACGTTCGGCGTAACGTTGGAGCAGACGAGCGTCCTTGTTCCTTGAGCTGAGAAGGAGTTGAAGGAGTTTTGGATTTCAGGGCAAGCCATGTGCTTCAAACGAGCGAGCATCACGCTGAAGGGTTCGAGTGAATGACGGAGGAGCGAGCAAGCAGCTCCGTCGCCCGTCGTAGCCCCTGTCCGTAGAATGTTTGCTTTGGACCAGGCAACAACATTAAAGTCTCGGCTCCTCGGGGCATGTTATATCGTTAGCCAATCTCCCCGTTACCACCGGCAGGTGTATCTTACAACCCACAGCAGCGTGTTATGCAGCTGTTTACCAACGGAACAGCCAGCAATTTGTGTCCCTCGGCGACACGCACGGTGCGAAGACGCGAGGTAGGATTCAAGCTTTCAGAATTGTGCTGCCTAGCTGCAGCTTGCTTGCACTGAAACGCCCATGTCACCCATCATTGGCGATTTACCCTGTATCGATCTCGGCTCTCGGATTCACCAAAACCTTATTCGGATTACCAGCTGTGAAGCGGAGCGCCGGATCTGGATGGCATGCTTTTCTGAAGCCCTTCTCCTTCCAAAGGCTGCAGGCGAACCAATCTGTTAGTGAGCGTATCGGGGCTCTGAGCAGCTGATTGTCACTAATATTTCGCACAGGAATTAGTAGACTCAGTATTGTAAAACTCTATGGGAAAAGACATACCTCTGAAAGCCCCTGGATTCAGCTCAAAATTCCAGATATCCTCAATATCCATTTTCGTACAGATCGAGGCCGCAGATGTGTACCGTAACGTTACCCCTGAATGTGGCTGTGATTCCGCTCCCCACAGCGTCTGTGCTTTGAGTGGCACCGTTTTCATCCCCCAGATGCCCTGCCATTCCGAACTTCTGGAACTTTTGCATTCTCTTCATCGGGATGAGCCGTCAGGTGGCGTCATACTGTACTACAGTAAGTCTCTGATATGCGAAGACAGGATTGACACCTGTACATACATTATACGTTCGGTAATAGACACTTCCATGGGTAAGTTGAACTGATGAGTATGGTCCCCTAATAAAGAAGGCCTATCCAAAATAAGAGGCAATCAGTCCATACAGCCTGCCTCATGATTGGCAAGGTGATACCCAAAACTAAAACCTTTTGATCGCTCGCGCTCCGATCTAAGTTGGTAAATCTCAGCGCCAGCCAGAAAGATGCTTGAAAACGTCAAGTTGAAACCACCACCAGCCCGTCAAGAAAACGGGCAAACATAGAAAGCAGCAACAATGCGCTATGCCAACAGACCAGAACCTGCCCCTGCCTGGTTTCGAAGGATAGGGGATCAAAAAGATCCGAGAACAAAATGGCCAAGGCAGGCCTGGTTCGAGGCTCCTAGACTCTAGGGCCCCACGCCTCCCTCCCTACCCTCTTCGGCTTCCCAAATCGCCGTCATCTCCATCGGCAACCCTCCAGCCCCGCTGGCGCCGGCACCAAACAAAGGGTTGCTCTGCGGCGGCAGGGCGCCGGTACCGGCCGTTGTTGTTATAGACACGGGCGATAGCACCGGCGAGCTGTTGCCGCTTCTTTTATTACTCTGCGCGTCTGCGCTAGTGCCGACGCTGCCGGCGCGGGACGTCGAGGTGCGCGGCAAGACCTTTCCTGTCTGTTTCAAGAACCGCCTTGGTTAGCAAGATATATTATACCAGGAACTCCCATGTTGAAAAGGGGGAGGTTAGAAAGAAGGCAACATACCTGCTTCGCCCACCTCAACCCACAGCTGTTACACAGATCCCTATTCCCGCTGGGCCCCCTCCTCCACTCGGGGGTGTCCCGCTTGTGGCAGTTGGCACAGTCTTTCACCACGGCACTCCCGCCGCCGCCCGCAGCGCCGGCGCCGGCGCCGTCTCGTTTCCTCCGCTTGCGCTTCTTCTTGCTGGCCATCAGCTGCGTCAGTTCCCCGGCCAACAGACGGTTGACCTTTTCCATCTGCCTGAGCTCGTACTGCCAGCTCGTGCATCGCGTCGTCTTGAGCTCGTCAAACATGTTGTCGTCGTCCTCGGCCTCCAGCGTGGCCGCCGTGGGGAGTTGCTGGTGGTCCTGCGGCTGAGGAGCAGCGGGGCTGTCTTCGGCAGTGATGACGCCCTTCATAATTGCGTCCTCGGTTGCACCACCACTTCTTCCGCCAGCAGAAGAAGAAGCAATGGCTCTCGGTGGCGGCTTAATGGCCCGTGTCTGCGCGATCAAGAAGCTAGGGTTCTTCTGCCCGGGCTCGGAGGCATCACCAGGGTAAAACGTCGTTTGCACCTGCAACGGCTGGCCCCTCCTATGGTACGCCAGCGTATGCTTCAGCGTGACGATGGCGCCTCTTCGAGCCTTCTCAACGGCGCGCCCAAACTCGTCCCTTGACTCCTTGCGCAGAAGGTCGTGCATGCTCGTACCCTCCAACTCAGCAGGCTGGAGATCCAGCAGCGAGCGCACCCCGGACGATGCGAACAGAAACATGCCCGAGGCCGACAGCTTGGACCAGAACTCGCCATCGGCGCTGCCAATTCCGCCGTGGGCATCCACGTCCCTGCGCTGTAACGCATACACGGGCCGTCTTCTCCCCACTAGCATGACGCACCTCCTTCCCTTCCCCTGCTCCCCGAGAAGCGTCCCGTGGCTCTCGAACCACATATACCCGCTGTGCTTCCTGCGGATCCGGAACACGAGATTGACGGGCACGTTCACCTGCACCTCCTTGAGCTCCCTCATGACGGGCACGATGTCCGACGGGTGGCAGACACTCGAGAGCGAGTTCCCGACCAGATCACCGACGTCATACTCCAGCAGGCGCTTGCACGCGGGCGACAGGTAGAGGAACAAGCCCTTGAGCGAGAGCACATGGACCAGGTCGTCGGCGTTTTCGAGGAGCATCTTGTCCCAGGCGTGGCGGTGCCAGTCCGAGCTGGGCCCGCCGGGATCGAGCTGCTGTAACAATCCGGAAACGTCGTCGACGCTGATGGTCTGCCCGCTCTCGAGGTCCGCCTCGCGCGAGGAACTGGTCGCCGGCAATGGCGGCGGCGTCGTCTTGATGTACGGCCCTACCCCCTCAACCCGGCGATAATCCACCTCGACCTCTAAATCCTTCCCTCCAACAGACACTATGCCGTGCCTTTCCGTTTCCCCCGTAGCCGCCTCAACAGCAGCCGAAACGGCCTCGGGACACTCGACCAGATCAATCTGGAACCCCACGCAGTATTTAATCTCCCCTTCGGGGGTGTCATCCCAGGGAATGAAGACCATAGTAAGCAAATTCAAAAACGGCCTGCCTCCCTTCCGATAGTTGATTATGCCCTGCTGGATCTCTCTGCGCTCGTCCATGGCGCGCTTGAGATTAAAGACAGCACCGTTCTCGACGAACTCGCGGCGGGAGCCGGCCTCGACTTTCCCCGTGGGGCTCTGCAGGAAGCGGCAGTTCTGGCCCAGGATCTCGTGCCGGCTGTAGCCCGTCAGCTTCTCAAAGTTGTCCGACACGTAGACGATGGGGCAGTCGTTGAGCGTCACGTCGCACACGACAAACGAGCACGACATGTCGACGGCGCCGATGCGCAGCGTTGGGTTCTTGCGCGTCGCCACGTACCACAGCGCGCGGAGCATGTCGAACCCGGACCTGGAGTAGACGTTTCGGGCCTTTTTCTGGGGAGAGTTGTGTTGTGCCAGGCCCGGCGGCAGGGCGGGGCCTGCTGCTGCGGCAGTGGCTGGTTGTTTACTGGAACTCGACGGGGCGGGTGAGGGCGCTGCTGCGCTCGGCTGGGCGACCGACGCTGGTGAGGATGTATGTTGTGGTGTTGCGGAAGCTGATGATGACGAGGCGGCGAAGGATGCGGGAGTCGGAAGGGAGGAAGAGGAACGAGCCATGGCCATGTTCGGCTGGAAACGGTTGAAACTCGGATCCACCATCATACTGGGAGGAGGAGGTTCCCGTGGGTCGCCTGTGCCGTTGAAAGCCTCATTCCCGCCCATCATGGCGCCACCGTCATCTCCGAAGGAGATGCCCGAATCCAAAGGAAGGGTGTCGACGGCCATATCCATAGAAAAGTCCGGATTGGCCGTGTTGAAAGCCGAAGTCCCGTAGCTAGCGCCCAGATCCGGCGTCCCAAAGGCGTCGATCGAAGGGGGATTCGCACCCATTGGGCCCATGTTCGAATTGGCCAAGGCCGCCATGTCCACGTTGGACAGCGTCGCATAGTCTGGCTGAGCGGACATGGTCATGAAACCGGGCTGGGGAAAGGAGGAGCGGGTTTGACCGGCAGGCAAACCTACAAACCCCCCCAGACCGGAAGCCATGTCGGCGTGCGGACCGGCCACGTCGTGGCCGAACTGGAACCCCTGGAAAGCGTTGTTGAACCCCACCATGGACAGGGGCAGCTCATCTTGTCCTCCTGTTTGCCGCGCAGTAGCGGCCAGCGAGCTCCCGTACGGCAAGCCCACGCTCCGTCTCCGCTGGAGCTCGTGCGAGTTTTGGCTGACTATGTCGTCGAGCGAGTCGGCGCCCGGGAGCGGTGGCAGATCGGACATGGCGGCCGTGGAGAACCCGTCATCACCCTGGTCCCTAAGCACCCCAAGCATGCGCCGCGTCTGGCCCTGTAACCGCTGAGCCTCCTCCTCCTCCTCAGACGACAGCGCCGACGGGTAAAACAGACTGCGGTGCATTGTCGCAGCATTGGTGGTGTTCGTGGTTTTGTTATTGTTTCTTTTTTCTCCTCCCTTCTGAGCCGATTTTGGACCCCAAAGGGGCTATGTACCTCAACCGGCCGGTACTCTGTTTGTCATTGCACCGTTTGGAGGCGATGGCGACAGGCTTGACGCTTTCTCCCTCTTTTCTTGTATCAGGAGCCAATCGGTTACATCAAGGAGCAGGTTGAGTGGAAGCAGGCGCCGCGCGAGCGTGGTTGAGCGGACGTGAGACTTATTTGCGATTGACTGTTCGATCAAATCAGTCTCCTTGTTCTTTCCTTCCTGGCCTGGTAAAACAATCCAATTGCAAGCGCGATGGCGGCAAACAGGACTGAGGACGCCCCACGTACAGTGCAAGTACAGCACATGTACAGAACTCTACACGCAGTTTTCCCACAGCACCAGAAGAGCGAGAACAAAAGGGGCGTGATGCTGGTGATCAATCCTTTCAATTGTTTCCTTTTCTCTAATACTTAAGTGACTGGATAGAGAGGTTTGCGGAGAGGTTGCGATGATGGGGTTGAAAATGATAGGAATGGGGAATCGATGCGGGGTGAGGGAGGTTGTCTGTCGTCTAGAAATTCAACTTCAACCTCCCTAGATACCGAGGTATTTGTATTGTACAAAGTCTCGATGTCTAAACAACAAGCTTGCCGGTACATCAGAGAGGATGGCCACAGAATGTCGATACACGTGTAGAAATGCTCTTCTTCTGTCTTCTGTCTTTTGCCACTGGAATTGCTAGGCTCTCTAGGGAACAAGTTTGGTCTTGGACTACGAGCGCTGGGATTTTTTTAAGGTTAGTTCCATAAGTTACCGGCAACATGCATGGGTGCAGCCCGGTGCCGGTCCCGGTCGGGTGCCAGCCAGGACCCGGAGTCGCCACCGATCGTCCCCGTTTATCTTGGTTTCCCAGATTACTTGGCATGCGTTTCACTAAGCCCAGTCTTTGCAGGCTCTAACCCCGAAACGAAAACCATCTTGGTCTGCAGTTCACTACTGTAATCACTGCATGGCGATGGGGCCAGACAGGGCGTTGAATTGACCTTTGTCATAGAACATCGGATCTTCTTATTGTCTTGGCTGTTGACTTCCTCATCCTTGCACATACGTAGACGGACACGGCCAGGAAGCAAAAGCTAGACACAGCAACTAAACATGGTATCATCAAACCTCCTCCTTCGCTTCTCCTTAGGGCCTCTCATACTGTTGTCTTTCTCCGCTTCTCCGCTACAAGACCGCTTGCCCATGCCACCCGGCCGGCTGAAGCCCAGTGCGTTTGGCCCCTTCATATGTTGGGCGACTCGTTACATATCCTATCAAGTACGTGGGACTCGGACCAAGAGCGCAGGCGTGATTAACCTGCCAACGTCACTGGCCCTGCTCGTTGGTTACATTGCCATTCCCTAAAGCACCATCTCCGTACTAGCCAAAGTGAGCCCGGATTACGTTCTGTGCCTCAGGTGAGAATTGCTGCAATAGGGGCATCACGTCGGTATTCGTTCCCTCCAAGAGGACCTTGGTTGCTGCGACCACGCGAGCCGCATTCTGACCGCTCAGCGCCTCGGCCTCTAGAGCTTGCGCGACCAAGACGAATACTCGGGGCGCCTGAGAAGTAACGGCAGGGTGTTGTCTAGAAATTTGTCAGCCCGCTCCGTATGTGTGAGACACCACAGCCAAGGGTCAAAGACTTACTTGCTAATGAGCTCTGCTAGGTATAGATACGCATATGGCGCCGCCTCCTCATCATTGGTGATTGGCAGAGTATTGATCCATTCTGCAATGATTTGGTCGGGCGCCGTGACGGCAGAAGCGTTGAAGTGCAGAATCTTTGCGATTGCTGCGCATGCATTTTCTGTCGCGTAGATGTTGTCCTCATTGCGCGCATCGGGGACCGTCATGACCTCAAAGAGCAGCGGAACAGCCCCGCCCAGGAACGCCGACCAGGCCTCCCCACCATGGCGAGCGGCTACGCCGATGCCGTACGCGGCCGCCTGCCGAATCGCTGGTGATGGATCCCTGCAGCCACGCAGCAATGGCTGCATGATAAGGTTGGCGTACTGGCTACTCTGCGGGCCGCAGTACTCCAAGACATCGTCCATGATGCACAGTCCCCACTGGCGCTGCGTCGGGTCGTTTGAGTCGAGGAACGCCTGATAAGTATTCTGCAGACGCTCCCAGTGTCGGAGGAAGTTGGGGCCGTGGTACTTGAAAACGCAGTGGAACGCCTTGTTCATGTCCGAGAGGAGTGTCTGATCATCCTCGATCGCCATGAGGAGCTCTTCTTGCTCGTCCTCAATGTCTTCGGGTGGCACGCCCCGCCGCTCCTCCTCGCGCTGTGCGACACGGTCTTTGTAGTCGTCGAGGGTCGACGTAACCGACTCGATGAACCGGTTCAGGTGCGTGTCGGCAAGGCATGGCCGCCCGATGACCTCAACCGACTCGTAAAAGCACTGGTACATCTCGGCAAGCGTGTCGACGGCTGGCTCCGCAGTGAGCACCTCAAGGAGCTTGTCCACGGTCTTGTTCCACAGACTTGCCAGCTGCTCTGACTGAGGCCCATAGGCCTTCTTGACGCAGCTAAGCAACTGTGGGACGAGCTTGGCCGATACAAATCGGACCGGGTCGTGGAAAAAGAATGCTAGGCCCGGGAGCGCAATCTTTTCCATGATTTCGTCGGCGCTCGGTGCGAAGTCCGCCTCGAGCACTTGAGCATAGACAACTAGGAGCTCAATCGCCATGTGCTTGTCATCCATGGAGCTGGTCTTGATACCGATAGTCTTACCCCGCAGTGGCACCAGCTCCCAGCCGTCTTCTTGCTGGAACCTCTCGATCTGCTCGTCGTCGTCCAGAAGCTGGATGTCGGCCTTTGCGCTTGCGAGCTCGAGCAGTGGAGGCAGGACCTTGGGCATGTACGGGAGGAAGGCTTTGCCCATGACACGGCACATTCTTCCCCAGCAGTGCATCAGGTATTGAGCCTGTGGGTCGTCCGGATCCTGCACACTGTCTTGAATGCTGCCCAGCAGCTGCACCAGCATTTCGGCATCTGGGCCCAGGCGCTGGGGCCCAACCGCAAGGGCGATCAGAGTCGCGCACTCCATCGCCTTTGCTCGGAGCAGTCGGTACTCCTTGTCACTCTCGCGGCGCAGGACGTTGACGAGAATTGGCATCAAGGTATCGTAGTATCGGGAAAAGGCTTGCTCGGCCGCATCGGCGATCGTGGCAATCGTCGACAGGGCTTGCTCTTGCACATAGCGTTTGTCATTCTGGAGGAGCTGGTACAGGGAAGTAAGCAGACTGTCAAGATACGGCTCGAGGACCGTCTTTTCGGCCTCTTCGCAGAAATTGACCAGCGCGGCGGCGGCATGAGACTTGACCCTGGCTTCAGGAGAGTCAAGAACCGGGACAATGGCCGAAAGGACCGTGTCGTAATACTCCCTCTGCATGGTGGGTGCGAAATCTGTGCTCATCTGCCCTAGCGCGTTGCAGCCGGCCCAGCGGACACGGGGGTGGGGATCCTTCAGAGCAGGCACGACAAGCTCAAGAACCTGCTTCAATTCACCAATCATTTGGTCCCGGCAGCCCTCCGAGATGGCAGATATCGCCATCAAAGCAGCGTGTCGATCTCTCCAGGCGGGCGAAGTCATCATGCGGGGAAGCCAGTTGAAGGTTGGCTGGAGGATGACCATGCCTCCAAGCTTATTAGCCAGACGATCCATGCAATGCTCACCGGCAACATGGTTTTGATCGCTCTCGGGATCGTCGAGATCGTCCGCCGCCAGCCATTCGGCCGCGTCATCGTCATCTTCACCCAGGTCAGTCATCAGGCTCAGACACTGGGTGATCATGTCGTTGGTGTAGTTGGGGTCCTTCTTGCACATCGACGGCGCATAGTCGGCAAACGTGGCCATGAGCTCCAGGGCATTCTGGCGTGCGAGATCGCTGAGTTCCTTGTCCTGGATGACCGAGATGCAGAATTGGACTAGGACATTGAAAACTTGCTTGAACATGCGTGGGGCTCCCTCAGCGAGCTCGATGAGGGCCACAAGCGCCTTGCTAAGATCGTCCGAGTCCTGGGAGTCCTTGATTGGGGGAAGAATGTTGAGAACTTCGGGGAGAAGCACGTGGTATTTGGCTTGATTCTTCTTGTCTAAGCTGCGGAAAAAGGCAGCGAAGGCCTCCATGGCAGCGAGACGGACCTTGTTGAGTTTCAGTCAGCATCCCGCTCGCGTTTCCACCAGAGATGTTTCATACCGCAACCGAGTCGTCCTTGAAAGCTTGAGCAAATGCGCCAGCCACAGCCTCCTCATGCTGCTTCTCGATGATCCCCGGCGTGGTTGTGAAGACGCGGAACGCCGTCTCACGCTTGCCGGCATCCGGGGCTTGGCTAAGATTGAAAAGGACCTGCAGAAGGTCGGGCCACGAGTCGTCTGGGAGCAAGTCAGCGCCAGGGTGCAAGGCCGTGTGAGATTACGTATCACACGACGAACCGCTCTCGTAATATTGTCTCGCAAGCTCAGCAACAGCGTCGCTGATCTTGTTCCGGACAGCCTTATCAGTCTCGGCCATCAGCGTCTCCAAGAGCCTTGAACGAATGACGTTGGCCTGGTCTTTCTCAAGAGAGATGAACATGTCAACATTGTCGGCATTGCCGATCTTTCGGGTCTTGGAGGCTATCCGGCGGAAGATGACTGCCGCAAAGGAGCGTGTCTGGAATCCGAGGAGTCAGCACTGCGCACCGTTGAAACTGTCCCAAGCAAGTGGAATAAAAAGACATACAGATGCATCGGTCGAGTTTCCAATCTGCTCGACCAAGCCCATCAAGAGCCAGTCGGGCCGCTGGCTGGTCCACTGGTTCTGGAGTACATCCTCGGCCTGGGAGCGGACGTTGTTGTCGGGGGACTGGAGCTGTTTGAGGAGCGCGGTCAGCTGGGCGTGGACCTCGGCCGGCAACACCGACATCTTGGCGACGGTGCAGATGTTGTGAGCGTGACTGAGGTTCCGAGCCGATTAAGGAGAAGATGGATCGAGAGTGAGAGCCCAAGCGACACTGTTGCTGCTTGCTGCTTGCGGCTTTGAGAAAAGCTAAACGACTGTACTCTTGCAGCCCTTGCTACCCAAAACCGAACCAGGCCCGGCGGGGAGCCAGCTTTGGGCAGTGCTAGGAATGGGGCAGCGCCGACGGGCGACGTATTGCAGTCTCGGTGAATCGCGTCAACAAGCCGCCGGAGCTATCGTGAGAAGGAGTCGCGACGAAGGGACGCGTCGGGGTGCCGAAGACCGCAAGGAAAAAAACTATGCCGGCGGGCGCCGTGTTGAGGATACTTATTGGGATTGAGTCGCAGGAATGGGGGGTTCGTTTCGACGTGTCAAGGAGGGGAGCGAGGAAGGGCATCACTTTTTTTTTTCATTGGTTCGAGACCTGGGGTGGGGGAGGGGCAGGTTTTTTGCTCCAGCGTACAGTGTTACACTGTCCTCACAGAGCGACGCGACTTTCAGTTGCCGTACTGCAGTAGCGTGTTCCAGACCATGCCTGTGCGAAGTGCACATGGTGAAACCCTTTGAAAATCATCAAAGAACTGCAGATCCTCAGGACGTCCGTCCTACACTATGGATCTAGATAAATAACTAGACGTGCCTTCGCGTACACGAGTTTGAAGTTCCGCTCTTGGAGCACAGTGCAAGTTGTCGAACCTGTCTCCGTCACCCTCACCTTGGTGCTGATATGCGAAGAACAACGGGACACCGTCCGGTGCGCTTTCCAACCCAAAGGTTGCGTCCTTATCAAATCTTGGCAAGCAATCGATCATTCGGTTGCCGGCTCCCCAACTGTTTATCCTCTTCACGATACTGTATGTCCTGACTTCTTTGAAAGTTGAGACGGAAAGACTCGTTAGGAGTATCGTCCGACAATTTGACCAAACACGTCATCTGCGAAGCCTGACTGGGGTCAGTTGCACCGCCTCCTTCATGGTAAGAATTCGGGCGAGCGCCAGAGGCACTGAGGCAGCTGCTGAGAGTGGTATTGAAATTATTGTATGTACGTGCTAGGTAACGGTAACAAAACCGTCGATCTATGCCCGGAGAGAGAACCGCTGACACTGGCGTGACTCGGGATTCCGGATTTCGATTCTGCTCTGGACGGCGCCGGGCGGTACCACGTGTGTAGGTGCCTTGATGTATAAGAGGTAAGGTAATACCTAGTCGGATTCCCGAGCCGTTGAAACTCAATGTGTGTTTGGCCATAGTATCTGGCGCGCTCCGCTGGCAGCTGGATTTAAAGAGCGTAGGTATCCGTACAGGAGCGCGTCCAAGCCAAGGTGACCCCGCATCAACACAGCTTCCTCACCGACCATCCCTGTTTCCAAAGCGAACTTCGACCTCACCACCAACCAAGCGAGCCAAGCTAGCTGAGCTCTTCAGCAGACCTGACACCCGGTGCTATCCTGACTTGAGCGATTCGGGACAGATTCAATCAACCCATGCGCGAGCCGACGAATACCAAACACTAGACACAGACAAGCCGCATGCAATGTCGGCACCCGGCGCGCCAGATTCGACATTGCGAGGTGTGTCTGGGAGCATGGCTGGGAGCTCCCAGACCTCGCTGAGTGCGACGCTTTCATCACCCCAGACCGGCGCTCCCAAACCCAACCACAACCACATGCACCCCCATCGCCAGAGCTTCGCCGAGAACCAGCGGCATCCTCCCCCATCGCCCCGCAGCCAGCGACATCCGTCCTTCACACAGCAGGCTATTCAAGACCTCGTGAACCACCCGCCTCCCAATCGGCATCCTAATCCCCGATATTCTGGGAGGGACTGGCGAGACGTTGCGCTGGGGGAGCTGGCCGTTCCAGAAGATGTCAGGTGGGCCAGCATGGACGATAGTGTCCAGAGTGCCACATTTGTGCGTGTGCCCCCAATGGTTCATTCCTATGTATTTCTAGATTCGACCCGCTGACCCTACTACTGCTACTAGACCCTCATAAAAAACAACCCGACCAATGTTGTGCTGGTTCGCGAAAGTCCCGAATCCAGGACGGCAGTCACGACGTTCGATTATAACGACCTGAACGCGTATTTGCTAGTTGTTGTAGGACTCGCAAAGCCCGAGGACGAAGACGTGGGTCTGTATACTGAGATTTCGAGGAAAGCCCAGGCTCAGGAGGACATTGCGTTGCACCAGATCCAATCGCTGTGTCAGAAAGAGGAATTGGTGGTTTTGCCGGCCGAGGCAACTCTCGACAAGGCCGTTGAGTCGTTTGGAGGCGGGGTTCATCGGATTCTGATCGTCAACCAGGCGGGCGACGTCATTGGGGTGCTCACCCAGCTACGCCTTGTCGAGTTCTTTTGGAACGAGGCCGTCAACTTTCCGGTTATTGACCGGTTATATGGCAGCCTTCTCCGGGATCTCGGAATCGGCACGCACCAGATCATCGCCATCAAGTGAGCTCTCCCCGAACCCTTTGTTGCGCACCACAAGGTCCATGCTGACCCTTGCTGCATAGCATCGACGCTCCTCTAGCCGACGCCCTCTTGTTGATGCACAACGAGGGGCTGACATCGGTTGCCGTCGTCGATCAGGGGCTCAACGTCGTAGGCAACATATCAACCGCTGACGTCAGGCATTTGACGAGCGCCGCCAGCCTACCGCTTCTCAAGGACACGTGCATGCACTTCATCAGCGTGATCCTCCACGAACGTGGCGTCGAGCACGGCCGGGACTCGTTTCCCGTCTTCCACGTCAACCCTTACTCGACGCTCGGGCACACCGTCGCCAAACTCGTCGCTACCAAGTCCCACCGCATGTGGGTTGTTGAGTCGGCCTCTCCGTCACCGAGCGCGCCGGCAACGCCCCTACTGCAGCCAAGCAACCCCGCGGCTACGACTGCTGCCGCACCTCCACCTACCTCTGGCGGAACCGGCGGCGGAACAACTTCGCCGCCGCCCACCGTCATCATCCCTCCGTTGAGCAGCTCCTCGACGCCGCAGTCTCCGCTTCCGGGCCAAAACTTTGCCGGTGTGCCCGGCGGCATGCCCGGTGCGCGGCTTTCGGGCCGCCTGACGGGCGTCGTGTCCATGACCGACATACTGAACCTGTTTGCCAGGTCGAGCGGCCTCCGCCCTTCAGACCCCTCGGAGCAGCGGGCGCGGAGGAGACGCAGCTCGAGCGCCTCGGTGCGGCCTAGCATCGACAGCGCCCGGGCTAGCGTTGACTTTAGGAGGTAAAAAACCTCGGTTGGGGGAATACGTGGGAACCGGGACACACAATCAGTAATCCATATACACGTACTCGTCGGCTTCTGAGGGCTCAGAGGCCGCGTAGAGCTACTCTGGTCCTCATTGAGGATACATATCACTCCCTCGAAAGGCGTTGGTTGGGTGATAGGCGTGGCATGGTTGCGGCATTGTCATTCAGGGGTTCTTTTTGCGCGTCGGATGCTTCAGCATAGGCCTCATTCCACTCATAGGATGGATTCCAAATCATCAATCACCTCAGAGAGCGAGCGTAGGTTACAGTAGGTGGCCAAGCACCACCACTTCGAGAATGCCATATTCTTTGTCTTTGGACAAACTGCATCTCCTTTCGCAAGTGTGCTGACTACACGGTGAGATAATGTATTGTACATGACTGACACCATTGGAGCCGCAATACGGCCTGGTGCAGTCTTGACTTGCGGGAGGTTCATTTTCTCCGTTCATTCATTACATGGCCCTGCCCTAAGTCCTAGTCCGTACAGATTCCAAATTCGTCCAACGCCTTCATATCCAAAAGCCTTGTAGTCCTGCCTATTTTATCACCCGTTATTCGCCGCCGCGTCCATACCTTATAAATGCTGCTGTTAAAGCAGGCCTCAGATCCTGAATCCCAAGCAGGACCGCGTGAGAAACCGAAGCCCGCGCCCATGCTCATCCCTCCTATCTAGCTAATACAACTATAAACAACAAGATATACAAATAAAGATACAGTAAAATGAAACCGACCACAAGACGCGGGTAGAAGTACAGGCCATGAATCCAAATATAGCTGTGCTGTTTCCCAACCTCCAACGAGAACATATCCATCCTATCCCTTGAAACCGCATGCCACATCACCCTTCCAACGCCGTAAACCTTGAATCCAAAGCCGGCCAGCTCCACCTGGGGGGACAGGATAAACCCTCCTCACCACATCCATAGCCGGAAGACCGGCAGGAGCAGATCCTTTCAGTGTCATGCTTTGCAGCCTCAATCAACTCCCGAGTCCTGATCCATCCCCGCTCCAGTCCCTGGGACAGCAGTATTCCCCCGCTGCCCCGACACATCCTCATCAGTCGTCTCCTCAGCCTCACCATCAATATGGTCCCCCTTGGGCCCGCGACCAGGCGATTTCACAGCGGGTACATCCGACGGCCCCAGCTGCTCCTCCTCATCATCACTACTCTCGGGAAAACTCCCCGCCATTCTCTCCCTCATCCGCCTCCTCTTCAGCCAACCATTCCCATTCCCATTCGCCTTGTCATCCCCATCACCCTCCTCCTCACCCCACCCAGCCCTCCAAAAACCAGATGACGCAGCTCTCAAATCCCCGCCACTAGCCCTGGTTCTGAGCACATGTCCTCCCCTCCTCCCATTCCCGCCGCCACCACTGCCATATCCATATCCAAATCCATGCGAATTGGCATATCCATTCCCCGGGTCCAACCCACACCCGAACCCACGCCGCGCATGCCCAGGCTGCCTGAGCTCGTCTTGGTGGTAATCATAAACATCCCCATAGTCATCATAGTCATAATCGTCGCTCCAATCCCAGCACACCTCGACCCTCTCACCGCCCCTGCCCAGGCCAAAGACCAATCCCCTCCACTCACCCGCGGCAATCCGCGCGGCGACCTTCAGCATCAGGCTGAGGAGATGTGAGGGCGGCGACATGAGGATCTCGCACGTCTTGTGGATGACCGTCATGGGCAGGCGGCGGACGACGGCTAGCGCGCCGCTGTTGTTGGTATGGTTGTTACCGTTGTGGTTGTTGTCACTGGGAGAGGAAGGGTGGTGGTGGTTGTGGTGGGGAGATCGGGGAGCAAAAAGGTTGGCTGCTGGCGGCGGGAATGGGGACAGAGGTCCACTTCGGCTCGGGGAGATGCTGCTTGATGTAGTTGCGCGGCGGAGCGGTGAGGGGCGGGCGGATGTTGGCGCTGGAGACGATGTCGTAGCAGCGGGGTCTACGGGAGGTGCTGGAGACGGCGGGGAGGGGCTTGGGCTTGACGCAGGTGTTGTGAAGGCTTCTTCGTCCTCGGTGAACGGGGATGGGGGTTGCGAAGTGATGGGCTTTTCGGGCGCTGTTTTGGGAATTGAAGGTGACGGTTCTGTTGTGGCGCTGGGCGCTGCTGAGACGAGAGGAGAGCTGGAGGTGGAACCAGGGTCGGAATGATCCTGGAGGGTTACCTGGATATCTGATAGTGTCTGATTTGTTTCCCGACGAGACGATGTTGTGGGCGACCCTTCGTCGGACAAGGGTGGCGACGGAGGGAGAGGAACGGAGCGCCACGATTCCCGCCTGTGGAGGGAGTCTAGAGTATCGGTAGAGAGTTTGATACCCGGGGGTTGGGCGACCGTTGGTTGCTGCGAGGCAGCTGGGCTGGCGCATTGTAACGTTTCAACTGACACCGGATCGGGGCGTCGAGGGAAGTCAGCGGGATCGGCATCGACGGGGGAATCACCCCCTGATCTGGAAGCTTGTTCTTCCACAGGCGGCTCTAATGCGCGGGCCTCATTGCGCAGCGTTGTCTTCACATCGGCGGTGGTTTTCATGTCCCCAAGAGATATCGCCCCCCGCGGTGTTCCCTTGTATACGGGCGCGATCTCGACGGGTGTGACGGGAGTCAGGGGGAAAGACGTGCTGGACCTCCGCACCGGTGTCCATGGCCGTTTCTTTACTGGTGTTTGCGGCCGTTCTGGAAGCTTGACTGTGAAAGATCTCTTGAATGGGCATTCGGTCTTCTCAAACTGTAGGATCCTGTCAAAGACGTCTCGGAGTAGCTGCACGCGGTACACATCTTCCTCCTTCTCCACAGGAAGTTCTATCCTCCAGTACTGTGGCCGGCGTATTTGCAAGACGAACTTGCTCGAGTCTTCATCGACGCACCAGACTTGGCTTTTGGGCAGAATCGGCTGGAGCGCGGAACCACAGCTGAGAAAAGCCACCGAACCCGGGGCGCGGTAGATTCTGAAGGCGCCTATCAAGTAGGAGTTTGAGTCAGTAGGTTGCCCTAGCCTGCACAGGCATGCCCGGATAACACACCGGCTGCAATGGTCCGCTCCAGATGCGACGTCCAGGGGAGCGATCCGGGCTCGATGTCAGGCGCAGTACCCGTCCACGGGCCGACAGAGAGAGAACGATAGCCCGCGGTGAAGGAAACGATCTTGACATTCGGATGATCATAAAGGGTGTCCACCAACTCGCTGGCAGATTGTGGCGATGACTGCGGGGAAGCCGGGCGGACAGGCGCTGTGAGAGAACGGCGCGGCGTAGAGAAGGAAGGACCTGGCGACTTTGAGGACTCCATGCTTCGTTCAAGCGGGGCCTGGAACCATTGCTAGGGACAGAATTGTGTGTACAGTACGCAATGTGATGCGATCAGAGGTCATATAGTAGTGTAGACATCAACGGCTCAAAGTAGGTATTCAGGTGACCAGGTCCCTCCTCTCTTCCTCTGGCAAGTCGGGCGTCCGTTTCAGGATGGAACGATGGGCCGCCGATCGGCCAATTCTTCGCGGATCGAATGTGCAAGACGCTGTGAGTCTCCAGGCCCAGGAGCTGCAATCGGGAACGCAAACAACGTATGCAATGGTATAGTTTATGTAGGTGCTTGCGGCGGAGGCAGACGCGATTTTGATGATTGACGAACCAGCTTCTCCAATGGATGGCGCTTTCTCTGCACTCAGACTGCATCCAGCTCTACTGTGTGAAGTATGGAATTTAGACACGGAGTACGTACTGCTGGTACTAATCAGATGCAAGTGACATCACCGCCCAAGAGACAAGGACAAGGGACTCAATCTGCTGCTCTGAAGCTCGAGGTCACTCACATCAATTCACCACCACATTACTCAAAAAAGATGTCGGCAGACCAGAGACCAGTTATTGACAAGGCGAAGTTGAAACAACGCTTTGATATCTCGCATTTTGATCTTAATGCAGTCATTCGGGGCATCCAATTGACACTTGTTGGCGGTAAGTTGGTTCGTTCCTCAACAAAATGAACAATACCTTACGTATCCCCGTGAAGATACGGTACTCCGAGTCGATCGAGCCTTGGCACTAACGATGATACTCAATCCCAGCCCAACGCGCCCTACAGAACCCACAACTTTTCACCTCGGAGCATTACAAGCAGGCCGCCATTGCCGTTGCCGCGGGCATTGCCATCCGCCTGCTCATAGCCGTTCCTGTTCGTCCTTGACTCCTAGCTAGTAGCTATTCCCTACCTGAGTTCCAACCTTCAAGCTAACCTGCATCTAGATCTTGGGCATCAAAGTCCTGCTATGGACCGTCTCCCTCTTTGTTTCCCTCGACCGCGTGACGTGGGATGACACGCTGGTCAACGGACTGGGCTTCATCGAGGAGCACGTGCTGCAAGCGCCACTCTTCTTCATGAGCCTGATGCGTTACCTCACCCCTACACTTGACGATCTGTAACGTGGAACCCCCCCTTATCAAGCCCTTCATGATAGACCCGCAGACCTAGCTAACCATCCGTCCAAAAAACCCAGCTTCATGACCTCCCTGCGATGGGTCGACCAAACATACACGCTCAAGCACCGTCACGACTCTGATCCGTCACAGCTGCGACCGCTCTACCACCCGACGCTGGCGCAGTACCGGCCAGCCGCCGCCGCCGATGGGCGCGCGCCCTCATCCTCATCGGGGGCCACGCGGTTTGTGTGGCGGTTTGCGCGCAAGGGGTTGATCTCGCTCGCCGTGTACGCCGCCTCATACCTGCCCGTCGTGGGCCGCCTGGTGCTCCCCGCCGCCAGCTTCTGGACCTTCAAGTCTGCCGTCGGCCTGGGCCCTGCCGCCCTCATTTTTGCCGGAGGCGGCCTGCTCCTCCCCAGGCGCTACCTAGTTATTTTTCTACAAAGCTACTTCGCCTCGCGAAGTCTGATGCGAGAGCTGCTCGAGCCTTACTTTGCGCGTATCCGGTTCACGCCAGAGCAAAAGAGGCGGTGGTTCCGCAGCCGGGAGGGGCTGTTGTTTGGCTTTGGCATTGGATTTTATGTCCTCTTGAGGGTGCCGTTACTGGGGGTGCTGATTTATGGCATTGCGGAGGCGGTAGGTGCTTTTCTTTCTGGCCTTGGATTCTTGCGTGTGCTGGGACATAATTGGCGTCGTGGCTAACATGATTCGTAGAGCACCGCGTATCTGATCACCAAGGTGTCGGATCCGCCGCCGCCGCCGGCACAGAGCGAGGGATTCGCTGCCAGCCAGACCGAGTGGAGGAACAAGCAAAAGTTTCTCAGCCTGTCGCTGTGGAATCTTGATGCGATCCATGACAAGCCGCCTCCGTACTCGGAGGTTGATCCCCATCCCAGCTCGGCTCTGCAGTAGTGTTCCTCTTGGACTTGCTGTGGTCGGCGTTATGGATTCGCACCATCGTCCCGACCAGACTACAGTACAGCTTGGCTTGTACTCTGTCTTTGATGCGTCACCGAGGCATTGGTATGGACTTAAGCCCCCTTGTATCAGGACAACCAAGTCAGGAACATGCATACAACGGCTAGGCCAGGGTTAGCCGATCAATTCCGGTACCTTATCACCGGCTTTCTTCTCCACAATAGGTACGTTGCCTTCAAGATGAACGTGTGGAGGAGATATCTGTCGGTGGGGCTAGAGCTTTGCCTTTAACCGCGTGGATTGTCTGGTTGATAGGGACGGAGGTGTGCGATAAGGCTCAATCCGTGGCGATAAGCACCGGCTGCTTGGCATGTGGGCTGATTGATAATGATGGGCTTTTGGCCATGGCTATGCATTACGTCTTTGCTCCGTGGAGCAGTTGTCCTAGTTCCGCAGAACTTATCAACGTGCAGAGGATGGGATGGGGATGCGGGGTAGCTTGGAGCAAGTGATGACGGGAACTGGACTGTAATGTAGGTAACCGTAAGGTACCTATATAGAGATTGTTTCCCGCCCTGTATTGTCTGGGGAGTTGCGGATGTCTGCTTGAGCGTATAAGGCCTTGTCGTGTCTAAGCGCGCCGACTTTGACACTGGAGTACCTCTCCTGGCTTGGAGCTGACCTAGACACAAAGAAAGAAGATGGGCAAATCTGGAATCCGGACCGTCTGCAAGGTCGACCTTGACAAACCTGCCTCTGAGCAACCTTATCTTCATGTATGTCATTCATATACTGACTTCATGTTCGATAAGATGGACTACTAGGTATTGTGTCAGCAGACTGACATGACCTACAGAACAGATGGCACCCTGACAGTGGGCCTCCTTTCTCATACTCTGTGCTGCTTCTGGTACCCTGATAACAAGACGACAGTTCCCTTCGCCGGGTCCATCAAGGATGGCGAGACTGTCAAGATCGAGTGCCTTGACTGGTAAAGTTCCCGTCAAAAATTACTGAACCATTCTGGCTGACAGCAAGACCAGGACTGGCGGCCAGATCAAGAACAACGATTCGGCCGATGATGTGAAGAACGTCGACCTCACCAAGGTGCATTATCTTTCCGGTCCGTTCGAAGTCGAGGGAGCCGCGCCGGGAGATCTGCTTCTCGTCGAGATCATGGATGTCCAGCCGTTCCAGGACCAGCCTTGGGGGTTCACAGGCATCTTTGATCGGCGCAATGGAGTTAGTTATCCTAGCCCAGCCAACCCATACCCCTGAATAGGTAACCTCTTGCTAACAATAAGCACAGGGAGGATTTTTGGACGAGATCTACCCTTCAGCGTAGGTCACTCCAGCATAGGTGCTTAGCAGGCTGGCCTCAGCGTTGACAGACTCCTCAGTGCCAAAGCCATATGGGATTTCGAGGGCATCTACTGCACCAGCCGGCACATTCCACACGTTAAGTTCGCAGGCCTGATCCATCCGGGCATTCTCGGTTGTGCGCCGTCAGCTGAGGTCCTCGAGACGTGGAACAAGCGTGAGGCCGAATTAATTGCTGCCAACAAGCTTGACCGCGGTGTTGCTCTTCCGTAAGTGCGCCCCGACCTTCGTCAAGTAAATCAGAGTGCGAATCTTACTGACTCTGTTGGTATCATTAGGCCGCAGCCTCTTAGTGTCCATGCTGGGAGCGCCGACAAGGACTTGACGGAGAAAGTCGGTCGTGAAGGGGCAAGGACAATTCCCGGACGTCCAGAGCATGGAGGTATGAATCTAGCTCTCCAATGCCAGCAGAACCGATGCTAAGCAAAAGCCAGGAAACTGTGACATCAAGAACTTGTCCCGGGTAAGACATCGACAGCAGTACCTCCATCCCTTCCCAGAAACACCCCAAGGCTGACCGCTCGTAGGGCTCCAAAGTGTACCTCCCCGTCCACGTCCCCGGTGCCAAGTTTTCTGTCGGCGACTTGCACTTCTCCCAGGGCGACGGCGAGATCTCGTTTTGCGGCGCCATCGAGATGGCCGGCATCATTACCATCAATTTCAAGGTCATCAAGAACGGCATGGCCGACCTGGGACTCAAGAGCCCCATCTACATCCCAGGCCCCGTGGAACCGCAGTTTGGACCCGGACGCTACATCTACTTTGAGGGTTTCTCCGTCGACGAGCACGGCCAGCAGCGTATGAATCTCCCATTTCTCTTATATCCCCACCCCTGAGCCCTTCCCCCCAAGAGCAGCCCTCACTCACAAACCCCCAACCCTACGCACAGATTACATGGACGTGACAGTCGCCTACCGCCAAACCACCCTCCGCTGCATCGAGTACCTGCGACGGTTCGGCTACAGCGACTACCAGGTGTACCTGCTGCTGTCGTGCGCGCCCGTGCAGGGCCACGTGGCAGGCATCGTCGACATTCCCAACGCCTGCACCACGCTCGGCCTGCCCATGGACATTTTCGACGTTGACATCTCCCCCTCGGCCGGGGCGGTAACAAAGAAGCTGGATATGGGCAGCTGCGCGTTTGAGACGGGCCGTACCGAGGGCGAAGTTGTTGATCTTGCTAGTGGAAAGGGAAAGAGAGGGCCGGTGAGCTTTGGGGGCGGGTTGACTTATAAAATGTAATTGTTCTTTATAGGTTAATAAGAGGGGGAAGGGGGGGTTGAATGGTTGAGGGCAGGGGCGATAGAGGGTGGTATCTACCTGGGAAGGGGAGGTGATGATTGAAGTGTAGATAAACGGTATGAATTGGCTTGGAATGCGAACGCCTTTGCCAAAGATTGTCGTATATATCGGACGCGTTGTTCATGCCTTATGCTATGCTCTTGATGCAGCAGCTCGTTAATCATACTATCCCCCGTTCCCCCTTTCCCTTGACCGTCGTCATTCAATGCTTAGTTCCCCAAACTGCGAATGGCCCGTCTCCCGCTCGTGCTGGGCCGCCTCCTTCGTCCCCTGCCCAATCCAATTGCAGAGCTCGCACTTGATGACAAAATCCGTCGTGTCGGTGTAGTAGTGAAGTCTCTGCAGCCGCTGGGCGAGCTCGAGAGCCTTTTCCAGCACGGCGTCATCGTCCGTGGCCCACCGCGTCTCGTCGACCTCGATGGGGTAGCTCAAGTCCATGCAGAATGCGATCCTGTCGTAGTGGATGCCAGAGTAAAGGATGATGACGCGGTTGGTCTTGCCTTCGCCGAAGCGGTCCACGCGGAGGGACTGGAGCTGGTCAGCTGCTGCTGGAAAGGGGTAGTTGAGATAGGCAGGGACATGGTCCTACCTTCACATCTATCGAGCTGATCTCGAGGTTGTAGATGTCGGAAAGAATAGACAGCTCGATGGCCCCACCCCATGTGTCCATTTGCCTCATCCGGGTGGTGTAGCGCTGGGGATTGTCTCCGAGAATGGCATCCGTGTATTGATCGGGGTGGTTGAGAATGTACTCTGCTACCTGGTCACGGAGGATTCTGGATGGGTTCTCAAGGCCGATGGCGCCGCCAAAGGCCGTGACTGGTATTGAAGGTCAATGCGCTGAGCGCGTACATAGCCAGAGCAAGCTGCCACTTACACATGCAACTGTTGTCATCGGGCATGACGCGGAGCACTGCAGGGTTCCCGTTAGTCGTGTACCGGTACCATTTCACAAGTCTGCAGACGCAAAGACCTGCCTATGTATCCACCCCGTTCCGGCCATTCTAGCGACGTCTCATCCGGCTCTATCCCCTTGGGAGTAAAAGGCTTTGGTGTCGGTTGTGTCGACGCAGCCTGGGTGGTTGGCGCAGGTGGTGCAGCATCAAGTTTGGCAACGACAATGGTTTCTCCCCGGAGATTCAGGTCCTTGATACCGGTTCCCAGCAACGGCGCACTGATATCCAGGCTTCGCAACGGATAACCGTATTTGAGGGTGAAATTGCTAAGCTCGGTCTTGGACTTGATAAGCTCAACCAGCTCCTGGAGGGTCGATTCGTCGTCGATTTGGATTCGAGACTGCCCGTTCGGGGCTCGGAGACTGATTTGAATCTGCATTGGAATGCTGAAACACGCTGCTAGTGGCGACGTCTATACGATGGGTGAATACCGGTAGCGGTTGACAACCTTTTGGATGACGAGTGAAGGGATATCAGTGAGTGATCGAGACCAGCGTTGAGCCCTCTCTAGCGCAAGCAAAACAAGGCATAGGTAAGATTCCGTCCTGTAGATATATAGGGTTGTACGGAATATCACACACCAAATTATAAACTGCCTCGGCGATGAGAAGGACAACAAGTGAGCTAGAAGCAGGCACGACGGCTGACAAGTGAAACTGAATTCTGAGCTGAGTCAGTGACAAGGACAATATAATAATTTTTCCGCTGGAATACACGCCTTCGACACCTACTATACATGAGCAGGATACAATCTGGTGAAGTCCTGGCAACCCGACTTCCCGTCACAAAAACATGGACTTGCCGGCTTCAGTCTGAGCTGGGCGAGATTTTGCAACGGAACTGCCCAATTCGCAACTTCAAGTTGGGAAGGGGCAGGTGGGCAGCAACGTCAGTGTGCATTCAAGGTTGCTTGCTGGCTGTTAGTGGGTTACCTTTGTGTTGTCTTCACAGACATGAGAGAGCGTTAAGGCTGCCTTGACAGGATTATGAGGCAAACAAGATGCACATGGCAATGGAAGACAAGGCTAGGTAGTGTCAATACAAAATATCTGAACATGAATATACTCGGACCAAGAAACCGTCAGCAAATAACCATGTAGATACTACATACTAAAGAGAATGGTGTGCCAGCCCATCCTCGATGGGATCTCGAGAATTGAGATCGCCGTCAACTGCCCGTGCTCTTCAAAGTCCAAGATTAACAGTGCCTTTAGTAGGTGATAAAAACGCACGGACCAGGCTCGGATGCCAGCTCAAAACCCGATAAGCAAGGATACTGAACGGCTATTCTGTTAACGAAGCCTAAACGCATTAGCGAGCGCAGAAGCCGGCCTTGCACCTGGGCGCTAGTAACACCTCTTGCTGTTGATACAAAGTGGAGATTTCTCGCCGGCACTGACTCGGTCAGATCGGTTGAGGTACCCTTTCGCTCTTGAGTCTTGGAAACCTTGTCTCTGGTTGCCGCCATGCCCACTTTGCGCGAGCGACCCAGCAGAGGCGAGATCTCGCCGGTCAAACGACGAAGCTCGAATTCTCAGTTTTCTCCTTCGACGGCCAAGTCAACTCCCAGGTCGCATCGCACCAGAATGTCGAGCGACGCGATCGAGGTGCGCGAATCCATCGAGGCCAAGGGTGACGTTGATGAGGATGTTGAGATGGAGGACGCCGATGACGCGACGCGACGCGACGGCGAGGAGGACGGCGCTGATGGTGACGGCGATGGTGACGGGGACGGCGACCGCGACGCCGATGGGGACGTCGATGCCGAAGGCGAGTCGGACGACGATGCAGAGCGCACGCGAACGGACCCAGGATTGCTGCACCTCATCAGGGAAACCTCCGAGTACCTCTGTCAATACACCATCAAGGTTGACGGGGAGTGAGTTTTGGCCCCCTCTGGTCGTGTTTTCTGCTATGCGCAGGGATGCTGATTGGCTGCTCCAAGGGACCACCAGATCGCTGCGGGATTCCAGCGCCTGGTAAACAAGCGCAGCCTCCCTGATTATTTCGAGGTCATCAAGGAGCCCATGGCATTCAGCACTATTCGAGTAGGTCCACCATGCCGTCGAGTTTATTTTTCTGCGCACCAGCTGACCTCGGAACCACTGCAGGCTAAGCTTCTCAGGAAAACATACCGAAACTTCAATGAGTTTGTGTGCGACGTCACACGGATATGCCACAATGCCCAGGTGTACAACAGGCCATCTGCGCCAATCTTCTCCGATGCTGGCCGTCTGATGGAAGTGTTCAAGGCGAAGCTGGATGAGCTCGTTAAGTTCGGGGACATCCCTGCCGTTGACGCCGAAATTCCGGACTATGGGCCTTTGCCCGAGTTCGAGGACTCGCCACCCCCCGAAGAGGGGGAGGAGGAAGGAGACGATGATGACGAGGACGAGGACGAAGAAGAAGACGATGATGATTCAGACGATGAAGGTGTGCGTCGCCGCGCAGGGAGGCGCGGCCGTCAAGCTGGGGGCAGGCGCGGCGGCGATGACGGCGATGACGGCCACAAAAAGCGTGGCAGACCGCCCAAGGTACTTACACCGTTAGAGGCTCGTATCCAGGCACTCTTGAAGGGGCTGCGCAGGTTCAAAAACGAGAAAGGGCAAGCGCGCATCCTGCACTTTGAGAAGCTCCCCGACAAAGCAGAGGTGCCTGATTACTATACTGCAGTGCGCAATCCCATCGCCCTCGATACCATCAAGAAGAAGCACAAGCGCAAAAAGTACCATACACTAGATCAAGTTCTTCAGGACCTGGACACCATGTTTGAAAATGCCAAGCAGTACAATGAGGAGGGCAGCGAGGTATATCAGGATGCAATCGAGTTGCAAAAGCAGGCTCGGATCCTCGCCGAGCAGGAGAAGGCAAAGCCCGACGAGGATTTCCGGGATGAGGATGGAAAGCTGCCGCTGGCAAGCATTGAGCATCGAGGGGAAACTTGGAAAGTTGGTGAGTATCTAAAGAACCGGCACCTCCCCCAGGAGCCATCTAACCCTTCGAGCAGGCGACTGGGTTCATATCCGCAACCCGAATGACCTGTCGAAGCCGATCGTCGCCCAGATCTACAGGACGTGGTCAGACAAGTCGGGCCAGAAATGGGTGAATGCGTGTTGGTACTACCGCCCTGAGCAGACAGTGCATCGCTTCGACAAGCACTTCTATGAAAACGAGGTGGTCAAGACGGGCCAGTACCGCGATCACCGCATCGAGGACGTCGAGGATCGCTGCTTTGTCATGTTCATCACACGGTACCCGAGGGGCCGACCGCGAGGTCTGCCGCCCAATGCTTCGGTGTACGTGTGCGAGGCACGGTATAACGAAGACAGGTTCCGCTTCAACAAGATCAAGACTTGGACGAGCTGCCTGCCGGATGAGGTTCGCGACAAGGATTACGAGATGGATCTATTTGATGCACCTCGAATTCTCAAGAAGGTGCCGAGCCCGATCAAGCATCTGCTGCAAGCAGACGCTAAAGAGTCGGACGACCTTCCAAAGCCGACTTGGAGAAGCCCTAACGCGCCACCCCTGATCGGAGCGGTCCATCGCCGCCCGAGAGAGCCAAATGTGAGTTGCCATATCTCCAGACTTTGTCAGATTCTATTCCCATTTTACCCCTTATTGTGACCCCTTAAGTTAGGGGACACATCCTACAGTTTTCCCCAATTTTGCGACCCTCTTTGTGTTGGGCCCTATGTTTGCGTCAGATGCTGGGTGCTTGTGTCCTTATTCCCCAGATGGAGGCTTCTCCCTGGGATGCTTATCTTTTTAGCACCTTCGCTTTCTCTACCGCCTTATCGTTCCTCTCCTGCCCACCGCCTGGTGCAACCGCGCCCATGGCTTTACGAGAAGGAACACGACATTAGCTGACGGAGAGCCAAAGGAATCACCTCCGCCAGAAGTCAATCCGCTACCAACGGCTGTCGCGCCTGCGCCGCTCGCAATCGGACCTTCCCGAGTTCCCATCAAAACCGACGTTGGTGTCGCGGGAACTCCTACCTTTCATCATCCGCATCCCACCGCGGTCGCCCCGGTACCTACTCCATCGCCACATTACCAGATGCAGCACTTTGCGCCACGGCAGGCTCCACCGCCTGCTCCTCACCAGACACCAGTCCATCTCCAACCCCAGCCGCAACAGATGGCTATGCACGTGCCGCATCCTGGGATGCCGCAAATGCAGCCAAGCCCTCACTACCCGCCACATGGGTATCCGCCGCAATATGGAGCGCAACCCCAGGTTCCACAGCCGATTCACTATCATACACCAAACCATATCGCGCCGGCTCCGAATCACCTCACCCCAGCCTTTGATCGGAACCATCGCCCGGTGCATCCCGCCCCAGCCATGACGCCTTCGGCTCGCCAACCCATGGCGCCCGCACCCAACATCGCCACCATTCCGCATGCAAATGCCCACACCGCCAACATCTACAACGTCCCGCGCGCACCCGAGGTGTACACCCTCGCGGAGAATCTGGACGCGGCTATCCCGGCAGAGGTGCGCGAGCAGTTCCAGCGTGACGAGAACGGGCGTGTCCTGTTCTTCACGGCGCCGCCGCTGAACCGGGCGAACAACGGGGTCGCCGAACAGTACGCCGGGCTGGGCCACAGCGTCAGCCATCTAGCCAGCATCAAGCAGCTGCGCGAAGAGCGCGCGAGGAAGCGCAAGGAGCGGGATGAGGCCCTGGCTCGCGAGCAGGAATCGATCAAGAAGCAGTCGGCAGCAACGGCCGAGGCTGACGCAACACGGCAAGCCGAATCCGAGCTGAAGAAGCAGACCGAGCTGGTCGAGAGAGTCCTCCTGAACTGGTCAGCCGACCTGATACGGGGCACGGAACAGCTCGAGGAGAGCGTTGGCCCCGAGTGGAAGGAGATGATGCGGCAGAGCCGTGAGGAAAACGCCGGCAAGACGGAGGCCGAGCTGCGCGAAAAGAATCTGCGCTGGTTCTATGAGGATGCTCTACGGCGGGGCGACATAACTGTGGAGCAGAAGAAGGAATTGGAGGACTGCTTCGTCCATCGGAAGCATTTGACGAGTTGAGGGCTCATGTTGTTTTGCTCTACACAATGTATACATAGCCGCGCATCGAGTAAGGGTTGGTGTGGAGGGCTCGCTTGCACCGGACAGGTCTCTGGAGTTGGGGTTCGGGTTGGGAGATCGGAAGATAATGAGGAGACAAGGGGTACCTCTATGTGCGGTATTACGGGTATAGGCGCCGCTCTGAAATGGGATATGAGCCGGTATTGGCTTTGGGACTGAATATTCAGGGTTGCTCAAGCTTCGATGAAAACCCGTCTGCTGGCTTTTCAATGGATGCAATGGATGATTCAGGCTCTGACTCCCGACTGGTGAGATACTAACACCATGACAAGTACCTAGGAGTATCCTAGCCTCCTGGAGCTGATATCACCAGCCAGTTTGATACTGGCTGATACAATGCAGCTGTATCCGGTCTCCAAACTCACCGCCCAGTAAAGAGCCTCGCTGTCGTGCCCGTGATCGTCTAACTACCGCGTTCCCGTTCGCGCCACGTCGACTCCTGCGTCCCACAACGCCGGCTGCAGGGCGAACCAATGAAGAAGCCAGACAACACGTCTTGCATTACCAGCAGTACCACTAGGGAATCTCAACTCGTTCGATAAGGTTTTACTAGACACTATGACGGACCTTGGAGAAAACCTGGAAGATGCTGTTCCAGCGGTAATCTCACTACACTACACATACTTGGTACTTTGGCCGGCTAAGTTTGACACCTGCGAGACGGGACTGTCAAATCAACAAATGATAGGTCAACCCGCTCCCTGACGGCTCCAGACTATCTTGAAGACTTACAGATCCACACACGAACCCCCACAATTGGAGATTTTCCCGTCGCATCCACAAGAATCACACAAGAAGCAAGCGTCAGTGGTTTAGTGGTAAAATCCATCGTTGCCATCGATGGGCCCCGCGTTCGATTCGCGGCTGACGCATTTTGCACGTCAGGACGTCACCGCCGACTTTTTGATGATCGTGAAGTAAACGTGAAGTGATACGGAAGACGGGAGTTTCCGGCACACCCAATTACCTTAATCACAAAGCCGGGATAGTAATCTGAGCCGTCAGGAAAGAAACTCATCTTCTCGGTGCGATATTGTACAAAACATCCAATACAACTTTGAATGGCAAGCGAGTTGTGCAAGCGCTGCTGAACAGTGTACGAGTATTTGTCTGGTGATGCGCGTTGTCAACCCGTCATCGGATTCGACCGCTTGTCGGTTGCACTTGTCTTCCGATGACATGGCGCCGGCGACAACTGTGCACCTAGCTGCTACCCGCGACCATTTACGAGCAACAACTGAATGAGCAATGCCCCGCTTAGGCTTGCAACCGGTCTTTCGAGTACGTTCCTGTTAAGATCGAAGCCATGGAAATCATCCACATCGCCTCCATTTTCCCATGTTAGACATAACCTTACACATAGATGGTTAGACAGCCGTATACATCTGGGACGGGACGTCAAGCCCTGCAGGGATCAGGCGGCTCCGTGATTGATTGACGGGTTGAGGCCTTCCCCGCCAAACACAAGGCCCAACCCGAACCCCAGCCCGCCCGGGGTTCAGCCACCAGTTGCCCCACTTTCATCTCGAGTCATCGGGTTTCGATCGCTTTGCCGTGTGACTTTTCGATCCTCGAGAACAAAACATCTAAAGTTTCCCGTCGCTGCCGTCACCTAGGCCATTCTCGCCTTTTTTTGCCTACGTTTTCCCTGAACCTGTTAATCCTACAAAACATTACAATGCTTTCTCCTCGAGAGACGAAACCAAACCCTTCCGCCCCACGAATTTGAACTCGCCATTTCCTCTCCCCTCCGCATTCACCCAACCAGGTATTGCCACGCAGTTACCCTTCCTCCCTTTCCTCCCTTTCGTCCACAACTCCCAATCGCCTCGCACATATCCTCGCAACCCAGACAAATATCCTGCGATCGAGTTGTTCATAAGAAGCCTGATTTCTATTCACACCACACTTTGCCGTCCTCTTCTCCATTGATGCGAGCATCGTCATGTCGACCACGTACTTTGGCCGTCCCGAGCATGACGGCCGCCGTCGCCTTGGAGCGGATTTAGACCTCATTGCGAATTGGTCTCGCAACTTTGCCCTGCGCACGCCGGTGCATTCCTATCACCTGTCTAAGCTCTCAGCCGAAGACCAGGCCAAGCTCTTCTCGAGTGACGCCCGCCAGTTCCGACTCCGAGCGGGCCCGAACGAGACTGTAAGTCTCGAGACCGTCAAGGATGGAGACGCTGATAGGTTGGTCGATGACCCCTACACCGTCACGCTTGATCGTGATATGATCGCGATGATGCGTACGTCCAACTACGGTCGCTCGGAGGCCCGAAACTACGAACTGCTCTGTCAGGTTGAAGACGCCCAGGAAGAGTCGCAGGCGATCTCTGCCCAAAAGCTTTCCGATGCACTTATGCGCGGACTTGATGCCGAGACGGCGAAAAAGCTCGCCGACAAAGCTGCAAGCGACGTTCTTGTCTCCGCCGGTCGCAAGGTCGTATCCCGCTGGAAAGCAGAGAGACTTGAGAATTTGCTAGCTCCGGATAACGCAACGCCATATTCACCACCTCCCCAGCCGAATTCCGCCAGCATCACACTTGATGATGTCCAGTTCAAAACTACACCTACCCCGCCATTGACTGTCCAGCCTCCCTCTTTCCAGTCGGCCGGCTTCGCAGGCGACCAAATCACGTCTCAACCACAGCATGCCGTCAAGCCGCCTTCTCCACACGCCTCCACCCCTGGATACGGCAGTGAGACCACAGTGGGCTTGACTGACTCAAGCAGTCCTACCTACACAACCGAAGAGATGTCGTCGCCTGAACTCGAGTTCGCCGATAGCTTCCTGGAAGAAGCAGATGGCGGCGTTGGCTTGATGTCGTACGGCATTACCGAGGAATTTGCAGACCGAGGTTATGAGGCCGTCTTTCAAACCCCTACGCTACCCTCGCGGTATTTAGATCCTCGCGATGAGACTTCCGGTGGTCATCTTGGAGCTGGCCTCACTAAAGCTTTGTTCGCACTCCCAACTGCCGCCAATGGCATGTTTACTAGCAACGCAGTGTCCGGTGCACTCGCGACAGGCGATACCCTAGGAGTCTCGATGAAGCCGTTGGGGAAAGTGCTCTTCGCCATGGATGGAATCAACCCACCTGCACAAACTTCTGACAATGCGTTCGATCCTTTCATCGGACGAATCAGCAAGCCTGACGCACCGGCGCCGGTCTTCTCCCCGGAAAGAAAGACAACTAAATATCCGTTGGCGGAGAAGAAGCCGTGGTTGGGATTCACCTGCTACGACGTTCCCTACAAGCCACGCAATGACCAGCTTGTTCCCAAATACTGGACCACAAAGCTTGGAAAGGAACGTTATGTGCGACACAAGATCAGCAGTCTGAAGTCCGAGGACTCCCGTCTTCGGTCCGATCATGTCTTGGGTCATGTTGCCCGTGAGCCAATCCACATTGTCGTGGACCTCTCGAACATAACGATTGGCTTCTACAACAGCATGAAGGAGCAACGCGGCATACCCGAGAAGAAACGGATTGCTGCCCCTGCTTTTTCCTTCAAGAATTTCGATACAATTCTCACACGCGACCGAAATGTCGCCAAGAGGATTGTCGCGGGTTCTCTGAGCAACACGCACGCAAAACGTTGGCCCGATTACATGGTGGAAGCTCGGGACCTGGGTTACGAGATGAACATTCTGCAGCGCGTTCTCAAGCCTGCCTCGTCGCCTCGCAAGCGCAAAACCAAGGGTGGCTCTCGCGGGGCTGAGTCTCCTGCATCTGGCGCCGACACCTCGGGCGATGACGCCTTCTTGCAGCAGATGAAGCAGGGAGAGCAAGGTGTGGACGAGCTTCTCCATCTCAAAATCTTGCAAAGTGCCATGGATACCCCCAAGCCGAGTACCATGGTCCTTGCCACCGGCGACGCCGCATCCGCCGAGTACTCTGACGGTTTCAAGAAGAATATTGAGCGAGTCCTGGCACACGGTTGGAATATCGAGCTCTACGGCTGGCGCCGCAACATCTCGTCGGCTTGGCGCGAGCCTGAGTTTGTAGAACAGTGGGGACGTCAGTTCAAGATCGTTGAACTCGACGACTTCTGCGAGGAGCTGTTTGACATGACCATCGAGTCGCTGGAGCAGTGAGCTCCCTCCTCAGCAGCAAGCGCGTCGCAACGAACTACTCGGAGCGCTTCTGTCATGCTTCATAGTTGAAACTGATGTCGATTCCTACGGTTTACGATATTTCTTCTTTCAGCCATGCAATCTACGCCACGACCTGATGCAGCTGTCCAGGGCGAGCGACTTTCCCGTCAATCACTGGCACCGCGTATTGATTCATCAGACCGGAATCCGCTTGGCCGACTCCTTCTTTTGCGAATGTCTCTAGACATCTGACGCTCTTTTTATTCCAACTTTTTGACTTCTTCTTCCGATATTTGGCCATATCCAGCGCCATAACTGGTGACCAGTCACTCCTTGGTCAATGATTTCAATTGGCATTCACGACATCTACCGTAGTTTGCTTTTTGGGAGTTTTCCTTCCGTCACACTCGCTTTCTTAACTGGTTTCGTTTTCGGTAGCCAGCTCGACAACAATTTTTTTGGGCCACTTCGCCCTCGGCTTCCGACTTGTCTCAAACGAATCAATTCAATCTGTCGACAGGCGGTACCAGGCAACCAAAGCTGCTCTGTTTGGCACCTTCGCTCTCGTCTTTTGCCCGGATGAAGGCATGATGAGAAGCGACGCCCGTTCTACTCAATTCAACAACCCCAATTTTGACTTTCCTCGCTTCCTGACGGCAATATGAGGAACAGCGAATACTCAACAGCGATAACGAATAATGACTGATGATTTTGATGGTGATGACGAGAATCATTTCTCCATTCACGCCTTGCCACCATCCGGAACGGAGAACTGGACGTGCAGCAGGACGCACCGATATGGATCTTTGGGAATGAAATCGGAAGCGCTCCATCCGAGCCTTTTCTGTCCTGTTTCATCCCGATGTCTCGGTCTTTGCCCGTGTTTTTGTCCTATTCTCTGCCCCAACCATGGCTTTGGTCTGGGCTTGGGATACATACCGGAACTCTTGGTGGTGTGGATGTGGATTGAATGGTTCACAAGATCACTGCGGCGTATAGGGATAGATAGGATGAAATGGATGGGGTGTTACTTGGTCATCGGGCTGGGCAGGCGCATGGTATGGCATGGCACGGCACGGCACGGTAGGCAACGGCGATATAGGCTTGGGCATCGGGAGTGGCGTCTCAACGGAATCACGGGAGATACCCCTGCATACAGGCCATCTGGGTTGTTTGTCTTTGTGTTATTTTCCTCCGGTTTCCTCTCTATATCAACAGGTTTCTCTTTTCCATCTTCTGCCTCAGCTCCTCTGAGCTGGCTATGACCGAAGTTTCCCTGCGGGCTTTCTGGGTGTGGTTGTCACGCGCGCCGGGCTGCATCTCCCATGTCTAATCGTCTTCTCGTGCCTCATTCTCCGTCTTCTGTATGAATTTGCGGAGCCGAGGGCGATTGATGGTTGGATGCACGGGAAGATGGAAAGCCTCTAGCGTACGCAACCCGACTGGATGGATGGAACAGGGGCAGAATCATATGTCCTTAGTTTCCATAACCTTCTGTCCCATCCTGAGCAGCTTGGGCCGCGGGTTCATGGGTGGAAGTGGTGATAATACATGGGTATATATTGGAGCATGCATGAAAAAGACATCTCTTCGTTGTCTAGGTCACCGCCGGGCTGTTGTTTCCGTCGACCGCTTGCTTCGTGACTTGTACACGTGCTACGGACGATTGGATGGATGACTAACTGGCCGGCCGGCTTGTGGACCATGATGCTTCTCGACTCTCTGCACACTTGTGGTCTGTGGGTTGCGGACCGGACGACAGTGCATGGCTGGCCAGGTTCGTTGATCGCAGTGTCGTGACGGGGAGAGTTTAATGAGCATTCCTTGACTGATGGCCACGGATAAGGACGAAAAGATCTAGGCTTCGGTTGCGGCGATGTGACTGTCGATGGCGGTTTCTGTGCTCGCATGCCTGATCAGTGTTTCCGCATGGTCGTTATGGAAGTCAGATGACAGCCAGCATGACACCTGCAGGCGAGGTCTCAAGGTTGAGAGGTCAAAGTACACCCAAAACTTCAACTTCTCTATTTTGATTCTTGATTCCCTTCTATCATTGTTCTAGTCTACCCAGCATCAACCCCAAACTCCCCAGCAGCAACAGCAGCAGCAGGACTGCCACTAGCATCCCCCCTTCTCCGACCCTGCCCGAGCTCAGTCATGATCCACTCGTACACGGCCCACTGCACCGCATTCACGATGAAGGCCCTGACGCTGCAGACCCCGAGACCCCTGAAGAAGGGCTTGATGCCGCCCTCCCGGTAGGTCTCCTTGGCCACCTCCCAGGCACCAGGCATTTTCTTTCTCCTCCCGCTCCCGTCCTGCTCCTGTGGCTGCCCATCACCCCCCGGTAATAATGCCCGCCTTTCCCCAAACGGCCCTCCCTCTAGTGTAGTCTGTGTCTGTGTCTGCACCCGGGTCTTAATGACGTCCAGCGGGAAGACACTGGCCCAGGTGACGACGCCCGCCAGGCCGCCACATAGCAACACCCGCGCAGCCTCCCCGTCCAGCCACCCAGCTCCCACTCCCCCCGATGCGGCATGGTTAGCAGCAGCAGCGGTCAACCACCACCGACTAGCGAGCTCGTAGGCCCAGAAGTAAAAGCCGTACCCGACACTGTCGCGCAGCGCCGTGACTGCACCGCCAAAGTACAGGCCCCGTACCCCCTCGGTTTGTAGCACCTGCTTGGCGATCCGCCATGAGGAGGACGAGGATAGAGACAAACTACTACTGCTACTGCTGCTGCTCCTGCTCATGGATGGGACGATACTTGGCGGCGGCGGCTCGAGGAGTTGGGCGCGGCATTTGACCAGCTCGGTCGGCGTCGAGACGACCCACGTTGCGAGCCCGCCCGCCGCGCCGGCCAGCCAGGTCGCGCAGAGGCTTGTCCCCGGTCCTCCTGATGAAGATGATGGTGATGCTGGATTAGATGGGGTGAAGATGATGTCGTTGAGCAGCCGCTCAGTGCGGTTGTAGGATACGAATAGCAATGCGTTGAGCGCACCGTAGGTGAGCACGGGCGCGGCGGTGCCCAGGAGGAAGATGCGGCCTGGATTTTTGGGCTTTGGGGTTGTCGGTTGGAGGGAAGGGGTGGTAGAGGTGGTGTAAGGGGTTGTTGTTGTTGTTGGTGATGTTGGTGGTGCCGAGGCAGAACTAGAAGCTTGTAGCCGCACTTTGAGCACGTCTAGAGGGTTGCCGATAATTATCCCCGCCGCGCCCGAGATGTAGCCCGCCCAGAAGTCGGCTGCCATTCTGAAGAACTGGTTTACGGCCACAAAGTTCACAACCTCTTGTCTGGCTTCTGTACCGACCTCACTGGCAGTCCGGCATCAGGGAGCAGACCGGGCTTTCGGACTGGATGGGGAAAGGATTGGCAATACAATCGCACTCTTTATCGCCAGTAGCATCAACGCAAGGTTAATATCAACCTGAGCTCTTTCCGTATGATATTAGGACGGTAGGGACGATGCCGAGGCCCTGAAGCTTTGGCGGGGTCAAGTACAGCGGGGTTGCGGTACGTACCCTACCTACCTTGTCCCTGCCAAGCCACGGCACTGGGGAACTGGATCTCAACTGCGGTTGCAGGGATCGACAAGTTCTATTTTGACCTCCTGCGACTTACATCGTCGACACCTCGACCCGCCTTCCTCACATCCCAAGCAAGCCTGAGCATGTAATGAAAGCTCGAGCAATCAAGTGTAGCATATTATTAGGGATTACTAAGACCCCTGTCGTAAGTTTCATGCAAATAAAAAGGGAATAGGTAGGTCCTGCTTGTCGCTGAGCGAGTGATCGCAGACCGCCTCCCAGACGAGCCACACCACCTTAGGAGGTATCACGTCTCCATCCTTCGATTCCTTCCCGAATCCTGCTCAGGTGACGTGGGCGCGACGACCATTCCAATGTCCGATTTCTAGGTATAGAGGATTTCTTGTGCTACCACCACCATTTGTTGTAAAACAACGACTACCTGCTTCTTATTCTTGTTCTTGTACTACATTTATCCGTCCACCCAAAGCCAAAATGACCAGCACGCCAAGATCAGTCATCATTGTGAGTCTGGATCCGGCCCAGAGCCAAAGCCGACCTCAACTCACCGTGTTCTCAACTTTGCTAACCGTGTGCCAGGTCGGCGGCTCGCTCGCGGGCCTCATGCACGGCGTGTACTTCAAAAGGCACGGCAGTGACGTTGTCATCCTGGAGCAGGACCCGAGCGAGCTGCGTAGCAGCCATCAGGCGGGCATCGCATTCGGGCCCGCCGTCGAGGAGTTTCTGCGCAAGTACGACCATACGGGCGTACAGAGCCGCTCACCGCCCATCGCAACCCGTCTTGCCTACCGTAAGCGCAAGGACATCAAGCGCCTCAGCATCGTCCGCCACGAGACGAGCTGGGGCCTGCTCTACCGTGTCCTCCGTGCCAATTTTGATGGCCTGGCATCCGATGCCGTTCCCAACCCGCCTCCCGTCAGGGATGGTGATGGCCGGGCCCAGTACCTAGCTGGACGGCGGGTCACCGGCTTGGAGCACAACCGTGGCGACCAGGTTGTATCGGTCAGGTTCGTCGACCAAGATGGAAAGGAAGGCAGTCTGACCGCCGATTTGGTCATCGGGGCCGATGGCGGCAATTCAACCGTCAGGACCCTCCTACAGGCGCCGACCATCAGAGGATATTCGGGCTATGTCGCTTGGCGGGGTACGGTCCCTGAGAAAGATGTCTCCCCAGAGACAGCTCGATACTTTGCGGACTTCTCCACCCTTACTCTCCTTGGTGACACCTACTTTGTCTGGTACTGAACCTCCCATCCGGCCGGCACTCCTCCAACCATAACCTGAAGCTGAGCTAACCTACCAAAAAGCTACCCTATCCCTCCGGATACACCCACCTTCAGCCCCGGCACGCGATTAATCAACTGGGTGTGGTACTGGAACCTGGCCGAGTCGTCGTCGGAAATGGCCGACATCCTGATGGACACAGCCGGCCGTGTACACGGGACGACCGTGCCGGCGGGGTTGGTGCGCCCGGAGGCGTGGAAGCGGCAGCTCGCTCGGACCGTCTCGCGCGTGACCGCCCCGCTTGCCGAGTTGCTTTCGGCGACGCCGCCGAGCGCCGTCTTCGTCACCAAGGTCAACGACGCGCTCTGCGAGGCGTCCCCCGTGTTTTGCGACGGGAAGGTGCTCCTGGTGGGCGACGCCTTCGCCCACTTCAGGCCACACTTGACCATGGCCACCGAGCAGGCGGCATGGCACTGCCTGGGCTTGGAGAAGGTGAGGCAGGGGGAAATGGAGATGGATCAGTGGGCGAAGGAGGCAAGGGTGTATGCGAAGAGGATGCACTTGGCGAGTAACCTGGTTGGGGTCTTTGGGGTGGGCAGGTGGTGGGAGTTGCTGAAGACGGTGTGTCAATATGTGGTCTTCATGGTGAGGTTGAACTTGAGGAAGGGGTGAAGGGGCCGCTGCAAGCTTGGGCTGGATGCGGGTGAGGCATGGTACGGCTCGTTGGGGTCAAAGAGATCTCGGATCGGAGGCCAATGATTGTTTTCCTTTTGCAGTGTTGAACGGTTCTTCATCCTTGAAGGTGTGTTGAAATGCTGCAGGTATAATTGGTGAGAGTACGGATAACTGGAGCAGGATGTCGCCGGCGATTGGGAGATGCACAACAAGCACCAAGGCTTTCTTTGCAATTTACAGAGTACAGAGAACAAGGAGACAAGCTACAAAGAAGTGAGGGGAGACGGCAACGCACAATGTTGCAGCCTGCCATCATTGTGACTTAATAAGCAAGGAGGTCCGTGCTTATTGTTCAGTAACGTTACTGGTGTACTGCTTGGAGCCTTGGATCATCTGACACCGCGAGGCGGGGCTTGAGGGCGCGTCTGCCTGACGCGTCCTTAAGTCAACATCAACATTCATGGAAGCTTGCACTCACTCTCTTCAAAAATCGGTTGCCTGTCAACAAAGCCCCCCAATTATTCGGCTACCTTTGTGCATTGGTGGGACGACGTATCAAAAGGAATATTTTTGCCAGCGGCTCTTGCCTGTGTCCTTATGATGTAAGTTTTTTGTCCCGACAAATCATCCCAGGCCACCCAGAGCTGACTCAATGGCTCGAAGGACAGTCTCCACGCCGGCTACGCCAGCTTCAAACAAGGAGAACCTCGTACCCAGAAGCCGCTTCCCAACTCCGCAGTCTCTTGACCGCCTACACAAACCGTTCAAATGCCCCGGCTCGGCAACGCGCACTGTGGTCACTGACCGCCCGGCTCGAAAGCGAAGGAAGGTCGACTACGGCGGCGCCGATGGGGAGGCCGACGCTGACAAGCCCTACACCAATGCCGATCGTCTTGCACTGGCCAACCGAGATGCAAACAAATTCCCAGTTTTCCAAGTCAAGGACAAAAACAAGGTATTCCGGAAAGCCTTCTCCGTCCCCTTCGTCAACAAGAATACGGCCGCCTACAATCCAAACCGGCCACCCCCGACGCTGGGGCTAAGACAAGGAGCTGTTTTTGTAGCGAAGCCACTGCACGACCCAAGTGGCGAGTTCGCTATCGTGCTGTACGATCCGACCATCGATGACAAGCCCAAAGATGCACCAAAGCCGGATGCAGCGGCGAAGGATACTGAGCCGGTACCTAAGCTCGACGCACCGCTCATGCACAAGAGTCTTGCCGAGATTCTAGGGATCAAGAAAAAGGTGGTCGGAGAACACCCGAAAGTCCCCGTTGTCATCGATCCCAAGCTCGCCAAGGTCCTTCGGCCGCATCAGATCGAAGGTGTCAAGTTCATGTACCGGTGTGTGACGGGCATGATTGACGAAAAGGCGAATGGCTGCATCATGGCTGACGAAATGGGCCTCGGAAAGACGCTGCAATGCATCACTCTCCTCTGGACTCTCCTCAAGCAGTCTCCGGAGGCTGGCAAGACCACGATTCAGAAGGCCATTGTGGCTTGCCCTTCGAGTCTGGTGCGAAACTGGGCAAACGAGCTTACAAAGTGGCTGGGCGCCGACGCTATCACTCCCTTCGCCATTGATGGCAAGGCATCCAAGGAGGAGCTGACTCGACAGCTGCGCCAGTGGGCAATTGCAAGCGGCCGTGCCGTAACGCGACCCGTCATTATCGTCTCGTACGAGACGCTCCGGCTCAACGTTGAAGAACTCAAGAACACGCAAATCGGTCTGATGTTGTGCGATGAAGGACACCGCCTCAAGAATGGAGACAGCCAGACCTTCAACGCCCTGAACAACTTGAATGTCTCTCGCCGCGTTATCCTTTCGGGGACACCTATCCAGAACGATCTCTCCGAATACTTTTCACTTATTAGTTTTGCCAACCCGGATCTCCTCGGAAGCCGCCTCGAGTTCCGCAAACGCTTTGAACTGCCCATCCTCCGGGGCCGCGATGCTGACGCCACCGAGGCAGAGCGGCAGCGCGGCGACGAGTGCCTAGCCGAGCTGCTCGCCATCGTAAATAAGTTCATCATTCGACGCACAAACGATATCCTTTCCAAGTATCTCCCGGTCAAGTATGAGCACGTTGTCTTCTGCAACCTGGCACCCTTCCAACTGGCCCTGTACAACTATTTCATCACCTCCCCCGACATTCAAGCCCTGCTTCGAGGCAAAGGCTCCCAGCCGCTCAAGGCCATTGGCATTCTCAAGAAACTATGCAACCATCCAGACCTCCTGGATCTCTCAGCTGATCTTCCAGGCTGCGAGAAATTCTGGCCCGAAGATTACGTTCCCAAGGAAGCCCGTGGGCGCGACCGCGACGTCAAACCGTGGTACTCGGGCAAGATGCAAGTCCTCGACCGCATGTTGGCCCGCATTCGCGCCGAAACCGACGACAAGATTGTCCTCATCAGCAACTACACCTCTACGCTGGACTTGTTCGAGCGCCTCTGCCGCTCGCGCGGGTACGGCTGCCTGCGGCTGGACGGCACCATGAACGTCAACAAACGGCAGAAGCTAGTCGATAAGTTCAACGATCCGGCGGGCGAGGAGTTTGTCTTTCTACTGTCCAGCAAGGCAGGTGGGTGCGGGCTGAACCTGATCGGAGCCAACCGGCTGGTGCTCTTCGACCCGGACTGGAACCCGGCGGCGGACCAGCAGGCGCTGGCGCGCGTGTGGCGTGACGGGCAGAAGAAGGACTGCTTTGTCTACCGCTTCATCGCGACAGGCACCATCGAGGAGAAAATCTTTCAGCGCCAGAGCCACAAGCAGTCCTTGAGCTCGTGCGTCGTCGACTCGGCCGAGGACGTCGAGCGTCACTTCAGCCTCGACTCGCTGCGCGAGCTGTTTCAGTACCGCCCGGACACAAAGAGCGATACCCACGACACCTTCAAGTGCAAGCGCTGTCGCCCGGATGGCAAGCAGTATATTAAGGCGCCCGCCATGCTCTACGGTGACACGAGCACCTGGAACCATTTCGTCAATGAGGGTCTCGCTCCTATCCAGGATCACCTGCTCAGACAGGAGTGTGGCGAGCCCGAGGTTAGCGCCGTGTTCCAGTATATTTCGCATTGAGACAGGATGAGGTCATGATGCCCGGGCTGAGGCTTGGCGTTGGTGTGGTATATTCGTTGCTTTGCTTGGTTTTGTTGCTGTGTAACTGGAAGGAGCTGGGAGTGTTTCAAGGATTGCTGCCGTGCTGAGAGTAGACCGTGGGATGCCAGGAAAAGAGCATAGATGCAAGGCTGCACGCATAGACAAGCTAGGGACTGGCGTGGTGAAACAGGTATCCAGCCTATTGTTCGTACGCCTTTTCTCGCTATATACATTTATATATGTAGATAAACATCAAAAAACGCCTGTGCTCCTACATGATCACAACTCGTCTACCACATGGCCCGTTTCAACAGCCGGGTCATGGTCAAGCCGTCTACTTTTGGGGTTCTTATCCACGCTCTGTGCGTTCCCTGCATGTTGCTGTGGCTGTTCCTGCTGCTCCCGCTTCCTCCTCGCCAGCGCCGCAATCTCCTCGTCATACTCGGTCCACTCGGGCACTTGCCTCCTGGCCCTGTCCAGCTTGGGCTCCTTGGTCTGCGGGTTGTTGCAGAGGTCGATGGTCCTGGCGGTGGCCAGGGTCTCGTCGCTGCACCACGTCTCGCACCACAGCCACTCCTGCGGCAGGCTGTGGATGGGTATGTGGAACTGCATGTGGTTGGGCAGGTCCTGGTCGAGGTTGGCAAGCGACTGCGGGTCGGCCGAAAGGGCGTGGTACTGCTGGCGCAGGCGGTCGCCGGCGGCGAGTTCGCGGAAGCGGGCCAGGTCAACGACGTAGAGGGCGCTGATGTGGTAGGGCTTGCCCTTGAGGTAGTTGGCCCAGTAGCCCGTCTTCCAGAAGCGGAAGCCTTCCATCTCGGTGCGCGAGTCGCACATGGGCGTGAAGCCGTACGGCGCGCCCTCGAGGTCCAGCTGGACCAGGTCGTACATGTCTGTGCGTACGATCTGGTCGGCGTCGACAAAGATGACCTTGTCGAGGGACAGCGGGAAGAGCACGTCGAGGAAGAGAATCTTGTAGCCCCAAATCTCGCGCTGCTTCTCCTTTTGCTGGCGCAGCCAGTGCGGCCATTTGTACGTCACCATTTCGTACTTGAAACCGTACTCGGCCGCCATGGTGGGGATGAAGTCCTTGAACGAAGGCGAGAGGAACTGTTCAATGAACCAAAACTTGACCGTGTGGTTTGTGTGGCGCATGACTGAGACCATCATGATGTTGAGCATGCGCTCGTAGAGATGGCCACTGGCAACGGAGAAGATGTTGATCTCTGCATGTTGGGTGTCCGAGGTGGATTTTGTCTCAGTCGGCCTGCCCATGCCGAGGATGCCCTCGGCAAATTTGAGGCCTTTGGATACGAAGTCCATGGCGCCACTGCCTGTCGTCTCGACTTTGGCCTTTCCGAGGACATCCTCCTCTTCCATTCCCGGCTTGCGCTTCAGCCGGGGGTAGAGCGTGGTGCCCTGGAAGTCCATAAGAGCGACCTCAGTGGTTTCGTCACCGGGAACAGCCGCCCAACCCCTAGCACCGACGCTCTCGATGTTGTAGATGTCCGAACTACGGCCTTCCTTCAGGCGGATATTGTAGACACCGGGGTTGGCCTTGAACTGGAAGAACCCGAGGTTGGACATGATGATGGTGTCGGCGAAGTGTGGGTCCTTCTCCGTGGCAAGAACGAGTTGGACGCCTCGAGGAGGCTGCCCTGACGGCAGCTCGCGCGAGTGGCCTTCGATTAGAATGTTTTCGAGTTCGTAGATGGCTTCGACATGTTCCGTGCCTCTCCTGGCTTTGATATCCTTGATACGGAGGTTGTCCAGGTCATCAACGGAGACTTTGGAAGTAACGAGCCAGGCGGGTGGCACGTCCATACCCGCGACAAACAGAGTGTCCTGCGGAACCTTGGCAAAGTTGGCCGAGAGTGTCTTGAGCTTTCCATTCTCGTCAAAACTCGGAGAAGATTCAAGTACGTAACGGTAGAATCGTTTCACGGGAAGCTCCCCTAGTCCCTCCAGAGGATTGAGGAAGACTTGGAGATGTACACCTTCTAGTTCGGAGAGCACCCTCAGGACAGCAGCCCACTTCTGACCGACTTCGCTCGCGGGGTTGATGACGGCAACGAAGAAGATGGTGGCGGTCGACGCGTCACCGACTTGGAAAGACGTGTACGTTGAGTTCCAGTCCTTGTACGTTGTCGTCCTGATGGAGGGCGCCGAATCAAAAATACCCTGGGGCAGATCTGAGATGCCGGAGAGTGCAGTGACGGATGTCAGTTTGGCTGCATCTAGGGGACCGGAAACCTTGTCAGCGAGCCCGAGGTCTTCAATAGCCTTGTAGACTGGCACGATTCGGCTCGCGCGCTCCGCTTCGAGAAATTGCTCAAAATCCTCCTGCCTGAATTCATCAGCCGATGGAATAGGCCCAACAATACGGCCGTTGAGCATCAAGGCATTGTCACCGGCCTTCAGATTAGCGCTCGTGAGGAAACTAGCCAGTGCGGCATCATACGCAGGGTCGGCATCTCCGCCCGCGTTTTCCAGAATTGTCTCCAGCTCTAGGAGCCGGCCCACAGTAACTAGAGTGCCCTCCTGAGACTTGACGCGCCTATTGAGCAGCGACGGCGAGCGAGATAGATCCTTGGGGTTGTGTATGATATCCAACCGAACACCATTGTTTCCTTGACGGAAACGAATGGCGTAGAAGACAAGCTTCTGTCCTTCAATGCTATCCAGATCAGCAATGACGGTAAGGGCGGCCCATTCTTCCTTTGTCGACCCCTTGTCGGCTTCAACTACGGGAATCTTGCTGAGTACATCATGGTACTCAGTGTATAGCTTGTTCACGTTGAGTATTGTAGGCTGCCGCGAATCCTCGGGGAAGATGAAGGTGTTACGTCGTTTCAAGGCGTTCTCCAGAAAATAGCCGGGGACCCAGGTTTCTTCATTGACCATCCCGAAATACGCGGCTTGCTGAATCATCTGTAGATCCATCATAAGCTTCTGGTTCATGACTTTGAGCCAATCCTCGTCTCGAGGAAACGCGAAGCCATCGAAGAAAACTGAGGGCACCGGGCCATCGGCACGCAGGCGTTCTACCCAATGCTTGGCGAGATGGATCTGTTTCTCAAGTTCTTCAGAGGTGGAAATGTCCCTGAATGGTAATGGAACGGACTCTGGCCGCGGGCTTCTATCCTTGATTGCTGCATTGAAGATGGCCTCATCCGGTTTGGCAGTCTTCTTGGCCTCGAGTGACTTCTCGAGGTAAGAGGTAGCTGCGGCCAAACCGTAATTCCTGAGGAGGTAATAGGTGACTTTGGCCTGCTCAATGGCTTCCCCGGAAGGGGTGAGGGGGACCAAGCCAAACCTGACAGGGATCAGCCTTTTCATGAAGGACAAGAGCTGTGTTGTAACAAGCTTTACATCCTCTGGCTTGGTAAAATCCACGGGGACCACCAGGTTAAAGATATCCTTCCGAATTTGTGGTAGTCCATGGCCAAAATGTTGAAGCAGCGCCCACAAGCTTGGCGAGAAGTTTTGATACCGCTTGTCTCTCTCCAAATTGTTGAGCCATATGATGACGCGACCTTCTTCCATCTGATCTCTCCAGTCGAATCTGCGAGGCTCGTCCTCACCCGACTTTGCTTGGGCCACATGCGGGTGTCCGAGAAGGGAAATGGCCTGCTGGCCGGTGAGGCCAAGGTCCAAGACCCCATTAATTAACTTCCGTTCGCGCGTGAGCAGGTCTACCAGACCAAAGGGCTGGATCTGACGGTCTATCAACTGCACACCATTCATCCACAAAACGTTCATGCCCTCGGGCACGAGTATCTCCCTGTTTTTCCTGTGCTCGGCTTCGAACTCGGCAGAGACGTTTTGGCCATCAAGGGAGGTGGAATATCTGGGGAAATCTTGGGTGAGTTTCAGGAGAGTCTCGAAGGGCGACTCGCTTTGCATGATGAACGAAGCTGCCTTCATGCCTAGCGATGCTAGCTCAGACTTTTCCAGGGGTTTGATGTCAGTAATCTCCTCCTCATCGTCGAGGACAACCTCGGACGTGCCAAGGGGCTTCTGGGTTTCGTCTCCTTGCGCCTTGGTGGCACCAGTGTCTCGATCATCGATGACTATGTAATCAGTGCGTTTCAATGTAAGCTCCACTCCATAGCCACTAACGGTGAGGGCCTCGCTCGGGTGTGCACGACTTCTCCGGTACCGAACCCGGTACGATCCCTCACCTCTCCGGGCGATGTCCATAGCGGCCTCATGGTAGGCGTGGAAGTCGGGCGATGTGATGTCGGCATACAGAACAATATCCCGGGGTCCAGCGCCAAACTTGCGGTCGAACGGTAGCGTCCGTTCTTGGGAGCTCTTCTTTATGGTCCCATGGGCCACATCTAGCGAGGGTGTGCAGTACTGTTTCCCATCGACAAGAAACCATTGTTCACATCCGTTCTGGTCTTCGGGCAGCGACGGTTCGACGGCGGTTGTATAGAACTGGTAGTGTGCCTCAACGCGGGGTGCTGCAGTTCGCATTGACAGGGCTAGCTTGAAGGTTGACAGCGCCTCTGCGCCCATATGGCCGTCATCGCGAAGAGTTTGGACGAATTTCTCGTAGAGCTCCTTGTCGGTCCGGGACTGGGCAAAGTGGCCTTTCGATATACGGTCCAGCAAAGCGAAGTAGGCTGTTGTATTGTCGGCGGCTGCTGTTTCGCTAGGGCATCATGTGAACAGAGACTCTCAACTTGAAGTAGGGGTCTACCTACAGCAACTCAACCAAGTAAGGGGGGGAGGGGAATGCTGCCTTCAAGGCAACGTTGACGGACGGTGATGCTGTGACGGGAGCCGGAAGCCATGTTGCGGCAAGAATGGCCGCGGTCAGCGTCCACGGCAGTTGGGAAAGCCGAATCATCGCGCCTATAACAGTCTTATGAAAACTCGCAATTGGAAACCTCGGTGTTGACTGGCCGCTGAAGGAGATAGATTGGCGGGCTTAGCCAGGAGAGCGGCTGTGGCGGGCATGGGCGCCGCAAGCCTAGTTGCCACGGTGGCAGTCCGCGGAGGGACAAGCTTGAGAATGTACTGGAGCTTCCTACGGATATGGGGTGTTATCTGCAGAGAGGAGAAGATACAGTACAATACAATGTCCGATTATTCTCGGGGAAAATGCACAAGAGACACCAGGCGGCCTCAGTTGTGCTCACGACCTTTTGTTCATCCAGGTTGAGTTGGCGGGGTCTCCCATATCGGTGTACGTTGAGATTGCAGCGAAGGAGGAAGCTGAGGTTGACCTTCTGAACACATCACTAAGAACAAGCTCAACCAATCCGGACTAGCGTAGTTACACAAGGCATCATGATACCCGAACCCCCACTTATCTCACAGTCCGCCTGGAGTCCTTGACCTGCTTGAGTGGGAAGGGTTGTGGCTGGTGTTCCAGGAAGGAGCTTTGGGTGGGTCCGGAAAATCGAAGGTGCGACTGTGTGCCTGAGGCTCCTGTGGCTGCAGCAGCGACCAGCGAACCCACACCCTCCGGTTGAGATGCCACGGTTCCCTATGATTTGATTGACACTGCTAAAGGGACCTCAGCAGCCGGCTTCGTCACCTCAGAGTATCCTAATTCACATCGCAACACGCCCGGCTGCTGCTCCGTCCGACTCTGCCCCGCGATCGAAGACAATTTCTTGCCCCCATCGACGCTTTCTTTTTCTTCTGGCGCTCGCAGTTGCACTGAATTCCCCCTGTTGATGCCGGGAGCCTAGGCCTCGGTCCAACCCTTTCAGCCAACATGTCGGGAATGCTCACCAAGGTCTGGCCCTCTCGTTCTGCGCAATATGCCCCTGTTGTCCAATGCGCCGACTCCTACTGACACCGCGACTATAGTTCGAGTCCAAGTCGTCAAGGGCAAAGGGCATCGCATTCCACCCCACACGGTTCGCCATTGTCGAGCTCCCCGTTTCGTCTCGTTCGCCGCTAACCATGCTGCGCTAGGCCATGGATCCTCGTCTCTCTCCATTCGTCCACAATCCAGTTGTGGGATTATCGCATGGGCACGCTGATTGACCGGTTCGAGGAGCACGACGGCCCTGTGCGCGGTGTCGATTTCCACAAGACACAGGTGAGGTCAAGACCGGCTGCCTGGAGTGCGGGAGTGTGCTGACGCCGTCGCAGCCCCTGTTCGTATCGGGTGGTGATGATTACAAAATCAAGGTCTGGTCGTACCAGACACGGCGATGTCTATTCACCTTGAACGGCCACCTCGACTATATCCGAACCGTCTTCTTCCACCACGAACTCCCCTGGATTGTCAGTGCCAGTGACGACCAGACGATCAGGATATGGAATTGGCAGAATCGCTCTTTGCGTAAGACTGCCGTGGCGACGCGGGACGACTCGATGCTGACAGGGATTCAGTCTGCACCATGACGGGCCACAATCACTACGCCATGTGCGCCCAGTTCCACCCCAAGGAAGATTTGGTGGTCTCGGCCTCGCTCGACCAGTCAGTTCGCGTCTGGGACAGTATGTGGAATTTCCTCCCAGCGCATTTCGCCCCATCAACCGCTTTGTATTATCCTTAAACATTCAAGCCTCGGTCTTCTCTACTTTGCGGCATCGTGGCTGACAGCTTCCAGTCTCTGGCCTGCGTAAGAAGCACTCGGCGCCGACTTCCATGTCTTTTGAAGACCAGGTTTCGCGCGCGAATGCGAATCAAACAGATATGTTTGGCAACACGGATGCTGTTGTCAAGTTCGTGCTTGAGGGCCACGACAGGGGTGTTAACTGGGTTGCCTTCCATCCTACGATGCCGTTGATTGTCTCAGCAGGAGACGATCGGCTTATCAAGCTATGGCGTATGAGTGAAACTAAAGCGGTAAGTGTTAAATGTTCTGCTCTCAGTGCTTGACTTGCGCTGACCAATACAGTGGGAGGTCGATACTTGCAGAGGGCACTTCCAGAACGCCAGCGGCTGCCTGTTCCACCCACACCAGGACCTAATTCTGTCTGCGGGCGAAGACAAGACGATCAGAGTCTGGGATTTGAACAAGCGGACCGCCGTGCACACCTTTAAGCGGGAGAACGATCGGTTCTGGGTCATCGCGGCTCACCCAGAGATCAACCTCTTCGCTGCTGGCCATGATAAGTGCGTAAGTCTGAGTGCTCAGCTAGGCGCAAGATGCTAACTAGAGACAGCGGCGTTATGGTGTTCAAGCTTGAACGTGAGAGGCCCGCCTCAGCCGTGTACCAGAACTCGCTTTTCTATATCACAAAGGACAAATGTGTCAAGTCCTACGACTTCCAAAAGAATGTGGAGTCCCCGACATTGCTGTCGCTCAAGAAGCTCGGCAGCCCTTGGGTGCCTCCCCGCACTCTATCCTATAACCCCGCTGAGCGTTCTGTTTTGGTCACTTCCCCTGCCGATGGCGGCACCTATGAGCTCGTCAATCTTCCCCGTGACGGTTCCGGGGTGATTGAACCCACTGAATCCAAGCGCGGCCAAGGCAACTCAGCGATATTCGTGGCCCGTAACCGCTTTGCCGTCCTGAATACATCGACACAGACGGTGGATATCAAGGACTTGACCAACAACACGACCAGGTCATTCAAGCCCCCTATCGGCACGAGCGATATCTACTTCGGCGGGACCGGAAATCTGCTCATCATCACACCGACGGCTGTCCACCTTCATGACATCCAGCAAAAGAAGACGACGGCAGAGCTCGCGGTCAACGGTGTCAAGTATGTGGTTTGGTCCAACGACGGACTCTACGCTGCCCTGCTCAGCAAACACAACGTAACGATCGTGACCAAGACGCTGGAGCAAGTCAGTACTCTTCATGAGACGATCAGGATCAAGAGCGCCACTTGGGACGATGCTGGCGTTCTGCTGTACTCGACTTTGAATCACGTCAAATACACCCTCCTCAATGGCGACAACGGAATTGTTCGGACTCTCGACCAGACCGTATACCTCGTCCGCGTCAAGGGCCGCAATGTCTACTGCCTCGACCGTTCGGCTAAGCCTCGAATCCTGCAAATCGATCCCACCGAGTACCGCTTCAAGCTCGCCTTGGTCAAGCGGAATTACGAGGAGATGCTTCACATCATCCAGAACTCCAGTCTGGTCGGCCAATCAATTATCGCATATTTGCAGAAGAAGGGCTATCCGGAGATTGCGCTGCAATTTGTACAGGATCCGACCACACGATTCGAGCTCGCGATCGAGTGCGGGAACCTAGAGGTTGCAGTCGAGATGGCCAAGCAGCTCGACCGCCCCAAGCTCTGGACCAGGTTAAGTACCGAGGCCCTAGCTCACGGCAATCACTCCATCGTCGAGATGTGCTATCAACGGTTAAAGCATTTCGACAAGCTCTCGTTCCTCTACCTCGCCACCGGTGACATCGGGAAGCTGTCCCGTATGGCCAAGATCGCCGAACACCGAGGAGACTATACCTCCAGGTTCCAGAATGCCCTCTACCTGGGCGAAGTCGAGGACAGGATCCAGATGTTCAAGGAGATCGACCAATGTAAGAGAGCCATTTTCCATCTTTCCTAGACATTGCTAACAGTCATAGACCCCCTGGCATACATGACGGCCAAGGCCCACGGTTTGGAGGAAGAATGTCAATCCATCCTTGAAGCTATCGGTTTCACAGAAGAACAGCTCAACCTCCCCACCTTTGGCGAGCCACTTACCCCTCCTAAGCCGGTAGTGCCAACACATCAGGCCAATTGGCCGACCAAGGCCACATCTCAGTCCTTCTTTGAGAAGGCACTTCTAGGTCAGATGGAGGGTCTGTCACTAGAAGAGGAACCGGCCACCAATGGTTTGGATGCGGGTGAAGAGGGTGCTGCCAAGCCGGATACCCTCGGGGAAGCAGAAGAAGACGAGGACGCTGCCGGATGGGACATGGGCGAGGACGTTGTCGCTGAGGTTGAAGAGGGTTTCGTCAACGTGGAGAGTGCCGATGCTGGGGGTTCGGGCAGCAGCGAGGCAGATTTGTGGGCCCGCAATTCGCCTCTCGCAGTCGACCATGTTGCCGGTGGCTCATTCGAAACAGCGATGCAACTCCTCAACCGCCAAGTGGGTGCCGTCAATTTCGCTCCTCTCAAGCCACGGTTCCTGGAAGTCTACCAGGCATCTAAGACGTACCTGCCCGCATCGCCTGGTCTGCCTCCTCTAGTGAACTACGTCCGGCGTACAGTTGAAGAGTCAGATCCCAGGAAAGTCCTGCCTATTATTCCCAGGGACTTGGGTTACCTCGCCGCCAATGACCTGCAACGGGGCTATGATGCCATGAAGGCGAACAAGCTGGAGGATGGTGTGAGGATATTCAAAGGCATTTTGCATTCGGTGCTGGTCAACGCCGTCGGCAGCGAAAGCGAGGTGGCCGAAGCCAAGAAGCTGATTGCTTCCGCCAGCGAATACACCGTCGCCATGTCGATTGAGCTCGCGCGAAGAGCGCTCGGGACGCCGGATGCTGTCAGTCAGAACCCTCAACTGCTGAAGCGGAGTTTGGAGCTGTCGGCATACTTCACAATCCCCAAGATTGAGGTGCCGCATCGGCAGCTTGCGTTGTTGAGCGCCATGAGATTGGCCACGCAGAGCAAGAACTACAATTCGGCGCTGAGCTTTGCCAACAGGATATTGGCGAACGGAGGGGCAAGCAAGATTTTGGAGGGTGTAAGTTCATGTCAAAACCCCTGTGACTTGAATGTGTGGTGTTAACTGTGACCACGCTAGGCCCGGAAAACAAAGGCTCAGTGCGAGCGCAACCCGCATGATGCGGTGGAAATCGAGTTCGACCAATTTGCCGAATTCGAGATCTGCGCCGCAAGTTACACTCCCATATATAGCGGCACCGCGTACGAGGAATGCGCGTTCGATGGGTCCAAGTACCACACCAAATACAAGGGCACGGTGTGCGCCGTATGCGAGGTGTGCGAGGTTGGCAAGCACGGTAGCGGACTGAAGCTGTTTGCTTGAGGGCAAAGGGACGTATAATGTTACACTGGGATATCCTGTGGGACCAGCGCTTCTTCGAGAAACCCGCAAGGGGCACTCACGGCGGGAAAAGTATGGAGTTAGATCAACTGGTTACGTCAAGCCTGGGGACATGACTGAAATGCGGAGCATGAGAGATTAGTTGTAGCACGAGAAGAATTGTTTGATCATAAACAACCCGTTGAAATTGGCCGCTGCTGATTCTGTTCCCGGCGCTTAGCCTCTACCCCCGCTATCTATGGGTCTAGGTAGGCGTATTTGTTCTTCTTACATACTGCAGCCCGGCAGACCACTGTTGCACGGCGAGAACCCCCCATACAGCTCCTGTGTGTCCGCCTCCTCTCCGCCTCCTCCTGCCTAAACAATTGTCTCGAGCTGTCGAGCGTAGCCCAGAGTGTTCTCAATCATCATCTGGCTTATCTCCTTCTCCTGCTCGCCCTCTTCCTCCTGCGCCGACGGGAAGTAGATCTGGCCGTCCTTAACGATCCAGCCGCGGCTGCGGGCAAACTCGACGACGGCGCCCTCAGACTCGAGGAAGAGTAGCGACTTTGTGGATGACAGAGGGAGCGAGGGGTAGGCGCGCTCGCTTGACGAGGCAATCTCGGAGCGGATTTGGTATGTCAGAATCTATATGCATCCGAACATGGTTAGCATGTAGGCATTAAATTGTTTCCTATTCGCTCATCCATCCAAGACGTGAGGGGAATAGAAAGAAAGGGAGAAGGTAAGGCAAAGGGAAGAAAACAAACCTCTGAAAACACGCCAAACTCCTCGCAGGGCACCTCCCCTTTCTTCATGGCCTTCCACACGCGGTCGTAGCTGCCCTCCATCAACCAGCGCTCCAGGCGGATCGGGTAGCCCAGGTACCGGTCCGCCTCGACGTCGTTCATGGACGACATGGACGACGACAGCGCCTCGAGCTCGCTGTGGAACTCGGCGTACCGCCCCTGCGTCAGCAGCAGGAGCAGGTACAGGCCCGTGATTTTGTTGCGCTCCCCGCTAACGCTATTTGCTGCTGCCTCGGCGGCGTCGGCGTGGCCTTGTAGTACCTCGTAGAGCGGCTGCAGCTGTGAGACGTAGCGCGTGAAGGCGTCCGGGTTCTTGGCCCGGATCGACGCCAGCGCCCCGAGCTCGTAGATATCCCGCGCCAGTACGAGGTGCTGCACGGGGACGGAGGGCGATGGTGTCAGTGCGTTCAGTTGCAGCAGCAGGAGCTTGGCGCGCGATAGGAGGGAGGTGGTTGTTGTGTAGGGCGTGGTCGGCGGGGAGGAGCGCAGTTGGTTGACGACGGTTGTCAGTTCGTGTTCGGCCATCTCTTTTTTTCTTCGGTATGGTTCTTTTGTTTTAGATGCTGCCCCTCTCCTTGGGAGGTAAGTCTTGGGGTTTGTGAAACCGGCGCAGAGTGACGGAGTGCGCTGGGGTCGATTGCTAGACTAGATTGATGTTGGTTTGCGGGACGAGGATAGGTGCAGGTAACGGTAACGTTAGTAGGGTAGCGAGATGGTTTGGGGCGCAGGTACTCCCGTAGTGTCTGTTCGGAACTTGGATTTAGGAAGTAGCGGTTGAATTGCCGTAGCTCTAAGGGCAGTGGCGAAGTTGTAGGGTCTTGGAAGTGAGGCTGTTGTGAGCACGCTCAGCCAGGCTGAAAGGCTGACGTTCGAGGTCTTGGCAGCAGTCGCAGGAAGCCAAGCCTTGGCAGTTGGCAGCCACTTGGTGCCAGCGGCATCTAACTACCTACGTGGTTGACAACTTGACTGAGTGTAATTCCAAGCTCTTGGATTCAGATTCTTCGGCTACGTTCTTCTTCCAACTTGTTCCTCCGACTAACGCGTACGGGCTGCTTGTCACTCAATCAAGTAAGGAACGTGACACGCTGCCTCTTCCCTTTTATCCCATGTTTAACGCTCTCGCTTGTGACACAGAGTCACAGACACAGTCACGACTCACGACCCACACAGCGGAGCGGCGGCGCCCTTGGATCAGGGATGTTCAGTTCCAGAATAGACAATCAGCTAAGGTACTTAGATTCCCAGGGCCTGGACATCCGATATGCTATTGTCTCAGGACTCCAGGAGTAATGTCTACACAGGATTGTCTGCTGCCGATTCTGCGCAGGGGAGTGTTGCACTCTGCTTATATACGTTAAACTAGGATATGATTGATAGTGGAAGTGCGCTCTAATATATACCTAACTCCAATTCAGGGGATATGATATGCATACACTTGTCTGATGAGTTGAATCAGTTTCGGTCTCATGGTCCGATTGCAAGGTAGAGGGACAAGTGGACCACCTGTAAGCTGTCCGCCTGTGACGTTATTCTCACTACCAACACATGGAACATAACAAGAGACTTTCCAGCCATGCTCGAAGTCACTGGCAATCCAAATCGTCCGGAAGTTTGTACAGGTAGGGACCAATAAAGTTCACCTCGATAACAAGACCGATGCCATATGCATCCACCTTCATGCCAATACAGGGATACATCTTCCCCTTCATCAGACTGTCGCGCCGAAGGCATCCTATTTAGATGTCAGATTGGCTTCGTCTCAAAATTTGGTAGTCAGTTATTGGAGGCAAAGGCGGACTCACCGCTATCGAATTCCAAGCGTTTTCCATTTCTGACAACGAAGCCAAAGCCTTTCTGGGCATTGAACCCGCAACCAACAACGTCATTCTCTCCGTACTCTCCGCTAGGTCCGAAGTCTGCTGATGGTGGATATCCAGGGACCTGTTCAACGAAGAAGTTTCCATCATCGCCATGGTAACCCCAGGAACCAGGACCCCAACCGGGGAACCAACGGTTGTAATAGTTCTTGCGGCAGAATCCAATCCCGACTTCTCTATAGGTAAAGCTCGTGAATCAGCCATGTCGACTACAGGCGTCGCGCTACCAATCGAAAAGCACTCAGCAGCCATACCTTGACTCCGAGTCCTTGATAATTTTGACCTCAAAGTAATACAACTCCCCCAGTGGAATAGGGTGGTCAGCCATCACCAATGCTGCATACCCGCCGCGTTCTGAGGACGCAATTACTTCCAGCCCTAAGGCGTAAGTTGCACATTAGCCAACAGCGTCAACACATGTCCAACTGTTACTCCGGAGAGGTTACTGGTAATTGAAAAGACATACTTGTGCAAAAATCGCTAGGGGAAGGAACTATCCTGATCAGCTCTCTTAGTTCAGCAGACGGTATCAGCTTGGGGCGAGAGTGTCGAACGGGCCTGCCATTTTCGGCTTTGGACATTCTTGCAATGTGCTCCTGAAGCCTGTTTCTGATGTTGGTCTGCAAATGACTGGTGGCAACGTCTAGAGGTGTCCAGCCGTCCTCGTCGGATTCGGTCGGATCTGCCCCTGCGCTAATCAAGTTCTCGACAATGTCTTCGAACGGTCCAGACGCAGCTAAAAACAAGAGACCGTTGAGGCTAGACTGCGTAATTGGCCGCTCAAGCAGTCGCTCGACACAGAGCATGGACCATTTATGGTCCAACGCCCGGTAGGCAGCTTCCGCCAAATCTATCAACAACCTCCTCGTATTGCGGATCTTCGGCTGGTATTTGGCCAAAGAGGTCCTTAAGCCTCATTTCCTCCTGAAAACCCAAGTCAGATGAGAGGATCGTCTTTAAGCATTTGATTCGTGAATGAAGGGATGTTCGGCGATCTAGAAAAAGAAGATGTGCTATCTCGGCATTCTTGTTTCTAATGGCGTCATCGAGAGGCGTGTTGCCGGAAGCATCGGCCACTTCAACTTGGAGCTCGTGCCCTTCGTCGTCAAGAAGGGTTTTGGCGATGTCAGCGTGCCGTGCTGCGACGGCGATGTGCAACGCCGATCGGTCCGCCTTGAGATAATGGCGCTGGTTGACGTCAAGGTTGGGGAATTTCAGCAGCCTCTTAACCACTGAAATTCTCCCATATTCACAAGCCCAATCTAGGGGGGATCTTTGGTATCGTTTGTCAACCTGGTTGATCACCTGCTCTGAGTCCTTGCCCAAGATGATCTGGACAGCGTTGTCATGACCATGTTTGCAAGCAATTATCAAGGGCGTCATGCCATCAATGTCCTTCAAAGCCAAACTACTTGGCGGGGCCTTTTCGACCAACTTTGGACGATATAAATGTTTGGTTCCTCCTGGTCGATGGCGTAATGGAGAGGCGTCCTGCCCAAATTGTCTGTAGAACTCGCCAGTTTCACGGATTCTTGTTCTAACTTCTCAAACACCAATCCCATAAGCTGAACGCTTCGTGATGATGCGGCGAGATGAAGAGTCGATCTGCCGACAGTGTCAACCTCGGCCAATAACTTCTCCGTTGTGATCTCTGGATTCGACTATCACTTGCAAATAGCCATTTTGTAACCGTCTCCTCCGTTTGCATGAGGAGATACGCAAACGGTGTCATTGCGAACTTGTCCGCTTTGTGAATCTTGTCCAGGAAGCCGTATCTCAGAAGAATTCTTGCCACATCGGGGTTTTTGCTTGACTTTGTCGCAAGATGAAGAGCGGAGCGGCCCCAGAGATCTACTGAGCGGCGAGCCTCGAGTTCCATGCTATCGGCTAGGAGCTCAACGCAATCTGCATTTCCACTGCAGGATGCTAGATGTAGTAGAGTCATTTGGTCGTAACTCACCCTCCCAATTGCATGGGATCTTTGATACCGCCCGTTTGGCAAGACAACCTGCAGCTGTTGTCGTTTCCCAGTTTCAGCAAGAATGTGCAATGGGCTGCGACCGAGTCGGTCCAAAAGCGCAAAGACCGGACGCTTTTCCCTCGTTTTTGTACATATCTTCCAGAAAATTGCCGACTCGTACCATGACAGGAAGTCCCCGAGAAGAGACGCATAATGCAGAGGAACCCAGCCAAAGACGTCTCCCGAGGTAAAGTGTACATCATCGTCTAGAACATCAGCCTTTGTTAGCTTAACATCGCTCATAGCCTCGAGGCATGCCGCAGGCTGGCAAACGACACCGAGATTTGCTCTTACCCCAGACCGGATTCCTCAAAAGTTTCATCCATCCTATTAACTGGCGAGGGGGCTGAACCAGAGCTCGACAAAGCACAATGTGCTTGCTCGTCATCTGCAGTTTGCGCATCAGAGTCGTGTCTCCCCATGGATCCAGAGGCTTGGCCAAGTTGTCTAGTGTATTTACTAGTTTTTTGGAAGACGAGAATCGAGCGAGGATACGCAAGAGGCGATGCGACCGCTTCTGTGCCTCGTAAATAGGCATAAGATGGCTCACGATGGTAGAAAACACATCTTCCTCAAGTATCTTGACCAACTATTTGACCTCTTGGATCAATTCGGGTATTGGCCGAGTATCGGTAACCACAACAAGTGGCTCGCATGCTAGGAACAAGAAGTCGACGGCGGCAGCCACAGCGGCGTAGCTAAACTGCTCGGTCTTGCTGCAACCGATTGAGGTAGAGAGCAGGCCAACATAGTATCGAGCCACATTCAAAACTCCTTGGCCTTTACCCTCATCGATTTGAGGTATAAGTCGCAGAATGGCCTCGTTTGGGAGAAGGTCGCGAGAGCTGAAAGGCGGTACCATGCAGAGCAAAATGTCGGTCCGGCTTCCCAGACCAGTGGATTCGATATTTCGTACTAACTTGTCCAATCTCCGGTGGCCAAGATTTGGCCGAGTCCATGTCTCCTTGAATTTGTATGGGTCAAACTTGTGGTTGTCCGTCACGTATACGTCTTGTTCGTTTTCGGGTCTTCCTTGGTCGAGACATGTCGGCTTCAATCTACCCGATATTGTCCAGACGAAACTGGTAAACAAATGTTGGGCGAGTATGAACGGGAGATCCCCTGTGGAAAGCACAGCAAGTTCATGTCGACTAGACAAATCGTAACTCTCAGAGTCAGGTTCACCTGTAACGCCCGAACAATCAGTATAGAAACTATGGCGATATGAGAACGGCAGAGGTATACCCTTACCTTGACTGGTTAGACCTGGGAATCCTATGACCAAGTCCACACCATTTGGACATCTAGCATTGCTAGCAAAACTGCCGATCTCGTCCTTCTGGGACCCATTTCCACTCCCCTCAGCCAAGTGCTCGTCAATCCACCATGAGATATCCCGGGCCAAGGTATTTTAACGGCAATCCATTCCTAAAATTCGGCAGAATTCTGTTCGGTCGCTAGAGGTAGACGCTGAGTGCTGAACGAGGGGTTCCTCCGCGCCAGGAATGCCTAGAGGTAGTTTGCTTTCCCAGGATTTTCGACGCAGTTCGGCAGATAAACGCCCTTCCAAGGAATTCTCAACAATCGAGGATATCCACAGCGATAAAATGGCTTCCAATTTGGTCCCCAATGTTCGTCTCTCACTGTCATTCTTATTTTTGGGTTCCGAGTAAAGTGCGCGGCGGATCTCAATTTCAATATGCGCAGATTTGCTGCCACCCTTAACGAAGGAGGTGGTGACTTGAAGCCTCCAAGGAATGAACAAGCTTTGACCGGGTTCACTAGGACATGTTTCCAGATGACTTGAGAAGGTCGCCATGAACAGCTCAATTGACCGCGCCAAAGCTGAGGCTGCAGCCGATATCTTGGTGTTGCGTGGATATAACGTCGAGAGGCGTGCCCGAACTCGAAGTAGCTGGTCACTGTCGATATCCTGCTCCAGTCTGGTAGACGAATCCGAGTCTGGTCTGGACTGTACCCAGAAAGGTTTATGGTCTTGTGAAGAAGCGGTTGCAATTCGCCACTGGTATGTTTGCTCTCGAGAAATGGCTGGGAACCCATCTGCCCGGCCTTCGAAAGCAAACTCGCGAAATGATTTGTGTCGACACAAATTGATGGCTAAGAAGTCCAATTCGTATTCTGGGGTAGCTTCATACGCCAAGTCAACCATACCTTGCCAGCGGCGTATATAGCCCCTGACAATGGCCATGAGACACAGAGCAAGAAGATGGGAGACGGCGACTGGCCAGGGGAGTCCTTTGATCCCTATGAATTGGGCGGTGAACCCAACAACTGACCAGGTTACACCAATCGCAGTCAACACCTGCCATGAGTGTCAACACCTGCCATGAGTGCTGGGCCTTGGGATTCCGATGGCGTGTTGTCTATGGTAGCATGGTGGAAGGTTGTTAGCGCCAGCATGCAGATTGTACTGCCGCCCGTAGATATAACCATAAGGGGGGGTGGAGTGCAGCAAGCCTACCAGGTAGATGTGGTGGAACTAAAGAAATCAGAGGAGGAGGAGGCGTATTGAGATGCCATGGAGACTTACGATCTCATTCAGCGAACTCTTGAAGCGATAGAGGCCCGGACGCTTTGAACTTTGGATCTTATCATCCGCGCAATGCGGAGACTTTTCTGCGAAGCAGTCGATCGGAGTTGATGTGACGATATGATCTGCCGCCCCGGCCGGAATGACGACGGGTTGAAATATCTGATCGTTGACACTGTGGCTTTGTTGAAGCCAAAAGATGCGAAGCTTCGGCTTGACCTTGTGATTGTGTTCAGTCTCGTCATCCGGTTTAGAAATCTCGGTATGTTCTTCATCGCCTCCTGGAAAAGACTGCAGATTTTCGACGGAAAGGTCCTGCCTTGTTTGCATCTCGAGAGGAGTTGACTCGGGGGCTCCTGCCTTCCGTGTCCAGCAGAACTCGACAGTATTCCTCTGGATCACATGGGCACATATCCACATGCCAAACACAAGAAGGAAGGACCCTCCGCTATAGCACCCAAAACCATAGGGCTGCCATTCCGACATGACGGCTTCATCTGCAGGCCCCAAGTATGAGACGACGCCAGCAATGACAAGCAGCCCTGCTTGAACCACAACAGACAAGAAGCCCGCAATAGCCCGATCCAGTCTCTTCCGTTCACTTCGAATGGGGTCGGATGACAAGTTGAGCTGAAAGTTTGGCGCCCCTAAACACGACAAAACGTCTTCAATTGCCATATTTCCGACTGTCTCATTTCCTGCCTCTGATTGCTGGCGCGCTGTTTCCAGATCCGGCTGCCTCGCGTGGGAATTGATCTTGCTGATTCCACTGATTTTGCGTGCTATTAACTGATGCATATGACTGTGAAGCACTTGAGAAGTCAATATTCCTGGTTTGAGCAGGAGGAAGTGAGCCCCATACGCTCTTTGCCTATGAGATTATTCTTCACAGCCATTTCCAGGGTATGAATACCGCAGGAATCTTCAGTGACGCTGTCGGTGCGATTGGCATTCTCATCGCGTTTGATACCGTACTCGTCATATAGATCAGGGAAGATGATAAACTGTGCCAGGCGTGGCTGGCCAAGAGCTCGCACAACGGATTCGCCATTGAAGAGTTCGCAGACTTCTTTTGACGTGGACGACATTAGCTCGAGCTCCGTGACTGCCCTGTTTTCGCGAGCTCGACCAATAAAGGCCCTGAGTAGCCGATGCCCCTGGACTCGGATCGCGCCTGCAAGAGTCGTGATTATTCCGAGGGGCACCATGGCGAAAATGAGGTTATCAAGCCATGTCAGGCTCTCGCCTGCGAATTGCTGCGCAAACTTCTCGCCGAAGAGTGCCAAGATCCTAGCAAAATTCAGGCTCAGAGATTGCGGCTAAGGAATGGACGGGAGTTGAATCGAATGCCGCCTGTACTAACTCACGACCTTCATCCCCTACTTACGGTGCAACGTCTGAGAAAAGGTCAGCAGCTAGCTCCCCCGTATCTCTCGCTGAGATAGGAACCACGAGCGCCGTCAACGCCCACGTCCAAAGAGCCAATGCCCGGATCATGATGGTAGCTCGCTGGTCGGTTTACTCGCAGCATCCGCCGGGTTAGCAAAGAGATTCCCGAGACAATTAGGAACTGAAAAGCCCCAGCGCGCTACTAAATACCTGACTCGTTCATCACATTCTGCCTATGCTGCTCCACCCCACCAACTCTTGCTTGCGTCCAACAACCGAACTTCACATGCACCTCGTGTTGGACGAGATAACTCTGCGATTGGGCAGAGCTGCTGTCGTGCTCACGTTACATTGGCAATGCTCCTGCGCAGGCTAACGAATCATGAATCGAGATTTCCACAACCCACATCAGTGAGACCTAAGTGCGAAAGCAGCTCGCAAAGCTGGGCAAATCGCTACATATATTGTTGCTCGCAATGGTGTGTAGACACGGTAGGTTAATGAATGAAGAGTTGGTATCCGGGGGCAGTGCGCTATAGATACTATGCTGATGTATTTTAGTTAGCTTGCCTGCACAGGAGACTACCTTGCACTGCAAGTAGTCAGGGGTGCAAGGCCCATGATAAATAGTGCTCCCTCGAGTCTCTCCTTCTCTCCAAGAGACTCTAGAATATCATCACATTACACAACTACATTGACTTGTCATTCCTTCCTATAACTTTGCGTACATCGCC